GGGCTCTGACCTTGGTAAGGATGTGCAGAGAGTTAGTGAGATAGCTAGAAATGGTGCAAGTCATGAAACTGCAGGAGAAGAGGAGACTGTTACCGCTGCTGGGAATGAAGTGGCTGCTGAGAAGGAAACATTTGAAGTTGAAGAAAACGGTGGTGCAGAAGAGAAAGCAGACCAAGAGAAGGAATCAGCAGGTAAAACTGAGGAGGATGATAACAAACAGGCGAATGAAGAGAATGGTGGTCTTAATGAACAGAGAAATCCGGGATCTGAGACCAAAGATGCTAAGCATTCAGAATCTGCACAAGTTCCAGAGGAGCCTACCCAATCAAGCAAAGAGGAAACGAATGAAGAAAACCCAGGAACTGTTTCAGAAGTTAGCTCTGCTGCTGTTAACCAGAATGAAGAAAACGGAGAAGCCATGGAAATCGATGATGCGGCAGAGATACAAGTGGAAAAGGATAATGCTGGAAATGAATCTGCTGGGGAAGCTGACAAGAATGATTCCAATGCAGCAAAAGAAATGGAAATTGATGAACAGAAAGATATTGAGGATGTGGCAACGGGTCTTACCGGAACAGTTGAATCTGCTGATTCAGCAAACCCAAACAATCCCTCTGAAGATGCTGCTACAGGTGAAGTTGAGCCGATGGATCAAAATGCTCTTTTTGACCCAAGTGCTGATATTACCACCTTCATCGATTTCAGTGGTGTTTCATCTTGGTCAGGAAATATACAAGACCTTAAAACCGACGCTGGGAATGTATCTTTGAAAGAGGATAAGAAAGCTACTGGCATGGCAGAGGGAGTTGCCACGGTTGAGACCGTTAAACCTGTTGACGCTTCAGTGAATGGTGATCAACCAAGCGTAATTTCCAAAGGCATTGGGAGTGAATCAAATGATGCCCATGTTGCTATAGTTTGTTCAAAAGAGGCTTCTGATGCAGTTATGGAACCTGATGAAAACCAAGAAGAGAAGGATCATGAAGGCTTACATCAGAAAGCAGTAGATCAACAAGATACAATGAAAGTGGAAGATGACACTGCTCATGAAGCTCCAAGTATCGAGCCAAACCAAAAGGAAGATACAGAAATGGAAGAGAATCCATACAATTCTGATTATGGTGATGTTGGAACCGGCTCTGATACTAAAACCAATGGTGTGAAACGAAAGGCTGATGTCCTGAGTGAGGATTCACCAGAGGAAGGTAGGAAGACTGTTTCAGTTGCGAAGGTGTCGTTTGCCCAAAGGCCGTCCTTTAAGATCGGTGCATGCATAGCCAGAGCTGCCAGTCAGATGGCAGGGTCTACTTCAGTTTTGAAGGGTAGTAACATTGGTGCTGAAACTCTTTCTGTTGAGAGTTTCGTATCCCAGCTTCACTGTGCAGCAACAGACCCTGTAAAAGAGAACGTTGTATCTGAAAGTGCTGCTGGCTTTTTCTTAGAATTCCGGAACTCATCAGCTTCGCAGGAAGCTGCCCCAGAAAAGGTCGGCGGTAGAAGAGGAAGACCTTCCAATTCGAATGCAGGAGGAACCGAGGCATTTGAGTTTGAGGAAATGGGCGACACATACTGGACTGACAGGGTGATCCATAATGGTGGTGAAGAGCAAACGCCAGCTACCGAGAAAGGAGACTATCAAGTTGTGCCAGTTGAGTTGAAACCTGCTCAGGTCAAAAGGACTCGCCGACCATACAAAAGACGGCAGTCTCAGATCAGTATTCCTCTTCCTTCAGCCTCAGACAAACCGGCTGACTTTGATGAGAATGCACCAGCTGAGCTCATAATGAAGTTTTCTGAAACGGATACAATACCTGCTGAGAAGAGCCTGAGTAAGATGTTCAGGCATTTTGGACCAATAAAGGAGTCACAGACTGAAGTTGACAAGGAGAACAACCGGGCTAGAGTAGTTTTCAGGAAGGGTGCTGATGCCGAGGTAGCTTACAACAGCGCAGGAAGGTTCAATATCTTTGGGACGAAGGCTGTGAATTACGAGCTCAGCTTTACAATCACGGAAGCTTTCAAAGTTCAGCCTTACGTTGTGTCTTTAGGCGAGGAGGATGCAGCTCTATCTCTTCCCTCCTAGATGTAGTTATGATTCAGCATGGTTCAGGTAAATCTGACCTGTGTTTTAACTTCTTCCTACGCGCTTAAGATATTTTTCGTTCATGTTTGAATGCTTACTGGCTTGAAGGTTGATGTGTTGTTAATAGCTAAGGTGTATACTTTTTCAAATGTGTAGTAGAGTGTAGACCGAGTAGAGTTGGATATATGGCATAGTAGTAGAATGGTAGATTCAAGCTAGGAACTTTAAAAGACCCATTAACACATCCTCATACATAGTAGTCTTTGCCCTGTTGGGTTTTGCTTAGAAAGGGCATATATGAAGTTCTTGTAAGGGGTTGTAAATTGATTTTGGATTTAAACAGAGTGGTTGATTATGTGTTTCAGGTGGAAACAATTGGCAGGAATGAAGCGAAGTAAAAGATGAAGTGGCTCAATGGAATTTGGAGGCTCTTGCTTATGTTTTGTTACCTTTTAGGTAGAGATTTAGGCTGTGGAATAGTTTGAGAGAACATATGTGTTCTAGAGACAAGAGTTCATGGTTATGTCATGTGTATTTGCTGTTATTAAACCCAAGTGATGTTAGGAGAAGAGTGATGTTGAATAATTTAGCAGATTTGTTTAAACTTTTGATCTTCTAAAATATCTTAAATCTAAACTAAAACAAACCCGTTTTAAACCAAACCAAATGTTTGTGATTCAAATTGAATAAACCGGAATCCTAACTATTCATCGGTGATAGACGATAACAGTAGAAGTACGTCTTCGTCTTCCACCTTGAGAAAGGAGAATTGGATTGTAGAGGAAAAGAGATACGAAATCGAGCTTTCTCATAAGCTACGGCGGCTCTAGACGATTGTTGATCTACGAAAGCCGTCCGAAAATGCCCGAAGAAACCGTCGCAGGCGAGAGATTTTATATTTTTGTAAACGTTACTAATAAAGTTTAAAGTAACGGCGTTAGTTTTGCAGGAGGGAATCTCAAAAAATTTGGACCCAAATGTTTTCAAATAGATTGCGATTTCACGCCCTTTCACCTTCCCTCCCGCTTTATTTCCAACCTTTTTGTTTTGGTTGTATCCCCAAAATAAAACCTAGCCCAGAGCCTCGCCGTCGAGATTCACGCCGCGACGAGCTCGTAACCGCGAACATCGATATCGATATCGCTACGCCGCTGGGTTTCGATGATTGCATCGCCGAGACATTAACCATCGAGTATCGGTGAGTATGTTCCTCCTAATCCTATCTCTGACTTGTGTTTGTAATCGAACTCTTTGCTTGTAAGTTCTTCGCCGGCGGTGCTCATAAGTCTCTAGGGTTCATGGGTAATCTGGGGTTGCGAGTTTAAGCCGGATGGGATTTAGGAAAATGGAATTAGGATTGGATGAATTAACATACCAAAATTGTGCCTTCCTCAGATTTACTGATCTGATTTTGTTAATGAAACTGGATAGGTGAAACTGGAGGATCTTATGGAAATTGCGAAAGTCGTTGCTGCTCCTGGTGCTTTCGGAAGTTCTCTTCGGATGAGTGGAGGGTCCAATGCTGCGCCAAAAGGCAAGAGGAAGACACCCACAGAGCTGAGAGTAACTTTGCTGCTTCCCTCTCTTCATTGTGCTTTGTTTCTTTTTTTTTCCATTAATTTTCAACTTATCTTTAAAGACTGTTCATTTAAATACTAATCCTGTCTCACACAATACAGGGAGAACAATTGAAGCAGCCTGGTTTCGTGGACCAAGTTAAAGAATCTTGGGATGCATTGCGCCAATGCAAAAGGTAAAGAAATCATCTCGCTGTCAAGTTGTTTGAACTTATAGTTTACTTATCTAGATTCTCTTGGCTGTAGTACTGAGAGGGAAAGTGGGACTAAGAAACAAGAACATTTGAAGAATCCAATCCGTATTGGTGAACTATATCCTGTCAAAAAGGCTCGGCCTTGGATGCCCCCGGGCAAAGAAAACTCTAAGGTTCGCAACCTCTCATATTCTAATTCTTGATTCCTTCTAATTTTTTGAGAAAACTTTGTGTATAAGCTTTAGTGTTTAGTACACATCTTTTCGTTTTATTCATTTATTTGTCTTTACCACAGGAAAATGGCGCGAAAGAACAATCCAGCGGCCTAGCTAATGTTTCTTTACTCTCAAATGTTGTTGCCAGTAGAAGACAACAACTTATCCGGTAAAATGCCTCAGGTCATTCCTGTCTCGAGTAGGATGGCTTTCGGTGTTTTAACTTATGCTAATGCTTTAATGTCTTAGCAGTAAGGACAATAATGCTTCTACTGAAGATCCTAATGGTTCTAACGCCGAATCTTGTCAAACAACTGAGAGATGTAGCCAGAGCATGTTTCGCAGTGTCACAGAACTTTCAACCAGGGGTGAAGAATTATCCTGCTTCAAAGATATTGATATGGTATGCTTCAATAGCTAGTGTTTGATAATTTTAGGTCTGAGATGGTTATATATATGGTCTTGGGAAACTGATTGCATCTTTCAACAGAACGAAGCACTGAAAGGACTTGCCTCTTGTAAACCATTGCCGATTCATCCTGGTGACATAGCTGGAGAATCTGATACTTTAAGTGGAAAATTCGTGTCTGAGTTTCATGTTCCTGGGCAAAAGATTCCTCTGGACCTTTCCATGAAGACTTATGCTCGACTTGTTTCCTCTTCTCCATTAAATTGGTGAGTTGAGCTATTTCTGAAATTCGTGTAGTAAAAACAGAATCGTATATGGGCTGGTTCTTTTTTTTCTGAACATAGTTTTTTAGTCGAATCTGAGTAATTCTCCTTGACATCTTATGTTAGTTATCACATACTACTTACTATTGATGCTAGTTGAAATAGTGGTTTTTCTTTTGACTCTGAATTCAGTCTATTATTTTCACAAATGTTGTTGTAGGTTACATAGGTCAACCATGGGTAGCACCTACAATGGTATGCCACAGCTGAAGTCATTGTCCTGCAATGTAGTAAATCAAGATGACGGTGGTTCTGGATCAGCTGTGGTTTCCCAGGTGTTAAATTCCATGTCGCTACACTCTTGGGTGTATCCTCAGTCCACTTTGCCTCCTTTTATCATTTCAGCATTGGTTGCATCTGGACCAGAAAGAGGTTTGTTAATAAGAGTTCTTGAGCTATGCCTTCGTATCAGTCATCTTCCTTCTAAAGTTTATAAAGAGATCTTCATTTTGCTATTTTAGGTGAAGTTGATTTCCTACAAAAGCGACAATTGGCATGGGAAGATGCTTTTCGAAGTCTGTATTTCATGTTTCGGAAGAATCTCTGCAAAATATTCTATGGTAATCCCGTCGTATATCTGTCTGATTTGGATGTGATATTTTTTTTCTCGTTATTACGTACTAGGTTGATGAGATCCTTGTGTTTTATTTCCCACTTGAACTTTCTTTTACAAGAATTCGGCATAAACCGTGCTTTACTTTTCTGTCTAGGCAAAGATGCATCAAAGTCACGTACACCGTTAAAGCTATTAAATTGTGAACTTTCATACACTGCTTCTATGTCATGTTCCATCTCTCTTACTGTAATTGATATGTACTCCGTTGAAATGAAACAAAACTTTATTGTCCATTCTTTGGATTGTAGTCTGTACTTCACAGTTTACAGCAATGTTCACCGGAAGCTGTGAGTCAGTGGGTGTCAAACGCTCATGCAATGCCTATATCACCCAGTCAACTAGAAGATTGAGAGCCAATCTCAAAGACCTTGTAAGATATGCTCCCTGGATGCTATTAGATTAGGTTGTTCATATTGTTATGCAAACCTTGTGTGGGCATTAGAACTTTACTAATTATGCTCTGAATATGTTCTTCACAGGACATCTGCTACTCTATGCCTCTTTGCAAAACTAAAATGGATGAAACCACTGTGGAAGATCTTGCTGAACTCTCTGAGATAGAGAATCATAACCTTGGCCAGGTTTGTGCCCCTTTAGTTACCGATTCAAGAACTATATTTCTTTCAGGTGGAATATTTCTTTTGTTATAAATGGGAGAGCATCCGTGTGTTTTTCTGACTCCTGGTAATGGATGCAGACTCGTCGTTCCCGTTCCGTCTCAACCATAGATAATACTCCAGAATCTTTCTTGGCTTTTGATGGAAATGAGAGCGTACATGGATTGTATGATCTTCTGTTAAATTATAGGTACGTATGAACAATTTTTGAAAACGAAGTTAACATCTAAATCCTAGTAACGAATTTCATATAACCATTGTTTCTCAACCATACGCAGGTCTTCTTTGGGATTCCTTCTCACCGCAGACGTTCCTGTATTATATGCACCTGTACCATTCCAGAATGCTGCAGTATCTTCTCCTGAGGTATATCTTCTTACATCTGCGCTTTACTCTGCAATCCGTGAATTCTCTTGACATTCTGAGAACACTTGCTCTTTGATCTCCAGATCAAGTGCTCGGAGATGGTGAAAACAGATCGAACAAGTTGCTACATGGTCGAAATTAAGGGTGAATATCTTCCGCCGTGGATTATTAGCAATGTTTGTGGAAATGTGGTTGCTTATGGGCAAAACTTCGAAGCTAGGTTCGTTGATGCAAAATCTCTTCTCTTTCAAACAAAAAAAAATGTAAGTCTTTGTTAGAAAATGCTAACGTTATGTGAGTTAAATTTCAGCTTTGTAACCGAGCCAACCTCGGTTAGCTTAAACATGGGTCTACCACAGATCCCTGAGAAAACGGAGCCTGAGACTCGAGTCATGGAAGGCACAGGAGATACAAACGATGATGCGTCTGGCATTCCCGGAGCAGTGATCTGCCCTCAGCTTCGATCAGGCCATCTAAAGAGCTTGAAGTATTGCGACAAGTCTTACACTGTTACGCTGTCTCCCTCGTGATCTGTATTTGCTTTTAATCCTCTCTATTTCCAGGTTTTCATCGTTATATCATATGTGTGAGTGTGACCCAAAATTAAATACTCAAACCCAATGTTGACTTTTATTTGCAATTTGTGTGAACATGTTCTGAAACATATTTCATGGCAATATGTATAAGAGAAACCGTTGGTTTGACTCCTAATCTCATCTATGCATAACAGAGTAACGACTTTTTTCTGTCAAAAGATTTGAACTTTGCCTAGAGGAAAATAAATGACTTTGGAATTGATATTTTCAACCAGAATCTGAACCATCCTTACATGTTTGATTGGACGCCTTGCAATAAAAAGAAATGTACATTTTGCACTAACTATTCCAAGAAGAAAAATGGATATCTAAACATGTGAATTTGTTAAACAACTCCATCTCCTCGTTCGAGATCCCTCGCCTAGAATCATAAGCATCCCCATATTATTTGCTGACAACTCGTACACATACCTGCATTGCAATTTTGTAACTGAATCCATCAGACAGCAGTAAAACCAGAATGTGAACCAAAGAGCAAAATCTTTTTCACTCGTTAATCTACTTACTTGTTTCGCTTGGCTTTCCTTTTCCAACAAACAAAAGACACAATCCACTGCAAACACAAGAAAATCAAGGAAGAGCAAAAAAATTCAGGCTTACTCATAGTTTTCACAAAGCAATATGCAAACATGAGAGAGATTATGAGTCTTTCTTTACCTTGAAGACCGTTACTATAGAGAATGCTTTCAAATATTGCATTTTGCTAACAGTGTTTCGCCTGTTTGCTGCAACATTCTCCTTTGATAAATGCTGAGCGATTTCTTTCAGCAGCACCAACTGAGCTTTGTCCGTCCTCATCGATACAATGATCTGCCTCAATGACTCCCTATCAGCTTCAAGTGCTTGAAGCCTTGTGTAAAGCATCTCAATATCTGGCTCGTTACCACCTTGCTGAGCCATAACCGGTTCTTGGCATCTCGGAGAATTCCACTGATCACCATTCAACTTTCCCTTACTCATCTTGCTAGACTCGTCCTCAATCTTAACCTCAGAAACTCCCACATGAATCGAGTCAATAGTATAGACTCTGTCACTACTACTAGACATAGGAGAGTCTGCGAAAAACGTCCCCTTTATGTCTTTCGCAGTTCCTAGAGGCGAATTTGGATCATAATATGGCCACCTTGGAGACTGACCAACTATCACCTTCTCCACAACCTCAACATTACCATCTCCTCCGCTCTGGTTCTCATCCACACTACATTTCACAGTATACTCACAAGGGTAGACATCAATACCCACCGAGCTAGAGTCTAGGCCAAAACCAAGTATCTGCTCCTGCATCTCCGCTTCTATTAGCCCATAGCTCAACATTTTATCCTTGTATGCTTCAACCTCATAAGTCAAGGCCTCAATAGCTTGCTCTTTCTCATACAACAGCTCTTCCAAAGCTGAGAGCTTTTCTTGGTCATGCGTCATTTTCTCATCAGCAAACGCTTTGAATTGCCTAGCTTCCATCTGTATCTCAGCTTTCTCTCTCTGCAGCCTCAGTATCATCGACATTGTCTCGTTCGCAGCTGATGCAGCTGCGTATCTCTCTTCTTCGAGCTCTGAATGAAGATCTTTCACTGTCTCTCTTTGACTAGAGAGAGCTTCGAGCAAAGCGGCGCATTCGTTCTCAACTAGTAACTTGGCGTTTGAAGACGAATCAGAAGCGCCTCTAAGCAAGAACATGTTGCTGTGACCTTCTTTGAATTCGTTGAGCTTTCTTTTCACCGTTCTCGTAAAAGGATCTGATGAACATACCCCAAGGGAGTAATCACAACCAAAGTCACAGCATTTCACAACATCTCTTGAAGGAAATCTCAATTCAGAATCCATGGAGGTACACAAACCCCAAATCTCAAATGCTAAGAAACAGAGAGATTAAGCTCGTTTTCCCAAAAACCCAATCTTTTGAAATCTAATGAAAGCAGGAACCTTTGTATCATTCCTCCAATTGAATTACAGACACATTTGAGCCACCTAACCTGAATCAATCCAAAAAGATAAACCATTTGTTCAACAAATGCAAGAAAGCTTTGAAGTGGTGATTCACAAGACCCAGAGAAGGTAAATTCTCGAGAATAAATATTTTTGTTTACCTCAACGCGAGACTTAAGATGGTTGCAGCTACCTATTCACAAAGATATCTCCTTCCGGGAAAAAAAAAACAATAAGAAAAGAAAATGAAAAATTTCCTTCTGTTTCCCGGAAAAAAAACAGAGGAAAATGTAAGAAAGGCGGGATTTTTTCAGAGAGAGGAGATGGAAAATCCAAGAGGAGGATAAGAGGAAGTTTTGTGTTTTTGTCTTCCTCTTTGATTCTCCATCTTCTTCATCTCTCCCTCTTTTATCGGAGCGCGTTTCATAGTTCTTGGGCTATGTGCCCACAGAGAGTAATAATATCATGAAAAATGCCCATTTTTATGGTGGAAAAGCCAAAAAATGTCCATGATGACAAATACAAAAAAAAATCAGTTTGGTGAAATACATGTGAGTTTGTTATAGTTTGAGGGAAAATTAAATGGACTGTACGTAGAAAAAGATGCGAAGCTCAAATTAGATTTGTATGAGCATCAGTACAGATGAGCATAGTTAGAAATTAGAATCATACCTTTAAAAAGTTTTGATTTACGATAAGATTCAAAAATGTATACCAGCTGTACTGATTCATCCGATGTACTAAAATTAAGCAATTTTGTAAACGGAGTTTCTAATCAAAGTTCGACCAGCTTGGTAATGTTTCTTCGTGATACTTTTCTTAATATAGATTTCTTATCAAACCTCAGTAATACTTTATAACTCTGTTTATTCTTTAATTTGTGTGTTCTTTTTTCTACAGAAAAAAAAAAAAAAAAAAAAAAAAAAAAAGAGAAAGAAGAAAACTGTTTACATAAATATGGTTGGGTCGATATATCTACAGATCTACTCTCTAGGAAGAAATAAATTGTATCGGTTTGTGTGTTTGACTCACAAGGATTTTGCTCTTTCTTTAAATTTTAGTGAGCCGTTGCATGATTATAATTAATAGAGATACTTGTAACTTGTAACACGTGATTATGACAAATAAAAAGAAAATCAATGGAGTTGAATTAAAATGAAATACGAAAGCTTGTAAACAAAGAAAAAGGAAATGAAAATCAATGTATAGTGATAATTTCGCCGAACCAAGTTGCCAAAGCCAAGACTGCAGCCATTGCAATTTTGGCTGTTGTGGTTGTGATAGTAACGTCAATTGTTGTCATGTCGTCGACGACGATTGTGACATCAACAACAACATCATTTGAGTGTTTTTGTAGCAACTTCGCTTTTATCTTCTGTAATACTACATGTTAACAGAATGGTTTTATTTGGATTTTGTTTCGTCTCTTGGGCTTATAAAACTTGGCCCAACAACACATAAAGATGGCTGGGGGCCCAAGTACAAGACTGCAGATTTTACTGAACTACTTTGAGAGTTCCTCAATTTAGTGGCCTATTCAAGTGTTCCACATGAACATATCACGTCAGCAGATTTTAAGAATTTTGTTCAAGTCCTCACTACGCTTGTATAAATTTTGTCTACCAGAATTAAGGAAGTCTATTCTCTAGTTAAAGGGACCAAACACTAGCAATGTCCCTAAAATATTTTGTCCGAATGATGACTAGGAAAAACAGTTATGAATGTGTACTAACAAAGATACGATCAAGGACCCACTTAGATTTGTCCTCCCTATCTCACGATAGTGCTGTCACATTTCTAAACTCAATCATTCGATCGATTCCTACTTTTTTTTTTAGAAGAACATGATTTTTTTTCGTCGTAAGATAATCTAATTGAATGTTAACGAAAGTTATGGATAGTTACAGTTAGAGATAGTCTTGCGAGAGTTAACATGACAAGGAATAAAAAGTGACAAACCTAAATATTTATTTGGGTTCATTTTAACAAATTATTCCTAGTCTAATGTAATCATTGCATCAACGGCAAAAAACGTCTTCAATACTAGAGTTGGCCACACAAATCACAAATGTGATCACACGCAAGTTTATGTTTTGACGCTATATGCAATGTGTTAGTTTTGGGGTTATGATCACTATGGTGTTTGGGCCTTCGACGGATGAAACTCGAAGGCTGTTGTCAAGTTTTAGGAGATGATTTTTTGTTTTTTGGTTTACAAGAAGGATTTAGCAGTTGATCCGGTGGCGAAAGGAGCAATGCAAAAGAAGAGCTTACGTCAAGCTTACGGTCAACCCACTTGTTTATGTAATGCTTCGCAATATTCATCGTTAAGAGCATCCGCATTGGACATATTCTTAGGGGTTCTAGAGCAAAAAGAAAAAGAAAAACGTAAATAATTACACACATGGCGAAGCCCAAGCCCAGAGTCGAATCTGGCAGAAGAGTTTGCAGATCCGGCTCTACTCTACACGTGTCGGCTGGAAATTTCTCCCGCACGATTTTTTCTTTTCTTTTCTCTTTTGTTCTTTGAATTTCTTTTTCTTGTTTTCTCTTCTTCTCCGACTCACGCCTCTCGTAAACCTCCAATCCAAGCATCGTCAAAAGTGTCCTTGGACCTTCAGTGACATCAAATTCTTCATCGGCTGATAATAGATGGGCTCCATCGGGCTTTCAATCTGGGTATGTATTTTGCTGGGCATCTAGGTAATAGAAACGATTTGAGATACTTTCTCGTGTTTGGAATGATGGGATTGGGATTCTCACTGTTGTTTTCGGATTAGGGTATTGGATGAATGTGCATTTGCTCTGTGTTTTACATGAGTGTACAGATTGTTTGTGGGTTTTTCCAGTCGATTGGATGGCCTTGTGTGGGAATTGGTGTGGAAAGAGAAACGTGGATTGATCATGGGTGTGTGGAACTCTCATATGTCTGTTGGGAACATCGTTGGCTCAGGTGATCGCTTCCTCTGTTCTTGATTCCGGACGGGGATGGTCTTTTGCTCTGTCTTGTGTTTTGATTTGCTGCAATTTCATATTCAGTGATCGATTTCAATTACAGTTTTGTGTAGAATAGTTTTGAAAATAATTTGGGCATATATGGCATCAGGAAAAAAGCAAGCGTTGATATCTTTATCTGACAAGAAGGATTTGACTTTGCTTGGCAACGGTCTCCAAAAGTTGGGGTATGTGTTCTTCAGAAATCTCTTACTTTAAAGTATACAGATTTGAGTTCTATTTGTATCTGAAAGGCTTATGGATTGAAACAATCCATTTTCATCTGAATGTTGTGTAGATACACTATTGTTTCTACTGGAGGAACTGTCTCTACATTGGAGAGTGCTGGAGTCTTTGTAACCAAAGTGGAGACGCTTACTCATTTTCCAAAAATGGCAAGTTTTGTTTCTTTCTCTAAAGCTTGCAGCTCTTGCTTATATTTTGGTTTTTGTGCTAGTGTTGATATTCGTCAAAGATTATGACAAACAATTAGGCTGGTTTCAAATTGAGGTGTGACTTTCTCAATGATTATGCAGTTAAGTTTGGTATATTAAACTAAGCTTATGGAGGTGACGATGAAGCTTTCCTGCAGAAAGTAGTGACTCCCCTATATACAAAACAATAGCAAAGGTTACTTAATTCAGTTATTATAGCGGTGACCATATTTTCCTGCAGAAAGTAGTGACTCCTTGTAACTTTGCAGGTCGATTGGGTGTTTCTGTTTAGGGTGGCCTATGCGAGTTGATGCTGATTTCTTTCTCTTCAAACAATAAACTTGTAGATACAAATTGTTTATGTGTAGATAATAATCAAGTGAACACTTTTTTTTAAAGAACCTCATATGAGTTCTCCAATGGGGCTGTCAAAACTAAGAAAGTAAGTAGAAATCTCTAAACTTAAAATATTAATAATTTTAATATAAAAAATGTTTAAAGAGCTCCATTTGAGTCTCACTCACCAATGTGGATGCTCTAATGAATTAATGACAAAGTTAATAAAAAAGATTGAGGAAGATCATGACAATCAAAATTCAAAATGGAATATCACGCGTAATATGCTTGTGTTAAAAAATGGAGTATGTCAAATGTGACACAAAATGCATCATGGATATATCAAATGCAAAATATGAAAATGATAATATATAAAGAGAATATGCTCTTATTTTGGCTACCCACTACTACTAAATTAGTTTTTTCCTCTGGTATTATGCAGCTTTTCATTCGACTAACCGACGCTAGTGATGTCCTTAGCATCCAAATGGTCGTTTACATGTTTTTCAAAACTATGTATAATTCATTTCGGAATTCGAATTTAGAAGTTTGGATCTTTCTATTTCTCGTAATTACACAGAAATAATTCACCTTTCACAGAACTTCGCTCGGAAGTGAGAAAAAGAAGAAGATTAATAACAGTGTTTGACCCAAAAATTACACTTTATGAGTCTATAATTACTACAGAACACGAAAGAGACAAAACAAAATAAAAAGGGACGAAGATGATTAACAATAATAAATAGAAAGATGCGTACTTTGGCCAGCCACTTCTACTAAATCAATTACTCACTCTTCTCTCTCTCTCTCTCTGAGCAATGTCTCAGCCTCTCACCACCAGACCAACCGTCGCCGGAATCTCTATATTCCATTTCCGACGTCCTCCTCCGCTCTGTGCTTTCCTCTTCGTCATCGTCCTTATCGTCGCCACCTTCTACACTTTCCACCATCCAGAAGCTTCTCCTTCTCTCTTTTCTCCAAATCCTCATAATGCCCTCCGTCTCCGCCGCCTCTTCCTCTCCTCCGGGTCCAACGCCACAATCTCCTCCTACCTCCGCGCTTTGACCCGTCGTCCTCACCTCGCCGGAACAAAACCCTCTCTAGACACTCTCAACTACGTGCTCAACCATTTCCAAAGCCACGGACTCGAGACCCATGTCGCCGAATACGAGGCTCTCCTCTCTTATCCTGCGCACATCTCCGTCACTGCGCGTTTTAGCAACATGACGACGGTTGAGTTCGACTTAAACGAGCCCGTTGTCTACGACATCCCCGAGGATGATTCATTTTCCTCCTCTCAGGTCGTGAGGCCTTACCACGCTTATTCGCCGTCTGGGTCGGCGCAGGGTAACGTGGTTTTCGTGAATCACGGCGAGGAGAGAGACTATCGTGCGCTTGATTCGATTGGAGTGAGCGTTAGAAATTGCGTGGTTTTAGCGAGAAAGGGAGATTCTTTGGGAAGAGGCGCAATTGTGAAGATAGCAGAGACTAAAGGTGCGCTGGGAGTGCTAATATACGCAGAGAACGACGGTGGTGGTTTAGGCGGCATTGAGAGAGGTACGGTGATGAGAGGAATAGGAGATCCGGTTAGTCCCGGTTGGCCCGGAGTCGTCGGAGGAGAGAAATTGAGCTTGGAGGATGATCGGGTCACTCGGAGATTCCCAAAAATCCCATCTTTGCCTTTGTCTCTTCACAATGCAGAGATCATTTTGGCTTCCCTGGGCGGTGCCAAGGCTCCGGTGGAGTGGCGGAATTCGGGTCGGGTCGGGTCAGGACAACGGGTTGGCCCTGGACGGACGGTTATAAACATGACTTACCAGGTAACCGGAGCTTTGCACTTCCGTTACATTTCTTGGTTTGACTTTGTAATTTTGCGTCTTTATTATGTGATTAAATTTTCGTTAAACCTTTATGAAAATCAGTTTCTGATTCTACAAATCCGAAAATGTTTTTCTTTTCGGTTTTGATTAGCTGAAAAAGTTTGAATTTTGGGGTAAATTTGAAGTTGTAACTGTTTGCTACTGTCTTGACAACTTCAGGGAGAGATGAAAATGAAGAAAATTAACAATGTAATAGCTACAATAAGAGGGAGTGAAGAAGCGGACCGGTATGTGATACTTGGAAACCATAGAGACGCATGGACATACGGAGCTGTTGATCCAAACAGTGGAACTTCTGCTTTACTTGACATTAGCCGGAGATTCTCTCTGTTGCTTAATTCTGGTTGGAGACCACGCAGGACCATTCTCCTCTGTAGTTGGGATGCTGAAGAATTCGGAATGGTTAGTCAATCATTAATTATGAAAAAGCCAAAATCTATTTGATGCCTGCCTTTGACTAAACCAAACCACTCTTGTTTTGGTTTGTAGATTGGATCAACAGAATGGGTTGAAGAAAATATTGTTAACTTAGGTGCAAGTGCTGTGGCTTATCTTAATGTAGATTGCGCGGTCCAAGGCTCTGGATTTTTCGCCGGCGCAACTCCTCAACTAGACGGTCTTCTTGTAGATGCCTTGAAGCTGGTAATAGTAATAATTAGCAGTGGATGCATTTTCAAGCATTGTGATACTTTCTTGATAAAGTTGTCAAGTCTCTCTTTGTGGTCAGGTCCAGGATCCTGACGCAGCAGGCTTGACTGTGGAAGAGACATTCAAGTCTCAAAACAACATTGTGAGTAGAATCAGTCTTGCATTACACATACAAAGACTTTAGGTGCTGTGTTAGATTAGACTGTTGTCTTTTTGTAAATAATGTATGCTTCAATGGGATGCAGATTCAGAGGCTGAGTAGAGTGGATTCTGATTTTTCCGGTTTTCTTCACCATGCTGGGATACCGTCTATAGATATGTATTACGGAGCAGGTAACATTTAGAACTTGGTTCCTGACTAAATCTGATTTTCTTGTGCAAGTAATGGCAATAATGTATGTTGTGAGTTTTTTCAGATTATCCTGTGTATCACACAGCTTTTGACTGCTATGATTGGATGATACGCAATGCAGATCCATTGTTTCACCGCCATGTTGCTAGTAAAGCTTCTTTTCTTCTTTCTCATTCAGTCTACTCTTTGTTTTAGTTTTTTTCATGTAGTGTCTTTCATTGATGTCCTGAAGAGAACTGACTCTTTTCTTTGTTTTGTTATATTTCTCAGTGGCTGGAATTTGGGGACTTTTAGGCATTTTCTTGGCTGATGAGCCACTTATACCGTTCGATTACACCTCTTATGCAGAACAATTGCAGGTGCATACTCTTCCTTACTCTCTCTATACATTAAGGTAGAAGGAAACTGAGTTTATGTGTGTTGTGTTATGGTTTAGGCACATAGAGATGCATTGAGCAAGCTCTTAGAAGGGAAAGTCTCTGTTGATCCCTTAAGCGTGGCGATACAAGAGTTCTCTTTGGTTGCCAAAGAAGCCTCGGATGAAGCAAAGGTTTTGCTATTCAAAGTATCACCTTATTATATCTTTCATCTACTTTGTCACACCTTTACATATATATTGGTGACTGATTTGCAGAAGTTGAAGAAACAAGCATATAGCAAAAATGACGTTGCAGCAGCAGCGAAGAGAAGAGAGCTGAATGATAGGATGATTCTTGCAGAAAGAGGGTTCTTGGATTCTGAAGGGATCAAAGGGAAAGAATGGTTCAAGCATCTTGTGAGTCAATTATTAGATTTCCCTTTTTTCACCATTTTCCAAAACTCAAATGTGACCTTGTTTTGTGTGTGTATGTATAGGTGTATGGACCAGCGGCTGAACCAGAGAGCAAGCTTGGTTTCTTCCCGGGGATAGCAGATGCAATATCGATGAACTCATCAGAGGGGATGATCGAGCACGAGGTATGGAGAGTCGCGAGAGCGGTTCAGAGAGCAAGCAAAGCTCTTAGAGGAGGGTTCACATGAGAAAAAATCTCAAAGAGCTCTCTTTTGTGAATATTTTGTGTGACTGTAGATTGTAGAAGAATGCTCTCTTATGAACAACTAACAAAGTAACTGTGTCATATTCAAAACATTTTATATCAGAATCTTGGGTTTGAATTCTACAACTTTAGTCATGTTGATGTTTTTCATCATCAACTTCACATTTGATTCCTTTATATCAACCGGTTTGGTTTGCCATCAGTTTTATAGTTGTTAATAATTATGTTTTCCTCCTCTATCTGTTTTGTTCTAATTAAACTTGAATCCCTAAACAGACATATGAAATATAAACAAACTAGTAAACAAACATGATCATGGACCAACATAAAAGAAATTATATACCATAGTCGATATACTTGTACATATGGTTGATAGTTCTTCTCTTCTTTTCCATAAAATGCACCAAACCAAAATGAATTGGAATGTTGTGATATCCTCAGTTTCAATTTAAATGTCATTTTGACAATTTTTACACAGATTAAGGAAAGTGATAAATGTTCAATATTTTCTCTTGTTTGACTATTGGAATTTTTTTAATATTTAGTTTAATAATAAAAAAATTTTGGTTGTAAAAGAGAGAAACTTATGAAAAAGGTGTATTATTAGAACTGGGGAACAAGCAATAGCAACAAAAAAAAAGGTTCAACAACTCATATCTAAACATAAGAATTTGTCTTATGAAAATAACGAAAAATTATGCTACTAATTCATCTTTCGATAGCTTTGTCTTGGGTACAAAAGTCCATAACATTTTATGCTTGGATTTCCTGATTCTGAGGAGCCTTCCTAATCCTCCTGCTGAAAAATTCATATTTTTTTTTAAAAAAACCATGTCAATCTCTTAGTATAAAAACAGCAATGTATATACGAACAAATATGCATAATAACTTAATAAGCAAAGCAAATGTAGAATAAAAAATGTGTTATTAAAAAGGTATTTTACTTGGTAGGAAGAGCAGGAGGGCCACAATTAAAAAAGATGCATTGAGGAACGCAATTTTTATTCTCTGGTTCGGTTGCGTAGCAATGGTCATTACACTTTTTCACACAGGCTATTCGTGCACCAGATGGAGGCGTGATGGTTCGTTCTCCTATTGTGGTTCCAACAAATACCATCATCATCATCACCATCACCATCATTATCGTCTTCATCATTCCAATCTCTCTTTTTTCTTTCTTACCTTTTTTTTGTTTTTAACTTGTAATGAGCTTTTTGTAAAATACAGTGAACGGCTCTTTATTTATAGTCCTAAATTAAACGTACGTAAAACTGTGAACTGACTTTCCATCATAGAATATATATATCTATATATATATATATATAGTAAGTTGAACAAATCTATTAGTCAATAAGTTTATTTTTGACTGATTAATATTTTTGACTCACCGAACAAGAAAATCTCCTGAACATAAATTTGTTTCAGAAATCCAATTCGGGACCAGTTGCTGCATCGAACTTAATTGCATCGAATACATACAAGAAAGAGACTGAGAGCCTGTGAAGCAAGAAGAGGCATTTAAACAATGTGAAAGCAGAAGTTTTGCAAGGGAAGCATCACTTACAAACTGCAGAAGACTATCTTCATCGAAAGCATCATCATCAACTTTACATTTGATTCCTTCATCAACCGATTTGCCAAATTGTTATATGTTTTTTCCTCCCATATCTGTTTTGTTCTAATTCATCTTGAATCCACAAATAGCTAGACATGTGAAATATAAACAAAATAGTGAACAAACATGATCATGGACCAACATTTAAGAAATTATATACGATAGTCGATATACTTGTACATTTGTTCGATGGTTCTTCTTTTCTTTTCCATAAAATGCATCAAACCAATGTGAATTGGAATGTTGTGATATCTTCAGCTTCAGTTTAAATGTCATTTTGATAATTCTCTCAGAATTAAAAAAAGAGAGTTAAATGTCTAATATTACTCTTGTTTGACTAAATCACATATTATATAGTTTTTTTTTTTTTTTTCCTCCGTCGCCTTAATTATTCTTCTTCGAGCTTTCTACTGCGTAATTATGCTCTCTCCTCCCCTGGATGGAGACATGCAGAAGAAGGTTGAACTTCCTGAAGCAGCATGGGAGAAGAACATGCCAAAGAAGATAGGGGTGGCATATTACAGAAGCCGTCATCATCATCTCTTTCTGGACGATCAACACTGGAAAGTTTCATATCCTCCAATCCTTCCACATAACATCCACGTTGTTGCAGCATCCTCTCTATTGTGCCTATTCCCCCGTCAATGTCAACGTAAGCGTATCTATAAAAAGCAGCGAACAAAAACAAATATTTGGTTAGCATTTGATAACACGAGAGCAAACTGGTAGGAAGAAGCCACAAACCTGGAGAGAGAAAGACCTCCGGCATCTTCGAGAAGGGTAATATGCAAGACACGTCCAAATTTAGAGAGTTCTTGTAACAGCATCCTCTTAACATACTCCAAGGGACGCTTAGTGTCATATCCATCAACAAAAATCCTGGAGATAACAATATCAACCACCAACATGACAAGAACCTATCTTATAGACAAAAAAAAAAAACTTACACGATATGTTGCTTATTGTCTTCGTCTCTCATAGTAGCCAACTCAGGTTCATGGTCTTTGGCATCAAACGGGTAAGACTCAACGACTAACTTGTGTCCTCTGCTGCTGTCACTTCCACTAAGTTTCAACGCCTTCTCTTCCGCACCTTCTCCCCGAAGATAAATCAAGGCAAACCTGTTGAGTTTTCTGCCTCTATCGTATCCGGGAATATAAATATGTATTAACTCTCCACATGAACCGAAACGCTCTGTCATAGAGATAACGAAATCATTGCCAGAAAGCGAAGTGTCGTATCCCGTGACGTAAATCCTGCTCACGATGCTGCTTTTTCGACTGTCGGCATCACAATCGTTCAGTTGCAGACCTTGGGTGGCGGATCCCTCCATGGAGAAGATGAGACTATGCGACTGCGCTACGTTTTCGAGGGTGAGGAAGATATTTTTCAGATCTAGGGCTTTAGGTCTTTCTTATATTATACTCAGTTTAATGTATATTTATTCAGTTAGTTGTAAAAGAGAAGAATTAATAAGAAAAATATTATGCGTTACAGTTATAAAACGATACTTGTTTTATAAGGAAATTTTAATTCTTATACGATATTTTAAATCGAAACGGTGGAAATAATTATCATTAGCAATAACAAAAAAAAAAAAAAAAAAAAAAGTTAAACAACACATCTAAACAAAAAGGCAAAAACTGTCTTGTGAAAATAACGAACAATATAATGCTATGACTTCATCTTTCAATAGCTTTGTTTTGCGTACAAAAGTCCTTAACATTTTATGCTCGGATTTCCTGAGTGTGTGGAGCCTTCATCCTGCTAAGAAGGTCATATAAAACCATGTCAAACTTTTATTATAAACAGTTTAATATAGCATATACGAACAAATGTACATATGTAGACTGTAGACATAAGCAAATGTGGAACAAAAAAAAGTGAATTAATAAGGTATTTACTTGGTAGGAAGAGTAGGAGGGCCACATCTAAAGAAGATGCATTGAGGAACGCAGTTTTTATTCTCTGGTTCGGTTGAGTAGCACAAGTCATTACACTTATTCACACAGTCTAAACGTGGATCAACCAGAGGCACGATGCTTCGGCCTCCTCTTGTGGTTCCAACCAATACAATCATCATCATCATAACCATCACGATCATCTTCATCACTCCCATCTCTCTTTTTTTTCTTAAGGTTTTTTGTACTTTCTTTTGATTTGTAATGAACCTAATGTCGATTACAGTGATTGAATGGCTCTTTATTATAGTCGCAATTCGCAAACGTACCTCACATTCATTGTAATTTGTAACCGAATCGTACATATACAGTATGTTGACCAAATTTATTTTTGTCATTCAGTTTTTTATTTATTTAATAGTATCATTTTGGAATGAAATGTATATTACTTAAATTAAAGGGATGTATTCAGTAGTATTTGGAAGGTTTTTCTTTTTAGTGAGGCTTTAAATAATTTTTGGGTGTATGATTTTTAATTAAACTACTCTAGATTACTATTTAAAACTGAATTTGGATTTTTAATTTTTTAACTAAGACACTCTAAAATCACAGCAGATCTCTTTAAAATTCACTGATTAAACCTCTTTCCCAAAGAAAGGCTCACAGGCTCACAAGTAGAAGAATTTATCCTGACTAAATGAAGATTTGTCCTCTGATATCTTTAAAAATACGAGAATTGATTGTGGTGATTTGATTGATAATCGAATACTGTATTTTCAAAAGAACTCAGATGATGAGAATAAACAACAAAAAATGATCAGTTGAAACAAGTTTTTCATTAGACGGTTGACATGTCCTGTGGAGTTGCTTCTTCAAGTCTTGCACGTACCGTTTCAGCAGCAGACTCTTTATTGATGCTGCAGAAACCAAAACATGTCAAAATATTAGAGCCTGAAGAAGCAAAACTCACAAACGGTTTTCAATACAAATCATAATCAGTTCTTGGTGGAAACACTCACCGAACAAGAAAATCACCAGAACATGCTTTTGTTTCAGAAATCCAATCCGGGACCAACTGCAGCATCGAGCTTAACTGTTCCTCCACTTCCCCTGGAAACACAAACAAGAAAGAGACTTGTGAGAGACTGTGATGGAAGAAGATTCAGGATAATTATCAAACATTTAGGTAATAACTGTCCTACTTCTATCGGTTATATGGATTTGGTTTGCAATCATCTTCTGAAGAAGCTCCTCCTTGGTGATCACCGTCCGCTTTGTTGAGTGAAACAGTTTATGAATCAAATCAACAGCCTTAGGTAAACTCTGCTTCTCAGGTTCAGCCTCTGGTCTATCTTTTATCTGCAAGAAGCAAACACAATAGCATTAGTAAAAAAATTGCAACGTGAAAGCAAATTTTTTTGCAAGTTAAGCATTCACTTACAGACTGCAGAAGACTATCTTCATCAGAAGCATAATCATCATCAACTTCACATTTGATTCCTTTACCAACCGATTCGTTACTGATATCATCATTCAAAGTTCCATCTTCCTCAAAAGCGTCAAAATTCAGACACCTGGTGCGAGATGTACGCCTCTCAAGACCTTTAGTTGATCTAACAGAGCTGTCATCATCAACAACATCTGGAGTCATTGTGATACTTCTTCTAGATGGCTGCAACGTCGGTGTAGCACTCATGAGCCGGATTGGTGTTGATATATCCTTGGACGGAGTAGATAAATCTTTGGAGGGAGTTGATAAAATCTTGACTTTGACTGGGGTTCCAAGTACTCTTGACTCTGTGAGTGATACTAAGCATTCCTCAGTCGAATCTGGGATCACTAGTTTGTCAACTATATCTTGTTCTTGCTCCTTCTCCTCCATATGAACATCAAACTCATCAACCTCAAGTTTAGATGCTCTTAATGTCTCTGGAATCCTATCCTTTTCCAGAGAATTGAACGGTTCAGGAAGCAGTTCTTTGGGAATTTCGTCCTGTATATACAAGAAAAACAATAGAATGAAGAATCTAACCAGATTATAAAAAGCATTTCTCAATAGCTACAACCAAAAATGTACCTTGGGATGGGCTTTGTAAAAATCTACAAGCTTTGTGTGGAACACTTTCCTAAGTTCCATGTATTTACTTCCGCTACTTGTATCGTCAAGCACTATTGCGTCGGTGTTTAAGCTAATGTGAAGACTAGGTTTCATACAACTAGTGACTTCATCACATTTCAAAGCTCTCTTTACTTCAATGGCTTCTGGATAAATATGCTTCATCTGAGCCAAATGAGCATACGAGAATACCCTGTAGAGACACACACACACATTGGCAAAATCAACATCAAACATATACAACCAAACGACAAACCCCACACATAAACCAATCAACAATTGGATTTAATCAGAATCATGAGATGCTTAAGCAAGTCAATAGCTTTTTACCGATTAGTGAGATATTCGATCTTGGTAGATATATTGGCGAATGTAGTCAAAGAGCCCTTTAGTTTGAGCAACCTAATTGCAGTGCCCAGTCCTTTGAAGAATTCCTCCAGAATCTCGAACCTGCGATAATGCCAGAAACCAATTGGAATTGAGAAACCGGAGACCGAATTGAGAGCAGTGTATGAGCGATCAATCGATCAACTGATCTCACCTTTCGGGTAATTTCGCAACAATTTCAGGTTTTTCCGGCGAGGTTAAGATCTGTCTCTTGACGGGTTTGATCTGTGCGTTTGGATCGCGAGAGCCTTGGGGCTTAATCACCGGGAATGAGGAAGAGATTTCGCTGTTACGAGATCTGGCGGGGAGAATCGCCGTCTTGACTGGAGTTTTGGTGGAAAATAGTGACTCTGGGTTTGACGAATCCGACGCCATAGACGGCTTCTTTGAAACGTTTTCGAATGTGCTCATTGTTGAGAGATAGATAGGGAAGTGATGGGTGAGAGATAGAGAGGAAAAGTGGAGTTTGTGGGAGATGGAGAGAGCGTAACGGCTAGTTTATATTAGGGTTTAGGCCATTACGGTGAAGAGGTGCAAGACGAACAAGGTAACAATTTTCCGATGGAGATCAAATATGTGGGCCCAGATTTGCCACGTCACTGATCCGATTTTGAACGTTGGTTCCCGCTAATTTCTTTTGCCATGTATAACCAACTACTGTAGTACTGTATACTGTTTTAAAAAAAAAAAAAAAATTTGGTCCAACTACAAATCATAATGCATAAACATTGAAAATATCTAAAAAAACTAATCTTCGATTAATAGTTTTTTTTTTTTTTTGTTAAGTGCTAGATGCACTTCTACTACCTGACTAAGTGACTAACGACAATGAATTTTTGAACATGTGTGATAACTAAAATGACTTATGAAAATGTATTGTTGTCTTGTTGATCATACGTTATACAGTTTGCATAAGAAATTATATAACTGTCTAGTGTCTACCTACGATATCTTCATGCATTTGATGCTCTGGGTGGATTATAATCATTTTAGTATATAAATGAATGTTTTTTCATTTATGAATTCGAAGGAGAAATTGCGGTTTGTAATATATGATAAAAAAAACTAGCGACGACGAACAACACATAATATGTCACTATCTCTATGACTCTATCACATGCAATCATTTGACGTGATATCAACTTCAAGTCTACAATCCATCACTAGATTCACCACACAATCACGAATACCGAAAAGCGATAGATCATACGTACGTGATCAATCAGCCATGAAAAGTTTCAAACTGGTCAGCTAATTCGCAGTTACAATTACAAATGTACAGTATATTCGTCAGATAATCCATCTCAACTTGATGAAAGATACCGTTACTATGATCGTAAATAGCGATGGAATCGTGGTCGTTTGGATTGGTGCATGTTTGTATTTTTTCGCTATATGGTGACGAATTTTTGTACGCTGATTTGTCGTAGTTGTCAATTGTCATCTTAAGATAGATCCAAAATCACGAGACTATAATAATCCACATATTATTAGTAGACAATTGAGATATTTCTGTGGACATCGAGAGAAAGAATAAATTACTTAGTCTGGATTTATTCTCTTATCATATAAATTCAAGAAATTAATCAGAGAAGATATCCTTTATCTAATATTAATGTTGGACGGAATGAAGAACAATGAATCGAATCATTTTCTATTCTTTTCTGTTTATAGCCAAAATAATATCTTGTGACAATTAAGTGTTGCTCTTATCTCTTACAAATTCTGCACTAATTCAAAAGGGAAGTAACAGCTCATATGTCCGAATATTTTTGTTTCTCCTAAGAATATACTAAAATATTTCTTTAAACGACTTTTTAACTGAGTCTAGAAAACTCAAACAGACAGTAAAAACAATTTTTCTAACCGAAAACAGAACCAGCATTGTCTGCTAAAAGAAGTAAAAAAAGAAAGAAAAAAACAAGGTGGAGGAGAAATAGGAAAGAGTAGATGCGAAAAACAAGAAGTCAAAGAGACACCGACGACGTCGTTGTGAGGGGAATATACCACATAATAGAAAAGAATATGTCAAACCAAAAACAGAAAAAAGGATCACGTATAAGTAGCCGTTCGCGACGATGCCTCTATTTCATTTCACAACCCATTCTTCTTTCTCTCTACACTTTCTTGGAGAAAACAACTAATCTTCTTTTTCTAAGACAATCCCACAGATTTTCTTTGCGGGGATGTAAGTAACAACATACTCTTTCTCGTAATTTTTTTTTGGTTCAAACCTTACTCTTTCTTGTAAAAATTTATCCTTAGTTATATACATGTTATTTAGCAAAGCTATGTACATGCATGCATGTTTCATGAATCTATATATTCTACTTTCTGATTAGCTGTTTGGTCATGAGAAACGTGGTCATGTGATTGCTTTTGGTTCCTTTGTGACCATAATATCTGTGTTTGTCTTGTCACACTGACTGGGTATTGATTTTGGTTAATTCAAGATTTTATCAAACAACAACAAAAAATTGTTCTGACCAAAGTATCAGTTTTTCCCAATGTAGCTAGCATGATAAATTGATAACTAATAACTTGTTTTGAAAAACGAAGATCTGGTATTTGGAACCAACAAATCAGATCTCCTTTTTTTTTTTTACAAAATTGTGATGGTAATATGTCATGGTCTTGAAGCTTATGATTCTCTATTTCAAAATATGTTAGTACCTTTCTTGGATCGATGTATAATAGTATCGCCAATGAAACGGCTTATATTAAATGATACTGAATGTGTTTTCTTAATATTAACGCAGAGTAGAAAAGAAAGAGAACAATGGCAGGAGATCAACTAAACGTGCTAAACGCACTCGACGTCGCCAAAACGCAATGGTACCATTTCACGGCGATTATCATCGCCGGAATGGGATTTTTCACCGACGCTTACGACCTTTTCTGTATCTCCCTCGTCACTAAACTCCTCGGCCGCATCTACTACCACGTGGACGGCGCGGAGAAGCCAGGAACGCTGCCTCCAAACGTCTCAGCCGCGGTTAACGGAGTCGCGTTTTGCGGCACACTCGCGGGACAGCTTTTCTTCGGCTGGCTCGGTGACAAACTCGGGAGGAAAAAAGTTTACGGCATGACCCTCATGGTCATGGTCCTTACCTCCATCGCCTCGGGTCTTTCCTTTGGGAGAGACCCCAAAACGGTAATGACCACGCTTTGTTTCTTCCGGTTCTGGCTAGGTTTCGGCATCGGTGGTGACTATCCACTATCCGCCACGATCATGTCCGAATACGCCAATAAAAAGACACGTGGCGCGTTTATAGCAGCGGTTTTTGCGATGCAAGGGTTCGGAATCTTGACCGGAGGGATTTTCGCGATCATCGTGTCAGCGGCTTTCGATGCTAAGTTTCCGTCTCCGTCCTACAAAGTAGATGCCTTGGCGTCCACGATTCCTCAGGCGGATTACGTGTGGCGGATCATTCTTATGGTCGGTGCTTTGCCTGCAGCGATGACGTATTACTCGAGGTCGAAGATGCCTGAGACCGCCCGGTACACGGCTCTTGTGGCCAAGGACGCGAAGCTAGCGGCTGCCAACATGTCAAAGGTTTTGCAAGTGGAGATCGAAGCAGAGCATCAGAAAGTTGAAGATAAGTCAAATTCCTTTGGCTTGTTCTCCAAGGAATTCATGAAACGTCATGGTCTTCATTTGCTCGGAACTACAAGCACATGGTTTTTACTTGACATCGCCTTCTACAGTCAGAACCTTTTCCAGAAAGATATCTTCAGCGCCATCGGATGGATTCCTCCGGCACAGTCCATGAACGCTATTCAAGAGGTTTTCAAGATTGCACGTGCGCAAACCCTAATCGCCTTGTGCAGTACGGTACCTGGTTACTGGTTCACAGTCGCACTCATCGACGTCATTGGTAGATTTGCGATACAAATGATGGGTTTCTTCTTCATGACGGTGTTTATGTTTGCTCTCGCTATTCCTTACGACCACTGGACTCACAAGGAAAACAGAATCGGGTTCGTGGTTATGTACTCTTTAACATTCTTCTTCGCAAACTTTGGACCCAACGCAACAACTTTCGTGGTGCCAGCTGAGATCTTCCCGGCTAGGTTTAGATCAACCTGCCATGGAATCTCCGCGGCTTCTGGGAAATTAGGAGCGATGGTTGGTGCGTTTGGGTTCTTGTACTTGGCACAAAGTCCTGACCCGACCAAGACAGAACATGGATATGGTCCAGGCATTGGTGTCAAGAACTCGCTCATTGTTTTGGGTGTGGTTAATCTTTTGGGGATGGTGTTTACATTGTTGGTTCCTGAATCTAAAGGGAAGTCTCTCGAGGAAATGTCCGGTGAGAACGAGAACAATGATGAAGCCAGTAGCAGCAACAACAACAACCAAAACAGCTCGGTATCAGCCGCATAGAGAGATTCTAAATAAAGACTTGTGTCATTATTTGTTCTTGTAATCTTTGTTCTCTCTCTCCCTCTCCAGATTTCTTCTCACTAGAAACTCGAGCTGTTCTTTTATGTCCAATTATTATTGATCGTTTAAATGCAATAGGATCTGATTTTTTTTTACATATCTGATTCTTTTATGTTTATTGTAACAAATGAAAATGAATCGAATGGTAAGATTATTCGATGAAACTGTTGTTCGATAAGTAAAAGAACATTAAAAAGAAGGTAAAGAGAAGAAACAAAATCAATCATTATACTCTATACATATATTTTTGAGTAAATGATAAAGAGAATACAATACTAGACACAATACAAATTCACTGGCTGTGAATATCACCAAACAATACACAAAATATTCTTGATATGGGTTTTACGTAAAAGAATCAAATCATGTGGAATAAATCTGAACAGAGAGGCAGCTTCGTGTTCAGAGACCAGCTGAGACTAAACCATGCAATGTCACAATTCCAATCAATGTGTTATCTTCATTAACCACCGGTAGAAACTGAACCGGCGATGGAGGAGACTCCATTTTCTTCATAGCTTCAACCGCCATTGTTTCCGGTCCAATCGTCCTCGGCTTCCTGTTGCACATCTCTCCAACGGTGAGCTTGAAGATTGCTTCTCCACTTGCCTTTAGAGTCCGGCGAAGATCTCCGTCTGTGAATGTACCGATCAAACGATACTGTTCATCAACCAGAAGCAAGCATCCACATCCTTTGCTCGTCAGCTCCACTAATTGATCCATTATCAAATCTCCTTCTTTGCAAACCGGAAGCTCTTCTTTCTTCTTCATCACATCTCTCACCTGCAAAATCAGACTATTAGAGATGATTGAAAGCTAAAATTGAAATTCCAATTGAGCAATTTTCGAGATCAGACCTTGAAGATTAAGCTCTTGCCGATCCTGCCGGCGGGATGATTGGATGCATACTCTTCCTTGGAGAGATTTCTAGCGGCCATGAGCGCGACGGCGATGGTATCACCGAACACCATCTGGATCGCCGTAGATGTCACCGGAGCGAGATTGAACGGGCACAATTCCCTCTGGAGCGGCAAATGCACATTCATATCGCAAACCGCGGCGAGCGGATTCCCGAGAACGGATGTGAGAGAGACGAGGAAGGCGCCTTTAGCCTTAGCGCAGGGGACAAGACGGAGGAGCTCCTCGGTGGCGCCGGATTTGCTGAAGAGGACGAGGACGTCGCGGGACGAGAGAGCGCCAATGTCTCCGTGAAGCGCATCGAGAGGGGATAGAAAAGAGGAGCGGAAGCTGAGGGAGATTAGCGTTTGAGAAACCTTGTTAGCGACGAAGGCGGATTTGCCGACGCCGGTGAAGAAGACGGTTCCGGTGGAATTGAGGAGAATGCGCGAGAAATCCAAGGTTTGCGAGAGGTCGAGGTGTTTGAAAAAGTGATTGAGAAGATCTTGCTGAGATGTGAAGAGGTTTAGGAGATTTTCTCGGGAGATCTCTTGATGATTATGGCTGGATCCGCCATTTTTGAGGGAGTTGTGATCGATCGATGAGAAATCGAGAGATGTCGGTGGCAGAGATCCCATTGCTGATCTCTGAGAGCTTCCTTTGATTGATTGATGGCTTTGAGAGTTTGCCGAGAGATCTTAAAAAAGCAGAGTGTATTAATGGAGACGGAGTGGCAAATTGGTAATTTAATGACTCTTTTCCTGATTTCTTCGTGATTTGAGCGGTGGTAATCATTAAAGGTGTAATTAGCGTGATTTATTAATATAGAAATGTTATAAATACATGAATTAACGAGTTAAAAAAAGACCACTATCTCTTGAAGAGATCTCATTCTCCTACGGTGAATTGAATAATCATAGATAGGATTGGCTTTATATAAACAATTTGATTGTGCTTCGTGACTGTAGTGACAAGCACATGACTGCAGTGACAACTTGTTTGATTGATCATATATCAATATAAAATGTATGAAAAGTTTAAGATGTTGGAATTATATTCAATCTGAGTAACTGAGTTAATATCATATGTGATAATTTGTAATAATCTGATTATATGTGATACAACCGCAAGTTATATTTGAATCCAAGCAAGGTTTGATGAAAGATTGTGATACAAGCTGAGCAAAACTTGCTTAATAAGAGAAAAACATTTGGATATATACTAAGCCATACTAATCCAACGTAGCTCTCTATCAGGAAAATAGCAAAGGGAAGGCTCAAAGTTGCAAAGTAGCACATATGAAACTAGCCGTCGTCTGAGACATTAAAAGTCTAAGCTTTGGTATATTTGATGTATTGATAATTGGTGAAATAACATCTTGCAATTGCAAGTAATTTAAAAGTATTGTTTGACTACGAAAAACATGATTGATGTTAATGAAACTGTTAGATTGTGACTCTCATAGCTACACCGTATCCTGCTAAATTGGTATCGGTTTCGACACAAATGTTGCATCGGCTTTGAGTGAAGATATAAGAGAGAGGTTAGTAATGTATGAACAAATCTGATCTGAAATAAGATATGCTGAAAAAACCAGAAACCTTTTCTCCATAAAAGGAAAATGTTTTTCTTATAAACCCCCAAAAGATGTTTGATTAATCAGTAAAGGATCTATAGATTAAAACCTAAAACAACACATACTAAATAGAATTATAGGTACATGAACAAAGCTTTTGAAACATAAGTGAGGGAGAACTAAGAGAAGTTATTGTGTCATAGTATCACCCTGATCCTAAAACAGCATCTACAAATCTTACTGAATCTTTAATTGGGTTGTCTTTGGTTTGATCAGAAGAGGCAAAAAAAGCAAAAGTCACTGTTGTAAATGTTTCTTGAGAATACCATGTAAACTTGAGGTAGGTTTCCATCTCCATCATCGAGTGAGTTAGCTGGACATCAACGCAGCAAGCTCATCTGCACAAACATCATCAATTCTAGTTACATTATATGAGGTAGATTCGAAGATGCATGAATGGCTTAAGCACACACCTTTTAGGCGCCAATACACAAATCCAAAAAACAAATGTAAGGAGAACAAACAAGAGTAGCTTTCCATACAAACATCAACATGGATTCATATTACAAATTTAATCCAACTAAAGATTTTGTAATGGACGTTAACGAAGCGATCAAGCGAACAAACATACGAAATCACACGAATCCTTATGTTCAGTAGAATCTAATTTTCAATTAAGTTAAATTATTAGTTATGCAAGGCAACAACCATCTAAAACGTGCAACTAAAACAATCACAAGATTGAGCTAAACACTATGGATCATATGACTTAGGGGAGAGCAATGAGAATACCATCCGGAGGTACCGGGTCGGTTTCCGGTCGATCTCGGATCCGTCCGGATCCTCTCATACCCGCCCGATTTGGGCCGTCCCGGCTGTCCATATCCGAAATGTCCCTGTCGCGGCTGTTCCTGGTAAGGCGATCTCTGACTCGGATTCGGATCTCTGACTCGAGAAGAGTCGAGTTCAAGTTTCTCATCTTTCCGAACAAAACCTGGCCTAAGATGCGGCGGCACGAACCGATTCGGATTCGGGTTGGAGGACACAGAAATCGGAGCCGGGGCAAGCACCCCTTGGAACTTGTCGATTTCCTGAGTCCGAGCTGCACATGAAAGCGATGAGCCAGGTCCTGTATGGCCTAAGGGACGAAGAGAGATCTGGTCCGGATCTGGATCAGAGACGGCTTGATCCGGAATCCTCGGAGCTAAGGAGAGCGGAGGAGGCGTCGTGGTGGTGGCGGCAGCGGAGGGAGGTCTCAGAGGCTTGGGGGAAGGTTTAGTGAGAACGAGCATACGGCCATTGGAACGAGCGACGGAGGAATAAGAAGCGGGGGAGGAGGAAGAAGGAGCATCTTTCTGGAGGATGTGGTTGTAGTTGATGGACGTGTATTTGTTGTTGGCTCTTGCCATTCAATTTGCTTTCTGTTTCTTCGTCTTCTTTCTCTACTTGGATATTTTACAGATCAACGAAGAAGACGAAGGAATGAAATGATTGAAAGGTTTTCTGGTTTTCGTTTTCTGTTTCTTTGCCTTTTGCCTCCCTCCGCTGGTTTTTTATTTAACTTTTTAAAATTTTGAGATGACTTTAATGATTACGAAAGAGAGAAAAGGGAGACGCAAGTGATGTCATTCAGATTGGACAAATGACACGTATCCATCAATTTTTTTGTTAATCTGAAAATTTATTGATGTGAAAAAAAAAGTAAAAGACAAGTGGACAATAAGGAAAAGATACAATAATAGAAAATTGGAGAATAAGAGCGAGAGGCCAATTTGAAATATCAATTATGACCAAATTCTTTTGAAATTCAGTCCGATCTTATCCTTAAAAAAGACATTAAGAGTTTAAGATTTAATCTAGACCTCAAGTCTGAAAAGTCAAAACCTTTTGTCTGGGTTAAGTCCAACCAGATTCGTTGCTGTGTCATCCTGATTTGAAGATTTTTGAAAGTCTATGGGACGACAAAATGGTTTTTGATTGACAATCTGATTTCTGTTTCCGAATTAAGGGTAAGAACCACTTGTTATTAGTTCTACATATTTTCCACACATTTCATAACCTGGTGCCAACCAGATTCAACTAACATTTAGAGTTTCTTATATCACACAAAAAAGGTTCTACAGTGTCAGATCTTAGAAGGTCCTATGCCACATCAAATCGCAAATAAAGCATCATACCACTGTGAGATACACTTTAACATTGTGAGAAAGTATTTAAAAGTTAAAACCTAGAAATCAAACATCATTCAGTACTTGATATAATATACAAAGCTGGGGTTTATTGTACTTACCTAAACCCTAAACCCTGGGGAAATGTAGAACCAATCACACTATTCGTCGTACTTCCTAAGGTCAAATGACATAGTACTTGAGCAACTGCAACAAATATATCACCAAGAAGTCAAGATATTAGCCAAATCTTTTAAAGCACCCATGTAAAAAAGATTGTTGTGGAAATCATCACCTCCTCTCGGTGTCTCTGTAAACTCCAACCAGAGCTTCGGCCTTGTCATAGAAGCTGTCCTTGAGAGATATAACAATGCTTTGGAAGCCATTCCCATCCTCTGGATCCTGACTGTCACGTGCGGCTTGGCATGATTTGCTACGAATGAATTTCGCAACTTTTGCAACGTTTAGATTATCAAGCGCAGCATCCACTTCATCAAGTATGAAAAATGGTGAAGGCCTATAGCTGAAAAATGGAAACGAAAACAACACCATGAACCTCACATGGTAACTTACTGTCTTTACACGAGCATAGGCCAAAATCTCAGATCATCACTTTTTTAATGAAACAAATGGTATATCTAGGTCGTCGGGGATACCTATGGATGGAGAAGAGCAACGCCAAGGCTGCAACGGTTTTCTCTCCTCCAGAGAGCTGTTCCATGTCACGAAATCGCTTTGTTGGGGGCATCGTGGTATACTTAATACCATGTAGAAACGGATCATCCTCGTTCTCTAGGTTTAGATAAGCAGTACCACCCAGTGGATGCGTATTACTCTTGGTTAGTTGCTTGTAGATCTTGTCAATGTTGCTAGAAATGTGGTTGAAAGCTTCCATAAATAGCTCATACCTGCACAACCTTTTCTAGTCAGCAGCAAAATCTCTAATGGAAAATATGAATATAGTTTCAAAAACTGAGGTGCATGTGTGTGTGCATTCTGTCCAAACAGTAACTCTATCAGTCCACATAAGTAAAATCTTCAGACTTTTACTTGTCGAGTTTGTGTTCCACCATAAACTCGTTGCTATTTGGTCGCAATATCTTTAAAGCTCTAAAGATCATTTCACAAGAGAAATTTCGAGTTACCTCTTCTGCTTAACAATATTGTATGCATCTGCTACTCGCTTCTCCTCCTTCCTGGCCGCTTCAAACTCTTGGCTAACTTGTTTTTCTTTCTCTTGAATAGCCTCATACTGATCAAGTGCTCTCAGGTTTGGGGCCGTTCTTTCAATCTCTGATGTTTTCGATTCTATTTTTTGCCTAAATTCCGCATCCATCTTGTCACGAGCAGATGCTCTCCGTCCTTGGAGAGCTCTATCCAACTCACTAAAGTCATACTGTGGCCCATCTGAGTCATCTTCCTCCATAGCATCTGCTAAAACAGGAAGGGTAATATGTTCGAGCTCACACTTCTCAGCTATTTCCTGTTTCTGCGAGATCAGCTGCTCAATTTGTGTTTCCTGATAGCAAATGGAAGCTTTAGTGCACCTATACTCAAGACATAAAAATCTTTGGGAAAATATTTGGTGAATCTCCATTGTACCTTCGAATGTATCTGACGATTGAGCTTGGTTATGCTTGTTGTCGCTTGAGAAGCCTGCTTTTTCCAATCCAGGATTTCCTTTTCAACCTCTTCCGATTTTTGTTTGCACTCTGCAAGCAAGAGCATTAGATATTCACACCTCTACGAAAGAAATGCCATAGCAAATATGTGCTAGCCAAATAACAATAATTAGGTAAGGTGATGATCAAGTGTATGTTTAGTGAAACTAATGGTTATACTAGTAAAGGCAAAGGACAACGATAACTGGGTAAGAGAATCTATCATACGGAATCTTCAAGTCAACTATTCGCCAGCCACTAGCAGTTTATCTTAATATGATAGCTTTCTTTTAAGATGTAGTGTAACCATACAAATAACGCACGAGGTTGAGCAGATCATATACATTCCAATTTGTTCAAACCCAAGTCAGAGCAATCTACAAGCCTCAAGGATCATGTAATGAAACAGTCAATTGCTTAAAGGATATAAGAAAATTCCATATTCATATATATTACTTCAGTATCAGGGCTTCAAAATAAGGTCATCATTATTGCCGAAGCAAACTCATATACGGACAATGTATTTTACTGGATAATGTTAATGTCTGCTATGAATTGAATCATCAAACAGTCAACTCATAATGGCACTGAAGATTGGAGAAAAAAAAAGAGCACAGAACCGAAAGGCAATCAGACTTATGTAGAAATAGAATCAAAATACCTCCCATTTTTTTCTTCCAGTTGTTGATTTCATTCGTAGCTGTTTCTGTTAACTCCTTAAGTTCAGACTTCCTCTTCTGTATTTTTTCTAAATCGGTTTCCAAGGAGCTGATAGAAGATTCTAGCTTTTGAATTCGTGACCCCACATCTCGTTTTTGCTCATATTCCAGCCTGAAATTCAATAGAAGATTTCACCAACCAAGAAAAAATGTTTCCTTTTACTTTGATTGTACCTTGAGGTATATTCAATAGACAGCAGTATTTCAACTCAGCCAACAAGTTAGCGTATTGCAGAGTTTGTTGACATTTATGTTTTTAAAGGCTACATATACTGACCATACAAGATAATATAGACTATAGCTCACTGATCACATAATCTCACAGGCCTGTAGAGCCTTATTTTGATGAGGCACGTGAAGATAAAAATGTAACAACAGTATGGATGCACAACAAAATGTATATATTTAACCAGAAATGAAAAGATGATTTCAAACTCGAAGCTATATGTTAGCACAGAAATGGGCAACCGTAGAGACTGAACTGTAAATAAGAAGTTCGAATAAAATCTTATATATAAAGAGCACAAGAGACGTACTGGTATTTTAACTTAGCAAGCTGGTTACTCAGATTCAGCCTGTCTTCCGCCACATTCTGAGCATCCTTGAGCTGCTTTTCTTCATATTCACGTATGTTTGCAACACCAACAGACTGGCTAAAATCCTTATAAATACGGTCCACAATCTCATTGATTCTTTTCTCCAACTTCCTGATTTCTACACTCCTCTTATCAACCTCAGCTTTTGACTACAATACAAGCGACATTCAGTCATATTATTGTCCTCAGGTTAACTTTACCAAACATCAGAAAAAGGATTTTCATTTACCTTGGAGAGTTCAAGATAAACGCGTTTACTTTCTTCATTAATATTACGCCTCTCTTGCTCAAGTTTTGGAAGTTTGTCATCGATGCTTTTCTGTAAAACAAATCCACTAATTAGTATTTCCTGAAGAGTGCACAGTGAAGTAAATTATCACAGCTGCTACTAGTATAAGGAAAGATAAAAGGTGTGCTACTGTATGGCATTCATATCCCAATCACGGTTTGCTTTACAACAGTAAGTACGATATATGAGACCACTAAACTTGGAAAAGGTAAATTGGTTGTTACCTTCTCAATTTCAGCATACTGAATCTTTTTTTCAAGTCCACTGATTTTACCCGATATTTCGGACTCCTTTATCTGCATTTCTCGAATAGACCCAATCTTTTCCAATTCTAGTTCAAACTCTTCTTTCTTTTTCATCAGTCCTGCACAGCCGAAATGTTGACTCTGAGACAATACATTGAAAGCGAAGACACTTTAAACCAGCTGGTGACAAGCCAACCTTCAATTTTCTTATCATCCCATTTATTAGACTTCGCTTCCATTCCACCACTGGTACCACCAGTCATTGTTCCCGCCTTTGTGAGTAATATACCATCAACAGTAACAACTGGAAATAATAGATATCAGGATACGTAGAGATTAAAGCCAACTTTAGTGCAAGCATATGAATAAATGACACGAAAGGAAAACAAGAGCATACCTTTAAATCTCTCTCCAGTCCAGCTGAGAACCTTGGCTTCTTCAAGTTCGTCACAGACAAGAGTATTTCCAACAGCAAAAAGGACCGCCTTCTCCAATTCTGGATCGAACGTGGAGTGGTTAAGGACCAAAAATATTAAATGGAAACCTACTCACATTTACCGTCCTAAATTTGTCCATCCTTGGTTTAATATGTCAAAACAATCCAAAGCTACCAACAACTATGCACACAATGAAGTCAATGGTGAGAAATTATTAATGCAAGCAATTTTGAGTATGCTAAAGTCAAATCATTTCACTTTCGTAAGGATATTGAATAACATCGAACACCGGTTTTGCTGTGCCGCCCAAATTTCTCAATCTTTCAAGTACTGGCTTGACACGTATTGACTGAAGAGGAATAAATGTCATAGGAGGAAGCCTTTGCTCTTTCAAGTACTGCAAATAACAGATAAACTTATTATATCCCATACCTAGTGTAGTGGTAAAAAAAAATTATCATGTTGCTTCGAAGCAAAGTAGAAAAAGCTCCAAAAAGTCAAGTTGAAGAGAAGTAACACAAAATGGGGCTCAGTTTATAATTATATGGAACGAATTTTGCATTGGAGATGATTCCATCATATATGTTACATACCCCTTTATAGCAACTTCCCCTACTTGGCAAATAATATGAATTGTTCATCATTTAAGAGGTGGTCGAGTTTAAAGCATCAATAATTAGTTGGCATAGGCCAGATTGTAGTATTATGGTAAAAAAATATCTTACTCAGCTGCTAGTGAAACTGTAATTGACAGCAGAGAAGAGAGAGAAACTATGAACTTCATAACTTGCATGGGATTAGAATAACGCCACAAGTATAATATGAGTACCTTGATGCAGTCTTTTCCTGTGTTTTCATCATCTACAACTACCGCATCCATAAATCTCCCCATAGCAACAGTAACAGCAAGATTGTACTTTTTTAGATTTGGTCGACAAAGATCAGTCATCCGACCATGAACTCCTTGAAATAGACGCTTGAGAGACTCAACAGCCTGTGTTATCCTGCTATCTCTCTCATTTTCATATCTTTCAGCCGTCAGATCACTTAACTGGTCTTCTACTTCTGCGATTCTAGTCTTCAATTTCTCATAGGCATTCCTGTGCATCGTAAAAGCAGGTTAGAAACTGTCAGATTAAAATAAAAAACCGATCATCAGGAGATGCAGAATGCATTCCGCCTAGCTCAAGAAGGGGTTTATACTCAAAATATGGAAGGGGGAAAAGAATATATTCTTGATAAATGAAATACCAATATCTCTAAAGCCATTTTTCGAAAGATGAAGCAACTGTATAAGAAATCTCTGAAGAGGTCTTTACACAAACTTGCAGCAATGTGTAGTAGTATTTAAAGGATATCATAACATATAAACAATCTAGTGAGCAGAGGGCACATACTAACCTGGCATCTCGATGCTTTTCTTGCAGTGCTCGTAACTGCTTTTTCAGACTAGTTGTTTCATTCTTAAATTCCGAAGAAGAATCTTCACTATCTTTTTGCCTGGATTTCATTCGCTCAATTTGTTCATCAAGATCATTCTTCCTATTTATTAGTTGCTGGTAATTTTCTTCCAGATTTCTCAATGCTTCGAGATCAGCATGCTGTTGGCTATCTAGAACCTCTTTCTCATCTCGTAGCTTAATGGTTTTCATCCCAGCTTCTTCTTTTCTGAGATTGATAAACATGAAGGGAAATCGATAAGAAAAGCAAACAAAGCGGTTCATAAGGATTAAAAAAGGTGGAATATGCACGTAGATGGTGAATCTAGAAGAAGATACATATTACAAAATTCAAAAGGACAGCACCAATAATAGCCTGTAACGATCAAGTATATGTCATTCTGTCAAACCAAAACGCTTAACTATTTGTTTGCTTAGACTATTATTCAAACCAGAGGGAAATACTTAGCTAACTGCGTACCCCAACAATTATTTCCTCAAACTTAAAAGAAGAGAGGCTTTCACAACGTGCAATCCCATCAGAATTCATGTCACCACAAAAACAAGAGCAGGAAGATCAAACAGGAAAAACAGAGAATGCAAGTTGGTACATATCGATAACCTCTAGGCAGTTGGACAATGGTAATGCTTCAGACTAAAAGAGAGGAAGAAAATTCCTTATTTCTTTCAAACTCACATTCGAAAATAATCTTGCAGTTGACTATCAAGCATTGGGAGTTTTCCGCTGCTGTCTTGTCTCTTCTCATTTAATATTTCCATTTGCTTATTCAGCTCCTCAATGCTTTTCTGCATCTGTTCAATTTCTTTGGAGTGCTTCCCTTTTTCTTTTTTCCTCTTGTCCACCTCCTTTCGATTGCTCTCCATTTTTGAATTTATGCGAGCTATCTCCTCCTTTAACCTCAGAAGCTCAGGTTGCTGCCGACAGGAAAGGTACAGAAAGTTACTCAAGTGAGAAAGTTCATGAAATTTCAGAGGATAACAACAAAGAAAAGCAAGAGATTTCAGTAAATGATATGTTTGGGAGGGAAAATAGAATCTGTTAAGCATAGACTTCCAAGGTATACTCACATATCTTCCAATCTTCGAGCTTCTCTCAGCAATCTTCTTTTCACATTGAGCAATTTCCTTCAGATGCTTTGCTTGGTCTACCTTTTTCTTACCAGCTTCATGTTCAAACTTTTCCAGCTTTCCCATGACATCTTTACGATTGTTCTTTTCAGCATCAACATCCTCATTTGCCTTCTCGATATCATTATCAATGTTATATAATTGCCACAAGAAATGTTCTCTCTTCAGAGCTTTCTGCATGGCGTGAAGACAGATTAGCAACAAGGCAGAGAGGATAGCTCACAGACAGAATAAATAAACACTATTCCACAAGAGAACAACAGCAAATTCACATAAATACCAGTTCGTCTTGCAGCTTCAGATGCTTCTCAGCTTCTTCCTTCTGTGCTTTCTTCAGCTTCTTCTCGGCCCCTACCGTTTTCTTCTTCTGATATATAAGAGCTGCTTTTTCTTCAGCGCTGGCCTTCTTTTCTTCTAGCTCTTCATACTCTTTCTTAAGCTCCTCGGACCCAGAAATATGCTCGAGAAGTCCAGTGAGTTCTTTTGAGTTCTTGGAGGCAATGGATTCAACATCACCCTATATTTTGAGTTAAAATGTTTTTAGTCAGAAGCAAGAAGACACGAAATTGAGATCAAACCACCAGAAAATAACTTTAATCAACATCTGGCTTTTCCAATTGAGAATCATTCATAGAAACAAAAACCAACTAAGAATATAGAAAAACGAATCAAATGTCAAAAATCGAGAAGAAGCAAGCACCTGAAACACTAAGAAATTACGAGCCTTAACAAGTATGCCCAGAGATCGCAGCTTTCCATTGTACTCTTCCAAATTCACAACCCTATCATCGACGCGGTACTCACTCCCACCGGCACTGGTAATAGTACGGGTGAAACGGAGCTCCACCCCATCGTCCAGCAGATAGACGAGGCGGACGAAGGCTCTCCGGCCTCGCTGTTCCTTCTCTCGGTCATCGAAGGCGTAGATTAGATCCTTAAGCTGAGAGCCACGAAGTTGACCGGTACGAACTCCGAGGACGAAGCTAATTGCGTCCATTAGGTTGGATTTGCCGGCGCCGTTGGGACCAATTATAGCAGTGAAATCCTTGAAAGGACCTACGACTTGGTGACCTTTGTAAGACTTGAAATTCTCCATCTCGAGTTGCAGGATCTTCCCCGAAGGGATTTGAATCGTAGGCATGATTGGAGGTCTCAGAGGAAGCGGAAGAGGATGAAACTAGCCAATTTAGGGTTTGTGGGAGGTTAGGGATATTCTCGGGGACACAAAAAGGAGAATAAAATGGCGGGAATTAAAAAGTTTTGAGAGGCGAAATCTCAAGGGATTTGAGAATCCATTTTTCCCCTAAATCCGGAAGTCGAAGCCGAGAGGAGATCACAGTGCGGTTTTTTAGTAATTTATCTATGGGGCCTAAAGCGGCGTGGTTTTAAATGGCTCGACCACGACTCTTTTGTTCGCGTCTGTAATCGCGTACCGGTTAGATTATAAAATTCACCAGTGCTCTGGTTTTTTCACTGATTGAGCAGAGTATTGTTCTGTTGTATCTTCAAAAAGTACTGTGAAAACTTTTTTTTTTTTTTTAAATCGACTTTCTAAAAATCTGCTACAATAATTATGGCTGTCTGTTTTGAGCTCCATTTTGTGCCTTTTCAGTCGGCCGGCTTGTTGTGGTTTGTCTCGAGGCTTTCGATCATTTGGTGTAGCTCTTGGAAGATTTGTTACATTTGTAGATAAGACTTTTCCTGTTCATAGTTTCACTGTAGTGTTTAGGAGATATAATTATGTACTAGTCTTCTAATCTTCTTTAAACATTTGCATCGAGTAACTGTTTGTCCCTTGATTGCTGATGCCTCACAAATTTCTAAAAATCAGATTAACAAGACTAAATAACCATGAAATAAATATTGTTTTGTTGATGTCATAGCTTAGTAAAAAATTTACACAAGCCGGCAAAGAAAAAAATGATAACGAAGATTCTAATAAAATGTCCGCCGGAGAGCGGGCCAAGATGGATGCCGACTAAAGTCTATTTGTCACTTCTACTGTATCATGCATGAATCGATCTTACACGAAAGAAGAAGAATAAAAAACCAAGTACAGAAGCTGATTCTCAGTTTGGTAGATAGATATACTTATGAGTTATGACCACAGAAAAACATGTTTAAATTGTAAAAAGCAACCATTTTTAAAATACCATAAATCTAAACGCCACCAATGTACGATTTATCGAAATAAGCATACGCACAGAAACTTTAAAAGAGAAACAGAGAGAGAGGAAGCAAAACGGCGATGGCTTCGACTCCGAAGCTCACCACTACCATTTCATCTTCTCCATCTCTTCAATTCCTCTGCAGAAAACTCCCAATCGCAGTTTCTCACCCACCATCATCGTCTTCCTTTAGCTTTCTCTCGCTCCCTAAAACCCTATCCTCTTTATATTCCCTGCGTCCCCGCGTCGCCTTCGTCTCAAACCACCGGTATTACCACCACTCTCGCCGATTCTCCGTTCGTGCCAGTAACGACAACGGAGCTGACTCAGAGCGCAGCTACGATTTCGATCTCTTCACTATCGGCGCAGGCAGCGGCGGCGTCCGCGCCTCTCGATTCGCCACGAGCTTCGGAGCATCCGCCGCCGTTTGCGAGCTCCCTTTCTCCACCATCTCTTCAGAGACCGCCGGAGGCGTCGGAGGAACGTATGTTGTCTTTCCTCTTCACTTATCTCTATACATACATCTGCTAATACTTGATTTCGGTAGCTATAACCTTAATATGCTAAAACCACACTACAATATCAAATTCGAAGCATTTGCTTGATGATTATCGATTTGATTCCCAGAGGAACCGAGTTTTGTTTGTTCGTGCTTGTGAGAGAACACTATGATCTGGTTGCTCTTTTGTAGAGAAATCTCATTCTAAGCTGTGATAGATCTTAAAGTCAATTATTTTTTGAGTGAACTCATTTTGGTTTATTATTCTACAGATGTGTACTTAGAGGATGTGTTCCAAAGAAGTTGCTCGTGTATGCATCCAAATACTCTCACGAGTTTGAAGACAGTCAAGGATTTGGATGGAAGTATGACTCCGAGCCTTCACATGATTGGAGTACGTTGATTGCTAACAAGAATGCTGAGCTTCAGCGACTGACTGGTATTTATAAGAATATACTGAACAATGCTAATGTCAAGTTGATTGAAGGCCGTGGAAAGGTAAGCTTACATTACACACCTCTACGTTATTCGTCGAAGAATATGGATTTGAGCTTTGATTATGTATGTGCAGGTTATAGACCCACACACTGTTGATGTAGATGGGAAGATCTATACTACGAGGAACATTCTGATTGCAGTTGGTGGACGTCCCTTCGTTCCTGACATTCCAGGAAGAGAGTTTGCCATAGATTCTGATGCCGCACTTGATCTGCCTTCCAAGCCTAAGAGAATTGCAATAGTTGGTGGTGGCTACATAGCCCTGGAGTTTGCTGGCATCTTTAATGGTCTTAACAGTGAAGTCCATGTATTTATAAGGCAAAAGAAGGTGCTGAGGGGATTTGATGAAGACGTGAGTATATTGAGAATGACTTTGGCTGCTTTCGTTTTATCCTTTTGGCTATTTTCTAATTGGAGTTATTGTTGTTGTTCCTAGGTGAGGGATTTTGTTGGAGAGCAGATGTCTTTAAGAGGTATTGAGTTTCACACTGAAGAATCCCCTGAGGCCATCATCAAATCTGGAGATGGCTCGTTGTCTCTGAAGACGACTAAGGGAACTGTTGAGGGATTTTCACATGTTATGTTTGCAACTGGTCGCAAGCCTAACACAAAGGTATAATTTGATTTTTTATCTCTGAAGGATGTTTGCTAAAATGAAAACTGTTAGCAGAGTTTATTGATTTTGTGACTTAGATGTAAGCTATTACAATGATTGTAGAATATGATTGTTTATTGATGTAATGTTGGGTGCTACGACAGAACTTAGGGTTGGAGGATGTTGGCGTGAAATTGGCGAAAAATGGAGCAATAGAGGTATGATCTAGCGTTAACCTATGTTTGTCTCCTGGTACTTCTGTTGTTACATTGTGCAAACTTCTCTTGTTATGCCTGGTTACTTACTGTGTATATGTGCTCCATGTTGCGACTTTGTTTGGTAAGGTTGATGAATATTCACGGACATCTGTTCCATCCATCTGGGCTGTTGGGGATGTCACTGACCGGATCAATTTGACTCCAGTTGCCTTGATGGAAGGAGTTGCGTTGGCTAAAACGTTGTTTCAAAATGAGCCTTCAAAGCCTGATTATAGGTAACGAAAACAATCTTGACCAGTGTTTAACTTTCGATATTTAGACCTTTTTAATTTCTGGTGATCAGTGTGAACTTTCTTTATTTAGTCTTACGTGCTCCATTTAAGATCAATAATGTTTTTATAACTGTAGTCTCTTGTCTCTGATGCCATTTTATCCTTTTCTGTGTTCTCTACTGAACTAGGGCTGTTCCCTGCGCCGTTTTCTCTCAGCCACCTATTGGAACGGTTGGTCTAACTGAAGAGCAGGTATGTAGGATAATTTGTCGAACATTTGGTTTATATCGTGTAAGACACTGCCTAAAAATATTATATGCGTTTTTTGTAGGCCATAGAGCAATTTGGGGACATCGATGTTTACACATCAAACTTTAAGCCACTAAAGGCCACACTCTCAGGACTTCCGGACCGGGTGTTTATGAAACTCATCGTCTGTGCCAACACCAATAAAGTTCTTGGTGTTCACATGTGTGGAGATGATTCACCAGAAATCATTCAGGTTTCACTGTGAAAACAATCAACATGATTCATCTTCTCTGAAAAGTAATCACGGAAATATGATTTTTTTCGTTTTTTTTCTTCCCGAATTTGACAGGGATTTGGGGTTGCAGTAAAAGCTGGCTTAACTAAGGCCGACTTTGATGCTACAGTGGGTGTTCATCCCACAGCAGCTGAGGAGTTTGTCACTATGAGGAGTCCAACCAGGAAAATCCGCAAAGACTCCTCTGAGGTTTGTTTGTGGATAGAGAAAAGAGCTTATCACCATCTAGTTAATTTTTTATTGTTTTGCCACATGGATTAATGACAGTTATTCCCAATTTCATTTTCAGGGGAAGGCAAGTTCTGAGGCTAAAACAGCTGCAGGAGTGTAGAAGAAGGGTGCAAAATTGATTGGAATTACGCCATTGGAGCTCCCTGACAAGGTATTCACCAGTTTCCTCAGTATTCTTCTAAGCTTAGAAAATACATGCAATGCATTAGCTCACACCATCTGCATGTTTGCAGGAGAACATTTTGCTGTCTGTGAAGAAGAAGAAGCTGTTTTTGGTCGAGTTATGTGAGGAAAATGATTTTGGCAATGAGTAAAACTGAAGCTTTCAGTTCTTGTGCCAGGGCTGTATAAGATACAAAGCTTTGCCGTTGAATAAAATTGACAATTTCAACTTTCAAGCATTCTGTGGACCTGTGGATATATGGTTATACACAAAGTCTCATTTCATTATCATTTCGAAAGTATATATACTCATTTCCTTATTTCATATACATATAATTGAGTTAAATATAATAGTTTGAAACAAAAAATTTACATCTTTTGTACAGCAATATTTAAAGTCAATAATCAGAAGTCAAAAGTATATAAACCTAAAACTAAAAATCAGGAATAAAATCTACCCCAAAATGTCTACTAAATCAATATTAATTTTTAATTTAAACAATACCGTTATATTTTTGAATGGCCATGCGATTTCTTACCATGATATCCAAATGTCTAATTATGTTTGAAATAAAAGCAATATAATTATATTTATTAGCTTATTGCGACACGATCAAAGATGATTCTTTGTTTTTTTGGCTTTACTAATTGGTCTTTAGGGAGAATCTTTTTCCTTACAAAATAACACCACTAGTCAACTTAACTATTTTTAACGACCAGTAAGTACACTGGATCCAATCAATCCAACGTCTACAAAAGGACACAAATCACGTGCCCGAATACCAAAACCAAGGACAAATCAGTAATTTACCACCCTAGACCGCGCTCTTCTGCTAGCTGAGCGGCTACGTCTTTTTTTTTAATTTTACAATTTCACATTTCGCATCTGTGCTGTCTTTCGAAATCGATCGCGCGAAACACCATTTTATCTCCCGCCGCTACTTCCCTCCTTATTTTTCCTTTTATTTTTCATCGCTCCCTCCAAATCTCATCTAATTCACTCCAACTCCATCACCATCGCCATTTCCTTCTATCTCTCTCTCTCTCAATCTAACGATGCAGCCTCAGCCGCATATTCCTCCGGCAACCGCCGACGCCGCGATCTCAGCCGCGCTTGAATCTCAGCGCGTCAAGAAGAATCGCGGGAGTTACAATTGTGGTCGATGTGGTCAACCTAAGAAAGGCCACGTCTGCCACTTGCCTCCACTCGATGTTCCCAGCACTCCGATTGCTACGGAGCCGGTGAGCTGCATCCCCGCCGCAGCATCTTCTTCCCGTTCCACTGTCCTATCTATAACGGCGGCGCCGTCGCGCCAGTCTGTCACTCACCTCCGCCGCGCTCTCTCTTTCGATGACCTCGATCCGCCTAATTCTCACGATGAGTCCGATCTAGATGCAGCATCGACGGATCTGGATCTGCAACTGGATACGGATATCGTTCAGCCGGGGAGGTTTCACGCCGTAGCTCTGTGGGAGGTGCTTAAGCGGCTGCCGCCGTCGGGTCTATTGATGGCGGCTAGAGTTTGCAAAGGATGGAGAGAGACGGCGAGGAAGATGTGGAAAGTGGCGGAGGAGCTTCGGATTAGGGTCCCGGAGAGAGCCCAGATTGGATACATTGGATCCTTATTGCAAAAGTGTCCTCGGCTTATTAATCTCTCACTTAAAATCGAGAGGTGATTCTTCTCTCTTAGGATCTATCAGATCTGAGACTGTTATTAATCTCACCGGAATAATTTGAAAATGGGGTTTATTAACTTAGCATGATAAATGATTATGAAGCTCTTAACAATTATCGATTATCGAGTAACAAAAGTATTAATTGTCTTATATGCAGCGATTTGGACGCGACGATCCTGGCCTGCATTGCTTTCTCTTGCCCAAACCTAGAGGTTTTGGAGATTGCAACATCGGGTGCAGCTGTCAATAGAATTTCTGGGTAATACTCTTTGACACTTTATAGTGACAATCGAGTCTGGAACTGAGATTAGGCTTCTTGAGATCTTGATACAATGAATGTAGACTGTTGGTTCTGTTTTCTAGAAATTCAGCTGTATTAAGCAGTCGTTTCGCATATGATCCATTATAGATTTTGTTTCTGATGACATTTATGGTTTTCATAGACTTTAAGTCAGTTGTTTGCTCTTCTTAAGATCTGTCTTTGATTGTGCTATGGTTTATTGTATGAACAGGGATGAGCTGGGTCGCTTTGTATCTAATAAGCGTGGACTTAAAAGCCTAAAGATGGAAGGATGTTCCAACTTGGGAGGATTTGCCCTCTCGTCATCAAGCCTCTCCACTCTCTGGCTTGCGGATCTTCATTCTCTCTCGAAGATGGTAACTGAATCTCCCTTTTTCTTTTCCCTCTTCCAAAGTTTAGGAAGAGAATTTGTGTACCTAATATATTTTGTTATTTTTTTTGTGTGTCCAGATCTTCAACTGCCCAAAGCTTACAGAAATATCACTTGAATTTTCTCGCAACGAAGATGATTCAACTGATCTTGTAACAATGGTTAATGGTCTGGGAAGGACTTGCACTAGACTGCAGAAAATTCACATAGCCTCTCTGAAGCTTTCTCATTCCGTTGTACTCGCTCTTACTGCTGTTAATTTCAGGTTTGACCGGTTCCTCTGTTCCTAGTCTTGGTTTTTGTTTGTAAAACTCCTTAGTCTAAGGATTGATGTCAGTTTCCTTATTTTCCAGGGATTTAATAATGCTCTCGCTAGTTCTTGGAATAAATATCAGCGATGCATCTGTAGCTGCCATTTCCTCGAGTTATACAAACCTTGAACTGCTTGATCTTAGTGGGTATGTTTTGTTCTTGCTCAGTATATCATATCTACATCTCTCGTGTTCATTATGATATTCACATGAAGAGCGTATTTTGAGAAGTGTATTTTCTTTTCTTTTTTTTGTTGGCTTTAGTTCCAGCATTTCTGATACTGGCCTCGGGATGATCTGCGATGTCTTGCCTGATACACTCACAAAATTACTTGTTGCTCTTTGTCCCAACATTACATCAAGTAAATTCTTCATCTTTTAGTTTGTATATCCATTATGTAATTCTTAATATATATATGTGTTTATTCCCTCCCTGGTTTCTCATTTTTTGTGTAACGGAATGTTCTTGCAGGTGGCATTCAATTTGCTACTGCACAGTTGCCCCTTCTTGAGCTGATGGATTGTGGCATGACTGTGTCTGATCCCAATTCAGATAATCCGAGCACTAAAACTCCACAGAAAGCATCAGGCTACAATCAGAAGATGTTTATCAAACATAAACGTCTGAAGAAACTCAGTTTGTGGGGATGCTCCAGTTTGGACGTGAGATTCCTCATCAGTTCTCTCTTAAACAAAGTTCTCCTTTAATCCTTCATCTTCTCATAGTTTCGATCTTTTTTTTTATTTATTATGCAGGCTTTGTTCCTAAACTGTCCAGAGCTCAAGGACTTGAATTTGAACTCATGTAGCAATTTGCAACCAGAGAGTTTGGTGCTCCAGTGTCCAAAGCTGCAAATTGTGTACGCTTCAGGATGTCAAGGCCTATTAACCGGAGCTATCCGAAAACAGGTAATCCCTTGGACAAAGTTACAACTTGTTTACCATTTGCATTTCACTCTGATTCAAATTTTTCTTTCTTTCGCTTCGTAATAAGATAGATTTGGTTTGGTTCGATATAGTTTGTATGTCGATCCCTAGACATGTGTTCTGTTATATCCAACCAATGCTTACAATAATCTGTTGGATAGATTTCCGAGAATTCAGCTATTGGTGAAAATCATATGCCACGGAAACGCTTGGCCGATGCTTCGAAGAGGATTCAGGCTCCAAATTTGTTATACCAAGAGGTAGAATTTTATTTTGTTAGTATTAATGATTTTTTTATGTGAGAAAGAAAGTAAGAAATATATGTAACCGAGAGCTTGTTATTTGCAGGCAAGAGAGGATGATAACTATCCGAGGAAGAGAAGGAAGTTGGATCGTGAAGTGTGTACCATTATACATTAATAATCCTTTCTTGGACTCATCACAGTTTTCTGCTTCTTACCATCTCTACTAAACTGTACTACTGTACATCTGATTGTGTTGGATCACGTCTGTTGTTGTTCTCGCTTGTCAACTTTACTTGTTTAGTAGTTTGAATAAATTGTATAATTAATATTTGTATCGGATTTTCATAATTATTATATAGTTACAGAGATTTTTCTTTGCTTTTCAAGTTTAGGTATACTATTTGCAAGTTTCTTCACATTGAGTTTGTTTATATTATCTGCGGTACACATTGAATATCTTCGCATGGACTTGTCTGTTCCGTTTGCTATAACTGGTCAATTGTTACACTTGAAAGACTTAACAATAGTCGATATTTAAGATTTTAATAAATGAGAGACAAAGTCACCGAGTCAAAATAGCTCCAAATGGGAAGTGACGGCGCTTGGCTGGTAGATTTCACCTACCCAATTTTCTTCTTGCATATCCCAAACGTGGAATCGCTGCGACTGCGTTTATATAATACTCTCTTCTTCAAACCCATTTTTCAGAATCCTCAACTATTTTTTTCCAATGGCGATTTCTTTCAAATCCGGCGTCTGCTTCCTCCAATCCTCTAAACCCCATATCGGATTCCGCCATTCTTCTTCTTCTTCTTCACATCCTGATTCTTCGCTTTCTTTCAAGAGATTGACTCCCATGGCTGCTCTCTCCACCTCTTCTCCTACCCTCGGCCTCGCTGCTACTTTCACCGAGCTCAAAAAACAAGGCAAAGTAAGTGATTCTTCATCCACTTGTGTTTATAAAATTGATCGTTAGTTCTGGTGGGAAATTGGATTTGAAGATCAATCCCTTTTGTATAAATTCATATCAGAGCGGTGCTTGCATACTTGAGTAGCATTGAGCTGATTATGTCGATTCTACTAATACAATAGATTTGCAACAGCTCATTGAGAAATATCGCTAATTGATTCAACCATTTTGTATTGTGTGAAGGTGGCATTTATACCATATATCACAGCTGGTGATCCAGATCTCTCTACGACTGCAGAGGCATTGAAAGTTCTTGACGCTTGTGGCTCTGACATAATCGAATTGGGTGTTCCTTACTCTGACCCTTTAGCTGATGGACCTGTTATTCAGGTTCAAACCCAACAATCAAAATGCAACCTTTCTTATACTATTGCATACAGTTTTCAGTTTTGTTTGATCCTCTTGCTTTTTTCGTCATCTATTCAAATTCAATTAGGCTGCAGCAACAAGGTCTTTGGAGAGGGGAACAAACCTTGATAGCATCCTTGACATGTTAGATAAGGTGAGTTTTTAGGTTTTGATAAAAGGATCATGTTTTTGTGTCCCCTGTATATATGTGTAGTCTTATTGTTGGATTTTTGGTGCAGGTTGTTCCGCAGTTATCTTGTCCAGTGTCGCTGTTCACGTATTACAACCCGATTCTTAAACGTGGGTTGGGGAAGTTCATGGCCAGCATCAGAGATGTTGGTGTACAGGGACTTGTGGTTCCTGATGTTCCTCTTGAGGAAACTGAGATGCTGAGAAAAGAAGCCCTCAACAACAGCATTGAACTGGTAAGTTTATAGTATATGCTTTGAAGAATGTATATTTTGAATGTCAACATTCTTAGTCTTGTCAATAGCAGCATATCACAACGAATCACTGAAAATTCATTCCTTTCTATAGATCTTCTACATTCAGTCTTGTTTATTTCCTTCTGTTCCTCTGATTGGTTTTTCTTAGCTTAGCTTCTTATTAATTAGTCTGTGTGAAGGTTCTAGTTGAGAGAAATAGTAGAAGCATTGTCCTTTATGTTCGGCTTATATTGGTCCATGTTTGTAATCAAGGTTCTGCTCACGACACCAACCACACCAACAGAGCGAATGAAGCTAATTGTTGAAGCATCAGAAGGGTTCATTTACCTTGTAAGATCCCTCTCCGTGCATCTTTCTCTCTTCAGATGTTCAAATGTGTTTTTTTTTTTTTTGTTTTGTTTGCTTTGTTCTGTATTTGACAATGTATTGGGTTTGACAGGTGAGCTCAATCGGAGTGACTGGTGCACGAGCATCTGTTAGCGGAAAGGTTCAGTCGCTCTTGAAGGATATCAAAGAGGTCTAACAACTGTCTGTTATTGTCTCTTCATTATATTGAAATGATGTAAAAAATTCTCAAATTGTTTGGCCATTTGTAAAACAACGCAGGCAACAGACAAGCCAGTGGCGGTTGGTTTTGGAATATCAAAGCCTGAGCATGTGAAACAGGTCCTAAAACCTTTCAAAAGCTTCCTAACTAAGGCCTTTCTTATGTTGTCTTCTTCACGTTGCTCCTTTGATGAGTGAATTTCTTGGTGTTGAACAGATAGCTGGATGGGGAGCTGATGGAGTGATCGTAGGGAGTGCAATGGTGAAGCTTTTGGGAGATGCGAAATCGCCAACGGAAGGGCTTAAGGAGCTTGAGAGTCTCACCAAGTCTCTCAAATCTGCTCTTCTTTGAAAAAAGACGAGATTGTTTGAAGACATCATCGTAGATTGTTTTTTGCTTTTGTTAATTACAGTCAAATGTGTGACAATGACTTTGCCAAACTTCTGATACATTTGAAGTTATGATCAAGTTAGTGTGGCTCAAGCCACAAACAATCAATAAGTCAATATGATTGAAGTTTAATGAAGTTACAGTAGATCAAAAGCTACGTACCATCCCTAAGAATTTTCTTATTGCAAAATTGATTTGAATTTATGGCGTCATTCAGATGCAGATTGCTTTTTTTTATTAGTTATAATGATTTTAGTTCCTTCTCGTCAAATAATAACTTATGCTTTTATTAGGTAACAAAAATCTGTCAAAAACCAGTTTTTTTTTTTCGATTTGATTTTAAAAGCATCTCGAGTCTACATCGAAGGTCCCATACAAATATTTGAATGAGTGAGAAAATAAAGTTTGACAAAAAAAAAATATTTCTTTAAGGTTTCGCTTTCCTAAATTCAAAATACATATCACAAATATTGCATCCCGCGATAGACAACTAAAAATCTTCCATCTCACCGTCGGTTATCTGGAAAATCACAGAGATGAGAGGCGGAGCCACGGGAAAGAGAAGAGCCACGGAGAATTTCGGCGGAGCGCCGCCGCCACCACCACCATCTGTAGAGCATCAGCGTCAGTTTAACTCAAGAGACTCCGACGCCAGTTTCGCCAGCAGCCGTCCTTCATCGATCGGTTTAGGCCGAGCCTCCGATGCATACGCCGACAGATCTCACCAGTCCACGACTATCCGATCCATCAACACCTTCCTCTCCTCTCACAACTTCCCGATCTCACTTCGCGCTCACCCCGTTCCTTCCGTCAAGGATATCTCCGAAACCCTAAAATTCCTTCTCTCCGCCGTCGATTTCCACTGCGATACGCTCAAATGGGACGAGGATGTCGTCTTCGTCCTCAAATTCCTCAATTGTCCATTCAAGCTTACTAAATCTAGTCTCCGAGCTCCCAATACCCCTCACAACTGGCCCAATGTTCTCGCCGTTGTTCACTGGTTGGTCCAGACCGCTCGTTACCGCCAGCATTTATCATCCAATCCCGCCTCCATCCCCGATGCTAACTCCATGAGCTCCTTCTCGATCCAAAGCTACCGCCACTTCATTCGCGGCGAGGATGAATTGGGTAAACTTCTAGATTCCGATTTCGAGGGTAAATTGGAAGCGGAGAAGGCTAACGTCGCGGAAACGACTAACGGTTATCAAAACATTGCCGGCGAATTGGAGGCTAAGCTTGAGGCACTAAGGAAAGGTCCGTCGAAGAAAGAGTCTCTGGAGAATGTTAAAGCCAATCTGGAGAAAGACGTGAACAAGCTGCGAACAATGGTTGTGGGATACACTGATAAGACTCGAGGGATGGAGAGAGTTGTGAAGGAGAAGGAAAAGGAGCTAATAGCTAAGGAAGAAGAGAGACATCAAATCTCTGAAGAGAATAAGGATCTGAAGAAGAACGTGGAGGTTCAGAGTTTCAATGTGAGAGATGTGGAGAGGATGAAAAGAGAGTTGCAAGCTGTGGAAAGAGATGTTGCAGAGGCTGAGAGTGCTAGAGACGGTTGGGAGCAGAAAGCTTGGGAGCTCAATTCTCAGATCAGGAATCAGTTTCATCAGATTCAAACACTTGCCATTGAATATAACCAAGCTCTCAGGAGATTGAAGCTGGATATTCAGTTTGCTGTGAGCGAGAAAGGAGAAGTGGGAAAGGTTTTGGGTTTGGACTACAAATCAGAGGTAAAGCCAGCTCTTTCTTCGCTGTATGATGCGATGGAGAAGGTGGAGACACAGACGGCGATTCAACAACAGGCGTCTGAGATGGCTTCGAAGATGGAAGCGGAAAAGAGTCATCTTGGTTCAGTTCAGCTTCAGATCAATGAACTCGAAGAAAGGATTAGGCTTGTGAGGAAGGAAGGTCAGGCAGGAGTTGGCTACACAATGCGACTCGGAGGCGAAAGCAATGTTGGAGAGTATGAAAACGGAGGCTACGAATCTGGAGGTTGTGGAGAAAGAAGCTGCAGAGCTTTTGAAAGGTTCGGAGTTTAGGTTGCAAGAAGCGGTGAAGCAGAGTGAAGAAGAGGTCCAAGCTTGTGTGGCGAAGCTCTTTGCACTTGTTGATTCGATATCGAAGCATAAAGAGTATATGGACTCGAAGATCTCGGAGATGAAAAATGGTGTTGCTAATACTGCCACTGCTGTTTCAGAGATACACAAAGCCAGCCTCAAGAGGCACTTTGGTAGTACCTAGGGGATTGGATTTGCATATTGACTGAGCTAAAGCGTGAGTGATTTCGTAATCTTATGGTGAAAAATCGTTGTTGCTTTTGTTCAAATCAGTCGTATTAGTAATTTTACATGGTAATGTAGTGTTAATGACTTTTGTCACAATATGTTCTTAAGCATATGTATTTCATTCAACTTCCTTTGAAAGAATGTTTTTGAAAACCATGGACTTCATCAATCTCAGAACCATTACGTCTGTCAAAGACGTTAAATAAAACGGTGTGTTTTAAAAAGTAAAGCATTGTTCATATGAAGCATCCTAAATAGTACAGTATATTTGATCGAAAGATATGGTTGTTAGAACCGTGATATCTGTGTAGCCAGAATCATACTTTTTCAAACACATTCATCTTCGTCTTCTCTCTCTTTCTCTCTTTTTCTAATCCAATTTTAAAAAATTTCAATAGATTTTTGTCTCGTTGAGTCGGGTTTTTTTTTCTGAAGGAAACGGATCTCGGGTCACGGATTATGAAAGGCAATCACACTGGTTTGGTGGTTAAACGCGATTAGCTAGACTTGAGCAGAGAACAAAAGTTCGGGGGGTTACGTGCGTAGATTCCTAAGTTTGGGGGCATTTTTCAAGAGTTTGAGAGTTCAGGGGGAAGCAGGCAATCTATGATCTATCTTTCAATGGGAAAGGCCCGTGAAGATACAGATGGGCTTGAGATCTCTTAATATCCACCTTAGTGGGCTAGCAACCATAACGATTTCGTCTTAGTGGGCTTGCAAAGTCAGTTGGGGATCGGAAAGACTACGTCGAATCTGGAAATTTTTTGCTCAACAAACGTATAATTAAGAGGTTCTCTTGGAGAAATTAATGCTTGTCACCTACACACACAACTACAATTTAACATATCGTATTTTTTTATACATATTTTTCAATGGATGAAACTCACAACACGCATCTTTCATGGCCTTCTTTCTGGCCTCTATAATATGCAACCATCGAGCATGTGAGCTCCATGCGAAAAACAAGATATGATCAAAGAAATTGGGAATGTGAAAGGAGTGATAAAAGAGCCAAATAAAAGGTTGTTGGTGAGTGTGAATGTTCTTGGAAGCGTTGGTCCTATAAGCTTTTTGGCTAATGAAGACGATAGAGTTTCAAGTGTTATTAACACAGCTTTGAAAGCTTATGCTCGTGAAGGCAGGATCCCGGTTCTAGGGTTCGATGTTGATAACCTCATTTGCTACTCCGTCAATGCCGGATTCAACAGTATTTTCCTTTCTCCTCCCTTTAACAGTCTTTTTTTTTTTAATTTTTCCCTTGAAAAAAACTCTTTACTGGTTATAAAATAGAAAAATCAAGTGAATTGTTTTAACGTTGTATGCTGAAACCTGTGTTCTAAAGGCTACGCAACCAATCGGCGTTACTACACATGGCTATTTTACACTACTCTTAAAAAAAGATGAAAAGAAAATATGTTACTTGGCAAAGCCCTTTTCGTAAACGACAGTGATTAGGATTGTGTGTGTTATCCTACGAGCACCCGTATCCGAGAGGGTTAGTCGGTACTTAACAGTATAACTTTTAACATTTGTGCCCAAGATATATCTTAATTGGGCTTGGTCAAGCACACTATGGGAGGGTTGACAATCTAAGTTGTCGAGAAGAGGTCCACTCACTTATTTATCGCACAATGACTCATTTACTTCTCTTGCATTCTTCCGCTGTGGGACAAATCATTTTCAGTTTTGTTTTATTTGCCTATTTTTTTATTATTCTGTCGGACCCATACATCATTGTTCCGAAAACATAATCGGATGAATTATCATAAATAAATTATTTCAAAAATATAATATTTGCGAAATTTTTTTTTATGAACAAAGTGTTAGAACTATATAAGTATAACGTTCTTATGGAGACTATTGGTTTCATTTTTATGTATAGCAATTTTCTTTGTTTTAGTTATGAATCCACAAGAGATGATAGGTTCAGTGGCTGTAACGAAGATCTTGCTGTGCAAAAAAGAGCCAGAGCCAGAGGAAGAAGTCGAAGTCGAAGAAAGAAGAAAGGGTAAAGCTCGGGCAGTTCGTGGATGGAAAAGTCGTCTTCTTCGGTCCTTGTTCTACTGGAAAACTCGCAGATAATCTTAATCAAGGGGGAAAAATAAAAAACAATGTACTAACCTAGTTTGACAAACACCAGCACAAAACTTTTTATGTTAATCCTAATCCTAAAAGTCGGCAACAAATGTTCAACATTCTTCTCTTTGGGCAAAACCCTTTTCCTACGTCCATTATAGTTTATTTTCCTTTCAATTACCGTACCACCATCTTTATAAAGAAAAACAGGAAAGTAACAACTAATCTATGTTAATTTCTGGGGGATGTTTTACTCTTATAAAGATGTAAAAATATAATAAGAACCTATCATGTGTACCCAAATTGCTATCCATTATTTTGCTAGAGTTCTTTTTCATATTTGCTTCTTTAGTGTGTTGTTACGATTTTCATTTTTAAGATATGATCATCCTCTTTATAAAACGTTGAAGGAACCTACGAGTTCATTCAGCTGGACCATCATTAATTATTGTTGTATGAAATCAGTGTTGCCTTACTCTTTTGTTGATAATCATCCCATATAAAAGCAAAGAATACACCAGAACATTTCATGTGTAGACAGAATCCACCAACATTTTGAGTAATTATCTTCTTACACTCGTACCCAAATTTGATAATAACTGTGGCAAATCTAACAGCACTCTCCGAGAGATTCACCCAATAAACTGTAGTCCTACCCTTAAGGCATCCACATCAGCTGCTTTTTGAATATCTCACTAAAGCTGCCACGTCAGCCTACTCTTTCTCCAATCCTACGTTTCACCGAAACTGCCACATATCATCAATCTGAAGACTTCTATCGACGCACAATCTAGCCAATCTAGGGTTTTTTCCTCACTTCTCTTCCCCATGTTGTTGATGTTCAAGTATTTGAAGCCCTCAAGGAAGAAGAAGATTGAGGTAAAGTTATAGCTCAATTATAACTAGACTCGCATTGAGTGTTAAACGAGTTTAGCCGGCCTTAAACGAGAGTTGTTCTTGAGGGAGCTAACCGAGCAGCAAAACAAGTAAAGAAATACATGTGACAAATTTTCAGAATGGTCGAATTACTAGCAAAAAACGATAACTTAATTTGTAAATCTCAGATTTAAGAGTGTTAGAGTTTCGACAACTCCCACACCAAAAAAAAAAAAAAAAAAAAAAGAAAAAAGAAAGGAAAAAAACAACTACTCCGTGCGCTTCATTTGGTCGCTCGAGTCACATCTACAGGACCGTACATTAGACCACACAAAGCCAATGGAACGAACTGAAAAACACAAAACGTTGCCCAAACGAAGAGCCAGAGTTTGCCGTTCCCGCCCAATATTTCCACCCATAACTTACCGTGTAAACCGCAAACAATACCGAGGAAGATAACATTAAAGGTCACTCGCATTGTCTGCTTTGTATCTGGTAAAGCAGAGACTATCAAGTACTTGACGACGATAATCATGAAGACAGCGAAAGAGATCTGCACCCGAAATAGATTCCGGCAAATCAAGATGTTGATAAACTTATCGTAGTATATCAGTGAACCTTGTTGTGGAAGCCACCAAGACCAACTTTCTTCATCGAAATTCTTGCATATTGAGGGAGATTCCATGAAGCCGTCTCGTGAGAAGACGTAAGCCATAATGTTGAAGGCACTTATGACGAGCCAGCTCACGATTCTTCTGACCGTATCTTCTAATTCGGCTTCGAATTTCTCGGCCTCGAATGCAAGATCAGCAACATTTGTATTCTTTTCCTCAATAACCTGAAGAACAAGAAAACCACAAAAAGACTTAGGTCAAACTAGTCAGTGATTTCTTTCTCAAGAAGCACGCTTTTTAGCACACAAGAAACCCTAAATATCAAGCGCGGGCTACTACAATTTAACGAAAGTGAAACAACCGGCCGTAACAGAAAACGATTGATTCCGTATCAAAAAAGAGCCATGTGAGAGCGTGAGATAAATTTTGGGAATTGATCGAACCAGATTGGCACGGCTGATGTTTTCTAAACCCGATGGCTCCATCTCTTTCTTCGTCGTCTCAGACTGGCCCGGCTGTTGATTTGCCCTTGTATTCGCCGGATCGGTAACTGGATTCTGAAGTTCCGGCGAAGGAGAGAGGAGGAGGCCGTCGTCCACAGCTTCTACTGTTACCGCCTTCATTTGATTAACTTTATGCCTTATGGACTCTATGTTGGTAACTATTTATATAAGTTTTGGGGTCTATCCCTCTGTCCCTAGGTCATTCTAGATATATATTAAATAAATTTTCATCTCTATCTTGTGTCACGTCATGTTTATCCGACCTTAACATAAAAAGTTTTGTGCTGGTGTTTTTGTCAAACTAGGTTAGTTAGTATAGTTTGTGTGTTGCCTTTTTTTTTCTCCCTTTATATATATGTTTGTTATATGATTTAGTTCTTCGGTTTAGCTATCTCTCAGATGTTTTTTTTCCTTTTGACCACATTTTATTTCTTTACATATCTATCCTTTCAAAAGTTTTAAGAATATGAGTTTATTTATTTATTATTATTTGCATTAGCACGAAGTCCACAATTCCCTCGTAGCCGGGACCAGAGCATTGGAATGGAATGCTCTGGTCCCTCTTATATTTACACATATAAACAATTAACCAAAATGGAATCACAAATTCATTGGAATGACCAAAACAGGTGTAAAAGTTTTAAATTTTAACTATAAAAGTACTACTACTAACTAAATTAATTAAATGTATTTGATGTAAACAAAATAGAACTATATTGTAAAGAAAAACGTGGTTGCATAGCTAAACATGGAGGTTTGAGAAACAATTGTCTTTTCAGTATATAAAAACGAACAATCGCAACTTTTCATCGGTCAAATTTTACATATTAATTTACCAAAAACCATAAAACTATTTTTGTGACATGACAATCAATAACAAAACTCTCTTGTCAGCGCATTTTCTATGAGTTTACCATTGAAATACTCAACCTCAAGGATCCGCCCTTCAATACCCTTTCTATGTTGGCTTTTCTACGAGATTAAAGCTTGAAAGAGAAAGAGATGGTGTACTTTTTGTAAAGAGAAAGAATGGGAAACAGCAAATAATATATCACATATAATGCTTCCAAAAAGATTCATAAAAAGAAAAGATTGGAACCTTTGTGAAAAACAAACATCTATATATAATAGCAAACTCACTTTTTTGTGTCTGCTGACATCATCATTTTTTGTAGGAAAAAAAAAATCTGATCCAACGGTTGAGTTTGTCTTGACTATTTAATCTAATGGATGTGATTCATTTTGTTAAACGGATCTCACGTCATCAATCAATATGTTAAAAGAAACGGCGTCTCTTTTGCTTGCTTCCCTGAATCAACGCTTCTAGAAAGCCTGCAAATAGTAGCGTCTTTTAATCAAACAGTCGCCTTTTTTCATCACCGTCTTTTCAATATACCAGATTAAACAACTTCAAACAACAAGCATTTCAAAAAGAAGTTTTAGAAGAGATACATCACCTTAGATTTAAACACAAAAGGTTAGGGTTTTGGCTATTGACTAAAACAGAGGAGACGGCATGGACGAAAAAATGAGAAAAATTAAGTGCATTCTCTTACGATTTCTTTTTTTTTTCTGTTTGTGAAATCATTTCAAACAGCGACACATGATTTGATTACGGTTTTTCACTTCCTATTCCTTTTTCTGATTCCAAACTTTCGCTTTGGTTTTATGATTTATCTAGCTAATCCCTAGGTGATCTTATAACTAACTTGTCTCTTATGTTTGAGTGTATCCAGAAGAAACCATCGTCGTCGATATTCAAGAATCAGTCTAAAAACTTAAGGTTTGTTGGATTTAATCCGCGCTTCAAGCCTTCCAGAGTAGTTCTCTCGTTGAAGTTCCTCAGCCTCATGACTGGAATAGTAGCAAGCTCTGGAAATGATATGTGGAAGCTCCACTAGAGCAAAGTGATAACTTAGGTACGTACAGTACACCGTCCGGTAAGTCTACACCGTCCGTCCAGAGTTATTTTTTTATAATTTTCTTGTTCACCCTATAAAGTGAGTTGTTTTTAGTTTTAGTTTTAGAAATAGGAAAAAAAAACTCATTGCATAAATGTTTTAGATGTACATCATGGAAGTCAAAAAGTAAACGACAACAACAAAAAGCTGGTTTACAAAATCTGAGACAAAATTATTAAAAAGTCTGAGTAATAATATAAGCAAAAAAAACGAAAAAGTATGAATTAATATTCCCACACATATGAGTATTACATTATTCACTTCTTCTCTTTTGCTTCTCTTTTATCTTTCTATGATGCTTTAGTAGTAGTACGGTGCAGTCTAATGCTGTTGTTATTGGTTTGTTCTTTTGTGTTATTTTGTCAGTGTGGATAAAAATGTTAGATTTTTTTCTCCAAAAAAGAAAGATAAAATGTTAGGTTGATTAATGATTAACGTTAGTTTCTTCTTAATCCATGCATGCAGAGAATTGGTGAACTGAAAAGTGTTTTGAAGATTAAAAACAAACCCGTGGAGATAAAGCGTCCTGAGTATGAGAAGTTCTTTGGACAGAATTTCTTCCGAATCGTCAGCCTAAGTACGGCATCAATTTCAACTAAAGTTATCTTTGAAGTCACTTCAAGATAGATAGTTCTACGAGATGAACTTTTGTATTGTAAGGGTTTCCAAAGAATTGTAACTTGTTGTAATGATATAATCACTATAAAATAGTAAAAAGAGCTTGTTGTCATATATATTTTACTTTATCGGTTCCGGTTCACAATTAGAAAGCCATTTGTGTAGGAAACAAAGTATCTTAGGCAAAACCAGTCGTAAATAGAGATCAACAACTCGCTTGACGTTTTGTGATGGGAGTGGGGCTAATATTAATGCTCTGGTCCCGGCTACGAGGGAATTGTGGACTTCGTGCTAATGCAAATAATAATAAATAAATAAACTCATATTCTTAAAACTTTTGAAAGGATAGATATGTAAAGAAATAAAATGTGGTCGGGTTATGATAGTAAACAAATTTGGGCATTATATCAAATGAATTATAAAATGTTAAAATATAATTACGCCGTCTTTGTAAAAGGAAAAAAAACATCTGAGAGATAGCTAAACCGAAGAACTAAATCATATAACAAACATATATATAAAGGGAGAAAAAAAAAGGCAACACACAAACTATACTAACTAACCTAGTTTGACAAAAACACCAGCACAAAACTTTTTATGTTAAGGTCGGATAAACATGACGTGACACAAGATAGAGATGAAAATTTATTTAATATATATCTAGAATGACCTAGGGACAGAGGGATAGACCCCAAAACTTATATAAATAGTTACCAACATAGAGTCCATAAGGCATAAAGTTAATCAAATGAAGGCGGTAACAGTAGAAGCTGTGGACGACGGCCTCCTCCTCTCTCCTTCGCCGGAACTTCAGAATCCAGTTACCGATCCGGCGAATACAAGGGCAAATCAACAGCCGGGCCAGTCTGAGACGACGAAGAAAGAGATGGAGCCATCGGGTTTAGAAAACATCAGCCGTGCCAATCTGGTTCGATCAATTCCCAAAATTTATCTCACGCTCTCACATGGCTCTTTTTTGATACGGAATCAATCGTTTTCTGTTACGGCCGGTTGTTTCACTTTCGTTAAATTGTAGTAGCCCGCGCTTGATATTTAGGGTTTCTTGTGTGCTAAAAAGCGTGCTTCTTGAGAAAGAAATCACTGACTAGTTTGACCTAAGTCTTTTTGTGGTTTTCTTGTTCTTCAGGTTATTGAGGAAAAGAATACAAATGTTGCTGATCTTGCATTCGAGGCCGAGAAATTCGAAGCCGAATTAGAAGATACGGTCAGAAGAATCGTGAGCTGGCTCGTCATAAGTGCCTTCAACATTATGGCTTACGTCTTCTCACGAGACGGCTTCATGGAATCTCCCTCAATATGCAAGAATTTCGATGAAGAAAGTTGGTCTTGGTGGCTTCCACAACAAGGTTCACTGATATACTACGATAAGTTTATCAACATCTTGATTTGCCGGAATCTATTTCGGGTGCAGATCTCTTTCGCTGTCTTCATGATTATCGTCGTCAAGTACTTGATAGTCTCTGCTTTACCAGATACAAAGCAGACAATGCGAGTGACCTTTAATGTTATCTTCCTCGGTATTGTTTGCGGTTTACACGGTAAGTTATGGGTGGAAATATTGGGCGGGAACGGCAAACTCTGGCTCTTCGTTTGGGCAACGTTTTGTGTTTTTCAGTTCGTTCCATTGGCTTTGTGTGGTCTAATGTACGGTCCTGTAGATGTGACTCGAGCGACCAAATGAAGCGCACGGAGTAGTTGTTTTTTTCCTTTCTTTTTTCTTTTTTTTTTTTTTTTTTTTTTGGTGTGGGAGTTGTCGAAACTCTAACACTCTTAAATCTGAGATTTACAAATTAAGTTATCGTTTTTTGCTAGTAATTCGACCATTCTGAAAATTTGTCACATGTATTTCTTTACTTGTTTTGCTGCTCGGTTAGCTCCCTCAAGAACAACTCTCGTTTAAGGCCGGCTAAACTCGTTTAACACTCAATGCGAGTCTAGTTATAATTGAGCTATAACTTTACCTCAATCTTCTTCTTCCTTGAGGGCTTCAAATACTTGAACATCAACAACATGGGGAAGAGAAGTGAGGAAAAAACCCTAGATTGGCTAGATTGTGCGTCGATAGAAGTCTTCAGATTGATGATATGTGGCAGTTTCGGTGAAACGTAGGATTGGAGAAAGAGTAGGCTGACGTGGCAGCTTTAGTGAGATATTCAAAAAGCAGCTGATGTGGATGCCTTAAGGGTAGGACTACAGTTTATTGGGTGAATCTCTCGGAGAGTGCTGTTAGATTTGCCACAGTTATTATCAAATTTGGGTACGAGTGTAAGAAGATAATTACTCAAAATGTTGGTGGATTCTGTCTACACATGAAATGTTCTGGTGTATTCTTTGCTTTTATATGGGATGATTATCAACAAAAGAGTAAGGCAACACTGATTTCATACAACAATAATTAATGATGGTCCAGCTGAATGAACTCGTAGGTTCCTTCAACGTTTTATAAAGAGGATGATCATATCTTAAAAATGAAAATCGTAACAACACACTAAAGAAGCAAATATGAAAAAGAACTCTAGCAAAATAATGGATAGCAATTTGGGTACACATGATAGGTTCTTATTATATTTTTACATCTTTATAAGAGTAAAACATCCCCCAGAAATTAACATAGATTAGTTGTTACTTTCCTGTTTTTCTTTATAAAGATGGTGGTACGGTAATTGAAAGGAAAATAAACTATAATGGACGTAGGAAAAGGGTTTTGCCCAAAGAGAAGAATGTTGAACATTTGTTGCCGACTTTTAGGATTAGGATTAACATAAAAAGTTTTGTGCTGGTGTTTGTCAAACTAGGTTAGTACATTGTTTTTTATTTTTCCCCCTTGATTAAGATTATCTGCGAGTTTTCCAGTAGAACAAGGACCGAAGAAGACGACTTTTCCATCCACGAATTGCCCGAGCTTTACCCTTTCTTCTTTCTTCGACTTCGACTTCTTCCTCTGGCTCTGGCTCTTTTTTGCACAGCAAGATCTTCGTTACAGCCACTGAACCTATCATCTCTTGTGGATTCATAACTAAAACAAAGAAAATTGCTATACCTCGGTCCTTGTTCTCTGCTCAAGTCTAGCTAATCGTTTTTAACCACCAAACCAGTGTGATTGCCTTTCTTGATTGGGGTAAGCTTCTTCTAATCCGTGGCACATTAGCTCGCAACTAAGTTATAATATGACACATGTCCTTATTGAAAGAATGACGCTAAATATTTGGTCTACTTCATATTTGTTTGGGTATAATTAGGACTGTGTTGATGACTACCAAATCAACGTACCATCTAAAGCGTTTCAAGCTCTGGGATGTAAAGTGGACGCAGTGTCACCAAACAAGAAGAAAGGTGACAAATGCGCTACTATCGTTCACGACCTCGAGGACGGCCGGCAACTTCCTACCGAGAAGTCCGGCCACAACTGCTACGTGACCGTTGCGTGGGATGATGTCTCTGTGGATGATTACGATTGCATTGTGGTTCCCGGAGGAAGATCGCCGGAGTTCTTGGTGATGAATGACAAGGCGGTCGGATTAGTCAAGAAGTTTGTTGAGAAAGGCAAGTTTGTTGCTGCCATTGGAATGGGAAATTGGCTACCGGCTGCGACCGGGGCTCTCAAGGTATGATAATTTCATAAACACCGTAAAATGATATTAGTCGTTAGATGGTACAAGGTCCTTTATTAATTGTACCAAATATTCCAGTATCGCCAATTCTATTTTGGTCGCATTTCCATTAATACGTATACAATTTTTTTCAGAAGAAGAGATATGCAAGTGGTTATGGGACAAAGGTGGCAGTGAAATCGTGGAATCAGAGCAGTGTGTGACGGACGACAAGCTGGTCACAGCCGCAACAACTTCCGATCTGCCTGCCTTTTTGTATGCATTGTCGACTGCACTTGGTCTCTCTGTTGTATTCTAATCTCAAGTTGTGGTTTCACGCATAATACTGCCTAGAATAATAATATCTACTTCATTCAACATCTAGGCGAGTGTGAGCGATTTCGTGAGCAAACAAATAATAATCATGTTATATATAATTTGGGGATCAGAAGAATGAAAACATGCTGTGTTTTACGCATAATAATATCCACTCCTTTCAACATCTAAGCGATTGTAAGCGAATTCACGAGAAACAAAGAATAATCATGGGGAACAAAAAGAGCGTTGCAACACTTTTTTAGTTTTTTTATACCACATGTCATCAGTAACAATGAAATGTGCAACACAAATGAGAAGATATTCTCTTTTTTTAGACCAATATGACAAATATCTATCAAATATTCCGTTCGCCGGCGTCGTCTTTCACCGTCGTCTCGTTGCCGCCCCCAAATTCACGATCGAAACCCTAGCTTCTCGATTTCGCCTGCTGCTAACCACTATTGTGCTCAATCACTTTCACTATTCCGCGGAATCGCCTTCAATGGACTCTCACTCTTCCCACCTCAACGCGGCCAATCGTTCGCGTAGCTCCCAGACTCCATCTCCTTCACATTCCGCCGCCGCCTCTGTCACTTCTTCTCTCCACAAACGCAAGCTCGCCGCCACCACTGCAGCTAATGCGGCCGCGTCTGAAGACCACGCCCCTCCTTCTACTTCTTTCCCTCACTCCTCCTTCTCTGCGGATACTCGCGACGGCGCCTTGACCTCTAACGATGAGCTCGAGAGCATCTCCGCGCGCGGCGCCGATTCCGACTCAGACCCTGACGAATCAGAGGATGTCGTCGTGGACGATGACGAGGACGAATTTGCTCCCGAACCGGACCAGGACTCTTCCATCCGCACATTCACGGCCGCTAGACTCGATTCCAGCTCAGGAGTCAACGGTTCGAGCCGCAGTAATACTCAGATTAAGACGGAGAGGTCCACAGTGAAGCTTGAGAGCTCTGATGGTAAACCATCTGTTATCGGCACCGGTGTGAGTGGAACCGTTGGAGGGAGCTCAATATCGGGTTTGGTGCCCAAGGAGGAGTCTGTTAAGATATTGACAGAGAGAATTTGCAGACGAGTGGGGCTTACATCGCGAGAGAAGAGACTCTCAAGAGAGAGGTAGCCTTATCGCTTGGATGAATATTGATCTATGCGAATGTGTTTTTCTGTAGTTAACGGTTTTAGCGATATCTTTCTATAGGAGCAAGCTGGGCGACTCAAATTTGTATGTTACTCGAATGATTGCGTTGATGAGCATATGATGTGGTATTTGCTTCCCTCAAATCGTCTGAATTGGCTGAATGATTTGTTGAATGTTGTAACTGATGATAGCTGATTGTTTGTAACCAATGTGATTGACTTCTGTGGTTTAGGAGATGCGCGTCGTGACGTGGAAGATGAAGAGGAGAAGGAGATAGAGCAGCCACAGAAGAAGAGGTAAATGTACAATCTTGTCACTCAAACAGCTACTGTAAAAAAGTACTCTGTTTGAGTTTCTTGTTTTCTAAATGTAATTTGCTTCAACGCCTGCCATGATGTTATTTCGCCTATATGAATTTCAGATGTATTGAAGAAAAACCTCAGGAGATAGTCATAGATGCAGTGTTCGACAGGGATGAAAATGCAGCTCTCGACGGTGGTGATTCAGATAGTGATGGATATCTGTCTGAGGTATTCTTTTATCTTTAGCGTTTGTTGAAGTTTCTCTGTGAATGGTACCTAGTATTCACAATGTTTCTTGTGTTCAGGACTCTGACTTTACAAACGCAGTTGCAAATGGTACAGAAGGTTGTGGCTATACTCTCTATGTTGTTTGGCTTCATGAAATTTCATTCAAATTTCTTCCTTTACTGTTTGACTCAAAGATATATTTGCAGGTAAAATCAGTGGTAATGAGATGTCGATTCAAGGCAACCGAAAAAAAACAGAGGAGGAAGCTTGCTAAATTGAATGAAAAGGTAGCAATTACTTGTACTAGTAATGTTGATACAACGATAGCTGTTGTTGTACTATGTCATGTTTTGTTAACATGCTCTTCTTGCTACCAATCATCCAATGCAGTTGGTAGATGAAGCTAAATCAGATAATTGAAGCGTAAAGTACTATCAGGATCTGCTTTAAGCTCGCTCTGTGACCTAGTTGATGAAGAACAGTCTGTTCAAGCATTACTCAGTTTGTTGAATTGGTATCGAGCTGCATGTCATTATGAAACCATCAGGAGTTGATAACCATGACATAGAAGACAGTGAGACATTTGCCAAGGTGGTGATTTTTGTGCTCCAAAAAGCTGATCACACTTTCAGGAATATTCTGGGAATATCAGAGTCCATTAACAAGGAGAAGGTTTTGAAGTTGAAGAACAACGCAAAATGGGATAGTGTAAAACCACTGGTCAAATCTTTCTTGAGAAGTACCATTCATCTTGTTCAGCAGGCTGCAGATTTGGAGATAGTCGTCTTTGCGCCTACCCAACTTAGAGTTTCTGTAGTATTTCTTGCCGCATTTCCAGATTTGCTGATAAAATTGATCAAGGTACGCTCTATATGTTCACTGATTTTCTTACAAGCAAATTTGCATATATTGGACTAGACTCGTAGCTGATAATTTTTCTAATATTTTTGAATATTCTCGATGCAGTCATGTTTTAATTGTGTAAATTGATGCAGATTTCTATGGATCTGTGGGTAACCGGTGAAGAGACTATGTCGAAGCAGGCTTTTCTAGTCTTGAAAGACATCAGCATGGTTTTTAACTCAGAATGCTTCGACACCTGCTTAATCAACATGTACAAAGCCTTTCTACATTACTGCGATATTCCAAAGCACAGTTCATAAAAGTATTCCTCATTCCTCAGAGATTCTCTCGTTGAGCTATGCTCTCAAGATATGCAGAAGTCTTACACCAAGGCATCTGTTTCCATCACACAACTTGCCAAGTTATTGAAGATGGCTCTCACTACAAAGAATAAGGTGCTTCTTAGTATTTGCATGCTCTTTCTTCTACTTTAAAGTTTTCTTATATGTCTTACTTAGCCTCTTTCAATTTTTTTTGTCTAAGAAGGAAGCTCTCGAGAAGATACATAGCGAGCAGTACACAAACTGTGTTGATCTCTGGGTGAATTTTATCGCCGCCAACATTCAGGATTTTGATCTCCAGCCTCTGCGTTATACTATAGTTCAGGTTATAAATGGAGTCGCTACACTGTTTATTGGACCAAGGTACCTGCTCCTAAGGGTTAAAATGTATTCAATGGCTCAATCAACTCTCTCGTGCAAGCGGTGTATTCATGCCGATAGCATCATTGGTATTGGATATGTTGGAATACAAAACCACAAATGACGGTGAAAAGCAAAAGAAGTTCGAAGCTGTCTCAACCGTAAAGGTTCGAAATTCCACACCCTAAAAGGCTCTGGAGTTAGAAAGCTCTTACATTGTATATCATCAATGTGTAAGCCTGATGGTTTCTTTTTGCATGCAGCTGCCAAAAAATTGGTTAAAGTCTCAAAATTTTCAAGAACAGTGCATCTTCTCTGTGGTTGAACTTCTTGCTGTCCACTTTGCTCTAGTGGAGCTTCCACATATCATTTCCAGAGCTTGCTACTATTCCAGTCATGAGGCTGAGGAACTTCAACGAGAGAACTACTCTGGAAGGCTTGAAGCGGGTTGTGAAACGCTTCATCGAGCAGGTAATTCCTTAGGTTTAAAAGTAACCAAACCGGTTTAAGAAATATCACTTGAATGATTCTTGTTTTGAGAAATGTTGTTCTGTTTTGTTTAGGTGGAGTCGAATATTGAGTTTGTGCAAATGGAGAGAGAAGAAGCGGCTTTCTCTCCAAACGATCAACAATCGACAGAGACGTTTCTGCAACTTGAAAAGCGAAACAAGACTGCACCGTATACACAATACTATCAAAGCATCATAGATAAGGCTCTAGGAACTAAAGAGAAGAAGTGATTGTAATAAGTGTGGGAATAATAATTCATACTTTGTCGTTTACTTTTTTGATAATTTTGTCTCAGATTTTGTAAACCATTTTTGTTGTTGTCGTTTACTTTTTGAATTCCATGAATTATATCTGAGAACATCTAAAACATTTATGCAATGAGTTTAGTGAGATTAAATCAGTTTATCAAGTCATCAGTTTTTGTTTTCCATTTTTTAGTTCCATTGACGAATACTAAAAGCTTATTAACTAATATCACCAACTGTTGATAATCTTAACCATCAACTATTGTCATTCTTGTTAAAAATTTAAACAACAGTAGGAACCAGTTGGAGGAAGAATGATAAGTCTTTATACATTAACTGATCCAAATGAAAGATAAATGGCTAACAGGGTTAAAAATAAATGTAAATGTTAAGATTGAAAAATAAATGGCTAACGATTCTATCAACGAAGGCTAAAAATAATATATGTATTGGGCTTTATAGCCCATAAGCCCACTAAAATTTTGAACCGATGATAATGACAAATATCTATAAACATCTCTTCTTAGATATTTTATCGGATCCACACATATACGGTTGCAACGGAATCTCCCGCCACAACTTCTCGCTTCTTCCGCTTTCCTCGCGCTTTTGACTGCTTGTTGACCAAATCAAGAGAGCTTTGACCACTTTTCCTCGTCTCTTCCCCGACGGAAAAATCCCGGACGAGAAAATGACGACGACGTCTCCCTACGTGTACCTGGTTCTTCTCCTTTCGGCGGCGATCTCTGTTTGCTCGGCCGCGACCAAGTTCGGCGTGATAGCTCCTACCTCGACAATCTCACCCGCCACTTTCGTAGCCGAAGTCGTCTCACGGAAGATAGAGGCCGTCAGGATTCTGGACTCAAGTGAAGATATGATCAAGGCGTTCGCTCAGACGAACGTTACGCTCTTACTCACCGTTCCCAACGATCTGGTATCTCTCTTTTCCTCCAATCTCACTATCGTACGAGGCTGGGTAGAGAAGAAGGTCGTGGCATTTCACCGGCGAACAAAAATTTCCCAAATCTCCGTCGGAATCGACGTTATGTCGTCCAATTTTCCGGATGTTCCGCCTCTGAGTCTACTACCGGCGATGGAGAATCTTCATCTGGCTCTTTCCGAGATGGGGATAAACTACATAGGCGTCTCCGCGTCTTTTGCGTTCTTCCACTCTATCCCGGCGGAATTGGGAGAAGTGAAAGGAGAAGAGATTCGCGTTATCGTCAAACCAATCTTGCGATTTCGTGGTAAACATATGCCCCCGCGAGCTCTATAGATCCACCTCGTGGATTCCCATGGATTTCGATTTATTCCAAAAGACGACTGCGCCTGGTTTCAAGAATTCTTTTACACCTGCCTTGCGATTCGAAAGTTTGTTCGATATAATGGTAGATTCAGTCATTAGTTCTTTGAACTCGATGGGCCATCGTAATCTTCCATTGGTGGTGGGGGAAACAGGCTGGCCATGCACGGCAGGTGTCAACGACAGTGAAGTAGATCAGGCGGCACTGCTGTACAGTCGGTCCTACGTCAAAGGTCTAATTGACCACTTAAGAGGCGGCGGCAGAGATACTGCCATGAGTAAAAACACTGTTTCCGAAGTGTATGTCTCCGATGGAGTTTGGGATATACTGGACCAGCCTCCGACGGCCGAGGACATCGCTTTAATCATAGAAGCCGTTTCGTATTCAGCAATTTTGGTCGTGCTTTTTGCTGTGGACTTCATTGCGATTGCTTGCTGTATCATCTATGTGTGGAATCAGAGGAGGATGCGGAACTTCAGGTAACTTCGTGTTCTTAATTTCGATGTTGGAAGGAATAAACTATTTGATAACTTGATTCTTTGATTTGATTTGGATTATTCAACCTTTATTTTATCAGGAGAGACCACCCTCCACCGAGAAGGCCAGTATCCAAGCCATACCCTGTGCTCAAAAGGCCAAGATTCCGAGTTTAATCTGCTTGAGGTAACTAGTTATTAGACTAATGATATTGTAGAGGGTGAAAGAGTGTCTCGTTCATAATTTGTTAACCTATTTTGTTTAACATTTGTGCAGGAGAGACGCAAAAGAGGGCCATTCACGGGATACTAATTCATCATTCTTTTTTTCTTTCTTCTGTCACACTTTCTTGATTGTACTCTTGCCCCCGCATCGCATCTTTATGCTACATGCCTACTGTTTGGTTGCTCTTCTTTGTAAAATACATTTTATATGAATGAATGGCGTTTCTTTTACTGCTTCTTCTTCTATTCTTTCTCTGGCCCTCCTTTTATTTTTCATTCGTTCTTCAATGGCTGGATCATCACGAGTTCCGCCTCCATTCACGAGAACCGGTCCTTGCATCGTTCAGGTTCTGATTCGCTTTGGCTAGGTCAGATTCGTTCCCCTTCGTTTATCTATTGCCTTAATTTGATTTCTAGGACTGGTCGCAAGTCGGATCTGAAACCTAGGGTGAGCGACGCCTTGTTGAAATTAGGTGTCCTTCGGTTTAACGTAGGCGTGTTATTGTTCACATCTATGATTGCTACGATGACAAGAGTTTCGATGTAAGAAGTTGAATCATCATGGCAGAGACTTTTTGAAATTTGTGCGTCACAGTCCAGCGAATTTCATGAATATCCATTGTTCTTGAATCTTCGTCTCGTTTTGGTTTCACTGATTGCTGTCAAAAAGTTATGTGCTTGATTGATTTTAGTCGTACTTGACATTAGCTTTTTTTTTTCTAGAAATGTTGAATTGCTTCCCTCTTCTCTGGCTTAGTTGGTAGAGAATGTTGTATGATTTTGCTAGCTTGAAACTCACATCCAGTTCTCTGTGGTTAGACTCCTTTCTTGAGCTCTCTCATCTAGATTTTCTGGGACTGATTGTGTCACTAGTTGCTAATTCCCGTTTAAATGGTGCAGTATTTTGTAGTTAGAAGCGTTGATGGCAATACCTCAGAGACACCAGCCTCTCTAAGCTATACAGCTGAGGTTTCAAAACCTTTTGTTGAGAAAACACCCAAACCGTATTCAACAGTGGATGAAACCTTTTGTTGAGGTTTTTGTTTTGTTTAACTTTACAAGTCCTTCATTCCCCATTTTCATATGAGAGAGTATACCTTGTCCAAGTTTAATTACTGGTGTCCTCTATGGTGGTGGCCTTCTAGCTCTTAGTACATTAGGTTGGACAAGCAGGTAATCTCTGTTTACTGTCTACAGAAACATTGCTGATTGAATGGGGGTTTTATAATCACTACTTCCTAATTCATTTAATCATGAAACTGCTGGTATCTTACACATGAAAAAGATATGTGAGAATCCATTCAGTCGTCATCTCTGAACCTGAATGTCTATCCAATTATTTATTTTTCATGAAAGCTTGCTTTTGTGCTTACTCATCTCTTTGAAACCCTGAAAAAATGCAGTGCTTTCACCTGTCGTCTTTTGGAAGAACTTCACAGCTTACTCTATGGTATTCTTCTTGGTTATGATCATGCTGATTATTTAAATGTTTGCTTGCTTGCTTGACTTTAACTGCTTAATGTTGTACTTATGCAGACTAAAAGAAGCTGTGTTTCCTGCCGGTTTTTTTGTTTTGGTCAGGTGAGATACCATTTTGTGGTCTACAACAGAGTCTGATGTATCTATCTTCACTAGGATCATGTAACCCTGCGTTTTTGTCTTCTTCATTGCAGTGCTGCCATGTTGTGTACGTGGTGCTCTCTGGATGAAACCCACCTCCAAAGAAATCGAAACCATCTGCTAGTCCTTCATACTGATGAAAGAAACTTGAAGCGTTGGAGTAAGGTTTGTACTTTTCAGAGGCGACCATAGTTGAAACTGAGAAATTTTATGAATTCATTGTTGATTTGGTTTATGCTCTTGTTTTTGGTGCAAATTGATTCGGTTACGTCTTGGTGTAGTGACTTTTGACACTCATATCCGCTTCTTTGTTTGTCTCTCTGTGTGTGGTTAGAATCATTTGGTACACTTTGAGTGGCTTGGTGATGGTCAAAGGTGGGCTAGTGGCAACCTACAGCAATGGGCCTAAATCGGGAACGAATTTGAGCACCAAGAAGAGAAAGCGGTGGAGAGAAGCTGGTGATGATGGTGATGCAGAGGATGATGATGAACTCTGCAAACAACATGTTACAGGAGCCTTTGCTCTAACCTTGAAAGAAGTTTGAGCGCCTTGTGGGGAAAGCTTGCATCTGAAACATTGATGCAACCATGGAACACTGCTCTTGAAGAGCTCAACCGTCTCAAAGAGATTATTGACTCAAAGGTCTGCTTTCCGAGTTTCTTCTAGCTTTTGTAGCCTTTGAGATCCCACTTTGTTGTGAGTATGTGTGTAGTAATTAGCATTTTGGTATTTCAGAGTTGTGCATCGCCTTTAAACCAGTTGCAGAACAGGATTTGGTTGATGCATCGGGGTATCTACATCTTTTTCAACCATGGTAATGGAAAGCCACAGATCATTGATCTCTTTAACCAAGACAAGTAAGTTTAAACCTTTCTGTTTATCTGCATCCCTCGATATTCCTTCATACAGTTTTTAAGTAGCAAAGTAACAGCTTTATTTAAAAAATGATTTATCCCTTTTTTACATGTATACCATTTGAAACCTATCTATGGCTTACGCCTTTTTTCTTCTTTTCCTTTTAAATTGGTCTCTAATTGATCGAGCTGACCTAGAAATCCTGTGTATTCGCACAGTTTGCAGTCTCAGAACCGGACCTGTCAACTGGGTAAGCTTTGGGAAGAAAATTTGCCAAGAAAAATCTTCAGTCTGTTGAGAAGCGAAACAGGAAGCAGAAGCCCTTTCTCAAACGCAAATTCGCAAAGAGTAAGATTTTTTCGCTCTCTCGTCTTCGTATCTCCTTTTTAGGTTGCTTTGTGGTCATAGACACTGCTTACTTGTTTTTGTAGTGTTTATGTTAGTGGAGAGTAAATAGATTATACCTTGTATCTGATGATAGCTGATTGTTGAGAATCAATGTGATTGACTTCTGTGGTTCAGGAGATGCGCGTCACGTGGAAGATGAAGAGGAGAATGAGATAGAGCAGCTACATAAGAAGAGGTAAACGTACAATCATGTCACTGAAACAGTTACTGTAAAAAATGTAATCTGTTTGAGTTTCTTGTTTTCATATATGTAATTTGCTTCAGTGCCTGCCATGATGTTATTTCGCCTATATGAATTTCAGATGTATTGAAGAAAAGCCTCAGGAGATAGTCATAGATGCAGTGTTCGACAAGGATGAAAATGCAGCTCTCGACGGTGGTGATTCAGATAGTGATGGATATCTGTCTGAGGTTCTTTTATCTTAGCATTTGTTGAAGTTTCTCTGTGAATGGTACCAAGTATTCACAATGTTTTCTTGTGTTCAGGACTCTGACTTTACAACTGCAGTTGCAAATGGTACAGGAGGTAGTGGCTATACTCTCTATGTTGTTTGGCTTCATGGGATTTCATTCAAATTCTTCCTTTACGGTTTGACTCAAACGATATATTTGCAGGTAAAATCAGTGGTAATGAGATGTCTAATCAGAGCAAGGAAGTTAAATCAGAGGAGGAAGCTTGCTAAATTGAATGAAAAGGTAGCAATTACTTGTACTGGAAATGTTGATACGACGATAGCTGCTGTTGTACTATGTCATGTTTTGTTAACATGGTCTTCTTGCTACATATCACCCATTGCAGGTGGTAAATGAAGCTAAATCAGATGTATTGAAGCGTAAAGTACTATCAGGATCTGCTTTAAGCTCGCTCTGTGGCCTAGTTGATGAAGAACAGTCTGTTCAAGCACTACTCAGTTTGTTGAATTGGTATCGAGCTGCATGTCATTATGGGCACCAACCATCAGGAGTTCCTAACCCTGATAACAATGACGTAGAAGACAGTGAGACATTTGCCAAGGTGGTGGTTTTTGTGCTCCAAAAAGCTGATCACACTTTCAGGAATATTCTGGGAATATCAGAGTCCATTAACAAGGAGAAGGTTTTGAAGTTGAAGAACAACGCAAAATGGGATAGTGTAAAACCGCTGGTCAAATCTTTCTTGAGAAGTACCATTCATCTTGTCAAGCAGGCTGCAGATTTGGAGATAGTCGTCTTTGCGCTTACCCAACTTAGAGTTTCTGTAGTATTTCTTGCCGCATTTCCAGATTTGCTGATAAAATTGATCAAGGTACGCTCTATATATTCACTGATCTTCTTACAAGCAAATTTGCATATATTGGACTAGACTCGTTAGCTGATAATTTACATTATTAGGTACCTAAATGCCATTCAAACTGGTACTCCACACTTGCTGCGTTACTTGGCAACTGCGTTCCTTGTCAGCAAAAGGAGAAGGCCTCAATTGAAAGAATTAAGGTCATTAAACAGGAACACTACTCCTACAAAGATCCTATTTGTCGAGTTCCTGGCATGTGTGAAGAGGTAAAGCCGTTCACATGTTTATTGTTTATTTTTTGTTAAATGGTGCAGTATAATAAAATCGACAGTCTGACATGTCATGATGATGTAGGTCATTGTGAATGATCCATTCCTTGGAAACCGAGTTGAGGATGGAAACTTTTCAGCTGTACCACTGAGAGATGAGTTTCTTGAAAATGCCGGCCTATTCATCTTCGAAAGCCATTGTAGAATTCATCAGAGAATTGACATGGGGTAAGTTATCATATTCGTTTACGGTCCTGGCTGCTTCTGATTAAGTTTGGAAGAATTGGTGTGATCTTGACTTGGGCTGATTATTTAAATGTTTGCTTGCTTGCTTGACTTTAACTGCTTAATGTTGTACTTATGCAGACTAAAAGAAACTGTGTTTCCTGCCGGGGTTTTTGCTTTGGACAGGTGAGATACCATTTTGTGGTCTACAACAGAGTCTGATGTATCTATCTTCACTAGGATCATGTAACCCTGCGTTTTTGTCTTCTTCATTGCAGTGCTGCCATGTTGTGTACGTGGTGCTCTCTGGATGAAACCCACCTCCAAATAAATCGAAACCATCTGCTAGTCCTTCATACTGATGAAAGAAACTTGAAGCGTTGGAGTAAGGTTTGTACTTTTCAGAGGCGACCATAGTTGAAACTGAGAAATTTTATGAATTCATTGTTGATTTGGTTTATTTTCTTGTTTTTGGTGCAAATTGATTCGGTTACGTCTTGATGTAGTGACTTTTGACACTCATACCCGGTTCTTTGTTTGTCTCTCTGTGTGTGGTTAGAATCATTTGGTACACTTTGAGTGACTTTTATCTGTGTGTTTGGTGGCTTGGTGATGGTCAAAGGTGGGCTAGTGGCATCCTACAGCAATGGGCCTAAATCGGGAACGAATTTGAGCACCAAGAAGAGAAGGCGGTGGACAGAAGCTGATGATGATGATGATGATGATGCAGAGGATGATGATGAACTCTGCAAACAACATGGCTTGGTGATGGTCAAAGGTGGGCTAGTGGCATCCTACAGCAATGGGCCTAAATCGGGAACGAATTTGAGCACCAAGAAGAGAAGGCGGTGGACAGAAGCTGATGATGATGATGATGATGATGCAGAGGATGATGATGAACTCTGCAAACAACATGGCTTGGTGATGGTCAAAGGTGGGCTAGTGGCATCCTACAGCAATGGGCCTAAATCGGGAACGAATTTGAGCACCAAGAAGAGAAGGCGGTGGACAGAAGCTGATGATGATGATGATGATGATGATGATGATGCAGAGGATGATGATGAACTCTGCAAACAACATGGCTTGGTGATGGTCAAAGGTGGGCTAGTGGCATCCTACAGCAATGGGCCTAAATCGGGAACGAATTTGAGCACCAAGAAGAGAAGGCGGTGGACAGAAGCTGATGATGATGATGATGCAGAGGATGATGATGAACTCTGCAAACAACATGGCTTGGTGATGGTCAAAGGTGGGCTAGTGGCATCCTACAGCAATGGGCCTAAATCGGGAACGAATTTGAGCACCAAGAAGAGAAGGCGGTGGACAGAAGCTGATGATGATGATGATGATGATGCAGAGGATGATGATGAACTCTGCAAACAACATGGCTTGGTGATGGTCAAAGGTGGGCTAGTGGCATCCTACAGCAATGGGCCTAAATCGGGAACGAATTTGAGCACCAAGAAGAGAAGGCGGTGGACAGAAGCTGATGATGATGATGATGATGATGATGATGATGATGCAGAGGATGATGATGAACTCTGCAAACAACATGTTACCGAGGAGCACTACCGATCACCTTAAACAATCAATTCATGCCAAGAGGTTTGCAGATTGTTGCCACTTGCCAGAGAGAGGTAATTGGAAATGGCTCTCGTACTACGGCTCTCATTTATTTTATCTGCTTTTCTAAACTGCCATTCTCTTGCGTTTGAATTTTGAGTAAGCTCTCATTTGCTGTTACTTTGATTTTACAGGTGAGAATCATACACAGTCTTTGCAAGAATGAAGATGGCAGTTGCTGGCATTCTGGGTCACTTCAGGTACAAATAGCGTCCTTGTTTCCCTGTGCTCGGTTTCATCATTTTCGTTTTAACAACAGTGTGAAATGCCTGCAACTAACTAACTCCATCTTCGAAAATTTCACCTCTTGCAGTGAAACCCTCGTAATCTTTTTCTTCCTCAAGTGTTGAACTTTCTATCAAGCATCTAACCTTGCTATTGTGTAACTTTTCAGCTTGCTGGAAATGTGAAATGTCCACGGCATCGCCGCCCAAAGTAAGCTAGATATTTTTGTTTTGTTCTGTTACATAAAAAGTAATGCCAGCAGCAACACTTGACTCTTCCTCCCTCTTTTTGAACCAGGTTTGATCCTGCCACGGCATTGTTAACGGGAACAAAAGATGGGACGCTCGTCAACGTCTACTTGAGGATTTTGGTAGGAAATCGGAGAAGTCTCTTTGTATCCCTCTTCTTGTTTTCCAGGTAAAAAGTGTGTTAATGCCCATTTATATCTAAATCACAAGCTTGCTTGTTGTTGACTTGTGAGAGAGATGTTACAAGATTTGGGTTTTCTTTTTATGTGTATCTTTTGCAGGCCCTAGCTTGATAAGACTCGAGGGATGGAGAGAGTTGTGAAGGAGAAGGAAAAGGAGCTAATAGCTAAGGAAGAAGAGAGACATCAAATCTCTGAAGAGAATAAGGATCTGAAGAAGAACGTGGAGGTTCAGAGTTTCAATGTGAGAGATGTGGAGAGGATGAAAAGAGAGTTGCAAGCTGTGGAAAGAGATGTTGCAGAGGCTGAGAGTGCTAGAGACGGTTGGGAGCAGAAAGCTTGGGAGCTCAATTCTCAGATCAGGAATCAGTTTCATCAGATTCAAACACTTGCCATTGAATATAACCAAGCTCTCAGGAGATTGAAGCTGGATATTCAGTTTGCTGTGAGCGAGAAAGGAGAAGTGGGAAAGGTTTTGGGTTTGGACTACAAATCAGAGGTAAAGCCAGCTCTTTCTTCGCTGTATGATGCGATGGAGAAGGTGGAGACACAGACGGCGATTCAACAACAGGCGTCTGAGATGGCTTCGAAGATGGAAGCGGAAAAGAGTCATCTTGGTTCAGTTCAGCTTCAGATCAATGAACTCGAAGAAAGGATTAGGCTTGTGAGGAAGGAAGGTCAGGCAGGAGTTGGCTACACAATGCGACTCGGAGGCGAAAGCAATGTTGGAGAGTATGAAAACGGAGGCTACGAATCTGGAGGTTGTGGAGAAAGAAGCTGCAGAGCTTTTGAAAGGTTCGGAGTTTAGGTTGCAAGAAGCGGTGAAGCAGAGTGAAGAAGAGGTCCAAGCTTGTGTGGCGAAGCTCTTTGCACTTGTTGATTCGATATCGAAGCATAAAGAGTATATGGACTCGAAGATCTCGGAGATGAAAAATGGTGTTGCTAATACTGCCACTGCTGTTTCAGAGATACACAAAGCCAGCCTCAAGAGGCACTTTGGTAGTACCTAGGGGATTGGATTTGCATATTGACTGAGCTAAAGCGTGAGTGATTTCGTAATCTTATGGTGAAAAATCGTTGTTGCTTTTGTTCAAATCAGTCGTATTAGTAATTTTACATGGTAATGTAGTGTTAATGACTTTTGTCACAATATGTTCTTAAGCATATGTATTTCATTCAACTTCCTTTGAAAGAATGTTTTTGAAAACCATGGACTTCATCAATCTCAGAACCATTACGTCTGTCAAAGACGTTAAATAAAACGGTGTGTTTTAAAAAGTAAAGCATTGTTCATATGAAGCATCCTAAATAGTACAGTATATTTGATCGAAAGATATGGTTGTTAGAACCGTGATATCTGTGTAGCCAGAATCATACTTTTTCAAACACATTCATCTTCGTCTTCTCTCTCTTTCTCTCTTTTTCTAATCCAATTTTAAAAAATTTCAATAGATTTTTGTCTCGTTGAGTCGGGTTTTTTTTTCTGAAGGAAACGGATCTCGGGTCACGGATTATGAAAGGCAATCACACTGGTTTGGTGGTTAAACGCGATTAGCTAGACTTGAGCAGAGAACAAAAGTTCGGGGGGTTACGTGCGTAGATTCCTAAGTTTGGGGGCATTTTTCAAGAGTTTGAGAGTTCAGGGGGAAGCAGGCAATCTATGATCTATCTTTCAATGGGAAAGGCCCGTGAAGATACAGATGGGCTTGAGATCTCTTAATATCCACCTTAGTGGGCTAGCAACCATAACGATTTCGTCTTAGTGGGCTTGCAAAGTCAGTTGGGGATCGGAAAGACTACGTCGAATCTGGAAATTTTTTGCTCAACAAACGTATAATTAAGAGGTTCTCTTGGAGAAATTAATGCTTGTCACCTACACACACAACTACAATTTAACATATCGTATTTTTTTATACATATTTTTCAATGGATGAAACTCACAACACGCATCTTTCATGGCCTTCTTTCTGGCCTCTATAATATGCAACCATCGAGCATGTGAGCTCCATGCGAAAAACAAGATATGATCAAAGAAATTGGGAATGTGAAAGGAGTGATAAAAGAGCCAAATAAAAGGTTGTTGGTGAGTGTGAATGTTCTTGGAAGCGTTGGTCCTATAAGCTTTTTGGCTAATGAAGACGATAGAGTTTCAAGTGTTATTAACACAGCTTTGAAAGCTTATGCTCGTGAAGGCAGGATCCCGGTTCTAGGGTTCGATGTTGATAACCTCATTTGCTACTCCGTCAATGCCGGATTCAACAGTATTTTCCTTTCTCCTCCCTTTAACAGTCTTTTTTTTTTTAATTTTTCCCTTGAAAAAAACTCTTTACTGGTTATAAAATAGAAAAATCAAGTGAATTGTTTTAACGTTGTATGCTGAAACCTGTGTTCTAAAGGCTACGCAACCAATCGGCGTTACTACACATGGCTATTTTACACTACTCTTAAAAAAAGATGAAAAGAAAATATGTTACTTGGCAAAGCCCTTTTCGTAAACGACAGTGATTAGGATTGTGTGTGTTATCCTACGAGCACCCGTATCCGAGAGGGTTAGTCGGTACTTAACAGTATAACTTTTAACATTTGTGCCCAAGATATATCTTAATTGGGCTTGGTCAAGCACACTATGGGAGGGTTGACAATCTAACGTGTTTAAGTATGATTCCTAATTTGACAATGGCGGCTCCACGTAAGACGACGACGACGACGACAGAGAGAGAGAGAGACAAAAACAAAAATTAAGGATAGAGAGAGAGAGAGAAAGGAATCTGAGGCGATTGGGTAAGCGATGCATATCGTCTTCTCTGTTGATGATTTGACCGAGTCGTTTTGGCCAGCTTCCGCTCCGGAGCCGTCACCGGGATCGGCACCGCCGGCGCAGAACATGGCGGAAGGGATGACTCGAAGTCAATCGGAGTGGGCGTTCCACAGGCTTCTCAAGGAGATGTCCGGTTCCGATGATGCGAGCCCTACGGGAAACGCAATCGAGAGGTCGTCACCTCCGCCGGTTCAGTCTGAGCAGTCGCTTTCGAGGATAGAAGAGACCGTTGACGAAACCGCCGATGTTGTCGAGATACAGAAGCCGCCGCAGAATCGCCGTCCTTCTGCGGATGATTATCAAGGGAATCGCAATCGTGCGCGGTCGTCTGATCCGTTGGATTCAGCTGCGGTCGATCCTAATCAGTATCATGCGATTCTTAAGAGCAAGCTCGATCTTGCTTGCGCTGCTGTTGCTCGTCGTGTACGTCTTTAAAATCACTCTGAAAACATTTTGGTCTTAGATAGAAAATCTAAATAGTTGTGTGTTGATTGATTTGATATTCTGCAGGTGGGAACTGTGAAGCCCGAAGATTCAACTGCTTCAGCTGGCAATCAAAAGCAATCTCTTCCAGTCGGATCTCAAGGTTATTATTATAGTTGCTTGGTTTTTGATTCTCTCTTCAGTTTAAACATTTCATTTCATTAGATTTCTTTGCCAATTTGGCTAGATAATTGTGTCTTCGTTGATTAACAGCTTGTGAAGATCTAAGCATTTAGGCTACGCTTGTTTTGGCTATTTCAGCTTGTTAGTTTTCATTACCGTTATATCATCATCATCATTCATCACCGTTATATGAGAATCATCCTTTTGCAACTTCATACTTGATACTACGTTCTAGTAAATCTCTACTTACTTTCGGTTCCTGACGATATATGTACCTTGAATAAAATGTTCTTCAGTTTGTGGATGATGAGATTACTTTTTGACAATGCTAGGCTCCATTGTGGCACAAACCTCACCTGGTGCTTCATCTGTTAGATCCGTTCCCTCAACGAGCACGCAAAAGAAACCTGATCTTCCAGCTAGGCAGACTACCAGTGTTTCATCACGAGATGATTCTGATGACGATGATCTTGATGGAGACACCGAAACAGCAGACAATGGAGATCCTACTGATGTGAAGCGTGCTAGGAGGTACAGATCTTGATTTTTGTATCTCAGAATCTTTCTGATAATCATTCTGATGCTCTCGAGGTTGATTCAGTAGCTGGTCATTATTTCAGGATGCTCTCAAACCGAGAATCCGCTAGGCGCTCCAGGAGAAGAAAGCAAGAACAAATGAATGAATTTGATACACAGGTTCTGTGTCTTGTTATTGTTGCTCAAATACATTTACGTCTCACTAGATTTCTTCCTTGCTCATCCTCATCCGCAGTCTTTGATAGGAACTTTTTTGTACGAATCGTAGGTAGGGCAATTAAGAGTTGAGCACTCAACTTTACTTAGTCGTCTTAGTGACATGAATCATAAGTATGATGCAGCTGCTGTCGACAACAGAATACTAAGAGCTGATATCGAAACTTTGAGAACAAAGGTATTATATTGTTGTGAGTGAGTGTTTTAAGATTTGGATCATGCTCCTATCTTATTGCTAAACTTGTTGCAGGTGAAGATGGCAGAAGAAACGGTGAAAAGAGTGACAGGAGTGAACCCTTTGCACTGGGCAAGACCAAACATGAGCTTACCATTGAACAACACACCCAGCGACTCCTCTAGGATTCCGGCGAGCTCTAACCATATTTTAAAACCGGCAAACTCGAGCACCGCTGGTTTAGCACCAAATCAGAGAGTGAGTTTCTTGCCAGAACAGGTGAACCGGGAAGGCATGCAAGATTCATTTGCTCCTGATTCGACTTTGTTTGAAACCTTACCCCATTGGAACCACAAGCATTAAACCACAATTCTTGTGAGTCATTGGTTTTGTGATTCTTGATGCAACTCTTATCTTTGCTTTTTTTTTTTTTGGATTTACTGCACTAGTCTGCGACGGTGTCATTGTAAGGGTCATGTACCCATTTATATATGCTTGGAAATAATTGGAAAAATGTTAATTTTAACAACCTGTTTTTTTGCTAGTCAAAAACAAAAGCAAACGTTTCTAAAGCAATCGACGTTTGATAAATGTCAACAAACACGTTCGGGAGGATGTTGGATGAATTGTTCAACCAATACTCAAAAGGATCTCTAACTAATACTTATATTTGTATCCCCAAGACATATCTTATGCAATTATACATCATACACATTCCAAGAATATACTAGAGTATCAGGTTGTATCCCAGTCCCAATGAAGGTATCTAATAGATTAAACATTAAGAAAAATTAGCATAATATCACTTTACGACCTTCCTATTGAGATTTAGCACCAGACTGAAGAGCTGCTTGTACTTTGCCATGGAAGTGTGTCTCCAACCTTTGAAAAGAAAAAACAAAGTTAATTTCACATTTACGTTTTCATTATCCGATAAGAAGAGAAGAAAAGGGGCTTTACCTGGTTGCACATTTGTAGTAAATGGTATCCGGAGAGTTGTAAGTTCTACAATTGTTAAACATCCGTCTCGCATCAGCGACAAACATATCGAGTGTCACGTAGTACTGTTCTGAATCTACCCTCTTCGCAATTGTCTTCAGATCTGTGTTCATACCATTTTCGTTAACCAAACTGAAATCATTTCTACTTATAAGAGCAAATTCTGGATTGACCGACCGCATTGCCAATAAAATCTATTACACCAGCAGAATAGGACTTTCTTCTACTTAATAGATTTGTTCATCCTAGATAAAGAAGCATCTCTCGAGTAAGTTGCATTTATTTCTAAGCAAATGATTTTATAAAGTGCTTGTAGCAAAACGATTTGAGTGACATGATAATACAGTGTTTAGCCTGGAAGGTAATTTTTGCAAGGAAACTCGATACCGAAATTCATATATAATTGAACGATATCTCCTTACCAATGGGATCTTTGATGATGTCATAGTAATCAGGTACATCGAGAGAATCAACAGGCTCTTTGAAAGGCCAAGCATCAGCATGGTCTTGCATCGTCTGTTTCAATTACTTCAGCTTGTGAGACTAAAGGACATGTAACTGCAGTATCATATTATGTAATACAATGATAAATCATTGAAGGGAAGAAAACTTATCACAACCTTCAAAAGCGCGCGCATAAGTGAAGTCAACTGCTTTTGCTTTGTCACACTATCTGCAGAAGTATTGAATAACTTGTAACGCGTGTGCCCCCACTGATCTGGGGTCCAACCCGCTTCCCCTGCAATAGTTTTCCATCATTCCATTATTACATGTTCAAGGAAGAAAATTATATTTTTGAGTAACAAACTGTAATAACACCATGGAGTAGAAAATAAAATCGCGACTTACTTAAGCCAGGTATATCCTCAACTTTGATCATCTTTTTAGGACTTCCCGTTTCTTTCTGCAGAAATTATCACCCTTATTATACTACTGAAAACACGGTTTTTGTTGTTTGCTGTGACATGCATAATAGGCACAAGAGACAAGGAACCATTGATGTTTACCCTTTGAAATTCAAGTACTCGGTACACGTTTTGACAGTTCGATAACTCTCTTATCCTTTCATCAATTGCCTGACATCATAGAAGAAAAACGGGGATCAGAATCTGATGGTCTTGAGGGTCCAACACCAAAACATTATATAGTTTAATAACATAGTAATCTATGTAACCATTGCTTAGTGGTTGTTTTTAGGCTGTGTAGTTTTTTTTTAAATCTGGTGTGTGAGTTGCCATGCTCTCTTAGCGTAAAAAGAACAGGCAGATAAAGTGAAGAAGTTGAAGGCTCAAGAATATATTTCGAGTTAAAGTATATCCAATGGCTTACCTTTCTTTGCTGTCGAATCATGCTTGACAAATCCGTGTATGGAAGCTTTGGATCAATTTTGCATTCCATAAGGAGGCCACCGTCATAGTCTTTAATGAACCTAGGAAAATACCAATCTTTTAATTTGCAAGAGTAGGTTTAACAATGTAGAAAAGAATGCTAAGCCAAATTTTGGAAAGCTTTTGAGCACGTAATACAGAATATCTCTGATAGCATGATCAGCTAGGATATAAAATGCAGTTTTTCTAAGGTTTGTGAGCTTAACTGAAACCACAATACAGTATTCCAGACAGACATCAAATGATATAAAGCCCAGAAGTTGAGTACGGTAATGAGCAGTTTAAACTTAAGAGGTAAATCGTTTACATACCCATGCCATACATCTTTCTCCAAGTAAATCTCTTTCGTAAAACCCTGCACAAGAATATAGACGTAACAGATCAACTTAGCGAACAAAGATAACAAAACACAAGATTACAGAACTTCAGTACCCCAGATAGTAGAATTGATAGCAAAGTGTGAAAACATAACTTTATGAAGAGTTGCATTGAGTTATATTCAGACGTTAACAGAGTCAAAGTAAGACTAAAGATTTAGAAGCTCTCCTAAGAAAAGGAAGAATGTGGAACTAGAAACCCAAAATCATCATGTAAAGGATTATGCACACAAAATAAAACATGCAAAGATTGTTTGGAGGTTCTAGCGTTTCGTTCAAGGTCTCACATGCAACTAGTAAACAGAGCCGCTCAAAATCATGAGAGCTAGCACATTCAATATAAAGCCACATAATGCAGAGAATATGAAATACACCAACCTGCTTGACAAAATAACCAACAGCATTGTTGTCAGCATAAGTAAGAAAATGGGTCAATCCATCAACATCCCGTGCATGTTGTTTCAAGTGGTTCATCAATCTGGTACCGTAACCTTTTACTTGCTCATCTGCAGTAATTGCACAAAATGCTATTTCCCCAAACTTCTGACTGAATCCAAGGAAAACAGTGGAGTTAAGAAGCATGTCAAGACTAATTTCCCTCATTATGACATTAGACATATAGAAATACCTAACTGGAGTAGCAAATTATGCTTAATGATAGTATAAGAGACTAAGTCAATATACTACTTGCTTTCAGTCTTAAAGTAAGAGCTTATTAAAACATATAGTATGAAGAAAATCAACCAATCGAATATCATTAAACAAAAGTTGGGGATAGTTATGCAAAGATAACCTTACCTGTGATATGGACGATACGTGATACCACCTACAACTAGATTTCTTCTTAGGACCATAACAGACTTGTGTTTCCTGGGTATACAACATAAGTTGCCAATATCAGAATGCTTACAAAAGATCTTGCAAGACATCAAAAGCTTATTTAGGTCATAATCGTAGAACTAGAGCATAAGAATTTATAACGTAAAGAAAATGAAAGAGTCTGGATGAAGAATAAGTAGAGAAGCATGTTCATCATGTGTTCAGATAGTGAACTTGGACAAACTACATGCACTACTTCAATTTCGTACAAAAAATCGGAAATGGTCACCACTACTCTGAAACAATTGCATTTTCGCAAGCACATTATGGCAATCCGAATTTTCGGCAGTTAAATGCAACTAGTTGCTACATTTCCTAACTAAAACTAACACTCTCCTTTTACATTCAAGACAAAATTACAAAGGAAGAGGAAATGTGGACTATTGTATTCAATCCAAAAGATACTTTAGCATGTTTCACTTTAGTTTAGCATGTTTACCTATCCATCAGAAGGCGAACAATGTACTCCTTGGGCATATTAGGCAACTGTCTTGCAAATATGTTCTTCAAGCCAACCAAGCTGGAAAAAAGTTCAACAAATCATTCAGATAATTCCTCTGTACAGAGGTTAGAACGAAAAAACCATAGCTGGCTATAAGCTGAAACTCTGTGACAGGAGAAGATTGAGGGAAGCAAATACCACATCATATGCTCATCAACGCAATCATTCGAGTAACACACAAATTTGAGTCGTCCAGCTTGCTCCTATTGAAAGATATCGCCAAATTTATAAATGGCGTTAACGACAGAAATCATATTCATGTACTATATGGAAATGATCCAAGTGATAAGGTTACCTCTCTCTTCAGAGTCTCTTCTCTCGCAATGTAAGCCCCGCTCGTCTGCAAATTCTCTGTCAATATCTTAACAGACTCCTCCTTGGGTACCAAACCAGATATTGAGCTCCCTCCAGCGGTTCCACTAACACCGGTGCCGGTCACAGATGGTCTACCATCAGAGCTCTCAAGCTTCACCGTGGAGCTCTCCGTCTTGATCTTAGTAGTATTGCGGCTCGAACCGTTGACTCCTGAGCTGGAATCGAGTCGAGCGGCCGTGAATGTGCGGATGGAAGAGTCCTGGTCCGGTTCGGGAGCAAATTCGTCCTCGTCATCGTCCACGACGACATCCTCTGATTCGTCAGGGTCTGAGTCGGAATCGGCGCCGCGCGCGGAGATGCTCTCGAGTTCATCGTTGGAGGTCAAGGCGCCGTCGCGAGTATCGGCAGAGAAGGAGGAGTGAGGGAAAGAAGTAGAAGGAGGGGCGTGGTCCTCAGACGCGGCCGCATTCGCTGCAGTGGTGGCGGCGAGCTTGCGTTTGTGGAGAGAAGAAGTGACGGATGCGGAGGCGGAATGTGAAGGAGATGGAGTCTGGGAGCTACGCGAACGATTGGCCGCGTTGAGGTGGGAAGAGTGAGAGTCCATTGAAGGCGATCCCGCAGAATAGTGAAAGTGATTGAGCTCAATAATGGTTAGCAGCAGACGAAATCGAGAAGCTAGGGTTTCGATCGTGAATTTGGGGGCGGAAACGAGACGACGGTGAAAGACGACGCCGACGAACGGAATATTTGATAGATATTTGTCATATTGATTTACATTGACATTTTTAAACTGAGTCACAGAGACATTTATTCAAATTTCACTCTTCGCTACTTTTTCTATGATAAAAAAAATTCTAGTACCGAAATCATACTGTAATTAACTATAAAAATGTGAATGAGTATCTTTTGAACAAAAAAAAAACTATATAAATGTGATTTATCGTTGAAACTTGTATGTTGTAACGATCGAAATCCTGCAACAGTTTGGGTAATTGCATATTTCTCGACAAATAAGCCTAAAGGAAAATCTTCTCATTTTTGCTCTCTTGGATAAGGGATGAAGATATGCAAGTGGAAACGTGAATCCACTTGGATATTTATTTATTTATGTAAAGATGGTGACCACACTGTACGTGGACCATTGATTATGAAGTTTTTGCTGTGACGTGCATAATAGGCACACAATACAAATAAACCATCTATTTTTGCCCTTTGAAATACAAGTACTCCATACACATTTTGACAGTTCGACAACTCTCTTATTTGTTTACTCACGAAATCGCTCACACTCGCCTAGATGTTGAATGAAGTAGATATAATTATTCTAGGCAGTATTATGCGTGAAACCACAACTTGAGATTAGAATACAACAGAGAGACCAAGTGCAGTCGACAATGCATACAAAAAGGCAGGCAGATCGGAAGTTGTTGCGGCTGTGACCAGCTTGTCGTCCGTCACACACTGCTCTGATTCCACGATTTGACCACCACCAATCTTCACAGCCACCTTTGTCCCATAGCCACTTGCACATTTCTTCTTCTGCAAAATAATAATGGAAACAATATAAGGAATTGCGACCAATATAAGGACCTTTTTTTTATGCGCTAAGCACATAAGGATCCTTATGAGATCCAAAATTATATGTATCCATGATTTTTTAGGTTATATGGTCCGGTTTACATTATAATATTTGATTTGGTTTCGATATTTCCAACCCTAATACCAGCGGTGTTTATGATCATACCTTAAGAGCACCGGTAGCAGCCAGTAGCCAATTTCCCATTCCAATGGCAGCAACCAACTTGCCTTTCTCAACAAACTTCTTTACTAATCCGACGGCTTTATCGTTCATCACCAAGAACTCCGGCGATCTTCCTCCGGGAACCACAATGCAGTCGTAATCATCCACAGAGACATCATCCCACGCAACGGTCACGTAGCAGTTGTGGCCGGACTTCTCGGTAGGAAGTTGCCGGCCGTCCTCGAGGTCGTGAACGATAGTAGCGCATTTGTCACCTTTCTTCTTGTTTGGTGACACTGCGTCCACTTTACATCCCAGAGCTTGAAAGGCTTTAGATGGTACGTTGATATGGTAGTCATCAACACAGTCCTAATTATACCCAAACAAAATATGAAGTAGACCAAATATTTAGTGTCATTCTTTCAATAAGGACATGTGTCATACTATAACTTAGTTGCGAGCTGATGTGGCACGGATAAGAAGAAGCTTACCCCAATCAAGAAAAGCAAAGAAGTTTGAGTGGCTTTGGAGCTAGAGATCTTGGAGCCAAGTGATTCTAACAAAACTCTGAGAGTGTTGCCAAGCGTTGGCCACCCCAACGTGGAGATGAAGTTCTCGTCCTTGATGCAATCGGTGATGTCGAGAAGGGACTGGATTCCGTCCTGTTGCCACCACGCGCCGCCGGAGAGCTCGATCAACGGCTTCATGCTTTCGAACGCCGTGCATTTCATTCCACCGCTGAGTAGACCCGCCGCCGCGAGCATCAGCTGGCTGTGGCAGCTTGTGAGGACAAGCTTCTTAAGCTCGGCGAAACGAGCCACCAGACTAACGCATTTACCGTCGGTGCTCAAAAGCTCCGTGAAACGTCCACCGGGGATATAGATAGCGTCGTAATTCTCCGGGATGACGTCATCAAAGTTGGAGTTTAGTGTCACATGATCGACCACTAACTCGCTGTATATCTGTAAAAAAGGTACAATTTTGTTTTTTGAAACTAATTAAAATTAACAAGAAATATAACTTCGATTCCTAATTGTAAGTGTGATTCATTTATATGGGGTATTATTTACATTTATATTTATTTTCGTTGTAAAGCAAATAACGTATCAAATGGAGAAACCCCAAATTAATTAAGAAAGAAGTGAGAGATTAGAGAAATGCCTCGAGGCCGAGGAAATCATGAGCGGCCATGACACACTTGTCACCAGTTTTGCGACCAGGAGAAACGCAGTGGACGCTAACTCCAAACGCTCGGAGGACGTAGAGAGGTATTATGGTCTCGTAAGCTTCCATGAAGTCACCGCATAACATCAAAACCGATTTCTGAGCCATTGATCCCATAATTATCTCTTAAGGCAAAGCACACGTACAATGGTACTTCACACGCACTAATAACTCTGTCTGTATACTCGAATAATCACATAGTATTCAAGAAACAAGATATATATAAATAGAACCAAAAACAAAGAAAGATATATCTAACGACATATTATAATGTTAAAATCCCTTATAGAAGAATACATAAAGCCAAAAATAAATAAACATGTGATAATTGCAATTTTCCTACTCACCTACCTGGCGACCTCACACCTACCTGCCATCTCCCTTTGCATAACTTGAAAAAAAAACATGAAAATGAACTAAACTTGTATAATTTTTTTAAAATTCACTACATAGTTAAATATTCTTATAAGGTAGGGAGCTTAACTGAGTAAATTCACTACATGCTTTCTTCAATTGTCAACTCTGCTTTATTTATTTATTTTGATAATCCCATAATGTACTCATTTGTCAAGTGTCAACTTTAGTTCTTGATTTAAACATTTGAGCATACGTCGTAAATTCTTTTCAGTTCGAGTTCTCTGTTATCTAGTAAACATAAGTCAACGGTAAGAGAAGAGAAGAAAAGGAAAACAATGAAAAAGGAAATAATTGACCAAAATTTGTGATGTTTAAGGTTTCACAAAGATCACAAACCGTAACATCACAAGTTAACAACACTTTCCTTTTTCAATGTTTACCTTCTCTTCATGTTTTTTGTGGGGTCCAATATACTTTACTACTTGGTTTCCTTTTGTTTTTTTCTTCTTGATTTTTATTTTTTCCTTGCTCAGAAAAAGTATTCCACTGGTATAAAATCTGTTCCAATATAGAGGGCCTCATAGAAAAGCGAAAAGGGAGTCATCGGTTTGAAAAGTAAGAGAGAAAAGAGTTCTCATATATTCATTTTGAGTAAGACATGCGGAGTCAGATCATATGGGATGGAGTTGTTTGCATCATATGGTGATCCAGGCCGTCTCGGTGAGTTAAAATTTGTTCACTCTCTTAGATCGTGCATGTGAGGATTATGGTCAAGTTTAGGGCTGAGAGAAAGGCCACTAGGAGGCAAGATTACATGGTTGGCCTGGTCGTTATTGGAACTTTTATGTTTGAGCTTTTGATGTAGTCGCTTTTGAATTCCCGTTGAGATTAGTCACTACCGTCTCTACTTTCCAGTACTCAATTTTTGGAGATGATAACAAAATTAGAAGAAGCAGAGACATCGCATGACTCAATGACTGTATAGTGAGCTTTTTAAATCTTTCACTACGTACATCTTTCGATCTAGTTCCATTTAAGTTTTTTAAAAGAAAGATGTCTAAGATTCCGGTTAAATGTTTTCAAGTTTACACGTTGACAACATAACAAATAAACATCACAAATTAAGACGCCACGACGATCACTTACTACTGAATTGGAAAGAAAATCAGTGGGGTTGTCTAGAGCTGTCAAAGTGGACATCGGCCCATGGGCGAGCCCATGTCCATATAAAAATGGACGGACATGGACAAGCCATTTTCAATATGGACATAATTTGGGCATGTCCAATTTAGCCCATGGACAAATATGGACGGACACGTGTGGACATGGGCTGTCCAATGGACATAAATATCTAGGTCAAATTGATTTGAGAAAAAATCATTTTTCATAATCTGGGTTAAGCTTGGGTTTTCGGTAGGCCTGTCAATTTCAGACCCGAACTGCGGGTCCTGCCCCGATTGACCCGCCGCGGGGCGGGTGCGGGTCGAGAAAAATTCAAAAAAAATTAGCGGGTCATGCGGGTGCGGGTTGTAATATTTTAGTCCGCGGGTTTGCGGGTTACCCGCCAATTTTTTTTTCTTTTTTAATTTCAATTTTTTTTAAATATTATTATTTAGTCAACAATTGTTCTTAATTTATCGAAAAAATAAAAAAATATTCAGAAATATTTTTAAATTATTTAATAATATTTAAAAACTCTTTTAAAAAATAAATATTAATGATTTTTATTATTAAAAAAAATTATTTGTAATTTTTTATTAAAAATATATATAATTTAAAATTTTATTATTTTATTAATATTTGCGGATTACCCGCGGATATCTGCAGATTTAAACGGCGCGGATGCGGGTCGAAAAAAATATGTTCAAAATTTGGCGGGACGGGTCAAAGCGGGTCAAAAAAAATATTGATATGTGCGGGGCGGGTCAGGCGGGGCGGGTTTGACCCGATTGACAGGCCTAGTTTTCGGGTTTTGGTTCGGGATTTGATCGGATTTTTCGGATTTTAGGTTTTCGGGTTTAGAGATATATAAATCGTCCGGGTCTTTTAAAGTTTCAGTTCGGGTTTGGTTTAAGTTTTTTTTCGGTTTCGGATTTTTTTCCGAGTTTTTCGGATTTTCAAAGTTTTTTTACGAATTTTTGGGTTTTTAAAGTTTTTTACGATTTTTTAGGTTTTTCGGGTCGAGTTCGGATTCGGATTCGGGTTTCACGTAAAAGTCCTAAACCTAACTCGCGCAGAAAAAAAAAATCGATTTTCAAAAAAAATATATATATATAATAAAAAAAATTGATTTTTTGTCTATGGACAGCCCACGGACAGCCCAGTTTTGATGGGCCATAATGGGCATGGTCCAATATGGACATGGAGCTAAATGGACACGGACAATATTTTGTCCATAAAACAAATGGACATTATTGGACGGGCCAAAATGGACATGGACGCCCATTTTGACAGCTCTAGGGTTGTCGCATTTACAATAGCGCTACGGTCAATGTATTTTTTTGGAGTCATATTAAAATGACGCAGGGATGAATGGTTTTAACTCCACTTCTAACGCTAAACTTTATCGCTTCTTGGTCTTCAGTTCTATAGCCGCCTATTGGTGTCCTTTATTTTCACCTTGTTAATATTTATCGGGGTTAGTCTTTTCGCTTGCTCTTTATGCCATCTATTGGTGTACGTTCTTGTTTTCTTTATTTGAAATATATCAATCAGACTTTATCGCAAAATAAAGTTTGCGAACAAGATTATCAAATTTAAAAGTCCATGCATTAATATTCCATATACATAACTCATGTTGGAGGCTTACATAGTTATCCAAATCTACCAAGTCAAGAATACGCAATGCATAATCGTATATGGCAAAGGAATACAAAGGCATAAATAAACAATATAAAGGTATTACACCCAAATTAGGAATTCAGGTCTCCAAGAAAATACAAATTGATAGGATACAAACAATATCCAAAAACAAAGAAGAAAATGAAATCAAGTAAAACATGGTAGCTTAATCAAGAACTGCATTTACTGGTTTTCAGTAATATGAAGGTGGTGGTGGAGACTTGTAGTCTACCTTAGGGGAAGGTGAGTAATATGGTGGGGGTGGGGAACTGTAGACATATGGTGGTGGGGGAGATTTGTAGTCTACCTTAGGGGAAGGTGAGTAGTACGGTGGAGGTGGGGAACTGTAGACATATGGTGGTGGTGGAGACTTGTAGTCTACCTTAGGGGATGGAGAGTAGTATGGTGGTGGTGGGGAACTGTAGACATATGGTGGTGGTGGAGACTTGTAGTCAACCTTTGGGGAAGGTGAGTAGTATGGTGGTGGTGGAGAACTGTAAACATATGGTGGTGGTGGAGACTTGTAGTGTACCTTAGGCGAAGGTGAGTAGTATGGTGGTGGTGGGGAACTGTAGACATATGGTGGAGGAGGAGACTTGTAGTCTACCTTAGGGGACGGTGAGTACGCTGGTGGGGGTGGTGAGTTGTAGACATATGGTGGTGGAGGAGACTTGTAGTATACTTTAGGAGAAGGTGAGTAGTATGGTGGTGATGGAGAACTGTAAACATATGGTGGTGGAGGAGATTTGTAGTATACTTTAGGAGATGGTGAGTAATATGGTGGTGGTGGGGAACTGTAGACATATGGTGGTGGAGAAGATTTGTATACAATTTTTGGAGAAGGAGAATAGCATGGAGGCGGTGGTGGACAGACGCATACATGTGGGTGTGGTGGAGATTTGTAATGAACTTTAGGAGATGGTGAGTAGTATGGTGGTGGAGGAGAACTGTAAACATATGGTGGTGGGGGAGACTTGTAGTGTACCTTAGGGGATGGAGAGTAATATGGTGGTGGTGGGGAACTGTAGACATATGGTGGTGGAGGAGACTTATAGTGTACCTTAGGTGCGGGAGAGTAGTATGGTGGTGGTGGGGAACTGTAGACATATGGTGGGGGAGGGGACTTGTAGTCTACCTTTGGAGAAGGAGAGTAGTATGGTGGTGGTGGGGAACTGTAGACATACGGTGGTGGAGGAGACTTATAGTGTACCTTAGGTGCGGGAGAGTAGTATGGTGGTGGTGGGGAACTGTAGACATATGGTGGGGGAGGGGACTTGTAGTCTACCTTTGGAGAAGGAGAGTAGTATGGTGGTGGTGGGGAACTGTAGACATATGGTGGTGGAGGAGACTTATACACAACCTTAGGAGATGGTGAGTAATATGGTGGTGGTGGAGAACTGTATACATATGGTGGTGGAGGAGACTTGTAATCTACCTTAGGAGATGGTGAGTAATGTGGTGGTGGTGGAGAACTGTATACATACGGTGGTGGAGGAGACTTGTATACAACCTTGGGGGATGGAGAGTAGTATGGTGGTGGTGGAGAACTGTAGACATATGGTGGAGGAGGAGACTTGTAAACTATCTTAGGAGATGGTGAGTAATATGGTGGTGGTGGAGAACTGTAGACATACGGTGGTGGAGGAGATTTGTAGTCTACTTTCGGGGATGGAGAGTAGTATGGTGGTGGTGGGGAACTGTATACATACGGTGGTGGAGGAGACTTGTAGTCTACCTTAGGGATGGTGAGTAATATGGTGGTGGTGGGGAACTGTATACATACGGTGGTGGAGGAGATTTGTAATCTACTTAGGGGAGGAGAGTAGTATGGTGGTGGTGGGGAACTGTATACATATGGTGGTGGAGGAGACTTGTATCACCTTAGGCGAGGGAGAGTAGTATGGTGGTGGTGGGGAACTGTATACATATGGTGGTGGAGGAGACTTGTAATCCACCTTAGGTGAGGGAGAGTAGTATGGTGGTGGTGGTGGGGAACTGTAAACATATGGTGGTGGAGGAGACTTGTATCAACCGGAGATGGGAGTAGTATGGTGGTGGTGGAGAACTGTAGACATATGGTGGTGGAGGAGACTTGTAATCAACCTTTGGAGAGGGAGAGTAATATGGTGGTGGTGGAGAACTGTAAACATATGGTGGTGGAGGGGATTTGTATCAACCTTAGGGAGGAGAGTAGGTGGTGGTGGTGGAGAACTGTAGACATATGGGGGTGGAGGAGATTGTACTCTACCTTGGGAGATGGTGAATAGTATGGGGGTGGTGGTGGAGAGTTGTATTCAACCGGGGATGGTGAATAGTATGGTGGTGGTGGTGGGGAGCTGTAGACATATGGTGGTGGAGGAGACTTGTACTCTACCTTAGGAGATGGTGAGTATGTGGGTGGTGGAGGAGAACTGTAGACATATGGTGGTGGAGGAGACTTGTAGTCGACTTTAGGTGATGGAGAGTAATATGGTGGTGGTGATGGTGAATTGTAGACAGATGGTGGAGGAGGTGATTTGTATTCTACATCCGGGGATGGTGAATATGATGGTAGTGGTGGTAAGCTATTCGTGTATGGTTCATACGCAACAACCATTGTTGCCATGATGATAATTCCTAGAGCGGAAAGAAGATGGGCTGAAGGCCCCATCCTAGGAGAAGATCTCATGGTGATATTGCTTTTCTTTACCAACGTCTTACGTTGGCTAGTGTTTCTTGTTTTGGTTTGTGTTGTAAGGAAATGGATCATTGGTTTATATAGCAAAATTTTCTTTTAATCAAGCTTGTCTTCTCTCTTTTGCCATTTGTTTTTTGGCTCCATCAAACTAAATCGTGGAAGCATGTTTACACGATGCTAGTCTGAGACGTGCAAGAACGTTTAATGAATGTCAATGAGCCACTTTCCATTTTCTAATCACAAGTTCAGGAAGAATTTGTTTAGATGCATTGTTTTGGTAAAAAAAAAAATAAACATTGTTTTGTTCATTGACCAAGTTCGTTTATTATTCAATATTTTTTTTTGTGGACCACGCATTTAATTCTTAGTTGTCATTGGTTCTGCATTATTATGGACTAGATTAAGGCCCGCGTATACACGGGTATATATTAAGATTTTATAATAAAAGTATAGAAAATATTAAACAAAATTTGATCATTTTTAAACGTAAACAAAATAATATTGAAAACCCGATAAAAAATATTTAATAAAATAAGATTTGTAATACTTTTACATTTTTATTGTAATTGATTTTTCTTTTGAATTTCTGATATTAAAAAAATGAATTAATTTGTTTTACTATTGTTTTTATCCAATACAGAAAGACTTACACATGTCTAAATCTGATCAACTGATTAATTAATCAAACTTTTATTATTCCATTCAAGAGATTTTAATTGATGAAATCTTTATTTCAATTTTTTTAACCTAACAAAAATTGAAAATCAAACTATTTAAAATTAGAATATCAATTATAATTTTTTAATATTAGTTAATTGGTTTGATAATTATTTTGTTAGTTTTCTATTTATATTTTTTCGTTCTCAATTTTGTTTTTGCCTTAGACCATTATAAATACTATATATTGGTATTTTTCCTTTTCGTTTTTTTTTTCTTTTTAATAGATGTAACAAAAGAATTTAAATTATTTTTTCTTTTATGGATGTATTATTTTTCATTTTAATTATTTGTTATCTGTTTTTCTAATTTTTCGTTAGTCTTATACATATTATTTTTTTTATTATTTTTATTCCATGACACATGTTACGATTTTCATACTTCCAGAATTTTTTTCTTTCTAAAACACATGTCGCATTTTTGTGAGTTATAAAATCCTATGTATCGCAAGACTTTCAAATACATGATTTTTAAATTGGAGAAATAGAATCAAAGGGATTTGATGAATTTTCTTTGATGAATTTATGATTGAGAAACCTTGACTATCTTTTATAGGGGTTCAAGTAACCAATTACATGTAGTTATAGGAAATTTAGTCTACATAACATATTCCATATACAAATAGAATTTTATTTATTATATTATTTTGATTTTATTATTTGTTTGGATAATATTAATTTGATGAATGGGAAACCTTTCTCTATTAGGATATCACCAATATATTTTTATTTCTTTTAAATTCTTTATCTAATTTTTATTTTATTATTATTTTTTTTTTTTTTCTCTAAGGCATGTGTCACGATCTTAACGGACATAACATTAGAAGTGACACATGTCGCGATCTTATAAATTATAAAAATCCTATGTATCGCAACCACGCCGTACGCATCTAATTTTATATAATAAAAATTTGATAATGAGATATCACCAATATATTTTTATTTCTTTTAACTATAATGGACTAATTTTTTTTTTAATTTCCTTTATCTAAAATTTTTATTATTATTATTATTTTTTTCTCTACGGCATGTGTCACGATCTTAACGGACATAACATTAGAAGTGACACATGTCGCGATCTTATAAATTATAAAAATCCTATGTATCGCAACCACGCCGTACGCATCTAATTTTATATAATAAAAATTTGATGAATGGGAAACCTTTTTCTGTTTGGATTTGGCAAATATTATTTTTTTCCTTTTTGATATAAAAACTAAAATTAAATTTCGTTTTTTTTAATTAACATTTTTCTGATTTTTTTTTTTAAGTTCTTCTTTTTTTCCTAAAACACGTGTCACGATCTTAACGGTTTTAAGTGACATATGTCGCGATCCTGAATTTTATAAAAATCCTACGTGTCGCAACCACGTCGTGCGCATTCAGCTTTATATAATAAAATTGTATTTTCCTTTTAACAATTACAAAAGTATATTACATGAATGCTCATGAACACTTTTGAGTTTTACACCTACATATACATTATTGTTATCAGGTGAGTTTTGCAAACAAAATTAGGTGGTTAAGACATAAAATTTTTGCTGCTCACCACATATCGATTTTAATTTGTTGGTTAAACAAATCAGTTTGTTTATGGTTCCGCTGGTTTAAAAAGATGGTAGGTTTTAAAGTTTGATGAAAATCGCGAAACGGAGAGAGTATAATTTTGAATGTGTTGTTTATGAATCTATATAATTGTTTATTTGTTGTAAATCATTTCGCATTCATGTTTTTTTTATGGGTCCCTTTTTTTTATCTATAAACCTACTATATTACATCCAACTGAAAGGTAATATACATAAGTGATTCGTGAAAACAAAAAAACTAATAAACTTTGAAATATTACAAGAAATTTATTTTAATGTCAATTTAGAAAAAATAAATAAATTATATGTTTATAATAAAATAATAACAATAGTAAAGGTGTTCGTTTTCAGAAAAGGGTGTATTTTTCAAAATAATTAGTACTATGAATTATACAAATCACAAACCATTGAGAACTTTTTGAAGAAGAAAGAACAAACCGTTGAGAATTAAGAGTTAAATACGTCAACATCTAAAGTGACCCAAGAAAAGTAATAATGAATAAACTAGCTCAATGAGAACATGACCAAAATAAAGTATACATGATATAAAACAAATTCTTCCTGAACTTGTGATTAGAAAATGGAAAGTGGCTCATTGACATTAATTAAACGTTCTTGCACGTCTCAGACTAGCATCGTGTAAACATGCTTCCACGATTTAGTTTGATGGAGCCAAAAAACAAATGGCAAAAGAGAGAAGACAAGCTTGATTAAAAGAAAATTTTGCTATATAAACCAATGATCCATTTCCTTACAACACAAACCAAAACAAGAAACACTAGCCAACGTAAGACGTTGGTAAAGAAAAGCAATATCACCATGAGATCTTCTCCTAGGATGGGGCCTTCAGCCCATCTTCTTTCCGCTCTAGGAATTATCATCATGGCAACAATGGTTGTTGCGTATGAACCATACACGAATAGCTTACCACCACTACCATCATATTCACCATCCCCGGATGTAGAATACAAATCACCTCCTCCACCATCTGTCTACAATTCACCATCACCACCACCATATTACTCTCCATCGCCTAAAGTCGACTACAAGTCTCCTCCACCACCATATGTCTACAGTTCTCCTCCACCACCAACATACTCACCATCTCCTAAGGTAGAGTACAAGTCTCCTCCACCACCATATGTCTACAGCTCCCCACCACCACCACCATACTATTCACCATCCCCGGTTGAATACAACTCTCCACCACCACCCCCATACTATTCACCATCTCCCAAGGTAGAGTACAAATCTCCTCCACCCCCATATGTCTACAGTTCTCCACCACCACCATCCTACTCTCCTTCTCCTAAGGTTGACTACAAGTCCCCTCCACCACCATATGTTTACAGTTCTCCACCACCACCATATTACTCTCCCTCTCCAAAGGTTGATTACAAGTCTCCTCCACCACCATATGTCTACAGCTCCCCACCACCACCCCCATACTATTCACCATCGCCGGTTGAATACAAGTCTCCTCCACCACCATATGTTTACAGTTCCCCACCACCACCACCATACTACTCTCCCTCACCTAAGGTGGATTACAAATCTCCTCCACCACCGTATGTATACAGTTCCCCACCACCACCATACTACTCTCCCTCACCTAAGGTAGACTACAAGTCTCCTCCACCACCATATGTATACAGTTCCCCACCACCACCATACTACTCTCCATCCCCGAAAGTAGATTACAAATCTCCTCCACCACCGTATGTATACAGTTCCCCACCACCACCATACTACTCTCCATCCCCGAAAGTAGACTACAAATCTCCTCCACCACCGTATGTCTACAGTTCTCCACCACCACCATATTACTCACCATCTCCTAAGGTAGTTTACAAGTCTCCTCCTCCACCATATGTCTACAGTTCTCCACCACCACCATACTACTCTCCATCCCCCAAGGTTGTATACAAGTCTCCTCCACCACCGTATGTATACAGTTCTCCACCACCACCACATTACTCACCATCTCCTAAGGTAGATTACAAGTCTCCTCCACCACCATATGTATACAGTTCTCCACCACCACCATATTACTCACCATCTCCTAAGGTTGTGTACAAGTCTCCTCCACCACCATATGTCTACAGTTCTCCACCACCACCATACTACTCTCCTTCTCCAAAGGTAGACTACAAGTCCCCTCCCCCACCATATGTCTACAGTTCCCCACCACCACCATACTACTCTCCCCCCTAAGGTAACTACAAGTCTCCTCCACCACCGTATGTCTACAGTTCCCCACCACCACCATACTACTCTCCTTCCCAAAGGTAGACTACAAGTCTCCTCCACCACCATATGTCTACAGTTCCCCACCACCACCATACTACTCTCCCGCACCTAAGGTACACTATAAGTCTCCTCCACCACCATATGTCTACAGTTCCCCACCACCACCATATTACTCTCCATCCCCTAAGGTACACTACAAGTCTCCCCCACCACCATATGTTACAGTTCTCCTCCACCACCATACTACTCACCATCTCCTAAAGTTCATTACAAATCTCCACCACACCCACATGTATGCGTCTGTCCACCACCGCCTCCATGCTATTCTCCTTCTCCAAAAATTATATACAAATCTTCTCCACCACCATATGTCTACAGTTCCCCACCACCACCATATTACTCACCATCTCCTAAAGTATACTACAAATCTCCTCCACCACCATATGTTTACAGTTCTCCACCACCACCATACTACTCACCTTCTCCTAAAGTATACTACAAGTCTCCTCCACCACCATATGTCTACAACTCACCACCCCCACCAGCGTACTCACCGTCCCCTAAGGTAGACTACAAGTCTCCTCCTCCACCATATGTCTACAGTTCCCCACCACCACCATACTACTCACCTTCGCCTAAGGTACACTACAAGTCTCCACCACCACCATATGTTTACAGTTCTCCACCACCACCATACTACTCACCTTCCCCAAAGGTTGACTACAAGTCTCCACCACCACCATATGTCTACAGTTCCCCACCACCACCATACTACTCTCCATCCCCTAAGGTAGACTACAAGTCTCCACCACCACCATATGTCTACAGTTCCCCACCTCCACCGTACTACTCACCTTCCCCTAAGGTAGACTACAAATCTCCCCCACCACCATATGTCTACAGTTCCCCACCCCCACCATATTACTCACCTTCCCCTAAGGTAGACTACAGGTCTCCACCACCACCTTCATATTACTGAAAACCAGTAAATGCAGTTCTTGATTAAGCTACCATGTTTTACTTGATTTCATTTTCTTCTTTGTTTTTGGATATTGTTTGTATCCTATCAATTTGTATTTTCTTGGAGACCTGAATTCCTAATTTGGGTGTAATACCTTTATATTGTTTATTTATGCCTTTGTATTCCTTTGCCATATACGATTATGCATTGCGTATTCTTGACTTGGTAGATTTGGATAACTATGTAAGCCTCCAACATGAGTTATGTATATGGAATATTAATGCATGGACTTTTAAATTTGATAATCTTGTTCGCAAACTTTATTTTTTTCTATAACTTACGCTAGAAATGGAGTTAAAACCATTCATCCCTGCGTTATTTCAGTATGACTCCGAAAAATACATTGACCTAGCGTTACTTTTTAATGCGACAACACCACTGATTTTCTTTTCATTTAGTAAGTATCGTCGTGCTGTCTTTATTTGTGATGTTTACTTGGCATCAAGCTACGGAACAAGGCTTATGTTGTGAACATGTAAGAACCGCAAACTTTTAACCCGAACCCTACCCATCTTGCTTTGTAAAACTTAAATGGAACTAGATTTAAAGATGTATGTATCGATTACTAATTTACTATCTGTGAAGCTCAAGAGCTCTCTATACAGTCATGTGATATCTCTGCTTCTTCTTATTTTATTATCCTCTCATGCTGATGATGTTATAGCATTAGTGTGGTATTGAGAAGCTTGTCAATGTGTCTCTTTTTATCTAATATCGAGTTGCAGCCAAGATTCCAAGAAATTCATGTAAGTTAACACAAATAGAAATTTGCACCATGTGAAAACAGGAAGAAGACATAGGTTTTGAGCTCATTCGCTTTTTTTTTTTTTTTATTTTTGTTTCCTTTCTTTGCGTGCAATAATACCATGATTTAGTTTACTGAAAGACTAAGACTATTGATCTCAGGAAGGATCAAGAGACCTGAACTTTGAGAGGCCGTAGTGGTGAAAAAAATCTTAAGAGACAAGTTATTATCTGTTTACTTTTATTCTTGACAATGTCGGAACACCCATCCAATATACTTTTGGAGGATCTATACTCTTTAATTATCCTCAAAGACAAATTAGGGTTGGTACTTGGTAGATGAAGGAATAACAACATGCTTGAGCCGCTCCCAACACTAAGCCTAGGTTTTTCAGTTTCCTTCAGTATGGGCTTGGGAAAATAGACCTCAAGTAGGATCATATTTTTTTTTTTAAAGTTACCGATTTGGTTTGGAACTACATATGGTGGTTCAAATATTCAATCCTAGGTAACTTTTTTTTTTATCTTTTAGGAAAAAATAATTAATTACATTAATTATTACTGTAAGTTTTAGGTATATTTAAATTTATTTTAATATGTTTGACAAAATTTTGTTTTGAATTAATTTCAATTAACTCGACTAATTTGTTCGGTTGAGACAAATTAAGGTTTGGTTTGGGTTCACTTAATAAATATATTAAAATTTGGCTTTAGTTTAGTTTGACGAGTTTTGAGTTGGCCACGGCCCACGGGTATAGTCAGGGTCAATCACAACGTTGGACCTTTTCAAAGAGAGATCTATGAGTGCTATTTTTTTAAGTTTGTGGGTATTCACCTCAATCGTGTTTCCATTATAGATTTTCTTAACAGTTTCGACTTCTTCTATATTTTTTACTCACGATTTCCCAATATTAATGTATATTGTACATGAGCATTCCACACCTTTGGCCACTTGGAGATCAACTTAAGAAAATATTATATCAATATTGAGTCCTTTTCATTTACAAGATTAATCACATGCATGGTTGGTTTTACTGCATGTAGAACAAAATGAACAAAATGATTCATCCATGATATAGTAATTTTTCTTGAGCTTGTGAATAAAAAAATTGGAAAGTATGTCGTTGACGTTCACTAAACGTTATTGCACGTCTCACACAAGCATCGTGTAAACCTGCCTCCACGATTTAGTTGGATCGATTCCAAACAACGAGGCAAAAGGAATAATACAGCTTGATTTAGAGAAAAGCTTTGTTATAAAAACCCAAGAACTCATTCCCTCATACAGAAACCTAACAAGAAAAACTAACTAACCCTAGTTAAGCGTTGGTAAAGAAAAGCAAAATCACACATGAGATCTTTTTCTATGAAGGGGCCTTCAGCCCATCTTACTTACGCTCTAGGAGTTATCATCATGGCAACAATGGTTGCAGCGTATGAACCATCATACCCGAATATCTTGCCACCACTTCCATCTTATTCACCATCCCCGAATGTAGAATACAAATCACCTCCCCCACCATCTGTCTACAATTCTCCATCACCACCACCATATTACTCTCCATCACCCAAGGTCGATTACAAGTCTCCTCCACCACCATATGTTTACAGCTCCCCACCACCACCCCCATACTATTCACCATCGCCGGTTGAATACAAGTCTTCTCCACCACCGTATGTATACAGTTCCCCACCACCACCATACTACTCTCCATCACCTAAGGTAGATTACAAATCTCCTCCACCACCGTATGTATACAGTTCCCCACCACCACCATACTACTCTCCCTCCCCTAAGGTAGACTACAAATCTCCACCACCACCATATGTATACAATTCCCCACCACCACCATACTACTCGCCATCCCCTAAAGTTGACTACAAATCTCCTCCACCACCATATGTCTATAGTTCCCCACCACCACCATACTACTCTCCCTCGCCTAAGGTAGACTACAAGTCTCCTCCACCACCATATGTTTATAGCTCACCACCCCCACCATCGTACTCACCTTCCCCAAAGGTTGAGTATAAGTCTCCACCACCACCATATGTTTACAGTTCCCCACCACCACCATACTACTCGCCATCCCCTAAAGTAGACTACAAATCTCCACCACCACCATATGTTTACAGTTCTCCACCACCACCATACTACTCACCACCAAAGGTTGACTACAAGTCTCCACCACCACCATATGTCTACAGTTCCCCACCACCACCATACTACTCCCCATCCCCTAAAGTAGACTACAAATCTCCACCACCACCATATGTTTACAGTTCTCCACCACCACCATACTACTCACCTTCCCCAAAGGTTGATTACAAGTCTCCACCACCACCATATGTCTACAGTTCCCCACCACCACCATACTACTCCCCATCCCCTAAAGTAGACTACAAATCTCCTCCACCACCATATGTCTACAGCTCACCACCACCACCATACTACTCACCTTCACCTAAGGTACACTACAAGTCTCCTCCACCACCATATGTCTATAGTTCCCCACCACCACCATATTACTCTCCATCACCTAAGGTAGACTACAAGTCTCCTCCACCACCATATGTCTACAGTTCCCCACCACCACCATACTACTCCCCATCCCCTAAAGTAGACTACAAATCTCCTCCACCACCATATGTCTACAGCTCACCACCACCACCATACTACTCACCTTCACCTAAGGTACACTACAAGTCTCCTCCACCACCATATGTCTACAGTTCCCCACCCCCACCATATTACTCTCCATCACCTAAGGTAGACTACAAGTCTCCTCCACCACCATATGTCTACAGTTCCCCACCCCCACCATCATACTCACCTTCACCTAAGGTACACTACAATTCTCCTCCACCACCATATGTCTACAGTTCCCCACCACCACCATATTACTCTCCTTCCCCTAAGGTACACTACAAGTCTCCCCCTCCACCATACGTCTACAGTTCCCCACCACCACCATACTACTCACCATCCCCTAAGGTTCATTACAAATCTCCACCACACCCACATGTATGCGTGTGTCCACCACCACCTCCATGCTATTCTCCTTCTCCAAAGACTGTATACAAATCTCCTCCATCGTATGTCTACAATTCTCCACCACCACCATACTACTCACCATCCCCTAAGGTATACTATAAATCTCCTCCACCACCATACGTCTACAGTTCTCCACCACCACCATATTACTCACCATCCCCTAAAGTAGACTACAAGTCTCCACCACCACCTTCATACTACTAAGAATAATAAATGCAAGTCTTAAATAACCTACCAAGTTTTATTTGATTTCATCTCGCTTTTTACTTGATATGTTTGTTTCCAATCAATTTCAATTCTCGTGGAGACCTGGATTCATAATTTGGGTACGATATCTTAAAGTGGTTTCATGTTTTGTATTTTTTTTTTCTTTTTGTAAAGATTGCTTGCAATCTATATGTATTCCTTTGCAATTGCAAATTGCGATTATATATCGTGTATTCTTGACTTGGTAGTTGGATAACTATTTAATCCTTTTAAATGAGTTTTCTCTATGGCTTGCATACCTGCATTATTCAAAATTGCAATTCTATCGTAATTTTGTTTGTAAAACAATGACTATTCGACAAAGTTTAGCCAGAAAAAACTAGCACTAACATCTGCAAACCCAAATTCCAAAACCAGTGACTAAGCACCATGTGGGAGATGAAACCAACGGTGCTTGCATCGTTTCAACTTGACGCCAACGTTACATAAACTCTATTTGAATCATGACAAAAGAAACTCAATTTCAAATCGTTTAAGACCATATCACCTAGCGAATTTTCACCATCTTAAACTTATGGAAGACACTTCAAGCTTGCAACTAACATGGGAACAAAGCCTTAACACCTTGTGAGTCAGCAAAATATGAACTTTTTTTTTTTTTGAAAATGAATGATGGCATTTAGTGAAGTATAAGATTGTTCCAGGCGTGTGATTTGAACACTGTCCTCTTCATATACAGGCTCTTATTAAATCCAGACATCTAAGAGAGAATGGGACCAAATGATTTCGTTTGTTATTAAACACTGAAAATGGTTTACTTGACAGAAGCTAATAAATCAGAAGAGCATGCAAATTCCAAGCAACCCAATTAACATATCCTGATTAAGCAAAGACAACATTTGCTCAAACGACAATCCTAAAGAGTTAAAATTAACTCATGTACACCTGAGGATGTCCAATAGAAAGCAATACTAAACGAAGGAACTAAGAAATGGGAAAAGTCCAGAGACTAAACAAACACAAACACCATAAAGCTACTAACTAAGCAAGCCACATAAAACCTCAGTGCCTAAAGAAAACAAAATCACTCCTTGGTGGTTTTGTTGATGAGAGACTTGTGGATGTGAGGGATCACACCTCCTCCAGCGATTGTTCCTTTGATGAGCGTGTCGAGCTCCTCATCTCCTCTGATTGCCAACTGCAAATGCCTCGGAGTGATTCTCTTCACTTTCAGATCTTTGCTCGCGTTCCCAGCCAACTCAAGAACTTCTGCAGTTAGGTACTCCAGAATCGAAGCCGTGTAGACAGCAGCAGTGGCTCCAACCCTTCCGTGTGCTGAAACTCTGGTCTTGAGCTGCCTGTGAATACGACCCACTGGAAACTGAAATAACCAAAAAAGAAACAGCCTCCATGTTAAATTCCATAAACTTAAGAATGCAAAGAAACCCTACACATATTATAAGATTGATCTTTCTGCTTGTATATCATAACAGAGAAGCCATAAGTGAAAAAGCAAAACAGAATATGTATGGTAAGCAAAAAAGTCTATAACTTTAATTCAGTGAATTCAACAATATCAATCAATTTACACACTAACAAAAAGCTCTATATCCTGCAAGATAAATTCCTCGCTTCAACATAGAAAACACATACACAGACGTAGATCTTATCCTCAAGATCTGAATTTGAACACATAATTATCAAATTTTTTCAAGGAATAACAACATCGCTCTTTCTAATTACAATTAGGGTAGAGACAGAGTCAAAGAAGTCGAATTTACAACATCCCAAAGAAGCTAGGGTTTGAGGGAAGTACCTGAATACCAGCACGAGCAGAGCGAGACGTGGGTTTCTTCTTGTCCTTGTCTTTGTTACCAGCCATCGTCTTCCCAGCTACGAGCCCTTTCCCTCCCTTTCCTGCCATGTTCGCTGAAATTGAACCTTGTCTTCTTCTGGATCTAACCGTACATAGTCAAACAAAAACAAGAAAACCATCAGAAAATCAAGAGAATGGACCAGATCTATCGCAGAAGCATGAAGATTACTATCGAAGAACACAAGATCTGAAAGCGTTTTGTAGAGAAGACACAAAACAGAGCCCGATTTGTGGAGAGAGTGAGAAGGGAGAAGAGAGAAGTTAACCTGAGACGACGAGACGGAGTGGAGAGAATTGGAAGGAGGAAGAAAACGAAATCTGGGTAGAAATGGATGGGAGGGGAGTTTTAATATTGGAAGTTTGGTGGGAGTTTTAAAATGTTTTTAAAATTTTGGGGGGAACTTACGCGTGGGGCCCTTGGCGGGTAAAATTTTTGTTTGGAGCTTTAGAAATTGTTTTCACATATTGCAATTATGCCCTCCATATCTCAGAAAACGTTTTATTGCGCTTCTAAAATAGCAACGGTGCTTAGTAGTAAACGATAACATTTATGTGAAGTATATATTATAAGGTTGATAAAACAAATGAGAAAGAGAGACATGAAATCAAACATCCACGTTAATTTTCTTTGTGAATTCATATGTCGAATAATTCTAGAATCCAAAGGAGTAATTTGAGGTATCGCTTTGTTTGTGGTTTTTCAAATATTATTGCTTTTTTGTTATTTCAAAAACTGTTTTTTTTTTCACCCGATCAAGATTTTGAAACTTTTTACCCGAAAACTGAGGAAAGCTAGATTTCAGAAAATATCTGCCACAAATTAAATAAATCACCAATCTAACGGAAGTGAACGAGGAAAAATATTGCATTCCTGTTAAAAGATTCTTAAATTTGTATGGAACACACATAATTCTTCTTCATTTTTTTGTACGAGGAATTATAGAACAAAAACGTCTTTTATCACAATTGGTAAAGAACAAATTGTTCGATTCCTTCTAATTTGTTTTCACTAGTTCTTCTTACTTCTTAGAGCCAAAGTATCCCTTTTTTTAGAAGGAATGGGAAACATGTTCGTTTTCATTCTCTTATCTGAATATATGCATTCATTATTATTAGTGGAGATTGTAACAATTAATGTTGACTTTCATACATAACTAATGATGATATTCACCTCAAATTATACAAGAGCTAGCTTTAAACGAGCAATGGAAGAAAATGAGTTCACGGAAACATTATAAAATGTCATTTCATATATCACATACTTTCGAACACCAAATTTTCACTGTCTTGATTCTCAACATTGTGTATTATACTATTATGTTAGGTTGAATATGGTGCAAGAGAAGATGTGTTGCCTACTTTGGCACTTATTAAGATTTGAGACTGTTAGGGCTTATCTCTCTTAACTTTTGCTTTGTGGTTAATGAATTGTTAAGGACTTTATGACTTGTGTTCGTTTCTCGTCTTAAATGGATTAGGATTATGATTATCTTATTTGATTTGTAGACAATACAATCTACACTAAATGAATCAAGTATTATAATGTTTTTGAATTTTGACTATATTATTTATGTGTTCAAATTTGTATTAATTTTAAGGTAGTACAGTTATTACATATAGATTCACATTAAAAAATTTACTTATGATTTAAAAGATATTATTGACTAATCTAGGTGTAAACCGGGGTCGGTACACTGTTTAACTTGAAAAGCGGTTTTATGATCTATTCAATAATAAGTTGACGCGTAGTTAATAGCCATTAGAGAGCTGCCTTATATGTCATATATGAAAAAATGTGTGAGAAGTCTTCTTCTCCTATATAAGAGTACTGAGAGATCGACCAAAACCTAATCTCTCATAAAATTTCCCTTCTTTCATAAGGTTTCCCAATTTCTTTCTTGCCAGATTAAAGTTTCAAGTTCTAGTTTTGTATGCATTCTAGTTCTCATCATCCACGATTTTTGAATCCGTTTTTTAAATAAAATATATATATTCAAAAGAATTGCTGCTTTTGTGTCTTCATTTATTTGTTTCTCTAATTTTTACTCAACCTTTGATGTCAAACTTGAAAAGTTTATGAATGATTAGTTTTGTTTGGCTGAATTATAATGATCATATGTGTATGAGTTTGCTCAACTAACTTTTCTTATTTCTCTTGATTATAAAATTTATTAAATCTTATTTGTGTCTTCTCTTAGATTTTTTTGCTAGATCGTGTTTCACTTCTCTTATATTTTTTTGCAGTTACAAAAAAAATTTCCCTCCTAAGGTTTCTTTTAATAAAAATTTGAAAAAAATGCCTTTTGGAGCCAAAATCCAACCAATTGTCGGCGATGGTGCAGCAAAGGAGCCTGCAGCGGTGAGGCAAATACCAAGAACTAGACTAAGGCAGCTCTTTGATCGCCCTTTCAGCTTAAAAAACTTATCCATAGGCGATCACTCGCTTTCAAAAGGCGATTTAGGAGAAATTGACCCGACCTCTCTCTGTTTGAGTAACATGGTCAGAAACTACATGGAGGATCCCGACAGTGGGAAAAAACATTGTCGTGGCCGCAATGGCTGCAACAACTGTTTTAGCGGGAGCGGGAGTGGCAGTGATAGTGATACTGATAGCTCCGAGGAAGATGAAGAATCCTCTTTCAGCGAGTTTCTTCGAACGGTCAAGGTATACAAACTTTACAATGTTTACGCTAATGGTTGATGTGTAGAAAGGCTAAGAAAATTATATTTGTATACAAACTAAATTTACAATATTTTTTTTTTGTAGAATCTGCTTCTTTGTGCTACCGTCTCCGAGGGAGAGAGGAATCTGGTGACAAAAGCGACAGAGATCGTCGAGAAAAACAATCATGATTCACAGTTGCAAACTCTCGTTGATGAGTTGGTGGCTTTAGGCTACGATGCTGCTATATGCAAATCTCACTGGGGGGACTCGAGGAAGATTGTTTGCCATGCTGGTACGTTTTCTCCAAATTTTTAAATCTCATTCTTTGCATTAAGTTGAAAATATGTTTGGTATAACAATTGTGAGAAGAAAAAAAATTGGTGACAGGAGAATATGAGTATCTGGATGTAATGATAGGAGGAGAGAGAGTGTTGATCGACGTTGATTTCAAGTCGAAATTCGAGATTGCTCGTCCGACCAAGAAGTATAAGACTATATCAGAGACACTTCCTTATGTTTTTGTGGGACAAGTGGATCGGCTGAAGAAGGTTGTGGTAGTTGTGTCTAAAGCTGCAAAGAAGAGCATGTTGAAGAAGGGGCTTCATGTGCCACCATGGAGGAGGGCAAAGTATCTCTTAACAAAATGGTTGTCTCCTTATGATCGTGCTAACCAAAGTAAAGGAGAACCTAAAGAACCAATGGAGACAGTGGCGGATCCCAACAAACAAATTGAGTGAGACAAAAAAAAAACAAATGAAATTTGTCTTTTTAAAAATGTGATTTCTCTTAATAAATGTAATTTACTTTCTCTCAATGTGGTTTTTGAAATTAAAAATTCCAAAAAATCACTTAAGTATGCATTACTCTTTACTGAATCATCATATTCATCTGTAGGAATTTGTTGCTAATACAAACAGAATGTATAAGCGTAAACGCCAGTGTTTCAAGACAAGAGAGAATTTTCAGACAGCTAAGTTTTCCCCTAAAACATAATACTACACTCAGATATGTAATATGGGGAAGACAAATGTATATGGTATCATGTCATTAACACACAGATGATGAAAACACAATATCTCTGAAATAAAATTTGTCCAAAACTTTTCAAGTCTGTAGAGTGAATATGAAACGAGTAATGAGTTTTACCTTTAGAAGCCAACAACAAAACTTCATCACTCATCAACCTCTGCTCTGATTTCTCTTTGGAGATCTTCTTTGTACTCTTCAAATGTGCCATCGAAGAAAGACACTGTTCCGTCTTCCACAACCCAGATTTGACTCTTCTCCTCATTCTCACAGACACGTGAAATGAGTCTCGAGTCGTGACTCACCAGCACAACTCCTCCACTGAACTCGTCTAGTGCATCTGCCAACGCATCTATACTCTGCATGTCCAAGTGATTCGTAGGCTCGTCAAGAAGCAAAATGTGTGGCTTCGACATTGAGATCGAGGTGAACACGACCCTAGCTTTTTGTCCACCAGACAATTTCGCAATCGGAGTCAAGTGGTTGTGACTTGGCAGCCCAAACTTCCCTAGCTTCGCACGCACAGCCTCTTGCTTGCTAAATCCCTCTTGGTCTGGATGAAGGCGGAGAAGATACTGAACCGGTGTTTCCCCCATTGTTAACAGGTCAACAAAGTGCTGTGAATATCTGCCAATCCTCAGCTTTTGGCTTCTTCTCTGTTCACCCTCGGTTGGAACTAAATCTCCAGCAAGAAGATTCAAGAGAGTGGATTTCCCAGCTCCGTTAGGTCCAACTATAGCCACCCTTGTACCCATATCGATACCAACATCAACATTTGCGAGCCTGAAATCTGGCCTGCTTGGGTAGCAGAAGCTAACCTCAATCAACTGCAGAAGAGGAGGAGTGAGCTCGGTTGGTTCTGGAAAATGGAACTCCACGCTGTAATCTCTCCACTTCCTCGGAGCTTCCGGTGCTGGGCCGTCCTCATCGATCGCCTTACCCTTTGCCTTACTCTTCGACGCATCTTTCGCCGCAGCAAACTTGGCCCTGTCCTTTACCTTCTCCTGTTGAACCCGGTTTCCAGACTTCTTAGCCGCTCTCACCTGTTTCTCGTAGACCTCAAACTTCTTGTTCATCTCCTTGCGTCGCTGATCATATCCACTTTCGAAAGCATCAAAGTTACCGCGGTAGAAGTGGAGGTTCTGGTCATGCAAATGTATTATATCAGTGCAGACAGTGTTGAGGAAGTCCCGGTCATGTGAAACAACAACCAACGTCTTCTTCCAGCGACACAGATACTCCTCTAGCCAGAGAACAGCTCTCAGGTCAAGATGGTTGGTGGGTTCATCTAACAGCAACAGAGTAGGCTGCACAAAGAGAGCTCTAGCTAAAGATATTCTCATCCTCCAGCCACCACTGAACGACTGAGTTGCACGGACTTGCATTTCCTTTGTGAAACCTAACCCTGCAAGAATTTTGGCTGCTTGTCCTTCAGCAGCGTCTGACCCCAATATCTGTAACCTCTCATACAAATCAGCAAGCTTTTCTCCAGAATCATCATCTTCGCCGTCTCCGTCAGCTCCAGCAGACGAATCCTGCAGAGATTCAACTTCTTTCCTCACCTTAACCAACTCCTCATTGGCAGAAACAACTGCTTCCAGAGCACTCTTTTCATCACCGACCACCTCTTGCTCAACAAGAAGAACATCAATATTCTTGGGGACTGGAATCTTCCTCCATGCTAAAAGCTTCAACAGCGTAGACTTCCCCATTCCATTAGGCCCGACCAAACCATACCTTTTCCCATGTGATATCTTCACAGAGGCATTCTTCAAAAGCTCTTTACCTCGAGCAGAGACAGAGAAAGAATCGATGGTGATATCTTTCACATTCGCATCCGCCGTGTCCTCTCCTTCAAGCACCGAAGTCTTGCTTCCGATAACAACCGTGAACGCGTCATGGTCGTCCTTCAAAGCCTCTCTCTTTGCAAGCTCTAGAGCCTGGAGAGCTTGTCTTTCTTTCATCTCACGCTTCTTTTGCTCCTTATCGGTCACAGAGATCTCAAGATGCCTATGCTCGCTCTTCAGCTTTCTCTTTTCTTCCGCTTGTCTCGCTTCCTCATCAGAGTCGACCTCGTCTTCTTCATCAGAAGGAGGAAGATCTATGTCATCAGTGTAGGAGGAACCTTTCTTTGCAACCGTCTTGGCTCTGGATGATGAAGCCTTCTTGGGTTTATCACCTTTCTGCTCCATGCCTGCAAGCATCGCTGAGACTGATAGTTTCTCCTTTTTGGGTTCTTTAGAAGAATCTTTTCCGCTTGGCTTCGTCTTTGTGGTGGCTACACTCTCGTCTGACTTCTTCTTACCCATTTAAGACTCTAGTACCTGACATGAGGCATTAATCAAAACAAGCCGATGAGAAACAAAAATCAACTTTTACAAATACAAATTCATAAATGGGTAAACAAAAATAAGCATGTTTCTAGCATCAAATTTTAAAATTATATCTCACATTTAAAGATGAAACTTGAAGGGGAGTTTACTCGATCAGTGATTTAAAATTCTGGTATCACTCGCACGAATTTATAAGTACGAATATCAAAATATGTGTTATAATTTTGAGAAGAAATTAGGTTTACTGAAATTATCGAGAGGAAATTAGGGATTCTAACTCGATCGAGAGGATTCAATTACTGGGATTCGTTAACCTAAATTATCACTAGAAAATTTTGGATTCCAAATCTCTATACTCTGAAGAGTATATATCTAGACAAATCTAGGTGAAGTTTCTAGGAGCTGTGAAAAAAATTGAACATATCAATATTTACTTAATCTACTTTGAGATTGGAGACAAACCTGAGAGATGGCAAAACCAAAATTGAATATGGTAGAGAAGCTTGCTCTGGGGGAATTTGATGGAGAGGTTGAGGGAGGTCTGAGAGAGACAACGCGGCGCAAAAGTGAAGAAGAAGAATCACAAATCAAAGTGAAAGATGAAGAGATTGGGTTTTCGTGACCCTTTTTTCTAATTGTTAAATCAATTGGGCCCAAAGTCACATGAAAACAATTGCATAAATGTACTAACGGCGGTCAAAAAATCAGATTTTAGGCCGAATACAATGTTGTTGGCTCTATGTTTTTAATGCCGAATCTGTTATAATTCAGTGTTATTATTTCTATGATTTATAAATACTAAATTACTGATAAATCACATGTTACTAAACTAATACCCGTGCATACGCGCGGGTTTTTTTATTGTAATAGTTTTAAAAAATATATTAGAAAATAAATATAGATTTGTGATTAATATTAGAAAATCTTACCCTAATAGCACAAACATTTTAATTCCAACTTGCAAGTGTTTTCAAATATATATTTTTTGCATTATACCATATGTATGCCATCCATTTTCTTTGTTTACTCACCACCACATGGAAAGGACTCTGCTTCTCGCCAGCGCTTTTCTCTAGATCCGCTTCTTCGTATTTTAGAAGAATTTAGATATTTAATATTGATTTAAAATGGAAACTAAAAGATAATAATTTAAAAGTCATATAATAGTTTTAATAATAATAAATTAAAATATTTAAAGTTGTTAATTGAAAGGAAAATGAAAAGCTATTAATTGAAGAGAAAGAAAAATGAAAAGTTGTTAATTTAGGTTTAAAGTTATTAATTGAAAAGAATATATAAAGTTATGCCATATGTGTGTACACATGTCCAAAATATGGAGAAGGTTGACCTCTTTTCATATACTCTCTCTGTTTCATTATATAAGGGGTTTTAGTTTTTGCACAAAGATTAAGAGTCCATTTAATTTTTGTACTTTTTACAATAAAATATATTTGCTCATTAATTTCAAAACATTTCAACCAATGAAAAAATATTTTGCACAATATAAATAATCAAAAGTAACAAAAGCACATTTAATTTTGCACAAAAATTTGAAAACCCCTAATATTATGAAACAAAAGAAAAACTTCAAAACTCCTTATATTGTGAAACAAAGAGAGTATATGATTGTATATGACATAAGACATCAATAAAACAAAAACAAAAAACAATGAGTAATCAAAATCATAAAAAATTGGTGTTTTTCTTTTTCCTAGCTTCAATTACATATATTTATCAACGAGGAATCATAATCAACCAGAAACAATCATATTATCTAGCAAACAAGTCGAGAATTGCCAAAAATCAGAGTTGGTTCTAGCAAACTATTCGAGAAATTCCAAAATCATCCTGTATGACAAATTAATAGCTGGAAACAAATAATAACCAATCCCAAAGACTTTTGTTGAGAATCTCTATGTGTAATAAAAGCTCTATGTAATAGCGATCGTTAAAAAAAAAAAAGTTAAAAAACGATCGCTAAATCATTTTCTTCTTTGGTTCCATGGTTTCCCTCTCATGTGCAGAAATTGTACAATACGAAAAAACAAAATGACATTGACTGGTGTCCACTTCCATATCATTATTTGCGTTGATTTATTCAGTTTTTTTCAATATTATTCTGCAGTTGCTCTCGCATAATCTTGTAATAATCGATACATATTCCAGCGATGATAAACTTCAAATTTGAAAGAAGATAAATCTATAAATCAAAATAACTTTGCTCTTTTGATGAAAATGAATGATGGAATGTAAGCTTGTAATAAATTGTATCATTTGTACACTAGAGTTTGCTTGCGTTTTGGATCATCTTTACATGTCTCCATGCTAAACAACTCACAAAATAACATTCATCATTTTCATGCTATCTTGACGTCAATAAGCATATTGTACATATAGTATTACTACGTTTGGCCATTTATATAGGCAGCCTCATTGTTCAAAGTAGCTTGTAACCATTAAATCCAAAGTAGCAGCACCATGGGGATGTACGTGGAGAAGCTTCAAAATCCTAGACATCCATGATCTATTTAGAATACTAAGAAGACAAAAGTTTCAAACCAGCTCATCATCACTTTTCTTCGCGTCAAACGGAGTCTGTCCCAAGCAACGGTTGGCTCAAGTTTGTTGGTGATTCCGCTATGCTTACACGCTCTAAGCAAGGTTGATGCCGGTTATACGCAGTTGCTGCATCAACATAATGCGCTTCAATCTCCCCGTTCTTTGCATCTACTTCGTCTATCTCAACTGCTGTCTGCACCACAAAAACAAAGTAGATTCTTTCTAATTTTTTTTTAGCTTTTTCTAATTATTCCTTCAATGTCTTATCATTTTCTTGAAAAAGCTAAAAAAAAATATTATAAGTACCTGGATTGGGAAATGTTTAAATGATGGGAGGAAGCGGATCTTGCAATACTCGTTATAAGCTATAGTGATCAATATGAGAGGCACGGTAGCAATTGCTGCAGATGGCTTTGACTTAAGCCCAAAGAGACCCACCATGGTGACTTGCATAAGTATAATTGACACAAAGATATAGTGATGAATGAATGGCCAGAATCCACCGCAAGTATCATATGCCATCTCGTACACATCTTCCATCTGAGGAAAAACAGAGTTATATAATGCCAAGTAGGTGTGAAAACAATCAAATATCTTAAAAGAGGGTTTTAGAAAGCTAGACCTGGTTGAAGTAGACGATGTAACCAAGGCAGAAATAGCCAACTAGAAAAGGCAGCATTAATGGTGCGACCACTGCATATATCATACCGATCATTATCGACAAGGACACTGTAGGGATAACCCTAAAATATGGAAACGAAAAGAGGTAAGGGTTCTTCTCTTCTCCTCTTCCAATAGTGCAGGATCTTATGATATCAAATGATATCAGCCCCAACTGAAGAATCTCCAAAGAAAACCCAGACAGCCCATCTGTCAAGATGTATGTCATAAAAAACTCTCCCTATAATGTTAAAAGCAAGCAAGAAAAACCAGAAAAAAAAAGTTACTAATTTTGAAGAAAATGTGAATATACTTGAAGAGCGAGTATAGGCTTGACCTGAGCTGAAACAGCAGCAGCAAGGTGACTAGGAATGTCTATAGGATGAGTGAAATATTCTCCAATTTCATCTAGCAAGGAACCAGAGATGAGACTCAAGAAGAAAACATTCCCCATTAGAAAATAGAAGACCATATTGCAAGCTTTGATCTCTTCTTTGCTCTTGGAGATAGAGCCGCCGAGATAAGCCATTCCGAGCATAGCGTAAGGGATTATGTACATGAAACCTTTTAGTATTGCGCTTGGGAGGTACCCTGTCACAACTGAGCTTAGTCCTGGTCTGATGCAAACAACAAACTTATCTTGTTATTTCCATATCAAGAAAAAAAAAATGATCTGTTTACTTTAAGAGAACAATAATTAATAGATAAGGAGAAGAGAAACGCTTACATGAATTCAATAGCCATGGCTGGAGGGAACCATTTCTTGAGCTTCTCATACTTTGCAATTCCCTGGACAGCTGTGACCGGAATAGCAAAGAAAATTGTAAGAAGTGCTGCTGCAAGGATGACTCCGATCTTGTTGAGAGGCAATATCTTTTGCGGGATAGCAAGGTTTCTCCATGACACATCTCTTGGTTCTGGAGCCATCTCAGTGATCAGTTCTAGAGGATTCGAGTGCTGCTGTGTTTGAGCTGCAAGTGCGGCACTTCTTCGGGATTTGAAGGTGACGAACGCAACAGGTAACTCCTTCATTCAAAATATAAATACCGGTATAAAACTTAATCTTACAGTCTCTTGCTATACTCTGTTTTGGAAGCTCACTAGACCATTTAGCTGATTCATGATTCATGCAAGCCACATTTTGTTAACCTCAAGAAAGTACCTTCTCTCTGAGCATAGTTTCACTCTGAAGGTGGAAAATCTTGTGAGTAATTTCTTGAAGCTTTGCTTCAGATGCTGATATCTTGGTATGTTCTTCCGTGTGTCTCTTTACTTCTAGCTCTTTCTTAACCTTCTTCTGCTTCCCCTACATATTTAGGATCCTACCATCATTTTTTCACAAGGAAAAAAAAAAGCTGCTAAAACTTGACAACAGAGAAGTCCACATATAAACAAAACCATTCTGGTGTCAGCCACTTACCAAAAGGTATTCAAGATCTTTCCCGTTGTACAGCATCTGATGCGAATAGTAACTGAGAGGATGATGTTTAGAGAAGAAGTGATCAACACCGCAGCTACGAGTCTTATGTTCAGGGCAGAGTGGAACTTGCCGGACAAGAACAGTGAAGTGATCAGCACGGTGCCTAAGTTCTCTCATTTGTTGAAGCCTAATCACAAGAATCTCCTTATATTCCTAGAGGGAATGATCCAGTAAATAACATATTCTTTTCAAAACAGCCCTCAGTTAAATTGTCAAAAAATCGAAACAAGATTGTGGAATTAAAAGCTTACCTTATACAACAGAAACAATGCGTAGAATGATATGAACCACAAGCATGAGAAATGCACCCACAACCTATGATTTATGAATATTTTAAGAGAGATGAGAAATCTCAAGAAAACAACTTTGAGATGATGCAAATAAGAAAAAAGGCTTACTTGTTAGAACCTCGAGTGATATTTGATATTGTGAAAGCATCCATCGAATACTCTCTTCGCTTAGATAAATGTAAATCTGACTCACCGTAATAATCAACCGGAAGAAGCAGTGACACTCCAAGTAACGAGCACAACATGAAGAATCTGATTCTGCAAACATTTTCAGCACCACAAATTCTCAAGCGGATTCTTCATCAACTTTCACAACCAATGTTTGGAGAACCGGTTTGTGATGAAATCCTTAACCGGGAAATATCAGGGGATAATAAAACAAAATCCTAACCCGAATTTGAAGAGCCTAATGAGGACGAGAGCATCGAGGCCATGGCGGCGGAGGATGTCGTCCTCGGGGACACGGAAGGCTCGTGGGATCCAGGCGACGGAAGGAAGGAAGCGAGGGAGGGAGAAGGAAGAGTGGAGAGGCAGATCAGGGCGGTGGCGATCGGAGAGGAGGCGAGCGTAGTAGATGTCGGCGTTGCGGGGCTGCTTCTTGAGCACGGAGAAGAGCCAAAGCGTGACGACGGCGAGTCCTATGTTGATCGACGCCGATGCTATCAAGCTCTCCGGCGTCATTATTTTCCTCTTCTCTTTTCTTCTCTCACTGTTATGTTGAAAACAGAGGCACATGACGTGGCATTCCTGCATGTAAAGAAAGGCCTCCACGCCGCTTTTGTCTCGTTTTTCATTTACACATATCGACCAAAATAGCACAGGGATGTTGGCATATTTTATTTATTTATTTATTTTTTGGTCGTGTATATTTTATTTATTTTTATAAAATGAGATGTTTAGCTTTTGCATCTTCCTATCCTTATGTATAACGAAAATGTAGTAGTATTTGTTTTACGATTTTTCCTATATTAAATAACACGAAAGTGTTTATACTTTAATTGAGATACAATTACTATGAGATTATATGAATTATGCAAGTGGGTGCGACAAAATGTGTGTATTCGAACGAACATATATTACGATGGCGTTGTATTAGTTCCATTTTTCTTGTTCCATACTCCATCACAATTCACAATACTAGTTGTAGCCTTGTAGGACTAGTTGTCGTCTCTGCTTTTTGAACTTCTGATTTTACTCGTGATCAACCCCGAAATAAGAACAATCTCTATCGAACACTAAAAGTCGATTAACTTAATCAAGAAAGAGATTACAAGTTGCTAATGACGTGCTCAAGAGATGAAAGTCAACGACAGTTAGAAGACCCAACGTCACTTAAGTAGTCTTCTTTCTTACTAATTACTTATTTCAATTGCTTATTTGTGTTGCAAATAATGTTTACTGGTTCCCTAGTTTATAAGACCAAACGGCCTCTTTTCATTTCCTTTTTGTAGAGGAATCGTGTGTGATTCCCATTTCCCACCTTGCTTTTGTTTCCCATTTAAGAAACAAAAAATGAATTAAGCAGGCTATTTTCTGCCAACCAATCTCTTTAAGCACTTTTGTTCAAAATAGTAGCCTGTCCTATATAGAGGCCTGTAAATGAGTACGCCATGCATGAACACGTCCGAAACAAATTCACTATAATACAAAAATATAATTTATTTCCAAAACTATGTAAATCAACAATCTTGATTTACAACTATGTAAATATGATCAACAGTTAATATTACATCTTTCATCTCAGCAACTCAGTAACACTACAAAACTGAACCTAACCATAATATACCAAATGTTGAAAATGAAAAAACAAAAACAAAAATTCTGAATGTAGATTGGTTGATCTTATCCAAATAATTTTCAACTTTAAAATAAAAAACATTACTTATAAATTAAAACGTGGATATATATCAATAAAAAGGAGAAGCTGCTAAACTAGTGGTCTCTATGAACTTCCACCCCACCAAATCTAAGTTATGAACTCCTGGTTCCAGCCTTTCAAATAAAAAGTTCCGAAAACAATTTTACCTACAACAAAAAAAAGAGAGAGAGATAATATACTCCTACATCTTTGTGTGTCTCTTCTTTCCTCGAACACAAATCCGATAAATATTAATTTTTCAGAAAACGGCAAGAAAATAAATAGACCTCACAGCAAGTGAAAGTCAAAATGAGAGGTGGTGAGCTGTAGTCGAAATCGAGTCGTATTTAATTGTGGTATTTTGCAATGACTCTCTCTCAGCCACATCTTTAGATACGCTCTCTCGTCTGACGTGGCATCATAGCGACGCCAATTCTCTCTCCGCCACTCGTTCAACACGTGACGTTTCCTAAATGGGTCCCACTCTGCCCCGAAAACTCTTTCTCTCTCACTGTAACTCCTTTCTTTTCCCATATCCCATGAGAAGCCAAGCATGAAGGATTCCGAATCAAGGTTTTTGAAAGCTTGCTGTTTTTAATATCTTGTTTGTTTTGGGTTTTAAATCAGTTTTTTACTCTTGAGAATTACGTTATCCGACTTGTTAATCTTATTGTTTCTTTTTGCTTTTTTTTTTGGGATTTTTGTTTTCTTTCGTGGTGGAGTCGGCGATGTGTGGAGCAATCTGGGAGCGTGATTTGGGGTCTGTGATTCGATTCTGTTTACTGAGTCATGTTTGATTGGGACGAAGAAGAGGTAATTGTTCATCTGTACTTGTACATCGAATTTTTATTTGGAATCAGTGTGTTTTTTTGTTTTTATGAAAATGATTTAGCGATCGGTGAGTGTAGTGAAAAGGAGAGAGATTTAAGATGTGAATCCCTGGATTCCATTCCATGGTTCTGTAGCTCTAGATTCAGTAATTCAAAATTTACAGAGAAGAACGAGGTTTAGCTTTACCACTGGAATTTAGTCAGACAAGTTTTTGTTAACTGAGGCGGTACCGTGTGACTGCATTGAAGAGATATAAGTTGAATTCTGGAAGTTAGGGAAAGAGCCTCGAGGTTCATTGCTCACATATCAAAGAAAGATCTGAGCTTTGTTCTCGAGGTAGTTTGTACAGAGAGTCTGGTGACTGTTTGGAGAGCTTGGCAAGATTTTTCCAATAGGGATATAGGCTTTGAAGAGGAGCTAGTTATCTGTAAGATGGCTGTGTTTTTCCTTTACAGGGATCAATACCTCTGTTATCTCTGTTATCTAGTTTTATAGTCAAGTTTCACTTTTAGATGATCAATCAGTTTAATCTTGTGTAACTATGCGTGCCTATCTTTTAATGCTTTATGAGCTGCTCTTGCATTATCTTCTTATATACTCTGTGTTTTCCTTCAGCTTTGGTCGCATGTATGTTTTGCTTGTGTCTGATCTCTGTTGTTTATGGTCTTAACCTATATTTCAGCTTACTAATATGATATGGGGTGATAACGGTGAGACAGGCGACCATATTGTGCCTTTTAAAGTAAGAAGTGAACAACTTAACAAGAAGGAACGGTGTGAAGAATCTAAGACAGCAAAGCCGGCTGAGCTAAAGATCACTGGGACTAAAACTGACCTCCATGATAGTCAGTTGGGGAGCAGTTCGGGCCATAATGTTGATGAGGAGATTCCTCAGCCAGGTTACTGTATGAGCTCATGGCCTGACTCATCGCTAGGTAATGCCAGAAAAGCTGATCCAGATTCAAGTGCGGCTGAACTTTCAAAATGTTCAGCTGAGCCAGCCAGATATGATTCAACGAGAGGTGGTGCGTTTCTTGAAACAGTGATGTTTTCCTTGGGTACGTTCTTTCAAATCTAATCATTTTAAAGCTGTGTGTTCTCACCCTGTGTTACCAGAGAAAACGTCTGAACTTGGGAAAGGCCCTGATATTTTTCATAGCACTGAGGAGAGTAAAGAGCAAGGTGATTTTGATGAGTACGGCTGGGCTAACATTGGTAGCTTTGATGATCTTGATCGAATGTTCAGGTAAAGCTTGTTCTCATCCTGATTGAGCTATGCAGTGACTTCCCACACACTCGAACTAATTTGTTATTTCAAGCACATCGGTCTCTATCTAACACAGTATCCTCACAAGGGGTGATTTTGCAGCAATGATGTCCCTATATTTGGCGATGGCAGTCTCAGCGTTGCTGATGAGTTATGGTCTTCTTCTAAAGATGTATCCAGTAGTCCATCAAAATTACTACCATCAGTTCTGGACTCTCAAGATCTAGGATTGGATATGAGAACTGAGTTTGAGCAACAAGGGAACCAGCAATTTCCATTGACTGGAAAAGCCAATTGTCCCCCATCCCAAAGTGTGCATAGTATACGTGCAACCCCAAAGGCTGAGCAATATCGTGAGCATACGGGTCAACCCTCAGTTGACGACCAGGTACTATGCGTAGCAGTCTGGTGGATATTGTTCACATATATATCTGATAAAGTGAATGAAATTATGAGTTATCTTCAAATTCTCATGCATGCTAATTGTTACAGCTCCACTGATATTTCTTTGTTCTCTTAATATTTTTCTGTTCAGCCATATCAACAAAATAAAATGATGAAGTTTACGAAAATGCCTGGAACTTCTGAGGCAGGAGCTTTTCAAGATCTTCCGTCCAGGAATTCACCTAGAAGATTTGTAAATCAGTTGGCATCGTCACGATCCTCTATGATGGCTGTTAATCTTCAGAGTGAGTCTCAAGGGTCTGGGACATCACACTATCCACATATGCCAAACCAATACATGGCTACTTCTGGTTTTGGTAATCTTACAAATCCATATTCTACTGTGCCTGTACTTTCGGCTGTCCAATGTCCTGATATCAAGAATCAGTTGATGCATCCTTCCTACAATCCTACTACTGCTATCTCCGTAAACATGGGAGCAGATGCCTCTGCACGACCTTCAACAATGACGCCACAGGAAAAACTAGAAAAACTTAGACGCAGACAGCAAATGCAGGCAATGATTGCTATTCAGAGACAACAGAAGCAGTTTTCTCATCAGGTGCCTGTAGCAGATCAATCCATTACTCAAAACTGTCGCCAAGATATCCCACTCCAGCTTGTCGACAAAACCAATCTCCACGGGATTACTGCACTGCCTTCCTTTGACCCTAATTCATCTTTGAAAGGAGATGATTCTGGCAACATTTCTGCTGCTTGTGATAATTCAGAAGAAATATCAGTTCTTTATCGGCTTCAAGATGTTGTAGCCAAGGTACGAACTCAAATGGTTGTTTGGTTTGTTATGTTAGAAAAGGACAAAGCCATAATCCTATGTTACTTTATGTGGGGAGTAACTAATACTCTTTATGAACCTGCAGTTGGATATGGGAGTAAGGACTTGTATACGAGATAGCTTATTCCGGTTGGCTGGTAGCGCAGGTCAGAGACATCAAACTGGTGATACAGCACACAGTAACAAGACTAGCCAGGATGACCCTGAAGTGGTTCCCAAAGAAGAATCCAGATACAGGTAAACAAATTTTTGCATTTTGATCAATATAGACAATGTACATTACATGCATACACTTTTGTTAATCAATATGTGGTTTACACAGCCAGCTCTTGGTTTTTGATATTACAGATATGCTGGGATGCCAGACACAGAAACAGGGACCAATCCCACAGACAGAACCGTTGCTCATTTGCTCTTTCATAGGCCATTTGATATGTCGGCGGCAAAGCATATGGAAGGACCAGAATCACCTGCTTCTTCTAAGATGGGAAGTGAAGAACAAAGGAATTTTCCTAAATGCAGTCCACGAGAGAGCCGCATACATAAGCAGAAAGCTCAAGAGGAAGAAGGACCTGCAGGTTCACTTGCTTTAGGGAATAAACCCAACTCTGGATCCAGTAGTACTGTTGGTGATAGAGTTGTTGAAACATCCAAAGGGAACAAAAGAAAGCTGTGAATTTAGAAGGGTAAGTAATTCCTCACTATATATATATTGCATCCCATGTCATTTTGTGTTAGTTGATAGAGCTTGTATACATATTTATTGGTAATTAATACTCAGATGTTGCTTTTGTGTTGTCAATCAGTTTAGGTTTGCCGTGTTAGAGAGGAAGCTTGAGGAATTCAGCAGAGACTAGAGACAACATCTTTCTGCATCCCTTGAAACAATCTCCTCTTTACACCTTTCATGTGAAGCTCTTTTTCTTGTAATTAGATGTTTTCTTTTACTCGTCGAAAAAGTCTTTTTATAACACGTACTACCATGAAAACTACATTTGGAAAACTCATCTAGTTTGCTCTTTAGTCTTTTCCTCCTTGAAAACCAGATGCAATCTCTTATTACAATTGTGAGCAATCACGGAGAACAAAATAAACTACTAAAGTCATAATAATGATTAATGAGTCTATTTTCAGGAGAAGAAGTAGGAATGTCTCGAGCTGCAATGACTTTGCCTTTCTTCAGATGATGCATCGGTATGTGACGAAAGACCCAACAGGCTCTTTACTGTATGTAACCCTCACCACCTGTTTCTTCTTCAACCCATAGTATCTCACGAAACTGTCACTCTCCTGCAAATAAGGAAGCTGAAAACGAATACACAAATCCATTAAAACATAGAATACACAATACGCGAAGATCGAAGCTTTGTTCTTGATTGAAACAGACCTGTTTGTCCTCAAGCGCATACTCCTTCAGCAATTGGTTTTTTTCCTCTTTGGTTAAGATCTCAATCTTTGGCTGCTGAGCGTGCTTCGTGATGTTCACCAACAAATCTCCTATCTGATGTAAACATGTAAACTGTTCAGTTAAGTATCTATTTCCAGTCTCAACTTCATGATCCACACTGGATTATCTATCATGCAAGACGATCATGTAGCAAAACAGGAAACTGCTTACCGGGAAAGTTTCAACTTTAAACGGAAAGGTTGTCAATTCCTTGTGGGCAAAGTGGTTCATTTTGCTCTGTAAGACCAGAATCAGCCCATGCAAGCCTTGACTGCTGGAAATCTGACTATGAATAGCACGGATTGATTTCACAGTGATTGGTTCAGACCCCATGAACACAACAAGGATCTGCATAAACCATATCAATTTCCAAACTGAGATCAGCTAAAAATGTTTTGCGTACATTTCTCATCTCAACTCGCTGCTCAAAGAGAATGTTATAAAGACACCGAAATCCTCCAACTCTTTCTCACTATAATGTAACAGCAATCTGACACTGGATACAAACACAAGACGAAGCCTCTAAATTCAACAGAAGAAGAGGAAACGCAAACCACAAATCAATGGAGAGAAAAGAAACCCAGCTCCATTTTCAGTGCACTAAAGGAAGAGGTTAAATAAATCTCTAGTCAGCCACTATACAGTCTATACTTCTCACTAGCCTGAACCTCAGGCGTTTAAATGTGTCTTAGAACGAAAAAGTCGACGCCTTTTGCAAAAATTCCTCTGTTTCAAGACAAACCCAAACCAAAAGTAAACGCTTAATCGAAAAAAGTCGATGCCTTTTGCAGTATTTCCTCTGTTTCAAGGCAAACCCAAAACCAAATGAACCCTAAATCGAAAAAAGTTGATCCCTTTTTCAAGTTTTCATCTGTTTCAAGCCCATAGCAACACCAAAAATCGAAAATAGAGGTGAAGAAAAGCTGAGACCTTTTTGTTGGGATCTGAGCTAAGAGGCGCGTAGATACGGAGGCTTTCAAGGTCTGGCTTTTCACCAAAAACAGAGCGAAACTCAGAGAGAGAGCGACAGAGCTCGGCGTCGGAAACTTGGTAGCCTCTGTCGCGAAGCATCTCAAAGACTGTCGTGCGAGCCAAGTAAAACCTCTTGCTCTCGAGTCCACCGTTGTCCACCGTCTTCGCAATGCAGTTGCAGTGGAGCCCGTCGTCAAACGTCGAGACACCATTATCAGAGCACCGGTCTTCCACCATGTTCTCCTCCATTTCTTTCTCTCCTCAATCTGCCGATAAAGTTTCTCAGTTAAAAAGGAGAGAAATGAGGTTCATGAATCAGTGACCAGTTAACTTGCTTCCTTTTCTCTTCTTTATTCGCCTGATTGGAGAAATCTGGACAGTCCACTGCAAAAAACAACCAACGGTGAGGATGCTTTTGTTGCCGTAAATAAAGATGGAGCCAAAATTAAATTTTAGAGGTTAAACCGGGGTTATACCGAAAAGAGGAGGGCATATTAAAAATGTCGATGTGACGTCAGAGGATTAACTGAGTCGGCTGTTTTCAAGGGTTTGTCGATATGAGACGTTAATATACTATGACCTTGATCGTGAGAGACGCCCCAACTGGAGAGTTTGTGATCAGATTAAACCCTCCCAACCAAACCTTGTTTCCCAGTTTAAATTTCTCATACATGTCGGACCACTAACATGTGTACAAGGAGAATAAATACTTCCTCCTTCTGAATAGGCTCATATCTTTGTGCTTCTGAGTTGCAATGAAATTTCGAGAAAAGACGCATAGTAACGAAAACGAACCAGGCAGAGGGAAAGATCTAAAACGCAAACGTTTTATTACTGATTTCCTGTGTTCTATGAATGTAAAAGTCTGAGAGAACCCCTATCTAGTAGTGTATCTATAAGCCTAAGTTGTGAGAAGAAACTAATCTTTACATGTAAACATTTCTGTACAAAAGAAAAGAAAGATTTAAAAGTCATCAGCGCGGTGGATCTCACCCATGAGAATGCGATTGCTAGCGACTTTGAAACCGAGAAGAGCTGGATCCAGCTGCCTCCCTTTCTTCCCTTTCTTCTTCCCGCCTCCTTTGTTTCCTTCGCTTGTTGCATCAGACGATGCCTCTGCCGCCACCTTCTTCATGCTAATGCTACTGCTACTACTAGTCTTCTTCAACATCTCACTGAAGGACGCCTCCGTCGTTGACCCTTTGTTTCCCGCTACTGCTCCTGTTTCTCGTCTCCCACCTCCTGATAACAGATTTGTATACAGACTTGAGTCTCCTTTTCCCGATACTGATGCATAAAAGAAGACAAAAGGAAACTTGAGGTAGATTAGATACCTTCAGGTGTCCTGTCAGGCAATCCTTCATGGGAAGACGAAGAATGGGAAGAGTGAGGCCTTCTTAGCAATACTGATTCTTGCCCATGTGATGGCACTACCAACAACCTACACACAAACAAACAAACAAACAAACACACACACACTCTCTTAAGTCTTTCATCACCAGGAATATACAAAGAGGTGGTATATGAGGAGTTCACGTTGCTTATTTACTGGTGCTAAACATCATAATTTAAACTTACCTATCCTTTCTTCTATCTTCTCCAACCAAGTTGTCACCGTATGGGTCTGCAAGCAGGACAATATCAGGACCATGACTTCAGGGAAAAACTAAACCCTTAAGAATCTGAAAGAGACGTACCAGATATATTGAAAGAAGACTGTTTCCCAAGTGTAACAACAGGACGCTCTCCTTGAACCAAAGAGTCCATTCCTGCTTGCTTGCCCATTCTGTCTTGAGCTTCATATGACATCCTTCCCATTCCCTCATTTTTTGGTGCCACATTGTTCCAACTTTTCATCTCATTTGCGTCTCTGTTCATACCAAACATATTACTCAAGCTTGACTTTCATTCTGACTTGACCGCCCACCGTCGATACTTCCAGAACGCAAGGAACTATTACGGTGCAATGATCCCATATTGTTCCCATCTCCTGGTGGTAATCTGTTTACCTGTTCATCAGAAAATGCCTGCGACCCAAAAATAGATGGATCGTTTAGTCTACCACCATGGTCTGAAATGCCGCGACCTGAAGGACCCCTCCTGTCATAAGCTTCCCCACGGTTCATGCTTGGTGGCTCAGCAGATTGATGGCCGGGTCTCTGGTGGATCAACTCCATAAAAAGCTGCTTTGACTTGTCGTCTGTTGATCCATCTACCATCCACGAGTTGGAATCCTCACCCAGTCTCCTCATTTCTGACCTCATTTTGTGATGCTCAGCATCAATATTTGATCTATGAAATTGAGATTCGGCCCAGTCACCAGCTACCTGTGTGTCTGCTCCAGGCCAGCGCTCCTTCGTTGGTTCCAATTGTGAAAAATGTGATTCACCTAATGGTAAACGGTGATTCTGATGAGTGAAACCCGGAGTAGAATTTCCCAATCTGCCAGAAGATTGCATGTGAGCAGTAGCATCCCGCAACTCCAGACCCTGAGAGAGTCCAAGACTATTTAGTCTATCTAGATTCAGCCCCGATGCACTTACAGGTAGCGATGCTGATGGATCAAATGGAAGACCCTGCTCGAATAATTCTTGCCGAAGTTGTTGCTGATATGAAAGGTTCTGCTCAAGTTGACCAAGCTGATCCTCGAAGGGTGGCCTCTGCTGCTGTTGATGAAAGTCTAATGGTCTGAATCCTGCAGAAGAGCGCGAACGGTGGATCCCAGGATGACTTCTTAAAAGCTGATCATTATGGTCAGATGGCCATAGAGGGTCAATATGTCTCTGTTCCTCCAATAGTGTATTGTGCCTCCCTCCATTTGCCAATTGCATCAACTGCTCTTGCTGCAGCAGCTGGTATTCCAAAGAATGGCTTGGTTCAGATTGCAGTTGTCTATGCTGGGATTGCATTTGTCCGTAATGAGATTGCATTTGTCCATATTGAGATTGCATTTGCGTTGAAAGCAGCTGTTCAAGTAGCTCCCTCTGATGGCCTCCATGTGACTGCCCAAAATTTCCTGCGGCAAGTTGCTCAATGTGTGGCGCGAAATTTCGTGACTGATGGCCAGAGCTTCTCTGCAATTCATTCATTAGCTGCTGCTCTAACAACATCTGATCAACACTATTGGATCGGGGGAAATCACGTAACTGATGGCCAGAACCTCTCTGCAATTCATTCATCAGCTGTTGGTGCTCTACTGATAACTGATCAACATTGTTGGATCGACGGATGTCATGTGACTGATGGCCAGAAATTTTCTGCAATTCATTCATTAGCTGCTGCTCTACCAACATCTGATCAACACTGTTGGATCGAGGAAAGTCATGTGACTGCCCAAACCTTGAATCAGGAGTCTGTCCTTGTCGAATCTGTTGAAAATGTAATTGTCGAGCTTGGGACTGTTGTTGTTCCTGTAAGAGATTCTGATGTAATTGATACTCTTGTTCCATCTGCCGCTGTTGCAACTGAATCTTTTGCTGCTGTTGCAACTGGATCTTCTGCTGATGTTGCAACTGGATCTTCTGCTGCTGCTGCAACTGGAGAGTTAATAAATGCTCCAGATCCTGAGTTTGATCCGAATACTTCTGGCCATGTACTGAATGCAACATCATATCCCGATTTTGGAATTGTTGTTGGTGATTTGATGGAAGTTGATTCCCAAGGTTAAAGCGGTTGGAAACATGTTCAAACTGCGACATCCGGTTAGCACTTAGAGCATCGAGGGACATGTTGGAGTCAATTTGTGTATTTTTTAGGGAATCAATGGGCCAATTGTCTATTGAACCAGCAGGCTCCCCCACTGCATCATCAGACCTGTTTGGTAACAGGTTAACTGCTGTACTACTGCTCTCTAGCTCAGACCACAACACACCAAATGGGTGCAGCTTATTCTCATTCTGATATTGAGTAGCAGCCTTAGTCGATTCAACAGGAATAGCAGAGTGGCCAGAAACTCCTCTTCCTGGGAATAACAAAAAACATTGTTTAGTTATGATGAATACAAAATAAATTAATATGATCACGAAAGCTTCTATAAAAGCATATGAAACCCTAAAAAAGGAATGTTTTCACCTGCACAAATGCACACAAAAAAGGAAAAGTTTAGCAGCATAACAAACCTTCGTCCTGAGCAGAGAAGTGCAAAAAACTCTGGTCCTCAGCATGTGGTGGTTTCACATAAACCTCTGACTCAGACTTTCTCTGAAAATTATCATGAGCTGAGGGCTGCTTATACACAGAACCATTAGATTCTGCCACAGGTGCAATTGATAAACTAGCCTCTGAAACTGCTTTTGAACTCGTCTCTACTAGCTCACTCTTTTGATCACTGATATGTGCATGGACACTCTCTGCCTTTAAATATGACATGACACTGCCTAGAGCTTGAAAAGGAGTTCCTTCTGGAGCATTTTCCAAGCGGACCTGTAGGTCTGTCCCAAAAAACCCTTGTTCAAACCATGAAATAATGTCAGAACCAACGAACGGTCCCTGAACCACTCCTTGAGGATCAATATACAAGAACATAAACTCCTCAGGTGGCATAACCCCTTCTGAGTGATTTACTTCGATATCTGGTTGATGCAGCTTTCCCATGTAATCTAGCTCAAAAGAAGCAACAGGGGGTTTTTCAAAAGCAGATCTAACCGCTTCAGGACTTCCATGAGAAACTTGATAGTTAGCTCCAACAGATCCACAACTTTCAGGTGCCACTGAATTCAGTCCTCTATTATGACTAGCAGGTAATCCTGCAAAAATAATTGTTTCAGAATATATTTGTCACTAAAAATGCCAGAAAACTCATTAGAACGGACCTTAACCAAATAATATATGATATTAAAAACCCGAGTAAGACCTAATATGCATTTACCGGAATCACTATTATGCATGGAACCATTGTCACCATTCACAAGCCCTAGCAAAGCACCATCCACTTTTGTCTCACTCGAGTCAGGTGCGTGGCATTTCACTGCAGTAACATCCAAAAGACCAAGGTCAGAGCGGCATTCGTTATAAAATGCGAGGTAGAAAGAAAGAGGCCAAGCAAATATAGATAAGATAACATACCCAGACTATTTTCACTTAAGGATTCTTCCCCAGATGAAGTGTGAACTTCGCTACTGGTGATCCTACCCTTCCATATGCCGTTAAGACTTTCCTAGTAGATAAGATACCCGTCAACAGACACAGGAAAAGTCAGTTACAAATAAGAAACAGAAACATTCATAACACACTTATGGAACAAGTTTTCAGTGGGGAGAGTACCTTCTCTGCAGCATCAGGTGCGATAAAAGCAAGAGGTTCGACCAAAGCCACTTGAGTAATGGAGGCAACTTCCTCCATCTCAATTGGTATCCTACCGAGGGAAGGATCAGGCTTCTGTGTTCTATACAAGTCAAGCAACTTACCCCTTTGATACCGCAACATATGGCTTTGTTTACCAGGAATACTTTCATTTCCAGCACCGATTGAGGTAGTTGAAGAACCTCTCCCAATAGAAGATGCCCTTCCACGGCCAACTGTGAACCCTAAATTTGGGCCCTCGGATCGTCCTCTATCAAGTCCAAACCCAGGTGCAGCGCGATAAGAAGCCGGTGCACCAGACTGCTGGGATTCCATCCTATGACGTGGCCTCCATTTGTCACGAGGGTCAGAGTCCCGTTCAGAAGTAGCACGAACGCTGCCAACCACAGATTGACTTTCAGTCTGAGGCTCTTCCTTGTCCTTGTTGTTATCTACCTTCTCAGAACGGGTTTCTTTCTCCTTGTCGTCAGGACCCCACCGAGATGTCCATTTGTTGTCGCGTCGAGTTTCATGTACAACAGCACGAGAATTAACATCATTCCACCTATCAGAAGAAGCAATATTTTTACTGTCACCGGTTTCTCTGTTTGGGACATTGTCAATGCGACGTTCTGCTTTCCTTCGATCCCCTTTCCTAGCACTGAGTAAACCAGTTTCCCGTTCCTCTTCACGCCATCTGCGACTTGTTTCATTCTCAGGAACAAGCTTCCTCCGGTCTTTCTTGTCTTCCGGTCCATCCAAGCGCCACGCATCCTTCAGATTTGGGTCACTTGGATTTCCCATGGGCACTGGAGTAGGAGAGCGAACATCCTACAGCATAGAAAGAACATCAGAGGAATGGACAATGAGTATAAGAGTAAAATATTACAGAGAAACTGCAAAACTCATAGGAATTAATAAACTCTACTACAAGTAGAGCATCTTCCAATATGATAAGGTGAAAAAACAGAGAAGAATAGCGTTTAGCCCTTGATTATATAGATTACCATCTTGCTCTCGCTTGATTTCGTGTAAAGCCACTGCGGAGACAACGGGATGCTGTTCTCTGAAGCCAATTCTGCACAAACAAGGAAATCAAAAATTGAAGTAAACCAGAGAAAACAAGCATATAAAAAAAAAGTCAAAAAACCACTAGCGCCCGAACTAAAGGCACGAACGAATCATTGCTTTTTCTTTCCAGATCTCAAACTCTGGAATCGGCGGCAAAAGAAAATTCTATCTCTCCCTCACTAATCCAAACATGAAGTTGCTAATGCATCTGGACGCAGTGAAAAGCACGGACGGACATAACCAGGTATCTACAGATAGATTGATATCGAAGAACCCTAATCCGGTCAAAATCTAAGCTATGCCTGCCGCATCCTATGCAATTCAGATCCGGAAACCAAACGATAACATTGTTTCTCGACATTCAAATCGGTGGAGAAGGAAAGGAATTCAAACATCGGAACGAAGAAGAAAAACTGGAGGATTAAGAGGGGAGAAGAAGCGGGAAGTACCTTTCAACTGATCAGACGATTTCGATAAGATCAGATCGTCAGGCAGATCGAACTTCCCTTCGGCCATAGCAGGATTGAAACAACCGACTTCGAGAGGAATACGTAGAAGAAGGAGTTGACCGAACGAGCGGGCGCAGTAGAAGAAGTGAAGTAGAAGAGAGAGGGTTTTGGAGAGATTGTACGGAGACCTTACTGCTTTTTGCTGGTTTTCGATTTGCCTTTGGAAGAGAAAAAGCTTTCGCGGTGAGATCGAGAGAATAAGAGAGTGAGTGAAAGGGGGCGATAAAGGAAAGGAAGGAAGAAGCCTTTCGTGGTCACAAGACTCACAACACCGATTTTTGCCCACAGTTTTTTTTTTTTTTTTTTTTAAGAATTATCATTTTGTATTTATTTTAGTAAGAATATTTTACAAACTGAAAATTCCAATATTTTTTTTTAAATAAGAAGGAGCAATATATTCTCACAATAAATAAAGGGTGAATTAGGTGAATATTCATATTGGGTTCCATAATAGAGGATATAGCCATATGGTTTCGGAAATTGCAAATGGTATAAAGGTGCATGTGAATTCACGTCATTGGGCTTATGGAATTGGGAGGGAATGGGTAGATGACTGGCGGTGACGTCACCAGTTGGAAACACACGATGACAGGACCACAAAACTTCCTATTACATGAACCACTTTATCACCATTTTTGGGACCACATGATTTTAACGGAGCTGTCAATCTATAACTTAACCATTAACAGCTTGATTAATTTGAAAATTTATTAAGGTTATTCCAATACTTCGGGACATTAGACGTTGTCAGCTATTCCATACCAAATGTCTACCGTTATGTTCAATCAGCAACACCTACAATGTATAGATCTAACAAACATGTAAACCTTTGCTTTTGTTGTGAAATATTGAAGCCCCATTTAAGTATGCATTTCGTTTAATATGCATTCTCTCTTTTATTTGCCTGAACCATACTACATAGATGAATGACATGGAATCACAATTTCTAATAATTTTACATTTAGAACATTAAAACTCCATAGGATATATGCAGCAGCTAATATACACCTTAACCAAACAAAAAAATATTCTACACCCTAAAACCCAACCAAACCCTAAACCCTAAATATTAACAATAATCCAAACCAACAAACACTGAACCCAACTAAATAAACCCTAAACTAAAACATAAACCCTAAACTAAAACCTAAACCCTACACCCATCAATCTTAACCCTAAACCCACCCAAATCAACCCCAACCAACTAAACATTGACCCCCAAAACTAAACCCTACGCCCCAAACAATTAAACCCTAAACCCCAATTTCAATTTCAGTTTTCTTCTTTCTCTGCTTTCCACTTGATACCAACCAAACCGGTTGCCATTAACGTTGACACAACGCTTTCTCTTTCTTCATGTGAGGAGAGTATTGATATTATTGTAGAAAATATGTGTTATATCCTAGCCAAGCCTAACTAATGGTCATTTTGTTAATTATGATGTCCATTATGTCCATTCCCCATAAATAAACTAAACTAAAAAAAAAAAAATTGAGGCGAAATAAACTAGAGCTTGTGTACATCATATTTATTGGTAATTAATACTCAGATGTTGAGTTTGTGTTGGCAATCAGTTTAGGTTTGCCGTGTTAGAGAGGAAGCTTGAGGAATTCAACAGAGACTAGAGACAACAACTCTCTCTCTCTCTCTGCATCCCTTGAAACAATCTCCTCTTTACACCTTTCATGTGAAGCTCTTTTTCTTGTAATTCTTTTACTTGTGGAAAGAGTCTTTTTATAACATGAAAACTACATTTGGAAAACTCATTTAGTTTGCTCAATAGTCTTTTCCTCCTTGAAAACCAGATGCAATCTCTTATTACAATTGTGACCAATCACGGAGAACAATATAAACTACTAAAGTCATAACAAAATCAGTCTATTTTCAGGAGAAGATGTCACAAAAGCAGCAATGACGTTGCCTTTCTTCAGATGATGCATCGGTATGTGACGAAAGACCCAACAGGCTCTTTACTGTATGTAATCCTCACCACCTGTTTCTTCTTCAACCCATAGTATCTCACGAAACTGTCACTCTCCTGCAAATAAGGAAGCTGAAAACGAAAACACCAAATCCATTAAAACATAGAATACACAATACGCAAAGAAGCTTTGTTCTAAATCGAAACATACCTGTTTGTCCTCAAGCGCATACTCCTTCAGCAATTCATTTTTTTCCTCTTTGGTTAAAATCTCAATCTTTGGCTGCTGAGCGTGCTTCGTGATGTTCACCATCAAATCTCCTATCTGTTGGTACATTCAATAAGATTTAAACATGGAAACTGTTCAGTTAAGTAATCTATTTCCAGTCTCAACTATATGATCCACATTAGAATATCTATCATGTAGCAAAACAGGAAACTGCTTACCGGGAAAGTTTCAACTTTAAACGGAAACGTTGTCAATTCCTTCTGGGCATAGTGGTTCATTTTGCTCTGTAAGACCAACATCAGCCCATCCAAGCCTTGACTGCTGGAAATCTGACTATGAATAGCACGGATTGATTTCACCGTGATTGATTCAGACCCCATGAACACAACAAGGATCTGATAAGCCATATCAATTTCAAAACTGAGATCAGCCATAAATGTTTTGGTTACATTTCTCATCTCAACTAGTTGTTCAAGGAGAATGTTATAACTTATAAGGACACCCAAATGCTCCAACTCTTTGTCACTATAATGTTATATCAATCTTACACTGGATACAAACACTAGACGAAACCTTTGAATTCAACAGAACAAGACGAAACGCAAACCACAAATCAATGGAGAAAAAAGAAACCCAGCTCCATTTTCACTGCACTAAAACAACAGGTTAAATAAATCTCTGATCAGCCACTATACTTCTCACTAGCCTAAACCTCAGGCGTTTAAATGTGTCTTAGAACGAAAAAGTCGACGCCTTTTGCAAAAATTCCTATGTTTCAAGACAGACCCAAACAAAAAGTAAACGTTTAATCGAAAAAAGTCGATGCCTTTTGCAGTATTTCCTCTGTTTCAAGGCAAACCCAAAACCAAATGAACCCTAAATCGAAAAAAGTTGATCCCTTTTTCAAGTTTTCATCTGTTGCAAGCCCATAGCAACACCAACAATCGAAAATAGAGGTGAGAAAAAAACTGAAACCTTTTTAGTGGGATCTGAGCTAAGAGGCGCGTAGATACGGAGGCTATCAAGGTCTGGCTTTTCACCAAAAACAGAGCGAAACTCAGAGAGAGAGCGAGAGAGCTCGGCGTCGGAAACTTGGTAGCCTCTGTCGCGAAGCATCTCAAAGACTGTCGTGCGAGCCAAGTAAAACCTCTTGCTCTCGAGTCCACCGTTGTCCACCGTCTTCGCAATGCAGTTGCAGTGGAGCCCGTCGTCAAACGTCGAGACACCGTTATCAGAGCACCGGTCTTCCACCATGTTCTCCTCCATTTCTTCTCTCCTCAGGTTTCTTTCTGCCGATAGAGTTTCTCAGTTAAAGAGGAGAGAAATGAGGTTCATGAATCACCACCAGTGACCAGTGTTTACTTGCTTTATTGGCCTTTTCTCTTCTTTATTCGCCTGATTGGAGAAATCTGGACAGTCCACTGCAATAAACAACCAACGGTGAGGATGCTTTTGTTGCCGTAAATAAAGATGGAGCCAAAATTAAAAAAAATCTTATTTAGTGGTTAAACCGGGCTTATACCAAAAGAGGAAAAGTTTATTAAAAATGTCGATGTGACGTCAGAGGATTAACTGAGTCGGCTGATATTATTATTGACGACGGCGAGGAGGACTTTAGGGTTTCGTTCATGCTTCCATGAAGATTACTCAGATCTCAAAGCTTGACAAAAACGAGAGGCATCCCAAGAGAATTGCCGAACCGATGATGAAGAAGAAAATGAAATTAAAATCTCTCGCATCTCTTAACAATCTTGACGATGGTTGCCTCATGCACATCCTCAGCTTCCTATCTCCAATTCCAGGTAAAATTGGCTTCTTTTTGCGCAATTCTGCGATTCTTTGTTCAATTTTATTCCTGATGGATTCATTTTTGGTTTTAATTTCTCCTCGTGTAATGCTGAAATTGAATTTCACCAATCGTTCCCACATTCTCAATTACGGTTCTCTGCCTTAAATTTACGATTTTTAGACTTCCCAGATCAAATTCAATCATAATTGGATTATAATTGAATTCTACTCAACCAATTTCTACCATGAATTACATCTTTCCTCCTGACTTGGTGTTTTTTCTTTTAAATTTATTACAAGCTTTGTATTGATGTAATAATACTAGCAAGACAGCTTTGTTGAGAATTGACTTGTTATGTTTTTGATCTGTTTTGTGCTGTAAAATGTCCGAAAGATTTGATATTTTGTTTGCTTGAGAATTGACTTCCTTGATTGACTTTTTAGGCACTTTTGTTTGCGAGTTACAGTCGATTTCAGTGCTGTTTTGTGTATTCCTCTTGTGAGTTTGCAGATAGGTATAACACAGCACTCGTTTGCCACAGATGGAGATATCTGGCGTGTCACCCTCGCTTGTGGCTACGTGTTGATCGATTCGTTAAGGATTTGTCATCGCAGCCTGGAGTTTTCCACAACATTGAGTCAGCTGTATCTGCAGCCAGGTTTGTGATATTATTGTATTACGCTTTGGTAAGTTTGTAGAAGAGTCCAACAAAGTAGCTGACAAAATTGTCACCTCTAGACCCGGCGATACCATTTTAATAGGAGCTGGTGGGAATCATCACGTTTCTAATGTTCAGATTAAAAAGCCTCTTTGCCTGGTATGTCTATCGTAGATCTAGCCTAATTGCTTGATATTTAATGGAATTCATTGCATAAAGTAATAAATAATGTATCTGACTTCATCTAATGCCTATAATTTGTAAATGTTTAATATCCAAAAACATGTGAACAAATAGCCACCTATCTGTTCCAATGAGAGGATATGGATCCATTCCATGCCGTAGCTCTAGGCATCAAAGATCAATGTGAATTGAAGAGATTTAAAAGAGAACAATGCCACATTTTAGGTACCATAGTAAAAATTAAAGACAGGTTATTCACAATTACTATCAACCTTGCAACTGGAAACTATGCTCTAACCTTGTTTGTGAGTTTGAAAATTCTTCTCAGTGTTGCTTCTCATGTTAACATGATTATTTTAAAAAGGAATTACAAAGAACTAGAACTTGATAACTAAAGTTTCTTGACCGTGGTGGGAACTCGAAAACGATATATCTCTTTCACACTCGGAGAAGATTGTGTCACAGTCCACTGGTTTTGTGGATTCTCAATCATCTGAGTCTTAGTAGTCCTCCTCTTCTCGTATAGGGAAAATATGGTAAGCTGTAATGAAAAACTATTGCAAATATAACATGAATCATTGTGGGTTAGGGGCTGCCTTATCACTGTCCTATTAAGTTGCAGTTAAGTGGAAGGAATGGGCGATATGATGCTGAGGCATAAGTACCAATGATCAATAGTATTTTAGTTTTATCTCGTCTCTGCTTTGTTCAGGTTGGTGGAGGCGAGACTCCTGATGAAACCACACTCCTTTGTTCTCGAGGTTCAGACAGGTTTGGAGCTCATATTCCCTTAAAGTCATTTCACTCTGCAGTTGATTTCCTAGAAGTTGCTCCTTGATGAAATGAAAGATGTGGCTGTTTCTGTATTTATTTGCAAAAGAAAGTTCTTTGGTATACGGCTTTTTGTTGTTGGGTTTCGTTGTGCAGTGCGCTGGAATTGCTATCAACCTGCAAGCTCGCAAATCTAACAGTGAAAGCCGAGCTCGGCTGCTGCTTGCTTCATAGGAGTGGAAGGCTAACGATTGATGGATGCGTGCTTCAATGCGAAACAGACCCTTTGGATCATCTCTCATGCCCAATCGTGAGCACTGCTGGAAGTGAAGAAGAAGATATCTTGAGCCCTGTGGAAGTGAAGGAAAAGATTGGGAATGAAGAAGAAGAAGATACTTTGACTCCTGTGGAGGTGCTGAAGGAAACTGTTGTTGAAAAGATTGGAGATGAAGAAGATATGCTGAGCCCTGTGGAAGTGAAAATGAAAGAAACTGTTGTTGAAAAGATTAAAGGAAACAGTGTGACTGTTTTGCAGACAAGGATCGAAGGAGGTGCTAAAGCTGTCGCGACAAGCGGAGACTTGGTGCTGCAGCGTGTTCGAGTCATGTATTCGAAGGCTTACCTCTATTTTTGGTTTGATGTAGATCACGAGTGAAAAAGTGGTCTTTGTTGTATGTTAGATAAGATTACATTACTACACTCTTTCTTCAACCTGTAACATTTGTAATCTGTGGGATGAGATCGGTGGTCAATGGTCATCATCATCTCCATTTGTACCTTTTTCCTTTTCTTTTATGCATCGAATTATCTCCATTTGTACTTTATGTTTCCCTTTAAGACAGGACACAGGTCTGTATATGTTTATGTTTAAGAATAATGTCCTTTTTCAGGCGAATTCAGTTTCAGTTATGTTTCAAGAATAATGTCCTTTGTCATTACTTCTTTTTTTCTCATTGGGACTCTAAATGGTGTAAACTACTAGAGATAATTTCAAACAGTACAGTAAATATTTGTTAACTACTTCAAGTCCCAATTCCTTTAGCCTACTTTCAAATTTCAAAATTTAAATATTCGGAAAGAATATATTTAAATATTTAAAAGCCCAGTGATTGCAGAATTTTATTTTTATTTTAGGGTGTACAGTATATATTTTGAGTAGCTGAATGGAAAGTAAATATTCATAATTATGGCAAAATATATTTTAATATCAAAATTAATGCATAGAGCTGATAAATACGAGAGATTTACGTATAGTGAATACTTTATATTATCAAAAGAAAAAAATAAACCGAAACCCAACAAAATAAAACAAAACCTAAAGTATTTAAAAGCCCACACACACTCTCTAGTCTCTACAGTGTGCAGTCATTCTAAAACCTCAGAGCCGACGAATCCGATTCCGAAGCCGAAGAAAAAAATGTCATCCATGGAGTCACTGATTCTCCAGCTCCACGACATCGGCGCCGTGAAATTCGGCAACTTCAAGCTCAAATCCGGAATCTACTCTCCGGTTTACATCGACCTCCGTCTCATCGTCTCTTACCCTTCCCTCCTCACTCAGATCTCCCAGACTCTCATCTCTTCCCTTCCTCCTTCCGCAACCTTCGACGTCGTCTGCGGCGTCCCTTACACCGCTCTCCCCATCGCCACCGTCGTCTCCGTCTCCAACAACATCCCCATGCTCATGCGCCGTAAGGAGATCAAAGACTACGGAACCTCCAAAGCCATCGAAGGAGTCTTCGAGAAGGATCAGACTTGCCTCATCATCGAAGATCTCGTGACCAGTGGCGCCTCTGTTCTCGAGACCGCCGCGCCTCTTCGCTCCGTTGGTCTCAAGGTTAGCGACGCGGTGGTGCTGATTGATAGGCAGCAGGGAGGGAGGGAGAATCTGGCGGAGAACGGGATTAAGCTCCATTCGATGATTATGTTGACGGATATGGTTAGGGTTTTGAAGGAGAAGGGGAAAATTGAGGAAGGTGTGGAAGAGAATTTGCTAAAGTTTCTGGCGGAGAATCGTATGGTTAGTGTCCCGAGCGTGGAGAAACCGAAGCCGAGTCCTAAGGTTTTAGGGTTTAAGGAAAGGTCGGAGATTTCTAGGAATCCGATGGGGAAGAAGCTGTTTGAGATTATGATGAAGAAAGAAACTAATCTCTGCTTAGCCGCTGATGTTGGCACTGCTGCAGAATTGCTTGACATCGCCGATAAGGTATAAGAATCATTATTATCAAAATGGTATCAAATTTGAAGGATTTCATATGTTTTAGTATATGTTAGTGATCTCTTTGAAATGTTGTTGTGGTGTTGTTGAAGGTGGGACCAGAGATTTGTGTCTTGAAGACTCATGTTGATATTCTGCCTGATTTCACCTCTGACTTTGGCTCTAAACTCCGAGCGGTAATTACTTTTATTAATTTGCAATCACCAGTCTTACATATAGTGCTTTGGTAGGTTTGATTACACATATTGTTTGATAAGTTTGATTACAAGAAAGTGAAAAATATAATCTCCACCATATGACAGAAATGTCATGTTATATTGAAGTCTTTTATAACCCTTTTAGATACTCGTTGATTAATATTGTTATGGTTGATACTTCAGATAGCAGACAAGCACAACTTTCTCATATTTGAGGATCGCAAGTTTGCAGACATTGGTAACACTGTCACAATGCAGTATGAAGGGTAAGTGAAATTGTCTACGCTATATCACTTGGCCTTCATTGATGTCTTTTCGTTACATTTATCAGTTGTGATTTGCTTGCAGTGGCGTCTTTAAGATATTAGAGTGGGCTGATATTATAAACTGTCACATAATCTCCGGTCCAGGAATCGTGGACGGCCTCAAGTTGAAGGTATATATATTTCAAAAACCTTCTTTACTGGGTTATGTTATTGAATATTTCGTTTTTTTGTTTACTAATATTTTGATTACTATGATGATTGCAGGGTTTGCCTCGTGGTAAGGGTCTGCTTTTGCTAGCTGAGATGAGCTCTGCGGGCAACCTAGCTACAGGAGACTACACTGCAGCAGCCGTGAAAATCGCAGAGGCTCATTCGGATTTCGTGATGGGATTCATCTCGGTGAACCCGGCTTCTTGGAAATGCGGAGACGTGTCTCCGTCTATGATTCACGCGACGCCTGGTGTTCAGATGGTGAAAGGTGGTGATGCACTTGGTCAACAGTACAACACTCCTCACTCTGTGAGTCTCTCTCTCTCTCTCTCTCTCCCAAGTCCCAACCTTACAGTCGCATTTTATGTGGTTATTGCAGGAATATAATAAAGTCTGATTGCTCTCTGTTCTTGTTTTTCAGGTGATTACTGAGAGAGGAAGTGATATTATAATCGTGGGAAGGGGGATCATCAAGGCGGAGAAACCAGCAGAGACGGCTCACGAGTATCGGCTTCAAGGCTGGAAAGCTTACTTGGGGAAATGCTCTCAGTAGATTTCAGGATCTTGAGAATTGGTTGAGAGTTTTTTATTTTGTGTTCTGATGCTATAAGTTTGTGGAAGTTATGCTGATGATGGATTTAAGACTCGTTGATTTCTCAATAAGAATAAAGTGAAGCCGTGGAGAGCTGATCTCATATGGTTACATATATATCCGTTTTGTGATCACAGAATTTGATGGACACACATTGGATGAGTGTTGAAAAGTATCTCAAAACTTATAGAAACTGAAACTTGAATGAATGTTTACCACTATTTAAATTTTTAACCATCCGTGGAGCACAATTTTAATGATTTGAAAGTTTATTTAGAGAAATTAATTAAAGGCTTAATGTGGGAACCGAAAAAGTTGAAGGTTTTAGTTGGAAACAAAAATAAGTTGAAGGTTTTTATTGTAATTCCCTTTATTAAAATACCATAAAAAGGCTAAAAAAAATTTTGCCCTCTGATCTTTTTTTTTCGTTCGCTGAAGTTCCTCGACAATAGAGAAACAGAAAAGATGAGATTTTTCCCCAGCAACTAAAAAGGAAAAAAAAAACTGTAAAGCCTAATTTCGGGGTCGGTTAGATTCCGCCGATGGCTGTTTCCGGAGAAGCTGATCACAAACTCTGTGGCTTTCTCTGTGCCGTTCTCTCCGTCGATTCTCCTGGACTTTCTCTCGGCTCCTCTTGTTTCATCTTCAATGATGGTTCCGTCACCGGTTTCAAATCCGAGGACGGCTTGATCTTATCCCTCATCAATCCCACCTCTAATCTCAAATCCCTAATTGCCGAAGGAGATGCGGATGTTGAGAATTGTGGCGGAACAATCGAAGACGGTAAATTGGAGGCTACACCGAAACGCCGGAAATATCAGAAATCGAAGAAGCGAGGTTCCTCCTCCGGGAGCAAAAGCTCTCCGCCGGAGAAGAGCGGATGGGGAAGGAAGAAGGTGAGGAGTCTAGGCATGGTGAATGGAAGCATTAGTGTAGTGCAGCAGCTTCACGCTCTGGTCGCCAACAGATGTTTGAAGATCTCATGTAGAGTTGTGAAGGCTGATAAGGACGAGAACAACGGAGAGGAAAGAGCTGTGGTGTTAGTGGATGTTTTTCTTCCTGTTGCATTGTGGTCAGGATGGCAATTTCCTAAATGCCACGCTACTGCTGCTGCCTTGTTTAAGCACTTGAGGTAATTTCTTCTCTAGCTAGGGCAATTTCTCTTCTTGTTGTTGCTAGGTTTAGGGCGGATTAGTGCTGATGCTTAGAGTAGAATCCAGGTTCTGTTTGTGATTCCTGATATGATATGTCGATTAGGGTTCACGTTATGCATAAGCAATACTGTTTCTTGTTCCTGGTAGTTGATTAGCTGATGACATCATCTGGTCTGATATCTGTAGATACTTCTCCTCTCCATGGAGGATGTTAGTTTTCCTTTTCTTATGTATCACTTTGTGATCTTTCTGCTGTTATGTCAAATGAGAATGCATCTTTTGCTATCATGAATGCCAACTCCTTTTGTGAGTGAGAAGATACGTCACCCACATTGTTTTTAATCTGTTTCGTTTCTTTGCAGCTGTGACTGGGGACGGAGAAGCTCAATCCTTAACGGGGAAAGTATTTGGGAAGAGGCCAATGGAAGAGTAAAGGCCATATGGGATTTATCTGACTGCCATGTGTTTGATTGCAAATTACACTGTACTGCCCCAGATTCTCCAGAAAGAAGATTATTTAAACTACATGAGATCTTTAAGAGCTTGCCCAGTCCAGTATATAATGGTGTGTTTGATTCTTCTCGAGTATTACCATCCACTGATTCTTGTTCATCTGGCATTTGGGATCTCTCAGATGACGTTATGATTAGCATACTGATGAAACTTAACCCGAAGGACCTTATTAGCATTGCAGGAGTCTGCCGTCTCTTGAGATCATTGGCCTTTCTGATTGTGCCATGTATGAATTTAAAACTCTTTCCTCACCAGCAGGCAGCAGTTGGTTGGATGTTGGAGCGTGAGAAGAAACCTGCAGTTTTCTCACATCCCCTGTACTTGAACTTTGAGACTGAGGATGGGTTTAGTTTCTGTATAAATGTTGTGTCTGGTGATATACTCTCTGAGGCAGCTCCTATGGTCAAGGATTTCCGTGGGGGAATGTTCTGCGATGAGCCAGGTCTAGGTAAGACGATAACAGCATTATCCCTTATTCTAAAGACGCTGGGAACAATGGCTGATCCGCCTGAGGGACTTCCTGTCGTTTGGTGTACACATCAAGGTGAACAAAAATGTGCTTATTATGAGTGCACGAGTGACCAGTTTACTTCTAATGGTATGTTTACTGTTAAGAGGTTTCTAAGTCCAAGTAGCTGTCGAAGCCAGTTATCTCTTGAAGCATTCAGTCCGCTGCTGGAGTCAAAATCTTTGCCACTTGAGAAAGCTAGGCTGATGGATTCAGATGGTCAAACTTTTGAGTCTGAAACTCCCATCCATACTTCTCTAGATCTAGAAGCTCAAAGTAGAAAGAGCTTGGGTAATGTCAGTAAAAATCTGTTGCATGCATATAATAGTGCATCTGATTCTGAAGTGATGGAAGCTAAGAGAGTTGGTAGTTGGAAGACATGTGGTAGGATAACTGGTTGTAAGAGAAAGGGTCCTACTGATTCGGGTGTGGAAAACGAGGTTTGGATACAGTGTGATTCTTGCTCGAAGTGGCGGAGAAGAATAGATGAAGGTGAATCTGTTGCTGGTTCTGCATGGTTTTGTATCAACAATGGTGACCCTGCATTCCAAAGCTGTAATGATCCTGAAGAACTGTGGGATAGATCTGAACCTATGAATTACTTGCAAGGGTTTTATACTAAGGGAGCTTCGGGTGAAAAAAGTGACAATGTCTCTTTCTTCACCAGTGTCCTTAGGAAACACAAGTCTTCAGTAAAATCAACCGTAAGGAAAGCCTTAATGTGGCTTGCTAAACTTCCTCTTGAGAAGCTCTCACAGATGGAAACAGTTGGCTTGCCAGGTCCACTGTTGGGTAGCTGTTTGAATCAAGATGTCCTTGCATTCAAGAGAATATTTCGAGCATTTGGTCTTACGAGTAGAGTTGAAAAGGGTGTCACTAGATGGTATTATCCGAAGTTGCTTGAGAACTTAGTATTTGATGTACCTGCCCTCAAGGTTGCTCTCTGTCAGCCGCTGGATACATTTAGATTGTATTTGTCAAAAGCAACTCTCATTGTTGTGCCTGCAAATCTAGTTGATCACTGGAAAACACAAATCCAGAAACATGTCAGCCCTGGTCAGCTACGTATCTTAGTTTGGACTGACCTTAAGAAACTTTCTCCGCACAGCTTGGCTTGGGACTATGATGTTGTGATCACAACTTTCAGTCGCTTAAGTGCAGAATGGAATCCTCGGAAGAAAAGCCCAATGATCCAAGTGCATTGGCTGAGGGTCATGCTAGATGAAGGACACACCCTTGGTTCTAGTCTCAGTTTGACAAATAAATTTCAGATGGCTGTCTCTCTGACAGCTTCTAGTCGTTGGTTACTGACAGGAACACCAACCCCGAACACGCCAAATAGCCAGCTTTCGCATCTCCCATCTCTTTTGAAGTTTCTTCACGAGGAAGTATATGGAGAAAATCTAAAGTTTTGGGAAGCTGGCATCCTTAGACCATTTGAAGCAGAAATGGAGGAGGGTCGCTCGCGTTTACTTCAGCTACTTCAGAGATGCATGATATGTTCAAGAAAGAAAGATCTGCGGATGATTCCTCCGTGTATCAAGAAGTTGACGTACATTAATTTCGTCCCAGTGCATGCAAAGAGCTACAATGAACTAGTGGAGACAGTTAGGCGTAATATTCTACTTGCTGATTGGAATGACCCGTCTCATGTTGAAAGTCTGCTTAACTCTAAACAGTGGAAATTACGAAGCACTACCATTAATAATGTCAGACTATCTTGCTGTGTGGCTGGGCATATTAAGATGACTGACGCTGGTCATGATATCAAAGAGACAATGGATGAGTTAGCTCAAAGTTGTCTGGACCTTTCGACCGAGGAGTATTCTTTTATCGAAAATAGCCTTATTGGTGGCTGTAACTGTAAAAGGTATGTCTTAAATCCAATGTTGTCATTCGTTTAGGGTATTCGACACAAGTATCTAACTTTGCTTTGTTCCTCAATCTTATAAATAGATGTGGGGAATGGTGCCGACTCCCTGTAATCACTCCATGTAGGCACCTACTGTGCCTGGATTGCGTTGCTGTTGATAGCGAAAGGTGTACTTTTCCTGGTTGTGGATACTTATATGAGATGCAAACTCTGTTGGCTCGACCAGAAAATCCTAACCCAAAATGGCCTGTGCCTAAGGATCTTATTGAGTTACAGCCTTCATATAATCAGGTATATGTATATGGGTATAAACTATCGTGTAAGTTGACGATTTGATTCCTGGTGGGTATACTCAAATGTTATCTTTTTTTTTTATTATTCAGGATAACTGGAATCCTGTCTGGCAATCTACGTCCAGCAGTAAAGTCATGTATCTTGTGGACAGGCTGAGAAAGTTACATGAGGGTAATGAAAAAAGCATTTTGTCTTTCAACAAGGCTAAAAATGACAACCTGGAAGAAAATCTCCTTGGTATCTCGAGCGACTCTATGGGCCAGGAATTCCAGGGGCAAGATTTAGGATCTCAGATGGCACTTGTTGATAAAGTATTGATCTTCTCTCAGTTTCTCGAGCATATTAACGTGATAGAACAACAGGTACGTATCACTCTGTATTTGTAAGGTCATTCTTTGTTTTTTTTCATTCGTGTTTTGAGCTTTGAGCTGTTTCATATCATGCTTTCACAGTTGACAATTGCTGGCATCAAGTTTGGTAAAATGTACAGTCCAATGCATTCAGCTAATAAGGTACACTTGGCTGTTGATGCTTCATGCTTGTGTCCTTCTTACATCTTTTCTTCCGCTGAAGGTTAAACAACTTTTTGATTTCAACTTTTTTTCAGATGAAAAATCTGGCCATGTTCCAGCAAGATGTTGAATGCATGGCACTACTGATGGATGGAAGTGCTGCCTTAGGTCTTGATTTGAGCTTTGTTACACATGTATTCCTGATGGAACCAATCTGGGATAAAAGGTACGACTCTGAATAGTTTTTCTCATTCAGCAAACATAGACGACATATCACACAATCAAGATCTAAAACTCTTGCTGTTCTTCTATTTTTAATTTCATAATTCCCCAAACGTATAGTATTCGGTTTTTCGAGTTTCTTGAGTTAATCATTTGGCCTTTCTATATAATTCTTGGGTGGTTAACAGTATGGTTCTTGACTAGTCAAATATGTTTGCTATACATATTCAGTGTCTAGTCAAATATGTTTACATTCTATGGTGTTGCTGATTCCTAACAAATGTTTGAAAAAATGAGCAGCATGGAAGAGCAAGTTATCAGTCGTGCTCACCGGATGGGGGCAAAGCGACCTATTTATGTAGAAACCTTAACCATGCGTGGCACGATTGAAGAGCAAATGGTGAAATTCCTAGAGGTACGGTTGCTCTTTTTTTCTTTACATTGCTCTGTAGTTACTTAGTCATCAGACAACATAAGCTTGGATATATGCATTTCTATCACTGGACGACTAAATCTCCTCGTGTGTGTGTTGTTCTAAACAGGATTCTGAAAAGAGTGATAGATTATTGAGTGGAGATTACATGAAAGTGGAGCAGGAGTCGACACGAAGCCGGCGCACACTACACGATTTGGCAGAGAGCAATTACCTGTCGCATCTTGGCTTTGTCCGATCAGATGGCAACACATAATTTTTTGATTTTTGTGTAAAACCTATTAGCCTTGATGGGATTTTGTAGGTTTTACTGCTTAGATAACATTATTTTAGCTTATGTATCAGTAACAAGTAGATTTAATACAACACAAGGAAAAGTAAAAGTTCTTTGTTTTTTGTGGTAACCACAACAATCATCAATTGTTACATATTTGAGTTTGGATATAAACGAAGATAAACATATGGAAACCTCCAGAAGCAGTTTTGAAACCATCTTTGATCAAGCTTCTCTTCTTTCTCCTTCAACATCACTGTCATCATCTTTGTCTTGCAGTTTCTTGTAGACAAAACGGTTAGCTATAAACAGATAAAAGCAGAGGCTCACAGCGTTTAGCGAAGCTATTACCCAATAGTAGTAATCAAGATGTGCTCTGTTAAGGTTGTTGACAAGCCATTCTTCACCGTGGCTTTTGCTGATCGTTTGAACAGCCGAGATGATCCCGGTACTAACAAAACTCCCGACTCCAACGACGCTGATAAAGATGGCTGCACCGATACTTCTCATAGCTTCAGGCATTTGATCATAGAAAAGCTCTTGCATACCAACAATAGTGAACACATCTCCGATACCAACTAGAATGTATTGAGGAAGTAACCACAAGCTACTCATTGGAACAACTTGTTTTGGAGAGTCTATTAATCCATGATCTCTCGCAACTTGAAGTCTCTTTGCCTCCACAAGCCCACATAATATCTGTTATAAACACACAAAACTTCATAAACTGTGTTTGGTAAATTGTGACAATACGTGGTAACAATATACTTTACCATGTTAAAAGTAGCGATGAATAAGCCAACGCCGATTCTCTGGAGAGATGTGATTCCGGAGTGATGATTGGTGATCTTTCTAGCGGCAGGGACAAAAACGCGGTCGTAGAGAGGAATCAAGATGAGGATGGTGACACCAACAATGCTTTGGAAAGCAGCTGGAGGGATTGTGAAGTGATCACCAATGGTTCTGTTCATCATGCTTCCTTGCTTCAAGAAGAATGTGTTGAGCTGAGTAAGTGTGGCACAAAACATTATCAAGCTTATCCAAATTGGTATCAGCCTCAAGATTAGCTTTACTTCTTCCACTTGGTTCACGGAACATAATCTCCATGGGTTTCTACTTTTGTTCGACGTATTATTATCAATCTCATCGATAATTGTAGCTTTATCCAAAAATCTGCAAATATGTAAAATGGTATAGATCATTTTTACGTGGATTCAATGTATTAAAAAAAAGAGTTGATATAAGTGTTGTATGATTGCATTAAGTAATCGAATGAATGATGAAATTGTAAGATTCCATTGTACTAATTAAAAACCAGTACGTTTCATTTTAAAAACTTAGTTATAGTACAAATTATAAGTGTCTTCACGTGATTCCATGCACGTTCAAACGTCAAAGGAAGATATAGAGAAATACTCCGAATATTTTTCTGTAGTTTCTTGTCATGTCATTATATTCAATTCTAAAAAATGTCAACAATTTGGACGGTATATAAGAAATTCGACAAAGACGAAGATGAAAAAGATTTCATCAGCGGGAAATCTACAACGCAATCCTCTCTGGCTTTCTCTATGCATGGTATTTTATATTAACCACACATATACATATTTAATGGATAGAAATACAGGTGTCAGGCCAACGACTCAGTTCCAATTGGACAACGTATTTTAGGTCATACTTTGTGGCATATATATTAACGTTAGATGCATATGATGTGCGCCCATAAAACGAGCATCTTGGACCACTTTGGATATCAAATATTTATATCAATAAAAAAACTGTAGTTGAATTGTTGAAATTGAGGTGATATAAATATATTTTTAAAATAAAGCAAGTACCTGAATTGATTGGTTCTTGCAAGAAGATATGTTCTGTTAACATTTGTTGACCCCGACTTGTCCTCCTCCTCGTAGCAGAGGCCATAGTGGTGTCGCATGGAGCTCAATCGCCATTTTCTAGAAGCAGCGACGAAGACCTGAGCAAGCCTCGTGATAGGGCTTCCCACCGGAATTTGTTTTCGATATTTTGGAATTCCGATCAGAAACACCACTATAGCTATTCCCACACTTCCTGCTATTATGCTGAATCCCAATGACCAACTCACTCGTTCCTGTATGATAAAAATGTGAAACAATATTTGGATATTTCTTCTTTTTTCCTATTTTCTTATTTTTTTATTAATTTTTATCATCGTATATTGTGTCCCTATTTTGTTTATATACCTATGATTAAAACTTTCTAATTTACACCCTTCTTCGGATAATATCATTCCTAATCTAGTATTTTCCTGCCAAACATATTAGTTAATATGCCAACTAGTTTTTAAATATGAAGAAGACCATCAAATAAACAGTTATTAAGTATTTCAAGGCAAGAAAAAATAGTACATTGGTTTTTATATAATTTCCAATAGACCCAAGATGGAAAGCATATGAACCGATCCGGAGGACGATAGTACTTTTTTAGCTTGATAACGTGATTAATTATTGAAACCAGCATATATGAATATGTTTTGATATGAGTTATATATAAAAGAAAGCCACAAAAGTTTCTATTTTGATAATAATAATAATTAAAAAGAATACCTGAATGAAGATGAGGGCAAGAACGGCGATGGAAGAACTGAGGACGATGGCCATGTACCAATAATTGAAGAATGATGTCTTTGCTGCTTTCTCCTCCGCATTGGCCTCCCCAAACTGATCAGCCGCGAAGGTCATGACGCATGGCTTATGTCCTCCTTCTCCAACCGCCATCACATACAGCGCCATAAACAACACTTTTTCTCTCATCTCCGGTGCCACCACCGTCACCGACAATGGTAACATTACCATTCCCTGATAGATAAGGATCAACGTTCTTTATATTAGTCGTCATTCATATTAGTCTAGATTTCGGTTTGGAAATAAAGAAAGTGATAATGCATACCAAGAGATAAATGAAAGAAGACAAGAGAACGGTTTTGAAGCGGCCTAGGATTGAGTCAGCTAAGAACGCCCCAAGAATTGGAAAAATGCAAGAAACACCGATCCATGTGTTGATGTGCTTGGCCGCTGTGGCCGTGGACTGGCCTAGCTCGTTCGTTAGAAACGTCATTAGGTTGCTTGCAAGACCGTAGAACGCGAATCTCTCTGCCATCTCCACAACTGTGCAAAGATTCATGATTAATAAATCGCGGTTTCAACTTCTCTAAATACTTGACAAGAAATTAAGTATTGAATCCGTGAGAGTTTTCATTGAGATGTTTACCGATGATGAAAACGGCAGCGTTCCAGCCTCCTTTTGTTTCTTTATCAATGAGGGAGGTTGAGTCTGCCATGCCTGAGAGAAACTTTTGCTGGTCGAAGCACCGAGATTGTTTGTGAGTGTGTATCTAGACGTTTTTTCTATGTATGTTTGGAGATTGTTATGATCACCAAGATGTCCTTTTTATATTTGAAAGTGGTACTCTCATGATCATCTCTATGTAAGTTTTTATATTTATAGCATGTGTTTGTTTGATATTATATACTTATTAAATGTATGTGACAACTGACAAGTCATTGACGAAAAGGTTTCCAAAGGTAATTTAGCTTTATAGATTTTTAGTGTAAGATGCAATATGATGACTGCAATATACAGTATATACTAAATGCTTATTTTCAACTGCAATAAGTCTTGGACCACTAATCTTTTGTGTTATACACTATCTATTCATTAGAATTATCTGCCAGAACTAACCAACTTTACTTCGACTTACGTCAACCCGAAACAGTCTTTATCATATAAACTGGCCTAAGAAGTATAATTAGTTGAAATAGTATCTATTTTGAAAAAGATAAAGTTGGAAAAATGTCTAATTAATGTTATGGACTGGTTTTGGACTACGGACTGAATTTTTTTTGAAGAAAAAACAACATATGTTATTTTGAAACTCGGTTATCGAATAACAATAAAATTGATATCAAAACAAAGTCGATCGAGTTTTAGTAAAAATCGACATCGTAATTGAATAACTTTCTTTAAATTCACAACTCAGTTTTATAAACGCAACCAATATGACAAGCCATAAAATAGCGTTTGCGTACACGACGCCACGTGGTGAAGCTTAACATTTTGTCGTCTTGTGAAGTAGGATATTCCACACTCTTGTTTCTCTCCACCTTCTTCCATTTGACAACAACAAAATGAATCAACTTTGATATTTCCTTGTAATCATTCTTCTCCTCTGTTCCGAAATTCACAAGCATGGTTTCGCTGGCGACCCAAATGATTCTTCCTTCTGAAAACGGGTATAGAGCTTGGGAGGATCAGACCCTTTTCAAGTGGCGCAAGAGAGATCCTCATGTCACTCTGCGTTGCCATGATTCCGTCGAAGGTATTCAAAATTCATGCTTTTTCTTGTGTAAAACAACTCGATTGCTAAATGGTTTCCAATAGCAAATTGGAACAACTCGTTGTAAGTCAGATCCTTTTCCAATTGAAATTTACAAACTCTGTGCTTAATCCGTATAATCATCTTCTTACTCATTTGACCATAGCTGATAATAGCTAAATTTAAAGGTCTTTAGGTACTGTATAGCTGCAATTACTCTCTCCCACATGTCCCGATTTGACTGTGGTTTAGTACGAACTCAGTTGAGAGTCTAATGATGACATTCACATTTCAATTTTTATATGATTTTATAGGGTCTTTGAGGTACTGGTATCAGCGTAATAACGTGGATCTCACTGTATCAAAATCTGCTGTTTGGAACGATGATGCTGTTCAAGGTGCTCTCGATAGCGCTGCTTTTTGGGTGGAGGGTTTGCCATTTGTTAAGTCTTTGTCTGGTTACTGGAAATTCCACTTGGCTCCTAGCCCTGCAAATGTTCCTGATAAATTCTATGATACTGCATTTTCAGACTCCGATTGGGAAGCTTTACCGGGTCAGTTTCTGTTCCTCTTTACTCGGTTACACTGTTGTATTCCAACTTATAACCTGAGAGTTGGTGTCTAGCAAAATTTGAATTGCTTCCTTGGTTTTACAGTTCCTTCCAATTGGCAGTGTCATGGGTTTGATTGGCCTATCTATACGAATATCGTGTACCCTTTCGTGAATGATCCTCCCCATGTTCCTGAAGATAATCCTACTGGATGTTACAGAACCTACTTCCAGGTTCCTAAAGAATGGCATGGTATGTTTCATTAAGCTGCATTAGCTTAGCTCATAGTTTGTTTCGTTAAGCATGCCTTTTGCGTTTTGAGCCTTGTCTGTCCTTCTTGCTGCTAGAAATATTCGTGGCTATACTTCAAAAGTTGTGTTACAGTTTAATATTTGAAAATTTTAGTTTTTGAACTTGCATCATTGCAAATTGTCAGTAATATTTTGTGCTTCTTCACATGTTAGGTATAAGAAACAGTGGAAACAGTTATTTTGTATGATCTTTACTTTCTCATTTTCACTTGCTTTTCTGAATAAGAGTTGCGTCTTTTTGGCAGACAGAAGAATACTTCTTCACTTTGAAGCTGTAGACTCGGCATTCTTTGCTTGGATAAATGGCAACCCTGTTGGTTACAGGTGGGACATATACCCTAATAGGACTAAACTCCAATTTACTGATCTTGCTGTAGTTACCTTTGCTTTTGATACCTAATCACAAAATTGAACTCTACCTTGACTTATAGGGTTCTCATCAAATCTTGAGATAAAAAGATTAGTCTCATTTCTACTTCAGTTATGTGCTAGTACAAATTCTCTTTTTGGCAGTAAAGTTCCGAAGTAATACATTAACAAAACTATTTTTTCCCTTTTCTCTTAAAACAGTCAAGACAGCAGATTACCAGCTGAATTTGAAATTTCTGACTATTGCTATCCATGGGACTCGGGGAAACAAAATGTTCTTGCTGTCCAAGTCTTTAGATGGAGTGATGGTTCATACCTTGAAGACCAAGATCATTGGTGGTTGTCTGGTCTTCATCGAGACGTGCTTTTGTTAGCAAAGCCCAAGGTTCTTACTCTCGTCTCCTTAACCAGGCTGTATGTCAAATTAATTCATCGTCTCCACCATACACGGGCATTGATGCATAATTGGCTAACTTCTATATGTGCAGGTCTTCATTGCTGACTACTTTTTTAAGTCAAAGTTGGCAGATGACTTTTCATACGCTGACATCCAGGTAGCTTATCCTATAGAATTCGTTTCTCGTGATATAGTCCTCTTATTCATTTGCAAATCTTCCTTGAATTTTTTGTTTTTGTTTTCATTTAGGTAGGCTTTTCTCACGTACATTTTATGCTGAAAGTTCATTGCTAATTAATTTTGCAGGTTGAAGTGAAGATAGACAATATGCACGAGTCCTCGAAGGATCTTGTGCTTTCTAACTTTGACATAGAGGCTGCCGTATTTGATACTAAAAGTTGGTCAAACTCTGGAGGATTTAGCGTTGAACTTTCTCCCAGAGTGGCTAATTTGAAGCTTAATTCTACTCCAAGCCCAATTCTTGGATTTCATGGTTATTTACTTGAGGGAAAACTGGATTCTCCAAATCTCTGGTCAGCAGAACAAGTAAGCAGCTCATTGGCTATTAGGTTTTCTGGTTCAGCTACCTAACATTTTTTGCTTTGCTTTGCTTCTCAAACATGCAGTAGAGTACTATTAGAAAGGTACAATATTAGTCAGGGATAGTAAAATGATAAATCTTAATGTAATGTATGAGGTTAGTACTGTCTATCCTGCCGATGTCACCGTTTTATAATATACTCAGATTCGTTTGGTATATTTCTTATTTTTCTTCATGTATCAGTGTTGGGATCTTTGCCTAAAACTTGTAGTTGTCATACCAGATCTCTTTCAATTACTTTATCTTGATAACGTGTAATATTGAAGTGATATTACCAAAAATGCTATGGGAAATTTTAAATGAGATGTGTCTGTAAACTATAGTATTCTGATGTAAGTTTGTTACTGAGATATAATTTACTAACTCATATTTTCCTCTCTTTTTTTACGTTTGTGCACAGCCAAATCTTTACATCCTCGTTGTAACTCTGAAAGATAAATCTGGGAAAGTCCTCGATTCTGAGTCAAGCATTGTTGGCGTTCGCCAAGTATCAAAAGCCTTTAAACAGCTTCTTGTTAATGGGCACCCAGTCGTGATAAAAGGTGTAAACAGGCATGAGCACCATCCACGTGTTGGGAAGACGAATATAGAGTCCTGCATGGTCAAGGTAACATGGTTTTTCTTCTCTTGTCCAGCTTTGCTTTCTCCCTTCCATGGTTTACGTAGTAATACCACTGTTCAACTTGTGTACTCTATTGGGATTTTGATTTATCCTTTATACTGTTTCCAGGATTTAATCATGATGAAAGAATATAATATCAATGCTGTAAGAAACAGTCATTACCCTCAACATCCCCGCTGGTATGAATTTTGTGATTTGTTCGGCATGTACATGATCGACGAAGCCAATATAGAGACACATGGTTTTGATCTCTCTGGACATCTGAAGCACCCTGCAAAAGAGCCAAGCTGGGCAGCTGCCATGTTGGATCGAGTAGTTGGGATGGTTGAGAGAGACAAAAACCATGCATGCATAATTTCTTGGTCACTGGGAAATGAAGCTGGCTATGGGCCTAATCATTCTGCCATGGCAGGTAAGCAGTCCAATGGAAATTGTGCTTTTGTACTTAACACTGATTATATCTTGCTTCTAAGAATACTCTCAAAATCCTGTATTTCCTGTCTCCCCCACCCTCTCTCTCTCTTTCTATGTGCTATACTTTTGGTTTGGAGGAGACAAATATTATGATCATTACTATGTTTTCTTTTCCTTGAGTTGTTTTCTCTATTTTAAAGGCAGTGTTACGTGATTTTGTTCTTGATAAGATAGTTTATAAGTTATGCTCTGACCAAAATGCTAAAATTAGAGCTTATGTGAAGAAATTTTTGAAGTCTTCAAAAACTTTTTGATCCTTGTTGCTTACATTCCTGAAGGAGAATTAGATTGCGTATTCTTGTATTTGCCAGCTCTGTTCATTTGATCTTACAGCTATTGTTACTCAACTTGTGGACCAGGTTGGATTAGGGAAAGGGACCCCTCACGGTTGGTGCACTATGAAGGTGGTGGTTCCAGAACAACTTCTACTGATATAGTCTGCCCTATGTACATGCGGGTTTGGGACATCGTCAAAATTGCACTTGATCAAAACGAATCACGGCCGTTGATATTATGCGAGTATGTCAGATCAGTTTTCTAAGACTTCCCATTCACTTTTCCTGAATTTTGTTGGCATCATATGGTTACAGTGTATTGCATCATTGTTTAGATTCAGTGTTCTGTTGGCATCTTAAAATGCAGGTATTCACACGCTATGGGTAACAGCAACGGGAATATAGATGAGTACTGGAAGGCAATTGACAATACCTTTGGCCTGCAAGGAGGTTTCATATGGGACTGGGTTGACCAGGTTCATATCTTGAATCTCAGTATAAGCCTATTCGTCATACCATAAGCCTCTAACAAAGTAGTTACCTGTTAGTCTCTTCTTGTGTCATTCAGGGGCTATTGAAGCTGGGGTCAGATGGCATTAAGCGTTGGGCTTATGGAGGGGACTTTGGTGACCAGCCTAATGATTTGAACTTCTGTCTGAATGGACTTATATGGCCTGACCGAACACCTCATCCAGCACTCCATGGTAACATCTTGATCGAGTTAAGAATCACAAAAGAAAATTAAAAGCTTTTCCCTTGCTTGAAAACTGATACCGTTAGAAATAGAAACCAATGAATAAAAAAAACAGTCTCTTTCCAGATGAGTCTCACAACCGAGATCTCGTCTTTATTTATACTAAAACGTGAATGCAAAGCTCTCTAGTAAGGAAAAAACAATAAAGATATAGAAGTCCTAATTAGTTAAGAAAATGAAGAGCTTAAAACTAAAAACCGCTTGAAGAACAGCCTTGTCCTCAAGGCTGGACTCGGAAGGTGACCCAAAAAATCAAAGCCTTCGTTCCAAAGCACTCCCTTCAAAAACAATGAAATCATCCTCATCCTCATCGTCATCCTCATATTCATCGGAATATGGTGGAATATTAGTCAAAACCTGTTGGTTTTCACAAACAAGTTTTGGCTCTTGTTTCACAGAAACTTGATGTTGGAGGTTAAATATGACAACTTCTCCCTCTGTATCTAAGTCGGAAATCTCTGTTGCTTGAGTCTTGAAATCGTCAACCTTCTTTTTGGCGCTGTGGTTTTTCTTAAAAGGGATCACAACAAAATCCGCAGACGTTTCTTGAAATATCGTGCCCACTTGAATTGCAGCCACCATTTCTGTTAGCCTCGAAATTCGATCTAAAACATCCTTCAAACCAGCTTGAATACCATCCATCTTTTCACCCAGAATTTGTTGATTTTTCTCTAAAACATCCAAACAACTCTCTGCTGCTCGAGTAGTAGTCATGTCTTTAGTCATTCGTCCGTGGACCAGTTGATAGAGTGAAGAATCACAAAGAAAACCCACCCAGAGCTCTTCTTTATTAAAATCAGAATTATAACACCAAAATCGCTAGAAATGTTCCCCTTGGCAAAGCCTATAACAACGCTTAAGAGTTTTTTTCCGGTTGAAAAGAGAAGTGATATTCATCCAATCCTCTCTCTCTCTCTTAGCGTGGATGAGTCTCACAAACGAGATCTCTAATTCTCTAGTTAAAGCAAAGCACTAAGGAAATGGTAAAGAAATGGAAATCCTAAATATTTTCCCAAATCAAGGGATATACAATTTAGTTTAATTAAGGAACATAAATCTATAGCGTATCACATCTGTTTTCATTTTTCTAAATACTTGACAATGTTACAATGTTCAAATGGCACTGATTTTCTTCTGTTTGCATCATGTCTCTGTGTTTTTTAAGAGGTTAAGCACTGTTATCAGCCAATCAAGGTTTCATTGACGGATGGCACAATGAGGGTACTACTTGATATACTTCACCTCAGTTCGCTTTGGTGTTAATCCTTTCTATGTAGCTCAAACTTTATCTTTGCAGGTAGCAAACACTTACTTTTTCCATACAACAGAAGAATTGGAGTTTAGCTGGACAATTCATGGGGATGGTCTTGAACTTGGATCTGGGACTGTTCCTATTCCTGTGATAAAGCCACAGAATAGTTTTGATATGGAGTGGAAGTCAGGTCCATGGTTTTCTTTCTGGAATGACTCAAATGCTGGAGAATTGTTTCTGACAATAACTGCCAAGCTTTCAAATGCTACTCGTTCGCTTGAAGCTGGTCATCTCTTGTCTTCAACACAGATTCCTTTACCGAAAAAGAGAGATATAACACCGCAGGTATTTCCCACATACTCTATAAGTCATGTTTTTTCTTGAAAGATCTCTCTTCGTTCCCCTGTAAAATACTAAGTCATGACAACTGTAAACGACCTCCTCCTACTCTAGGTGTTAAAAAAGACAGACTCTAGTGTCACTTGTGAAACTGTTGGAGATCTCATTAAGATCAGCCAGCAAGATTCATGGGAGCTTATGATAAATGTTCAAACAGGAGCCATTGAAAGTTGGAAGGTTAGTTCTTTACTTGGTTGGTGCTTTTATGGAAGTCAAAACAGTTGTTCAGCTTAAGTGAGCATGTTTATGTTCTGATCTCTGAAGGTTACTTCAAAATGCAGATTCAAGGAGTTCTCCTTATGAATGAAGCTATACTGCCATGCTTTTGGCGAGCACCAACAGATAATGACAAAGGTGGAGGCGACTCTAGTTATTTTTCAAGGTGGAAAGCAGCACAACTGGATTCTGTTGAGTTCCTTGTTGAAAGCTGTTCAGTGAAGAGCACCACTGATAAATCCGTAGAGATAGAGTTCATTTACCTCGGCTCGTCAGCTTCTGGCTCTTCGAAATTAGATGCCTTATTCAAAGTCAATGTCACATACATCATCTACGGTTCAGGAGATATCATCACCAATTGGCATGTAGTACCAAACTCTGATCTTCCACCGTTACCACGCGTAGGTATAGAGTTCCACGTTGAGAAAACACTGGACCGTGTTGAATGGTATGGGAGAGGTCCGTTCGAGTGTTACCCCGACCGAAAATCAGCAGCGCATGTGGGGATATATGAGCACAGCGTCGAAGACATGCATGTCCCTTATATAGTTCCAGGAGAATGTGGAGGTAGAACAGATGTTAGGTGGGTGACATTCCGAAACAAGGATGGTGTAGGATTATACGCTTCAACATATGGCAGCTCTTCCCCAATGCAGATGAATGCTAGTTACTATACAACCGGTGAGCTTCATAGAGCAACGCATGAAGAAGATCTTATCATAGGACAAAACATCGAGGTAGAGTCATCTTTTTCTTGTCCTCATCATTGTCTTGATCAGCTTCTACACTTTTGTCAACTGAATCGTGATTAATTGTGCAGGTGCATCTGGACCATAAACACATGGGCGTTGGAGGAGATGATAGCTGGACCCCATGTGTTCACGACAAGCATCTGATTCCGCCTGAACCGTACTCGTTTTCTATCAGGTTGTGTCCAGTTACTGCAGCCAGTTCGGTCCTAGACATCTACAAGGATCAACTTCCCTCTTAAGAATCTCTTCTTTTGCATGTTCAATGCTGCTATACAGCTATACTTGAGAGTGTGCAATGTTTTCAACATTGAAACCTAATAAAATCTGTCAAGATTGTAGTGTGTAGATCAAAAGTCAAATCTACAGAGACAGAGAGAGTGTGTGTGTAGCGCACAAAGTGGGGATAATAAATGTGGCACAAAAGCCAATTTAGGCGAGTGCTTTTCCAATGAATAGGACCCACCCACTCAAAAAGATAATAATTTCATTTCTCTGCAGACTTTTTTTAACCACTAGACATGTGACCACTAAACAGAAAAGTATACATTTTTCACTCTTATTGCAGCAAAAGCTACAAAAGCTATCTCTCTCTCACACACTATTCATCAGTATTCACTAGACTCCATAGGCCATAGCTTCACCTTCCTCCTACTAACTCTATCTCTACACTATTAGCGCCTCCACGCGCTTATTATTACTGCCACGGTGGCAAATCCACAATCTCTCCAGTCATGGCCACCGCATCAACCACCACCAATCCCTTTCTCCGCCGCCGCCGTCTCCACCGCACATGATCACTCTTTCTCCGCCGGGATCAGTACTGCTCCAGACTTTATGTTAGGCGTCCGAAACGTCATTCTCGTACCACCACCACAACCGCCGCAGATTATTACGCAGCCGTCGCCGTCTCCGGTAAACTTCACGGTCACGGAAAAGGCAAGGAATCATAATGCTGAAGAGAAAGCGTGCAGAGATTGTGGGAACAGAGCCAAGAAAGAGTGTTTGTTCGAGAGGTGTAGGACTTGCTGTAAAAGCAGAGGCTACCGTTGTGCCACTCACGTGAAGAGCACGTGGATTCCTTCTTCTTCTCACCATCAATCTGCTGCGACTCGATCTTCTTCTTCTTCCGACAGGAACAAGAAGCTCAAACTCGATGCCTCCGACAAACCTACTAAGTTCTCGATCGTTCCGACAACCACTCCTCGCCAAGGTAATGACTTTTTAAAATTGAAATCCAAAGGTTGTCAATTTCTGAAATTGGAATCGAAATTTAGAGAAAAAAGGTGTCTTTTTAAAAATAAAAAAAAAATCTGAATTTTGGGGATTTTGTGTGGGGATTGCAGAGAGAAGCTTCAAAGAAGGATTACCGGGGAAAATTGAAGCTCCGGCGGTTTTCAAACGGACGAGAGTAACAGCGATAAGCAACAACGAGCAAGCAGAGATCGGTTATCAAGCGACTGTAACCATAAGTGGTCATGTCTTCAAAGGCTTTCTTCATTACTATGGTGTTGATCACAACAAAGCCTTTCCTTGTCTTTCTAAAAAATGATCAAAACAAAAACTTCTTACGAATTTGTGTGTATAGATCATCAGTTTGCTCTGTTTCAACATCTCAACGTTTCTTTAAAATCTGTGGGTTTTTATTTAAGGGACCATAAATTAAACATAAATGGTACATTAATTACATTCTTAAGCTTAAGCATGTATTAGTATTAGCAAGTGAGGTTGTTGCCAGGATCAACGCCAAGTTGACGACAATAATCGGTATAGTAGCGAACTCTAGCTTGAACGGTGGCTGTGTTGGCACCATCGCACTCCAAAGCGCCGTTAATGGCGCGGATTGTTGCACCAAAGCCTTGAGAGATAACCGGTTGAACCCTATTGGTCCAGTACCATAAAGCGGTCTTGAAGGAGATAACCGGGTCCGTGGCTACTGTTTCTGGTGCATTAAGGCCGTCGAAACCAATTGCGGTCCCGGCTGGTCCGTAGTTGAAATTCCAAGAGAGTTGGATCGGTCCACGACCGTAGTAGCCTTTGTTAGGATTGCACGGATATTGCGTTGCATTCTCGTCGCAGTAGTCCTTTGATGCTCCATCAATCTCTTCTACATAACAGAAATCTAAACACAAAAGCCAATAATAGTGAGTGATTCGTGTTTTACATTTTCAAAACGTGATTTCGTAATCTTGTTTATTATCTCATATAAAATAAAGTTGTATATATGATAATTTCTTTTGTTTATATCAAAATATAGATCTTGCATGTGTATATGTATAAATCAATAAATGAAAAAAAAAAAAAAAAAGAAGAAATGAAGTATTAATACTTACGACCAGTTTCATGCGTGACATGGGCAAAGAAGGAAGCGATCTCACGCCTAGAATCATCGGCGGATCCGATCCTACCGAAACGAGAATATGACTCTAAGGCTTCAAGAAACGCTCCTCGGCTGTAAAATCTAATGCCTGCGCAGCTAGACTCGGCTTGGCTTATGATTCCGTTGAAGAAATCTTGAGTGACAATCTCAGCGACCGAGACATCATTCGCAGGAGGAGGAGCAAAACAAGGTCCTTGTTGACAACCTACACCACAATAGTCTGAAGTGTTACCGCAGAATCCAAACTGACTACAACATAGGTCTGAAGAACAACCGCAGTTTTGAGCCTTTGTTGTGTAACATAAAGCTTGGAGAAGTACTAGAATGGTTACTATAGAGATGGATTTAGAAATTGTGTGAGTCAACATTTTGATTTTTTGTTGGGAGAATAGTGGAAAACATAAATGGCGTTATATGCCTAAATATAGTGTGACGGTATGTAAGAAAAGTCTTAATGTAAATGTGTGGACGCGATGGAGCCACTAATATTTGCATATTCAAAAATACAAGAGGGACTATCAATTTTGAAAGGGTCGTCTCTAGTGCGATGGAGATGTTTGCCCGACTTTTAGTTTTCAGTCTTCATAGTTGACATTTTTTTTATTTGATGACTTTTGCAAAACTGTTTCAGTTCACATTTAGAGGATTTGATCACAGGGTTGCGAAGAGTACGTGGTTATATTATTCTTTGTTTATCGTTCAATATTTTATTTTTGTTGAACCAATGATCAAGCATTGCGGCTGACTATGAAATGACATAATGGTAGATACTTTTCAGGGCCAATCCAAATGATTAATGGGCCGGTGAGCCCAAACCGTTTTCTAAAATGCTCCAAATCTTATGAAAACGGTTTGGACTTTGGACTAAACAAATCTTCGAATGGCTTACAAATTGTATCTCTCTCTATTCTAATCTCAAATCGAAGAATTTTGAATTCAAGGGACCATCAATCGTACTAAGTACTAACGTAGTATCACTAGCTAGGCAGTATATATTAAATGACTAATCATTAGTCTAGGTCATTTGACTAAGAAATTAATATACAAAACTACAAGTATAGTTAGGATGAAATCTCAACTTACTCTACAGAGCTTAGTATATTAAAATATTTATTTGAATCGAGATATTTAGATATATCACGATAAAATCTAAGAAACAAACAACAATGCAATACTTTATACAATTAAAATCATCAAAATGAGAATGAATAATTGATGGACATAGCACCAAAGAGTGGAGAAGAGTCCAATGTGAGGTATAACCCACCACATGATCATGAGTAGTGAGTAATTTGATACATTCCATATTAAGCAACATTACATAATGCATTGATGTCGGTCTTCCACTAGGCCTTCCTCACGTGAACCTTTGACCTTTATCCTTGAGTTAAAAAACAATAATATCAAATTCATTTTCTCGGATCTCTTAAGCAAGACAAGTCCACACATTTCTTTGTATTTGGATAATCCCCCCTGAGAGTCGTTTTCTAACCGAATAATTGACATTGTAAGTATTTTGTGAGAATGACTGAATGAGCATCGTTTATCAATCGACTGAATGGGATAAAAAAGAAAAGAAAACAACCTGTCTTTTTATTCAGCATATTCATTTTTGTTTAATTACCAGTTAAAATTTGTCACCAGTGGAGCTAACGAACGACTCTAAGTAATGCGTTTTGTGGAGGGAGATACATGTCGATAGAGAAAGCCAATAGAAGAGTGGACCCAAAAAACAAAAACCAGATAGAAAACGAACAAAAATAATAGGAGATGGAATACAGTCTGTTCATATCTCAAATATAGATAAAACCCACTCTTCATTTTAATATTTTTATTACTTACTTTCTACACACTCATCATCAAGCTCTACGCTATATAAACAAACTCTCACAAGTCACAAGTCACAACCACAAAAAGAAAAACCACAGAGATCTAAGAAAATGAGAACCCATCTACTTTTTCTATTCATCTCTCTCATAATCTTGAAATCAGAATCCCTAAACTGCAATGAAAACAATCCACAAGGCCATCCCTCAGATCTAAGAGTGTTCCACATCAACAGTCCTTGCACTCCATTCAAACAACCAAACTCTGTCTCATGGGAAAGCACACTTCTTCAAGACAAGGCTCGTTTCCTCTACTTGTCGAGCCTCGCCTCCGCTAAGAAGCCATCAGTCCCCATCGCCTCGGGACGCAGCATCGTTCAGAGCCCGACTTACGTCGTGAGGGCTAACATCGGGACACCAGCTCAGCCCATGCTCGTGGCTCTTGACACTAGCAATGACGCTGCTTGGATTCCTTGCTCTGGCTGTGTTGGTTGTGCTTCCTCTGTTCTCTTTGACCCTTCTAAGTCAACCTCTTCAAGCTCAATTCAATGCGACGCTCCTCAGTGTAAACAGGTATATAGTTAGTCTTTATTGCATTATATGATTTATTTACTTTCTCCGAAATAGATGCCTTCTCCGGATGGACATAAAAAAATATTTCATTTTAAACCTAACGGTAACGATAAATAAATATACAAAATGCAGTTAGTAATACTAAAATTAATTAATGATTTGTAATTTTACTAGTTTTGTCATTCAAACATACACAAATTATAGTTTTTTCGTCCATAGTCTGTTGGAGTTTGGGAACAAAACATGTAAGTTAAGTTATTTTCTCAACATAGCTAGAGATTCGAACCCTTGAAACTCATTTTCTTTGACAAAAAAAAGAAATCATAGTAAACCAATAGATAAGTGTTATAGGCCTTGGGTTTGTAACTTCGCATAGTTTTTAGTTTTCGCAAATCAAGAAAACTAAAACCGAACTAAAGGACCACTCATTTTGGAGTCTAGTCTGCAATTGCATTTGTATTTCGCAAAACTGTAAACTTCCTTTTGGCGTGTTATTTACGTCATTATCGACAAGGATAGTCACGGGTTTAATGTAGCTTTCATTACATAATGAGTCTAGTCACGGGTCTCTACTTTTAAATACAGTATAAGATTCGGTAACTTTATAAACAAGTAGGGCACATTTAACTGTTTGATCTATATTCTTTGTCCTCAAGCTTGTTACTTTGTTAGTGTTTACTTGAGTGTACAAAAACTAGTTCCCTTTACAAATTAATTAATGTAAACACAACGTTTAATAATGCCTCCACAACAAGATCCAAGATAGTTAAAACAATTCTTAATGGAAAATACGTCGTAAAGTGCGAATAATTATTCAAGATATTAATTTTGCAGGCTCCAAATCCAACGTGCACCGTTGGCAACTCATGTGGTTTCAACATGACTTACGGTGGATCAGTCTTCGAAGCATCTCTGACACAAGACACACTAACATTGGCCAGTGACGTCATCCCAAGCTACACCTTTGGGTGCATCAACAAGGCCAGTGGAACGTCGTTGCCAGCGCAAGGGCTTATGGGTTTAGGTCGTGGTCCATTGTCTTTAATCTCACAGACACAAAACCTTTACATGTCCACATTCTCTTATTGCTTGCCTAATAGTAAGTCAAGCAATTTCTCCGGATCGCTTAGACTGGGACCTAAGTTTCAACCAATTCGGATCAAGACCACTCCATTGTTAAAGAACCCGAGGAGATCATCGCTTTACTATGTTAACTTGGTTGGAATTCGTGTCGGGAACAAAATTGTTGATATTCCAACAAGTGCACTCGCCTTTGATCCAAACACCGGAGCAGGCACCATCTTTGACTCCGGTATTGACTTCTCTCATTCCTCTTTTTTTTAAGACCTTTTATATAATCTTCTTGAGATCTCGAATAAAAACGTAAATCAGTTTTGAATGACATAACTCGTGATCTCGTGAGAGGGAAGTAACCTAATTGCTCTTTTTCTCTCTCACACATCTTCCTTCACGTGGTGTAAACATCAAACTTGTGGTATTTTGGGAACTTTACGTACTATAGTAGATTTTGTGAACGAAAAATTGTTTTTTTGGTATTTTAGGATATTTCTGAAAACATAAGTCACGTACTTGACAAATGAAAACTAACAACTTACATATGTTTCAAACTAAAAATACTTATGTATGTATACATGTACGCAGGGACGGTGTACACGAGGCTAGTCGAACCAGCTTACGTGGCGGTGAGAAACGAGTTCAGGAGACGTGTTAAGAACGCAAACGCAACTTCACTCGGAGGTTTCGACACTTGCTACTCCGGCTCCGTCGTGCTCCCGTCTGTGACGTTTATGTTCGCCGGAATGAACGTGACTCTGCCCCCGGACAATCTTCTCATCCACAGCTCCTCAGGTAGCCTCAGCTGCCTCGCCATGGCTGCAGCTCCGACCAACGTGAACTCTGTCCTTAACGTCATCGCTAGCATGCAGCAGCAGAACCACCGTGTTCTCATCGACGTTCCAAACTCCAGGCTCGGCATTTCCCGTGAAACTTGCACCTAGGTCTTATCGGATTGCGTGTGTGTTTCCGGTCGAATTCGCATTGCGTTTTGAGCTTTTGAAATTTGAAACAATATAAGTTAGTAATTTTTGTTCGTTGTCATTTGATCGTGAAATGTGTCGTAAGATTTTGTTTTGATGTTCTCTGTTTTCAAATGGGATTGTGTTGAATTTGCGGATCCACTAATTAAGGGACCTTCTTTTTATTCGAGTTTTAAATGTAACAAGTAAACGTTTGTCGCTTATACTTGTTTCTCCATCGAACGAAATAGCTCAGTAATCCGAAATTAATGTTGTTTCATATTTGGTATCTGAAACTCGGCTTTGGGATCATGTCTTACCTCGATTGTATAGGGAGAATTCTTCATATGCATTATCATTATCATCATCATCATCATCTAGGTTTTTTGACCTTATAGTGCATTAGAATTGGTTTGGTCTTTGGAAAACCTACCAGTATTAGATGAAAAGAAATGTCTTGTTCAAATATTTTAAATATTACCTTTGATTGACATGTTCTTCCTTTGTTTCATTCACAGATCCACGTCACGACCTCAGTGGCATGGAGATATGTACGGACGGATAGATTGTAGATATAGTGTCTTTTGTGAGAGTTAGAGTGCATGCGTACCTTTGTTGATGTTATCATCAGTCCACACATCAGATTGCTTTCTCCATCTCATTCGAGTAATGTACAACGAGAAAGCAGTCATGATTTGTGTGGTGGTCATGTGAACAAAACTTTTTTCCCTTGAACTTGATCTCCTGTTGATATTGTGCTGTTTTCCTTGCCTCACTGTGAGTTAAAAGACTATGCATTGGAATTATAAATAGTTTTTTTTTTCCCCCCATATCAAGCCAAAAAAGTTGTTGACGAGAAAATATTTATACAAACTCTCATGTTTCTCAACTTTGTTCAATTTCTCTCATAATAGGCTTTGGTTTTTGCTCAACTTCTTGGATTAAAAGCTTTTCATTTGTCTATCCTTGGAGTTCGATGCTGTGAGGTGGACCAACTCTCTTCCACTTGAATTCTAGCTAGTTTTTGTCTAAAATGATGAAGAATCAACTGGACTTTAGACATGCCGAGGAAGGAAGATAAAGAAAAAGTTTTGAAAAGTCAAATATGACATGCTTTGTTTGGTAACTTTTGAATATGTAACCGACTATCAAAATATGAAGTCCAATCAAAACAAATAATGTATGCTTTGAAATCGACTATCCAAATATGAAGTCCAATCAAAACAAGAAAAAAGAAAGCAACATTCCAACTAAGCATTAGAAAGCAAACTCGTCTAAGAGACCCAATTTTGCTGGCCAATCAATAATGAATATGAGCTTTACTGGCGTGTAAACATAGCCACATAATGCTCATCGAGAAATCAATTTTGAACCCCACGCTTACAGATTTTATTATGCAGAATTTGTGCATTTTCAACAAAGATCATATGAACACTCTTGCAATTATCTCTTCCAATACCAGCTCTGGAGGAAGATGATGATGATCACATTGATTTTCCATGGCCGTTTCAAGAAAACAAGACTAGTGTGATTGGTGGATGAACCTAAAATAGAAATAAAACCCAACAAAAGAATTCAATGAAACAGATTTTGAAGAAAAAAATGGGAAACTCGCCAAGAGGGAAGATGTTAGAGGGTCTCTAGTTTGAAATCAAAAGAATGTTTTGTAATGAAAGGATGGTCTTGACTCAGATCGAGATGTCGATAGATGTAATCCTCGTAAAACGCCTGGCACGTACTTCTGGAATTATCCAAGATTCCATGGGCACTCGTGTCATGATATCATCCACAACCAGCTCTTCAGGAAGACGAGGAAGAAGACCCAACCGCCTCTGATTCTCCATGATAAACCCTAAAGAAAGATTATAGATCAAGAAACCCAACAAAACCGTTAAGCGAAACTGATTTACTAAAGAAAAAAATGGGGAAAACAGGATAGAAACTTGGGCTGATTAACAAGTTCGTCAAACTTCGATTAACAGGATAGAAACTTTGATTAACAAGTTTGATAAAAAATGTCTTGGTAAATCGAATATTGATTAAGAGAAAGAAAATAGGTTACCGAGATGGGTAAAACAGGATAAAAACTTTGGTTCGTCCTCGGTTACTCGCCAAGACGAGAAGATGTTAAACCAAAAAAAACTTTTGTAAATGGCTACGACGATGATCACAACGGCTGGCTACTCGTCCCCTTTTAAAGAAATTTCAAAAAACAAAATTTAACAATTATTTTTTTTTTTACGTGAAAAAAATCATTATTAACCTGATTGCTCTCCTCTCTCTCACACACCTTCCATCACGTGGTGTAAATATCAAATGTGTGGTATTTTTTGTAACTTTACTATAGTAGAATTTGTGAACGAAAAACTGGTTTTTGGTATTTTAGGATATTTCTGAATTAATAAAAACTAACAACTTACATATGTTTCAAACTACACATAGTCGAACTAGCTTACATGGCCGGTGAGAAACGAGTTTAGGAGACGTGTTAAGAACGCAAACGCAACTTCGCTCGGAGGTTTCGACACTTGCTACTCCGGCTCCGTCGTGTTCCCGTCGGTGACGTTTATGTTCGCCGGAATGATGAATCTGAACATCGACAAAAACCTAAATTTGCTGATTCGTTTGCCGTATATGAGTCTGAGTTTGCTATGTGAGTATTCTCCTGAATTAAAGCATAACTGCAAGTCAAGATTCGAATTTCGAACGAAGGATCATTTTGTGCATATGACCACTGAACGTGTATTGGTAAAACCTCGGAAGAAAAAAACCCATCAATGAACAGAACACCATGTCTAAATGCACTATGAACGTGAACTCCCCCAACGATCCTTTCTTGATGCTTTCATAACTTGAACGCTTTAGATAATCACTCGGGAATCTAAGATACACATGCATCTTCGTATCATTAATCTCACCAGGTTCAGTTCCATCTTCCATAGATTCTGTTTTAGCTTTCTGAATTAACTAACACCTAAAAACTCTATTTCGTTTCTTGTTTAATTTCTTTGGACACAGGAGGAGAAGGAGATGGAGATGAGCAAACATGAGAAGTTATGACATCATAGTTTCATTTCCTACTACAACATCATACGCATATGGATCCAAAAGTTATGACAACAAATGAGATGAAATGTGGTAACCATAAATCTCACATTAATTTGAGCAAACATGAGAAGAAATAAAGTAGAAAATAGAATGGGTGAGAGGGCGACACGAGTAATCCCCACTACCATTTGGTCCACATTACGATCTCTCTCTCTCTTTTTCTTTTCCATAATGGTTTTGCGGTTTGGCTTGACATCAACGCTAACAGCCAGACTTACTCCACCATAGACTTACTCCACCATAGACTTATAATCCACCATACACCCAAAAAGAAAAAGCATTCAAAAGGAAACATTTTATAGCTGACATGAATAAAAGCATAAAATAGCTGAAGTGATGTTGAAATCATTATTGGTTGGACCCTTTTCTAAAATAAACTCAAAAGTTAAAACCTATTTTTAAGTAAACGAAAAAAGAAAGTAAAACCTATTTTTTAATGGTTGCTCCACTAAAACTTTTTTTTACTCACTTCACTTCAATATTACTGTTGTGGCGGTTTCATTATAGTCTAGCAATCTCAAACATATGCAATTGCAGACCATAAATTCAACAGTGTATTGATTACAGTAACTACACTGTGAAAAAAAAAACATAATTGTCTTCTTTAGCTGTAAGTCACGACCACTGAAGATGCGAGAAACGCGTGTACCCAAACTCATTGGTCTGGTTCCTAACCCTACAGTCTCATTTTGACTCACTTTGTTAAAACTCCATTCACTCTCTTCCCCACTCTCTCAAAAAGCTCCTACTTTTGCCACGTTCTGCTCTCTCTCTCTCTCTCTCCCTTTTTTTATCACACTCTTCAGTCTTGAGTCTTGCCTCTGGCTAGCCTAAGCAAGAAATATATGGAAAACGGAGAATCTAATCAAGAAAATCCCCAATCTCTCCAAACCAACCACGACGATTCCTCCCCAAAGAAGCCATCTGCTTCTTCCTCAGTCGTGGTCGATAGGTTAAAGCGCGATGAATGGAGCGAAGGAGCGGTTTCGAGCCTACTCGAAGCCTACGAGACGAAATGGGTCCTCAGGAACAGAGCCAAGCTCAAAGGTCAAGACTGGGAAGACGTGGCTAGACATGTGTCTTCACGCGCCAGCCAAACCAAATCCCCAAAGACTCAGACACAGTGCAAGAACAAGATCGAGTCCATGAAGAAACGGTACCGTTCCGAGTCCGCCACAGCCGATGGATCCTCCTGCTGGCCTCTTTACACTCGTCTCGATCATCTCCTCCGTGGAAATGCTTCTGCCTCCGTGCAACAGCAGCCTCAGGCTGTTCTGCCTCTAAATTGCTCTGTTCCTCTGCTCCTCCTCGAGCCGCCGCAGCCTACTCCTCCTCCTCCCGCCGCCGCTCAGATTCCTTACGGATCCAAAGGCGTCGGCAGGATTCCCAAGGTCTTGTCAATTTTGTTTTCCCGATTTTGGGAGAAATTAATAACAAAAACCGATGAAATCCTGGTGCAGGAAGATGGATTGAAGCCGGAACCGGAGAAAGCAGCGGCGGAGATGGAGACAGACAGCAGTACGCCGGTGATTTGCAGGGAGAAAACGAAGGTGCGGCGGCGGAAGAAATCGAGGAGGAAGTACAGGGAAGAGAAGGAGGAGGAGGAGATCGCCGGAAGCATACGGTGGTTAGCGGAGGTGGTGATGAGAACAGAGAGAGCGAGGATGGAGACGATGAAAGAGATCGAGAGGATGAGAGGTGAAGCTGAGGCTAAGAGAGGAGAGATGGATTTGAAACGGACGGAGATTATGGCCAACACTCAGCTAGAGATCGCTAGGCTCTTTGCAGTTGCTGCATCGTCTGGTCACAAAGGCGTTGATTCTTCACTAAGGATCGGAAGAAATTGAGGAGACAGAGAGAATCTTTTGTGTACATAAAAAAAAAAATGTGGTCTAACCAAAGTGTTTTTCCAACATTTCCGGAGAGTAAAAACTTTGTTCATCTTCCCAATAATAACAAATGTATGTTTTTTATGATTATAATCTGTCGAACCTAAAGATGACAAAACCGTCTCGAATTTGTGTTGGTTACACTCTCTGATTTTGATTCATGATGAGGCAGAGATTTGAAGAAAATGCTTGGCTCTGTCTAGTGCGTTTATGAATCAGCTTTTCTCTATTGAAATTTGTAATATGGGGATTAAATATATTTTTCATAAAAACCCAAACCAATTATATAGAAAATTAAAACGAAGAGAACAATAACACATGCACGATTATGCGACTCCGACGTATCAAGGTGATTGGCCTGATGGCAATGGCAACCTTCTGGCTTCCATTTGTCTCCACATTTGTAGCAAAACGAATACCCACACCTATTTATCCATCAACCATAAAAAATACACAATGTTAATTAGTAGGAAAACATAATCAAATTTTCAAAAGATTTAATAACTACTAGAATGTAATTCAAATATATGATGATGATACCTGCAAGTTATATGAGTGCATCCAGACGAATGTTCGACCATATGTTGGCACTTTCCACATCGACGCCACTTTTCCTGGTTTGCTAGAGATATGAGCTTTATATCATTCTCCGTAGGATTTGGACCTAACCTCTTGTAATCGTCGCACGACAAGCTTCTATGCCATGCAACTTTGCAGTTGATGCAGAATCGTTTACCGCATCTGACACAACATCTCGTAGACCCATCTTCAGTAGATTTAGAGAGGTCGGCTTTCGACATTAACGCCGAGCACCTCGGATTTGGGCAGTAAACTCTGTCCGCCACAGGAACCGATTCCTCTTCGATCCTTCGTTCCCACATCTCTCTTAGTTTAGGTGTCAAAAGGTTGGCACAACTTGTAATATCTAGCTTAGACTCGCATTGATGATGTGGACATCCCAGGGCAGTTCCCTCGAGTAATCCCACTTCTATATACCGTTTCATGCACTCCATGCAGAACTGATGACCGCATAAAGCGCTGACAGCAAACATCTGACCATCTGCGAAACCATCACCGAAACAAATTCTGAGCAGGAGGGATGCGTATGCTGATCTCAGAAACTAATGTTTCCGTTGCAAGTTTATAAGCCAACTTTGTTTGATTATCTTCAGTCGTCATCAGAACAACGACGCTAGATCTCAGTTGTTGTCTGATGCGTTGCACATCACTCATTAGCAAACTAATACTAACTTTCTCAGGCGTGGATCTCCCCATGACCTAAAACATATATCAATATTATTATACATGAGACTGAAGCAAAGACATGACGTAACCTTTAAAAAAAGCCAAAAGTAAATATAAAACGACGTACCAATTCGAAAACCGGCTTATTATCACAGATGATGAAGATATGTTTGATTCCCAAACGCACGGCTTCGGTTAGTCCTCGCTTCAGTGCCGTAAGCTCAGCATCTAAAACAGTAATGGCGGAGGCATGAAGTGGTCCTTTCATCTGAAACAGGAGACTGTCACGTTGGTCGCAAATCGCAACCCCAAATCCTGCCAATACGCCTGTTGCTTCCTCCCTTGTCAAGCCCTTGAAGTAAAGCATGTAGTCCATGTGGGGATCGATGTCGCCGGATGATTTTGAGGGTTTTGAGCCATCTTCTCGTTCTAAAGTCCTTTCTTTCTCCATGTATATATCTTATCTGTTGCAAATACTTGAAGATTAATTATTTTGTCCTTGGGAGCCTTGCGTTTTAAGAATGATGCATAATATTAGTATATATATAGAGCAGATGCTCCTCGTGAGTCATAGAGATCCAACTTGTAATCTAGTTAGGAATTTAGGATTATATATATCCTTTGTATTGTATGCATACTTTTCCTATCACCACGATTCTAATTTACCTCATTAAATGTCTAATTAAGTAATTTACCTTTTTTTTTTACAAATAACAAAAATATGAATTCCTATAGCAATAACTTATTGATGTTTGCTAATCATGCTTTACCATGATCAAATTTTTTTTTAACTTGCATGGTATTTTTTTGTATTGAGCCAACATATATTTATTGACTTGTTGACTGATAGAAACACGGTTTGTGTATTTATTAATTCCGGATATGGCTCGGTTAGCGTTGGCTTTTTTCGAGTCCGGTTCGGTTTCTGGATTGTACATGATACACTTGATGGGTTCGGGTGTGGGTTCAAGTTTTTTCTGGGTTATTTGAATTCCTTCGTTGCCTTGAAGTTGTTGCTCTGAAATTCGAAACCATGAATCGTCGAAATCGTGGCTTTCCTTCTTCTTCTTCTTCCGATGCTTCCAGAGTTTCGAAAACTTATGGGAGTCATCAGACCTCTGGTAACTCGATAGATGTCACGAGGACGGGATCCGGCGGCGGAACTAGCGATTCGATTCGGAGAAGATCCGATGTACCGCGGAAACGAAACAATGACAAAGACGTAGCAGACAACAAGGACGGAGATCCTGCTGACGTTTCCTTCATCGTCGGAACTTGCTCTTCTATGTGTCCAGGTAATCTACCCAACTCTGTAAAGCCGCAATTGAATTGAGTTTGACATGAGACTCCGCCTAAATTGCATACAATCAAGAGCTCAGATTACAATTCCGGAATTCATAATCCTTTCAGGCATGAAAAAAGGCTGTGTAGCTCATTATAATCGCTGGGAATAGAGAATTTTATTCAGAAGTTCCATTTCAAGCAGCAAAAAGGGTGTAATATAGCTTCATCTAACATATGCTGTGATTTGGTATGTATTAGATCGGGAAAGAGTCACAAGAGAACGCCTGCGTGATCTCTCAGTGTTAGAGAGGCTTTATGGAAACCCCACAAAATCATCCACAGACTTAGCTGTCAAAAAGGTACGCTTGACAAATCACATCTTTAAGTTTCATTTCGATGGTGCTAATAAGCCAATAGTAATCTAGTAGTTGTGTTCTCTTGGGAAATTTTCACCTTCAGCTGAGGCTTTTCGTTTTCTATAATTGACACATCTAAGTGTGAAATGGGGTATGCAAGAGATGTGAACTATAATAGATTAAACTTTTGATTCAAAGAATTTTCATGTTGAAATCCCTGCATCTATGCAAATTAGCAGGTTTAAACTTCTTTCTAAAATGGTCAAGATGAATAGTTTCTATTTCTTACTAGGAGCGAGATACTAACTTTCTGTATAATGCGACTCATTTTTTTCTTGCCAAAAGTAGTTATACTCTCTCTGTGTTCTCGCTAGTTTTGCAGAACCCTTTCAGCAGCGGATGTTCAAGCATCGGATATTAGACCACTCCCGGTTTTAGAAGAAACCTTGAGATATCTTCTAAGTTTGCTGGACTCCAGGGAGCACCCGTTTGAAGTGGTTCATGATTTTGTTTTCGATAGGACAAGATCTATTCGACAAGATCTTAGCATCCAGAATTTAGCCAACGAGAGAGTGATCCACCTTTATGAGGAAATCGTATGGTTTTCACATAATTCTTTTTCCTTTCTCTTCTCTCCAATGTTGCTCCATTGATGTTATTATTCTGACTCCGACATGGCTTCTCATACAGGTTAAATTCCACGTCATATCTCGCCAGAGGCTTCAGAGTTGTAGTGGTACAAGTATAAGCTCAGTGCATCACTTGAACATGGAGCAGCTAGCAAAAACTCTCACCTCTTTGTATAATATATATGATGCAAATAGGAAACCTGACTACATCTACGAAAACGAAGCCGAGTTCCGTTCACTCTATGTGCTGCTTCATCTCAATCCCAGTAGTGGAGTGATGGTTGTTTCTCTGTTTCCTTTACCTTTACCTTTATATGTTACCATCTCACCGTTTTACCATTAATATAAACCATTGAGATTTTGATATCCAGGGGGAACCACTGTCGCTGTGGTTTCGCAAGTTGACTTCTGCTTTAATAAAATCCAAGGAAATATGTTTTGTTCGAAACCTTTTAAGGTAGGGTTATGCTGTTTAATCCTTTGCGTATGAGCCATTTATATATCGATAGCATTTAGGAAATATCAATTGAAGTATGATTCCCCTTTTTTCCTCATTTTTTGCTTGCAGATCATATCGGATTGGTAACTACAATAATTTCTTAAGAACAGCGGCTTCTGAAGCGACATACTTGCAGTATTGCATAAGCGAGCCCATTATTAGAGAGGTGAGCTTGCAATGCATCAACAATGTATTAATATTTGCAGTAATGAGTAAACTGTTGAATTATGTTGATCATTTGCTGAATGTTATTCATGGTAAAAGATGCGATCATTCGCTGTGCAATGTATAAACAATGTTTGCTACAAGCTTCAACCTTATCCTCTCCTGCGACTATCTCAGAATCTGATGATGAAGGTACTAAATATATACACACCACCTTGGACTAAAGATTCATTTGTCTGTTTTTTCTACTTACATATTGTTGGTAAACTTGAAATGTCTTTTGGAGATTTTCAGGAGTTGGATGTTGAGTCTTTATGCCATGAGTGTGGTCTTGAGACATGTACTGATTCTGATGGGTTCACTGTGTTGCCTGCGAAGCAGTCAACCTTTAGTTGTCCAGAGGAAGGTCTCAAAGGTTATGACTTGCTTGGAATTGAACGGTTTAAGAGAGACTTTTGAAGCTCTCTCTCTTTAGTTTATGTGTAACGCTTCACACTCTCTTATCACGAGAAGAAAATTGTATTTGGAAAATGTTCTATGATCTTAGTAATTAAATGTTGTCATGTCTTTTTTTGCTCCTCTCTCTCTGCCTTTGTTATATCCTTTGGAACCTCATGACCAAATGAGCACGAATTTTTGGATAAATAAGGGAAAAGTAAACCAGTCAAAGCAGTTGTATTGTATAATTGATCGCTCCATTAAACCAATCTGACCGGATAATGATTAGAGCAACAATCATATTCCATAGTTAATTAGTTACAGTGTCCTTGAGGCCTTAAAAAAACTGAAGGCCCAATTCGATCCACACATATCGCGAAATACAAATATCTTTATTTTGACTGAGAGAAAAAACAGCACGATTGATTGAGCGACAAAAACTCATAGAAACAAAAGCTAATCCAATATCCATCGGATCATTGATTGCAGAGGAGCCGCGAAAGAGACATCAATTCCAATCTCAATTCAAAATCCAGGTTTATCCATCTCTCTCTCTCTCTCTCTCTGATGACTGCGTCTGAAACGCTCTCGTCGATTTTCACTTTCCGAGAATGTTGTCATTCAATTAGTTCTATGTTCGATTTTTTCAATTAGAAGCTGTGTCAGCTGAAGAATCGATTCTCGTAGAAAGACTTTTAGTGATTTTAGGTTGAAATTTTTTCTCTGAGGTGCAGGGTTGCTGTATCTTCTTCACAAATGACGACTTCGGTATGCCCTTTCTCCAAAGCTGCTCGTCCCGACGACGCCTCTGCTCGGAAACAAGGCGATACGGCGGCCTCTGGTTGCCCTTTCTCGAAAGCTTCTCGTCCCGACGACGCCTCTGCTCGGAAACAAGGTGATACGACGGCTTCTGGTTGCCCTTTCTCCAAAGCTGCTCACTCCGACGATGCCTCTGCTCGAAAGCAAGGCGAAATGGCGAGTAAAGGATCACCCGAACACGAAGGGAGTTTGAGTAAGGACTCTAATGGTTCCGCAACGGTGCCTGCCAAGTGCCCGTTTGGTTACGACTCCCAAACGTTCAAGCTTGGGCCTTTTAGCTGTATGCTATGCCAAGCGCTTCTATATGATAGCAGTAGATGTGTGCCTTGCACTCATGTGTTCTGCAAGTAAGTCCTTGTTGCTCATCGGATTAGTGTAAATATTTTCCCTTTTATGTTTTTTTGGGTCTTGAATTTTGGTTATGTGAATGCAGGGTCTGCTTACTACGGTTTAAGGACTGCCCTCTATGCGGTGCTGACATCGAACGTATTGAAGCTGATGAAAGCCTTCAAAAGATGGTTGATCAGTTTATTGAGGGCCATGCTAGAATCAAGAGATCTGTTGTTGATAGCACAGAAAAAGAAGAGGTCGAGAATGATAAGAAGAACGTGATTTATGCTGATGTTTCCATGGAAAGTGGTTCTTTCTTGGTGCAACAAGCTATGAGGGTGAGTTTTATCTTTAGATTTGTGAACCCCAAGTTGTGAGTTACTCTTTTTACAACCAATTACGTTTAATACGAATGTCCTGATGGTGAAGTCTTGTTTTTATTCAACTTGTATGCGCAGGCATTTCAAGCCCAGAATTATGAAAGTGCTAAATCAAGGTTGGCAATGTGTACCGAGGACATTCGAGATCAACTAGGGAGGGAGGGAAATACACCAGAGTTATGTTCACAGCTGGGTGCAGTCCTTGGTATGCTCGGCGACTGCAGGTATGCTCATTGTCTCTCTTATTTTTTTACATCCCAAGTTGTTTATTTCTATCATCTATCTGTTGACGATTTTCTGTGAATAAAAAAGTTCAGCGAACAAGGGCTTTCACTAATATGCTTACTTTTGAATTATGATTCCCCACCTACCTATTTGATTCATTTGACTGATAAAAGACGCTTTCTTGTTCATAGTGATGTTCTAACTTCTGAGTTTCTCAAGTGTGTGGCCCCGTTTTTGCAGTTTCCTGAAATGATAGTTGAATTTCCTGGAGTGTTAGATGGAGATGATTGTAGTTTTATTGGTTATTCTATTACTGAATGGTGAATGCTAAGTCCTGGAATCTGATATTTGCTTTCATCTTGCTGGGAGTATGTCTTATATAGTTGCTTAGGCTGCACATTGTATTGTGGAAATACAATAATAATTCCTTTCTGGTTTAAATGAGACTCTTGTTTTCTAGACGGACTCTGTTTACACCAATGGCTGGAAATGTTTTCATGTATCTATGTGGCTCAATTAGCCTGTTCAGAATATAGAGAATGAAGAAGCTCCAGTACATGTTCAGAAAACCTTCTGTTTGGTGTGTTGAAATATTTATTTTTTGGACAATTGACTTAATTTCTCTTGTTACTGCAGCCGAGCAATGGGAGACTCAAGTTCTGCAGTCAATCATTTCGAAGAGAGTATTGAATTCCTTATGAAACTGCCAATGGATGATTTAGAGGTTTTAGCACATCGTTTTTTGTTATATTTTGATTCTTCTAATGTGATTTGTTATTTGTTACCATTTGATAAAAGTTATTGCTAAACTTGCAGATTACACATACGCTTTCTGTCTCGCTTAACAAAATAGGAGATCTTAAATATGCCGAAGACCTACAAGCTGCAAGGTCCTATTACTGTCGTGCTTTAGACGTTCGACGTGATGCAATGAAGCATCGCCCAGATGCTCCTTCACAAGTGAGTATCCCTTTCATGCTATTTCAGTTTTGCTCTTCTTTGTCTCGTTGGTGAATAAAAGAACATGTACCGAGTTTGGTTCTCATTTCTTCGTTTTTGTTGTAGATTCTGGATGTGGCAGTTTCATTAGCCAAAGTTGCGGACATAGACAGGAGTCTACAGAATGAAACAGCAGCAACTGATGGTTTCAAGGAAGGCATGAAACTGCTGGAATCTTTGAAACTGGACTCTGAAGATTCTGCTCTCGAGAAACGAGTAAGATTCTTGCACTAACATCCTTTTTTTCCCTGCTTCTACTAAATATCAGGTAGAAATTGATCTGACAGCGTAATATGAACATGTACGCAGCGGCTCTCTGTGCTGGAGTTTCTGAAGAAGCAAGTAGAGAAGCCTGAAGAACAGTCTGCTGAAACTGCTCTCTGAACCGATGCAGGCTTATATGCCGACACGACGCGCGCTTACATAAGTATATATACATATGTAGACTGTATACCTAAGCACTCCTCTGTCGTATTTTTGCTGAATAAAGGGACGAGAAAGCAGAAATGTTGTGTTTGTGCTTAAGGATTTAATGAAAACAGAGTGCTCTGTATCTTGTCATGGTTTCATAATTGTATTCACTCTATCAACTTATATGGAGCTGTTTTTATAAATTTAGTGAATTGCTCTCTGTTTCTTTACTATGTAAAATGAGAAATAGTATTTTATTATGTAGTTACAAATTTTATTCAGCATCAAATTTGCTGTTTTACTAAAAAAATTAAGTTTTATGATTAATGTCAGTTCATAAATCTCTAAAAATAATATTTTGATGTTGGTTTTAGACTTTTTGGAGACAATTGAGCATCAAATTTGATGTTTTTATTTAAAATTTATGGTTTCATCAAACTGGGAAAATTAGGTTTTCTTCTCTTTCTTCTCCATCTCTCTCCCTTTCGCCTGCTACTCAGGTTCACTCTCGATCGTTCAAAATCAAAACAGTCTATTTCTCGTTTCATGGGTTTCTTACCTTTACCTTGGCTTGATCGATAAAACAATTTGTTTTTCTCTCTCTCAATCAACTCCTCCAAAAAAGCCATAGAAGCTTATTCGATTCCTCTCTCAATCAAATTGTGCTTTCCGCATTACTCTTGTGTAAGATTTCTCCCTTTTGCTAAGATTTGTGTCGCTTTCAAAGTGGTACCCAATTGTTTCCTATTGAATTGTTGAATACTGTGCCTAACTTAGTCGGAATCGATTGCTGTGACTTTAGAAAACCCGTAAATTCCCCCAGAACCGGCATTGATTTTGAACTAGGTTTTGCTTGAACTGTGGAAATCATGAATGAATTTACTGTTTTGTTGGAGATATTATAGTCATCTTCCTTAGAATTTGCTAAGATTTGTGTCCATAAGTCCATTTCAGTGTCCATTTGCTAACATTTGCTAAGATTTTGATAATTGTTTAATTTGATTTTGTTCCTACATGAAGCTTTCCTAAGAGAAGACAAGGCTTGGTTGGCCAGTGGACATGGGAGCTCTTGCTCAGGTAGTTCCGTGGATACCCGAAGACGACCTGCTGCTAAAGAACGCCATAGAGGTGAAATTCCCATTTCTGTAACATTTTTCTGTTTCAATTCATTATCAATGGAAATGGAAGATCTACTGATGTTGGACTGAGCCATGATCTCAACAAATGGTTTAGATAAAAGTTTTTCTTAACAAATAATTATGTTCTTTGCCTCACATCATATTTCAAGTTAGGCTATAGCTCAAGTGAACTGATCTCGTTAACTGATTTGCAGGCTGGTGCGTCTTTGGAATCGCTTGCTAAAGGCGCAGTGCAGTTTTCTAGAAGATTTTCTATCAGAGAACTGCAAGATCGGTGGCATGCACTCCTATACGATCCGGTAGTTTCCGCAGAGGCGGCGTTTCGGATGGCGGAGCTTGAACGCACCAACCCGAATTTTCCTACAAAGTTTGCTAGAACTGGAAACTCAAAAGAGAACAAAACTTCGTCCATGAAGAGGAAGGCCGAGAAGCTCAGAAGTACTTACCATTCCTTGCGGAAGAAATTTCGCACTGAGCCATTCAATTCCTTGGATCTTGCTTTCCTTGTTCCGCCAAACGACGGCCATTTCATGGATATTGGCGATGCAACGCATTTTGGTCTTGAAGACTCTCACATGGATATTATCCACAACGCGTTTCCAGAAATCTTGGGTGATGGCGGTTGCGTGGTAAACCATGTTGTCTCGGAAGACAATATACAAGGAGACATTTCTTATGTAGGAGGAGATAATCTGGCATACGCTGAACATGCAGGTCCTTCGGAATGTGATGCGGTTCATCGAGATTCCGAGCAGAAAGTGGAGAATTTTGCTCATGACCCGAATGCCACTACTATGCCTAGCGCTGATAACTACCTGGAGCAGCTTTCAACTTCTCTTTTCAAAGAGGAGGAACCGTTCATGGACATAGATGGCAAAGAAATCGACAATTCTTACTATGCCGGTCTTAGCTCCCTGTTGGTGAACCCGGCGAACGACACAAATCATGGGGCTTTGCCTATTTCCGCCGAGCAAGATCCTTCCATGGCGCAAACTCATCCAGCAGATGCAACTCCGGTTGATCATGTGATGCCTGTGCTAGATGGTACACTTGCTATGAGCTCAATGGAGTGCAGACCTCTGTTTGACACAGCTGCTTTAGATCCTCATCCGGAGGTTGTTGGTGGTGTTATCTGCTGTTTGCTAAACCAAGAGGATACTGATATTCCGTGTAACGATGACATTTTTCAGTCCAGTAACTCCCATCCAATGTCGGTTTCTTCATTAGCCCGACGGAACTTTAAAGATACAAGTAATCCAGTGACTTCATCTGTTAGAGAACTCTCTGCCGGTAGAGAAAGAAGCGAGGGGCATTCACTCCATACACAAAAGAAGATGCCAGGACGTTTGCAAGTGTCTTCGAAAGTGAAGGCAGAGATAGGTCAACCAAGCCAAGGTATCAAATTCAGGGGATTGACTACTCCCGAGTCACATAATACCGTTGGCGCTGGTGCTTCCACCAGTTCTGCACAGCCATGCTCAAACACTCTGCTTTCTGACGGTACTGGTGTAAAAGATGGAATCAAAGAGAGTGCCGGTGGAAAGCTCATCATCGGATTTGATAGTCATGGAAGCTACCCCGAGAATGATATCGGGAACAGTAACGAGGAAAAAGTTGTATTACCTATACATGAGGCGCCACATGCAAAAGCTGCTAATGATGGTTTGACTGAGATGTTAGACCCTGGACTGGAGATCACTCATACAGAAGCAGACGGGTATGCTTTTGAGAGTGACGAGGACTTGCCAAACTATTCTGACATTGAGGCTATGGTACCTCTCGACTTCCATCCTTATTTGTGATGCTTTATTGGTCTATAACACTATAGATCAACTGTTTAACAAAAAACGCTCCTTTGGTTTCAGATACTTGACATGGACTTGGATCCTGATGACCAAGATACTTTTGATCTCGAAGGTAATTGAGCATCTCTACTCATTCAGCAGAACTCTTGTTGCGTTACTTGTAGTGACAATGTAGGGAGCCTATTCTATGGGTGCAGCAAGAGATCTTATAATAGGTGTAGTAAGGCTTGTTTGTGATCCCTTAAATCGTTTTGACTTGCAGTATCCAAGTATCAGAGCCAGGACATGAAAAGAACAATTATAAGACTTGAGCAAGCTGCTCATTCATATATGCAAAGAGCCATTGCTTCCCGCGGTGCATTTGCTGTTTTATATGGTAGATATTCAAAACACTACATCAAGAAGCCTGAGGTATATTGATCCTATTCATTTGGTTATCCTTTTTTAAGTATTGTTGTTGTCTGATTTAAGCTTTTTAAGAACTGAAGTATAACTTGTTATATTGGTTGTTTCTCTCTTGGCACAGGTTTTGGTGGGTAGATCAACAGAAGATCTTGCGGTTGACATTGATTTGGGAAGAGAAAAGCGTGGTAGCAAAATATCTCGACGTCAGGTCAGTCACTTTTAGATGCTTCAATATTTAAAATCCCAGAATGTGTAGCAACTTAAAGTGTTTTTACATTTTTAACATTTTTGGTTGTTGAATGCAGGCAATCATACGGTTGGGGGATGATGGATCGTTTCATATGAAAAATCTGGGGAAGTATTCAATCTCAGTAAATGAGAAGGAAGTAGATCCTGGACAGACTTTAATCCTCAAGTCCGATTGTCTGGTTGAGGTTTGATCCTTGGAAACTCTCTTTTATGGTCATTACATGAATAACAATTATAACCGCATATCTATAGGATATTAACTTAAGCTTGGGATATATGGTTTGTGCAGATACGAGGAATGCCTTTCATATTTGAGGCAAACCAAAGTCGCATGAAAGAGTACCTGAAGAGAACAGGGAGAGGGAATTAAGAGGAGAGCTACAGTGAGTGTATGTTCTTTGTGTTTAGCTTGTGAAGTTGAATGATGTATCCACGAGAACATGTTTTTGTAGCCTTTTTAATGTTACCTTAACAGCAGGAACATATTTTGTAGATCGTTTGTTACATTGCATCTTTAGTTGCATAGTTGACCTTAAAAGCAAATGTTGACGATTATCGTAATCATTTAGGAAGTTAAATGCAACTATAACATCAAATCTAAAAAAAGAAAGAAGAAATCTTAATTTCCTATATCAACAAACAAAAAAAGGTACACTCTTGGCTTTTAACAACAAAATAAAATCTTTCCTTACCAAAAAATAAAATATTTGGTTCACATTAAACTTATCGTTTACATTTTCTTTTAGGGTAAGTGGCAAAAGAGCCAACCAAATCCACCTGCACCGATAAGACGTTTACAAACGCCGTTTGTTGTGTCGTCACTCGTCAGCGTTTAACAACATAAACAGCCGTAAAAATGAACGGAGCTCCGTTAATAAAGAAAGTGAAAGCAAACTAAACCCGTTTATAGCTTTGGTCCCCTCTTCGATCTAGAGACAATTGATTTAAGCAGTGTCTTGTAATTAACCATCATCGATGTCCGTTTCAACTTTACATAAAAGGAAAGTTTATCACTTAGTTTTCATCAACTTCTGAACTTACCTTTCATAGATTCGGCAATATCTTTCATGGAATAGTAGCTCAAGTGGGACCTTTGCTTCTTCAACTCTCTCTCTCTCTCTCTCTCTCTCTCTCTCTCTCTCTCTCTCTCTCTCTCTCTCTCTCTCTCTCTCTCTCTTTGTATTTCTCTTTCTCTTGCTTCTTCTTCTTATTATATCTCTTTGTCCTCTCCTCCAATCTCTCTCTTCAACAAAATATCAAAAGTAAAACAGAAAGTAGAAAATGGCGAGAGGCAAGATCCAGATCAAGAGGATTGAGAACCAGACCAACAGACAAGTGACGTATTCAAAGAGAAGAAATGGTTTGTTCAAGAAAGCTCACGAGCTCACGGTTTTGTGTGATGCTAGGGTTTCGATTATCATGTTCTCTAGCTCCAACAAGCTTCATGAGTATATTAGCCCTAACACCACGTAAGTAAAATGATCTCTCTCTAAACACGTACCACTCTTTCATTAAACTTTAACTAATTTCTTTTCGTTTAATTAATTAATTAACGACTTTTGTTGGGTTATAGAACGAAGGAGATTATAGATCTGTACCAAACTGTTTCGGATGTCGATGTTTGGAGCACTCAATATGAGGTTTTTTCTTCTTCTTAGATCCTTCTTGTTCCTGAATCTTGATATGTGTTTTTTTCTTCTTCTCGTTTGGTGATATTGGTGATTCGTTCTTGTAGAGAATGCAAGAAACCAAGAGAAAGCTGTTGGAGACAAATAGAAATCTCCGGACTCAGATCAAGTATATTTGTTTCTTCCTATTCTCTCTTCTCTCTATGTAAACTGCAAATAATCAAACTTACGCAATTATAATTTTTTGTTAAAATTGTAGGCAGAGGCTAGGCGAGTGTTTGGACGAACTTGATATTCTGGAGCTGCGTAGTCTTGAGGAAGAAATGGAAAACACTTTCAAACTCGTTCGCGAGCGCAAGGTATCATCATATTTTAGTTTTACCCTTACGAACTAGGGTTTTCTTAATTAATGTTCTTTTTCGTTTTCTGGTTTTGAACTCTTTTTTTCAGTAAAATTATAGATAAAATGAATTTGTTGTGTAGGTGTTAAAAAAGGAAACATTTAGTTTACTGTTGGACAATATATTTGATCGTTTTTTTTTGTATATGTTAATTGTACAGATTAAATCCCTTGGGAATCAGATCGAGACCACCAAGAAAAAGGTTACATGTTCTTCTATATTCCCTCACTTTTCCATTTTATCATATTATCTGTCTCAATAATTTTGTGTAAATTGAAATTGTGCACTTGCTAAAACTGTTGATAGCACTTTTTCCTATGAAAACCATATAACAAAACGTAACCATATCATTTTTTGGAGTTCCAACTTTTCAAACATACCTTATATTCCATTTTGTTTCCTATAATTATCGTCTTCAAAGCTTAAAAGTATAATTTGATGACGAAATGAGTAGCTAATTTTAATCAAGATTTGAATATCCTGTTTTTGGAAAGTGGAAACTGTCGGGTTTAGTTAAGCTAATGGGTAAAAGGACAAACCTAGCGTATATTATAGTGATAGCATAAAAGTTATAGCTGATTAGACACTTAAGTGTCTCAATAATTTCAGTCTATTCATAGTTTCGCTTGTGGTTTACTCAATTGCAGAACAAAAGTCAACAAGACATACAAAAGAATCTCATACACGAGCTGGTAATATCTCTTGCTTCCCTCTTTCTATTTCCTTATTTAGCATTTTTATTTTAAGCACATATATATAATACGACCATGGAGACAATAAAAAGGATAGAAATGTGTGGAGATTAATTAAGTAACTCTTATGTTTAATTCCTCTTAGTGAACATTATCAAACAATTCATGATGTCACTTGGAGTTAACAGCTAATGTTGGATTTAGTTATGTGAAATACATGAAAATTGTCTCTATTTCTTAAAATGTGTTTTTGGTGGATCAGGAACTAAGAGCAGAAGATCCTCACTATGGACTAGTAGACAATGGAGGAGACTACGATTCGGTTCTTGGATATCAAATCGAAGGTTCACGTGCATACGCACTTCGTTTTCATCAGAATTATCATCACCATTACCCCAACCATGCTCTCCATGCAGCCTCAGCATCTGACATCATTACCTTCCACCTTCTTGAATAATCTAAAGGGTTCAAAAGGTTTGCTGGTGCCATATATCATTATCTATCTTATGAATAACTACTTAAAAGCATCATGAGACTTGTGGTGCTAAAACATTAAACTGTCATGTTTCTTTATTATGTGTTTTTAAAACCTAAAGAACTATGGCTTGAGTAATCACTTATCAGTAGCTTGCTGCTTAGACTTATTGTGTGAATGTAATATTTTCATGACTGTCAGTTTGTATGTATGATATAATATTGAGCCAACAAAAATCTTCAAATATTGGGCCAAATGAAAACGTTGGCTGTTGTACTAATTGGGCTATGCAATCTGTGAACATCTACTTCTATATCCGTTTTATGCAATCTTTTTTCTATCTTGTCGTCCGTTCCTCTGTCTAACCTTAAAAAGATTGTAAAAGAAGAAAGAGGCCAAGACATTGATTGATTTTTCAGAAACCAACGAAGAAGCCCTGAAATGAAATACAAACCCTAGAGCGAAACCGCAACGAGAAAAGAAAAAGAGAAGAGAAGCAAAAGAAAAACAAAGAAATTCAACCTAGAATGCAAAAGCTCTCTCTCAAACAGAATAGTTACAAGAAACAGAGGCCGTTGCTGCTGTTGTCGTCGTTGTTGTTGACGAAGCAGAGTCAGTTGAAAAGTAAGACAACGGAGAAGACGAAGAAGTTGGGCTTTCTCTTCCCATCACCACAACATCGCAACAATCCAGATTCTCCAAACCCAACAGCTCGTTCTTCCCTTCCTCGAACATGAAGTCAATGTTATCCTCAAACCCAATCTCATTGAAAAGCTCCGGATACACGAACGCATTCTCGTTCGCCAGATTCTGATCCGTCAGAAACGGAGCAAACCCTGAATCCATCATGCAGAAGTTCCAAGCCAGCTCGTTGCTGTCCGAAGACCGATCCATATCCATAATCGCTGAAGAATCTATGCAGCTAGTCACAACCGCCTCCTCTTCCTTGTAACCAAACTCAACTTCTTGTTGCTCTGTTTTCTCTTCTTGCGGTGGCTCTTCTTCCACGTACTGTTTGACTTCTTCCCTCGGCTCTTCTTTCGCTTCTCTCGTCTCGGTTTCTTGCTTGGCTTCAGCAAGAACAACAGCGTCTTGATGGTTCGTTTGGCTCACAGGGAACGGGAACACTCCTTTCTTCTTTAACCGGTCGACGTAGTTGCTAATGTCGAAATTCGTAACCGCGTTCGCGCCTCTGTATTCAATCGCCGCCATGTCATACGCCGCCGCAGCTTCCTCCTGCGTATCTGCAAACCACAACAGCTTAGTTTATTAGGCAAGTAAAGACTTCAATGACATAAAGACAATTCCACATGTTGGTAACTACCTAACCAGATAAAACCAGACAAGTGTTAGAAGAAATGTTTTTCTTTTGTCGTTTCTTTTTTTTATCAAATTTTTTTAGAATTTATGGTTACCTAATAAGGACAAAAAGAAAATGAAGAGAATTTGAGTGACGTGTTCTGTAGGGACAACTAGGGTTACACTATTTGTGTGTTGCGTTTTAGAGTTGAAGCGTGTACGAGACCATTTCTCTTCCACTCCCCGCCGGTCTAAACACTCTCAAAAGAGTCCAATTTTGGTGACTTAAAATAAAACTAATGCAATAATTCACGAACGTACGATTACTAATTGTTTATCAATAAATTCACCTACCTACCTAGTGTCACCACTAAGCTCTAATAACTATCACTATTAGGTACCAACTTTTAATTTCCTTAAAAATCTAGAGAGTTTTCTAAATACGAAAATGTTAAAGCAGAAGTTAGAAGACAAAAATAATAATTTATATTTTAAAAAACCTAAAATACAATAAGACCAGATTTTGTTTTGGAGGACAAAGATGAAAGATATGAAAGAGAGAGAGAGAGACGGACAGAGATAAAAAGAAGTGCACGTGAGGGCTCGTGACTCCTACTGAGAACAGACTCTCTACTGTTAGTCTTAAACCATTTTAATAAACTAAAAATAAATAAAATTAGAAAGCTAGATCGACCTCGGGTTTGGTCCGGAGCCACTCTGAACTATTTTGTCCTTTTTTATGAAGTGAGAGTGTTATCACGTGACCTACGCGCTACACGCGCCTTTACACTTGTAACATTACATTATTCTATACAATTTCCACATCTACTCTTTCATTTTTTGTAATTATGCACTTGGCTCTCTTTTTTTTATAGTTTCAATTTGAAAAAGAATAATATGTGCCATTTAGTTAGAGAAGAAAGCCTACATTTTTGCAAAACTGATTCCGAGTACTTCAAAAAAACAAACTAAATTTCAAAATTTTCTAATTTGAGATTTGTTGAAGATTAGATCCCCATGATAAGCTAAGGACCGAATCAGAGTAACAAAACAATTTTAAATGGTGATACCTTTTCAGTAAAGAGTTGGTAATATTCCTTGCGCAGAGTTCTCAATTTTTGTATTCAGAGTATCGGATCCACACAAAAATTGCAGAATTAAAAAGAGTAATTATGCAGAGAGTCAGATAATGAAAAAAATAGATGGAAAAGAAAGAAAAAGTTGATTTGATTAAAAGATAAAAAAATCAATTATGGTGTGTTGAAGGGACATGATGTCAAAACTCTCGTCTCACGTGAGTGTGTGTATAATTATTCAAACCCCATTGGCTCCCCCATTATATTATTCTAATTGTCTACCTAAACAGCTTTAATCACTCTTATAAAAAAACAGTTCAAACATTATCACTCTCTACTTTCTAACTAGAAAAATAACCAGGCTAATTAATAAACAAAAGGACCCGCTGTGCCCGGTTGTTTTTTTAAAATGTATTCGATTATGCTAACTATTTTTTTATAAATCTGAAAATGCTTAAAAAAGAGTATATAAGTTATAAATAAATAAAAATTAGAAAAAGCGATAAAGGGGAGGTACGTACTATAAGTGCCGAGGTACAAGTACTTGTTTCCAAACACTCTTCCAATCCGAGCTTCCCATCTTCCGTTATGGTGATGCCTGTTTTTCCATAGTTTCATTTCTTTATAAATTTCTTGTTTTCACAATATACATGAGAAAAAAAAATGTTGAATTCATAGAACAAACCAACATTTCTGAATATCTAATTATGTCTTTATATAAAAAAAACTCCGATTTTGCAGGGTTGGTACTGTAACAAAAGTTAATTATTACTGAAAACCAAAAGAGAGAGAGAGAGAGAGAGAGCGAGAATATTCTAAAAGCAAATCTTCAGGAAATAAAGTCCAGCTTTTCATTTTTATTTTTATTTCCCACAAATGCATATTTCCTTTTTTTCAGTCAACATATTATTAATTACTGTTTTAAATAAAATCTGCTTAAATGGAAAAACTAATTTCTCATTTTGGCTGTAAATTCCCAAATTAAATTGATAAAAAAAATAAAAATAAAAAATAAAATAAAATGAGAAAAAGGAAGAAAAAGGAACCTAGCGACGCCGCGATATTTAGAGACGCCTCTGGAGAAACCACTGCTCTGACGGCGGAGAGAAGCCAAATATTCCTCCTTTGTCACTCTCTGCATTTCCTCAAACTCCTTTGTGTACGTCTCAAGCTGCTCTTCCCCCAAAAACTCCAAATTTTAAATCACACGAAATCGACTCAAAAATCACAAACATGCATCAATCTGATTAAAAATTTTCTCACCGGAAAATTCAAGATGGTGTCGGGTCCCCAGTACTTGAGAGCAGCTAGATCGTACGTATGAGCTGCTGCTTCTTCGCTGTCATATGCTCCTGCAATTACGCGTGAGAGCAGTTGAGATTCGTTCATCTTCTGACCAAATCCACTCTCTCTTTCTCTCTCTCTCTCAAAAACCAAAAAAATTGATTTTATTGTTTTAATTAATTAGAGAAATCAGAAATTACCCAGATAAACTGATTGAGTAGAGGAAGGCAGTGGACGAAGTCGAGATCAAACAACGAAAATCAGTTAAAAAATTCCAGATCTTCATAATCAAAAAATTCGAAATGGGTTGTTGGTGAAATTAAAACCAAACCTTGTTTGCCTTTCTTGTTCTGAATCGAATTCCAAGAGCTTTTGTCCCAAAGATGAGCCTCGAATCTCCCAGTCCATCTATGTCTGTTGAAATCCAGCAAACATGCAAATTACAAATGCAGCTCAAAACCCAAATCCAATCGAAATTAATTTTTAATTTCAATCAGAACAAAAATTAACCTGGTGACTCCTCTGTAGATGGAGCTGCGTCGGGTAGAGGCAGGACTGGTCGGATTCTGCGGTTTAAGATCAGAAGGAAGAGAAGATTTCTTAGCCCTTTTGGCTCGTTTAGGCCTCGGAGTCTCTGATTGAGCCGGAAGGACACAAGCGGAAGAGGAAGAAGTAGATGAAGAGACAGAGGAAGAAGATGGAGAAGTGGAAGTGGTTGTTAAGCAGCGCTTCTTCATTAAACTCTGAGAAATGGAGAGCAAACAAACAGAGGAAGGAAGGAAGAAGAAGAAGAGAAATTTCAGATTTTTTTTTTTTTGGTTTTTGGTTTAAGAGTGTGAGATTTTAAGAAGAGAGGAGGAAGTGGTTTACCAAAAGGAGGAAACGAGAAAGGGGAAGTTTAAATAAAACCCTGAGGAGAGAAAGGGCTTTTGGGTTAATTAGCAAAGAGTTAAAATTACATTTTGTAAGACCAAACACTTGGCCTTGTGTTGCAGCCATGCTACCAATAGCTTCACTCTCCACGCTGTCCTTTGTATTTTTGATTTTTTTGTACGTTTTTTTTTGTTTTTTTTTACATTAATTTGTTTCTGTACGTTTTATGTTTGGCAATATTTTTTAATTAATTTTTGGGGAAAGAAATGTTGGAATGGAGAATATCTTAATTTGTGACCTGGTTGAACTTCTATATTTGAGCTTGTAGAGAATCAAATAGGTGAAATATTTTGGTTTTGTAAAAGGAAGGTTGTAAGGAGAAAAAGGAATTGTTAATTGTATACATGAAAGTTGAATAGTTTGTTTCCACTTTAGAATTTAAATGTCTGTGTTTCTATAATATGTTTAACTTACCTGCTAAGAGTTTTTCTTTCTTTTTTTGAATTCGTCTTTTTTTATTTAAAAAATGCTCAAAATATCACAATGATAATGGACAGGACAGTTACACAAATTTATATTTATTTAAAATATTTGAAATTCACTTATAAACAAAACCATATCATTCCAAACTTTACGAACTAATCGTCATTGTTTAAATGCTTTAACGGCTATAACCAGTATAAACGACCACATAACGACTATTTAAACCTTTTTAGAATTGTTATTATATTTGTTTGCATCGAGCAAACAAAATTATATTTGTCTAAAATATTTGAAATTCACTTAGTAACAAAACCATATCATTCCAAACTTAACGAACTAATCGTTATTGTCTATATGCTTTAACGGCTATAACCGGTATAAACGATCACATAAACTATTTTAAAACGACTATTTAAACTATTTTTTAGAATTCTTGTCATGTTTTTTGTAGCGGGCTAACTTTTCATTGATGGTTTATTTAATAAATTAAGTTGTTTAAAAAACATTGACTACAAATACTTTAAAATTTTCTACAAAACTGAAAACAAATGAAAGCTTAAATGTTTACTTCTTTGTCAATGTTTTAAGTTCATAGTTAAGACAACAACTATTTAAATTGCTAAGAAAAAAATTCATTGAATCTTTCTAGAAAAATAATAAAGATTCTTCTGAAATATCAAGAAAAATCCAAACGACCAGGGAGACAAAAGGCCAAGAATTTCTCTGATTGAAATGGTTGAAACAATTGTCACATTCTTAGAGCATAAGAATTACATTTATGCATGAAAATTTTCGAATACTTAATAAATTGTATCACATGTAGAAGATGTCAACTAGGCTTCATAGACCGCAGGTTGGATATAAGCTCCTCTTTCACGGTTTAGGTATCTATTTCAGCTAGCAAATGGAAAAAACATTTGAAAATATCTTACGCTCATCTTTGAATAAGCTATAAAGTAAAAACTTTCAGTCACAATTCTGGAAACATGGCTAGTGTTTTCACACAGTTGTTTAGCCTAAGATGCAAAAAAAATAGATGATCAAACTGAATATAAGTCAGCATCAGAATCCAATAACTAGGGAATGATCAATGATCTTCTTTTGAAAAATATCATGCACTTTCCCGAACACTTAATTTAAATTTTTAATACTCTTCCCGAGTTATAAATAAAAATGATTTAACTCATAACATGGAAAACCGAAAAACTAATGAGAAAATAATACTAAAATGCTAGTGATAAAGACACGGAACCGTCTCGTCTCTTCCACTTCAGTTCACTGTGTCTTTCCACTTTCCCCTTCTCTAATCTTTGAGCTTATAAAAGGCATGCTTGTGTTTCTTACTCTCCCACTCGTGGCTCCTCCGAAATAGATTTCTTAATCTTCTGATTTTTTTTTCAGAGATGTCTTACGTTCCACCACATAAACGACCTGAAAATGCTGCAGTCAGAGCAGCCTCTGTTCCACCTTCTCTTCTTACAAAGCATAACAGAAACCTAGGAAGTATCAAGAATACAAAGAAAATCTACGCAGACGATTACATTTCCAAATGGTTTCTCGTTGGTTCACAGGAAAACAACAACTATCGACTTGTAGTGCCGGCTTCTTCAGATCCCGTAGAATGGAGGAAGGGTGCAGAAGAAAAGCCTTTGCTTATCTTAGTGATGACGAGCGATTTCAAGAAACTGGAAACTCCATGGTTATGCGTGGCAGAGAAGGTAGAGAATGATCTTATATTGGGATTTGGCAGAGCAAAGAAGACGCTACTACGTTATGGATCAGAAGATGTCAATCTCAGACTGATCGCTCGATTTGGGAAAGTTGTGTTCAATGGGTAAACAGTTTTGACTTTTCCTCAGTTTTCTTACACACGCACACATAAACTGTGTTATACGTACAAGATGTTAGAGATTCTAGATTGGTCTAGGATCTTGGTTTGGGAATTTCTAGTTTAATCAAAGTCTCTCTTATGGTTTGGTTAATTAATACATTAAACACTGTATGATGTTGTGCAGTGTTGAAAGTATAAGAGATGTTCCCTTGACTAAAAGCAAATTGGAAAAACAGAAGAAATATTTCAATACAAATGTCTCAAAGTCTTACGTCGAAAACATTGTGTATGGAGTTGTCCCTAAGATGGGATTATGTGTAGAAGAGACCAAAGAGTTGTATCACGTGAAGGTGCTCTTTCTTTTGTTAGATTCTTTATTATGTCTATATATTTCATTTTTTTTTTTAAAGTTTGGCTTATGGTTTTTTAGGTAGCAGACAACACTCGTCCTGATGTAACAATCTCTTGTAAATGTATGGTGGATCAACAACATAAACGACTCAATTTCTACAAGGCAAGTGTTTCTTCCTTTTCTCTCTTCACACATATTTGAAACATGACACTGAATCTTGTCATGTTTCTCTTATTCAGGCTGAGCTTAATGCTTTGAGGCATTTAATTCTCGATGTATCATGCCTTGATCAAGATCTTGACTTGAGGCTGGGGGTTGACTCAAAAAACACAATAACCAAAAATCTCTCAGTGCGTTGACTTTGTCTTTTCTTTTCTATACATAGTACTATCCAAGAAGATGGGATCACGAAGTATTAAACATGGTTCTTTGATTGTGTGTCCAGGAGAATGAGATGAATAATCTTAAGGAATTGACAGATTCAGCGGTGCTTGATCCAAATGTGAAAGGTGGTTTAAGGTGGCCGCTAGGGAAATCTTCATGCGCGGATCGATATAGTGTTTGTGGCGTTTGGCACACCGTGACAACTACGTACCGAAGCTCGACTTTGAGGCTACAAGTTCGAGAAGCAGATCGATATGATGTCAGGACTGGAATTGGAAGAAGCACAAGAGAAGTGAGTCTCAAACTAAATGCCTTGAGAAAACTACTAAAGGTAACATTTGTTTTGTTTATGTTTCATTCAAATCATGCTTCTTGAATTGTATATATGATGGTCAAATTGAGTGACAATAGATTTGTTTTGTTTACCATTTTCAGGAGGAAGAGGTGGAGAAGGGATGTGTTTCAGACATGTTAAAAGATTGTCTGAGAGCAGTGTGTGAGTACTTTTTGAAAGCAAAGTAGTCGTCACTGTGTTTGTGGTGTGTTTGCCCCAGTTTGTGTCACTTATTCCAAACTTTGCCTGCTTTTACAAATTTCTGGCTCATATTAACTTTGTGGCAATATGCCAATATCATCCATGGATCTTTTGGATTAAAAAAGTTAAGTATTTGATTTCAACTTTGTTTGCGTGTACCTTTTTTATCAATTCTCTGACGAGATATGTGGATTTAGCAATTTCAGAATATGTGTTGAATTTACACACAAGAACATCCTAAAAAGCGAAATTAGCCAAGCTACGGTTTACTCAGTTTTAAACCGAACAAAATTGAAACCGTAGATTAAACCGTAGAACAAAAAGCGAAATTAATCCAAACCGAAATTAACCAGAATAGATTAAAAAAACGAGAACCGGAATCTATCAACCGGAAAATGAAAAATCCCAAAAAACCAACAATAATTACGCGCAGTGTATTTTTCTTTTCACTTAAAAATGTCGAAAAAAACATAAGAATTAATCAGCATTAAGTAATCCCATTTCTTCGTCTCCGATAAGAAGCATATCTCTAGAATTCCAGAAAACTTGAGCCTAATCCTTCCTTCTTCATCAATCATCACCAAGCCAAGTCTGAAGGTACTTTCTCTCTCTCTCTCTCGCTCTCGCTCTCATATTCGTTCTGCTGCTACAATTGCTTGGCATGTTTGATTCTCGTTGAATTTCGTCTATTGCTTCTCTCTATGTTCTTCTCCGGGAACTAAAATAGCGCCGATCTCAAAATTGCGTTCGTCTGTAAACATAATCGGAGCATCAGAACACGTTTTCCGATTACTTTGGTGGTATTCTTCTCTATTACGTATCGGGTCATCTACACGATCAGTAATTAATCTCCTGATTTAGCGATTTACTGTTCATCCTCTGGGTTTTTGTTTGATTTCTGTAGTGATCTATAGTTGACTAGCACAGTTCTTCGTTTTCTCTCCCATATTTACTTGATTACGATTCAGTATTTATTGACGTATTTATTGGAATTGCATTCCAGATTCCAGATCTGATTGTGGATTTTGGTTGACTTCTTCTCTGAAAAGCTTCACAGCTCAAAAACATGAGTCAGAAGGGTTTGATATACAGCTTTGTTGCGAAAGGAACCGTCGTTCTAGCGGAGCATACTCCTTATTCAGGAAACTTTAGCACCATTGCTGTTCAATGTCTGCAGAAGCTACCCACAAATAGCAGCAAGTATACTTACTCTTGCGACGGTCACACTTTCAATTTCCTTGTCGACAATGGTTTTGGTGAGTTTTCTTAGCCTCTTGCATATTCAATGCTTGAAAAGTTTATCTTTTTTTTTTAACTTGTGGTTTGATGATGTCTGTTTGTATATAGTGTTTCTTGTGGTTGCTGATGAGTCTACTGGAAGAAGTGTTCCTTTTGTGTTCCTTGAACGGGTTAAGGAAGACTTCAAGAAGCGGTATGAGGCGAGTATAAAGAACGATGAGCCACACCCTCTTGCAGATGATGACGAAGATGAGGATTTGTTTGGAGATCGGTTTAGCATTGCGTACAATCTCGACAGGGAGTTCGGGTCTGTCTATAGCCATAGCTATCTGATTGTTAGTCAATTTTTTCGAATTGCAAGTTTGCAACCGTGTTCTGAATCTTTTCTTCTTGCCCCCACCTCCCTCTAACAGGCCTATACTTAAGGAGCATATGCAGTATTGTATGAGCCATCCAGAAGAGATGAGCAAACTTTCAAAGTTGAAGGCTCAAATAACTGAGGTCAAGGGGATCATGATGGACAACATTGAGAAGGTCTGCTTTTGTAGCTTTGTGTGATAAATTTATCAAACTGTTTTCTTTGCAACCATTCTCTCATTAGTATCTACTAAGTTATGCTTGTGTGCTGATTACTCTGTGTTTTGGCTGGAATATCGGAATCCTTTAGAAACTAAGAAGTTGCATGCAGCTAATATGTCTTGGACTGCTTTGTTTGAAAATGGTACTAGCAATGACTAGGTAGGAATATACTGGGAATGTCTAAAGGATATGCTAAATGGGAACATTATTGCATGAACACCCCCTGCTTCTCATTATAGGAATCAATTGTACTATAGTGATGATCCAAGTCACGATATACCATCTCTAGCTTCTTGTACTATGGGTTATGTTTCTATCTGCCTTAAGTTTGAGGTCAAATATACTTTGTAAACAAAGTAACTGAAATAGTTGTCAACAAAATCCAGTTTTTAGTGTCGTGTGTCCCTATTTTGATGATATTTGTGATTCCACATCAATAGGTTCTGGACAGAGGAGAGAAGATCGAACTTCTGGTGGACAAAACGGAGAACCTGCAGTTCCAGGCGGATAGCTTCCAGAGGCAAGGGAGGCAGTTAAGAAGGAAGATGTGGCTACAGAATCTGCAGATGAAGCTAATGGTGGGAGGTGCTGTTATGTCCTTTATTCTCATCGTTTGGGTTGTTGCTTGTGGTGGTTTTAAATGCTCATCGTGATGTCTCGTTTCTTCTGTATCTGTTCTGCCATCACCTTGCTTACACACTTAAAATGCATGCTCATGTTTGTACATGTTTGAACTAATAAAAACATATCGTCATCATCATCTCCCACAAGCCATCTATTTTGCTATATATATAAAATATCTCTTTTTTTTTTTCTTCTTTTCCCAATCTATGCATTCAGCGATTTCTTTATGTGGTTCTTTAAGAAGACTTCAGCATTTTGATCTGAAACTCTTTTTCAACCGACTTTTGTCAATTCTAATTTTCATTTTTTGGCATTTTCATAAAAATTCACGAGAGAAATCCTGGTATTTGAAATTCGATATATCTTTTCAAAGAAATCAAAAATACCTATAAACATCTAAGGTTAGCAAGGTTTTAGAAAAGAAAATTGATTATCCAAAAGCATATTAAAATGTTCTCGTATGGCTTTAAATCTGTGGATGATGAAGCAAAGAGGAAAGGCGAAGCGTAAAGGGGAGGTAAGTAGGGCAAAGATCACATGGGACTATGGGAGGAGAAAAAAGAGACAAAGTCATTCTTCGTTTCTCATGATACTTGTTTCTCGTTTATAAAGCGGATATGGAATCAATTTCATAAAGAAGTTGATGTTATATCTTTACAGCTTATCCACACATATGTCTACAGATAGTCAGATATAAGCGAGATTCGAATAGGCAAATATGGGTTGGCTTCGTTTTTATTATATGATTGACGATGGTAAAACTTTAGAACCAAACAATTTTCAAAGAGCAAATAATGTGTGGCATAAGTGGAAGAAGGTGTTAATTATGAATGAAAATAGGTGATATTCAGTAATTGACGAACAGGCAAACAAAGATAAAACATTCGTGCTTTTCCAAATATACCACATAATCAATCCATCGGAACATGATGGTATATACATATGCGGCTTTCACAATAATTAATCATTTTTGATAGAACTGTTTGAACTTGAATAGAGCGGTTTGCTGAATGGCAGAGGTTAAAACAGTCCACCAGATTCGGCGCTGCACCACTTTGTCCAATGATAAGAAATATATATTGTCTTAGCATTGACAAGTGTTGTGAACCTAAAAAATTAAGTCAATTGGTATTGTGACTAACAAACACCAACCAGATGATTCTATTGTTAATAGTAATAGGGATTTCACCAAAGAATTGACAAATCTTCGTGATGACAATCAAACATAAAACATAGACTACCGGAGATAGGTTTAATAGAACAAAATAGTTGTGTGGGAGGAAGAACATCGTTGAAACACTCGGGGTTCAGTTAATAAGACAATAGAGTGTGCGTGCGCGCAACGTAAATGACAAAAAAACAACAGAACATCTACACAAACACCATATTTTCAAAGATCAATCATCTTGCTATAAATGCATGCACGAGGAGTTCCTTTAGTTGCATAAACACATTTAAATCACTAAATTATATTCTGGCCCAAAAATTCGAAGGAGAATCTAACTTGTGCGAGTCCAAGAGTGATTTCTATTTATGATAAATCCAAAAGTATTTAGGAAATTGATTCATTAGTTCAGAAGAACTAACGTGATTTCATGGTTGACTTGATTTCGAGTTATTATCGAGAAGATTGATCTCAACAACATAGAAATTAGATATGGAAGACGACAGAATAAGAAAGCAAACAAATTAAAGAGATGGTGATGTATCTCTCACATTTATTATAGAGATCCTGCAAAATTGATATTTAGACACAAAATGCCATTTTGAATTAACTACGAAGATCTCTTTATCCACTATATTAGGAAACTTCTGTTGCCATAAATCACTTTAGAAAGAAATCTCAACCATAAAGGAATTTTTTTCCTCTTACCTTCCTCATTTCCACACAGAGTAGTAAGCGTACGACTGAACATTAAAAACATTAATATTTGTTCTCTAATTGGTCAGTATTCTACAACTATAGAAACTAATCAAACATTTCACACAGTCCTTATTTCTTACATAACATACGTACATGTATATCTTAAGATAGTTTAATTATATGAAAACAAATCTCTCTATTATGACAGTGCTCCAAAGTCCCCAAAGAGTCAAAATCTCAGTTTTTATTTTTGTTTTGTTTATGGTAGGAAAATAATAAAACCAAAAAAAAGTTCATTTAATTAATTAAATTACGGGAAAACACTTAAATCGGAGGAATACAAAACTCATGTTCCTAAGCTTTTGGCGTTTGATTGATAATGGCGTGACACCTTTTTCTTCTCAACAAACAATCTCTCATTCATTCTCAATCTCAATCTCTCACTCCAATTTCTTGCAACTCACTCCTTTTCTTCATCCTCTTTCTCTCGATTTCCTCTCCCTCTCTTAGATTCTATATTTCGCCGGCACGTTTTCTGCTTCCGTCACAACAACAAAAATGGGAACCTGTTTCTCGAGCTCTACAAAATCCACGGCCGAGATCGCTCCGTTTGACATCGCAGTCAAACCTCCTCCTCTCGCAGCCTCTTCCGCCGCCGCACAAACTCGCGTTTCATCCCAGCAAATCCCAACCGCGACGCCGGCGACGGCCAGCTCAGCCGTCACAGTGAAATTGCACGGACCGCCAAACAGTTTGGTGACTTCTTACCTCCGCTTGGCTCTTCTCCACAAGAGAGTCTCTCTCCGTTTCGTCCCATCGGAAGACCAGAAGCCGACGATCCAAATCGGATCGGAGACGGTGTCAGGATCTCTGGAGGTTCTCCTCCGTCACATCGAGGACAAGTTCCCGGAGCCTCGGCTGATGATTTGCAAGTTCAATCTAGAAGGCTTCGACGAGTCGACTCCGCTGATAGTGAGGACGATTTGGCTCCAGCACAAGAGCATGACGTGGCACATCGCGAGGATGTTGAGATGGTCGGACGATCTGGCGGCGCGTGGAGGGAGAAGAGCTGTGGATCCGTCGGTGGGGACGCCGAAGATGGAGATTAGGAAGTTCGCCAAGAGCTATACGCAATTGCAAGAGCTCATGGTTGAGCATGCTCAAATGGAAGAGAGAATCCTCTTCCCTGTTCTCGAATCTGTTGATCGAGGTAGAGATTTTGGTTGGTTGAATTTTGATTTGAGAATTCACTGTTTCTCAAATGTTGAAATTGATTTGAGTTTTTTGTAGGGATGTGTAAAAGTGCAAACGAAGAACATGGAAGAGAAATGCCAATGATGAATGGAATCAAAGAAGTTATCAAATCAATTGGTGTGTTGGACGCTGGGATTTGCTCAGAGGCTCTTTCTCTTCTTGCTTCTCGTTTCAAGACATTGCAGGTAAAATTAAATAACAAAACCATTCTCCACTTCTTTTGTGTGTTTCTGTAATGAAATGAGAGTCACATTGTAAAGTTTGTTTGAAACAGATGATGTGTAAATCACATTTTGAAGAGGAAGAGAAAGATTTGTTGCCGATGGTGGAAGCTGCGGAAATGGGGAAAGAGAAGCAGAAGAAGTTGATGAATCAGAGCTTGGAAGTTATGAGAGGCTCTCATTCTCATTTGTTTGATTTCCTGCTCGAAGGTCTCACTCCACAAGACGCTATGCAGTATATTGACTTGCTCATGAAATTTGGTGATCCGGAGCTTATCTCATCTTTTCTCTCCCAAGGCATTGTTGATTGATCTTTCTTTAAGAAAAAACTGTTGTTATGATTGGGTTGTGAATTTTCGTGTAAATGAGTCGGGTTATCGATCAGAGGCTTGCTTTGTTTTTCTCTTTCTATTAGATAACACAAAAAGTGGTGTTTCAATAGACAGCTTTTCAAGAAACTAAGGTTGTATACAGGTCGGTTTTGAGTGGTTTGTCAGTTACTCAAGAAGAGTAAAGTTTTTACTTTCTACTTGTTTAATGCCTCAAGACTTGAACACCGACAAAACAGGCAACAGAAAAAGTAGAAGATGATGCAAAAAAACATTAACTTGACTGTAAAAAGCTGAAATAGAAGAGGAAAAAGCTCTGGTCCAAAGGCAGCGTATTTACACGATTCAGAAACACTACAAAAACTAATTTGGCGGCCATAAACATTAGACCGGTCGTTTTGCCAAAACCTAACGACTCGTTGTCTCCTCCAACACTCTCTTTTCTCGTTTTTCTCCTTTTATAATAATTCAAATAATTAAGGGCTTCTTTGATTGTTTCTGAATCTAAAAGATTTGACAACAAAACAAAATGGAGGAGGAGCCAAAAAAGAGAGCGAGTGGATGTAACCTTCTTATGTTGTTTGGAACGTCAAAATTGTTGGGGTTGTCCTGAATCGAGCTGAATAAATATGTACACATACATTCTTGGTTTTTGTCCCATTACCCGTTTAGCTTAGCTAAGAACTGGCTCAGATTGTACTCTTCTGTGTACTGTGATTGATCCCACAGTTCCTCTAAGTTACCCAGAATTGCCTTCAATCCTTTTCCAGTTCCAGCAGCCTGATCATTATCCTCTGATCCCTTCTTTGAAGACGCACCACCCTACAATAAAAGACAGATTATATTCAAGGATACCAAAAATCTGCTTATTCAGTTGAAGAGACTTAGCAATCAGAATATTTGTTTTTACCTTTTTCGAAGTATCAGCTGAAGCAAATAAGTCAAGCAGCTGATCAGTGTTCATTGTCTTCATACTAGCATTCTCAGCATTGATTACCGTATTGGCAACCGACACTTTGAATCTTTGAAGACTCATCACTTTTTCTTCAAGTGTGCCACGCATTATCAGACGGTGTACATTTACAACTCTCTTCTGTCCCAATCTATGCGCTCTATCCATCGCCTACAAGCACATTTTTCCATTCACCACTAGTTAATATTCCATTCAAGTGCGTGGCTGATATATATTCTGAGTCTTTTCAGTATCTATAATGGACGAGATGTGAAACTCTACCTGATGATCACGCATAGGATTCCAATCATGCTCCATAAATACAAGTGTGTCCGCTGAGGTCAGGTTCAACCCAAGTCCACCAACTAAAGGAGGAAAAATGAAATTGTTTCAGTTAACTTGATCACGAGATAACAGAAGAACTTCAGTGCTGAGTGGAACTGGATATAGCATACCATGTGTTGTTAGGAGCAGAACATCAATTGTAGGATCTGAATTAAAAGCCTTCACAATCTCAAACCTTTTCTCCGGTGCAACAGAACCATCCAGTCGCATATATGTGACGCTGTTTCAAGAATAAGGCATAAGAAAATAAGCAACATATCGACGTAGCCAGATTTAAGGGTACATAGATTTAAGATAGGAACATGGGAATCATAGTCAGTTCAAGATGAGAATAAACTAGACTTTGACAATTTAAAGAGTAAATTCACAGGTAGAACTCGCCTTTTCATGTGTGCTTGAAACAAGTCCTTTTCAATGATGTCCAGCAAAGCCTGCATAAATAACATGGTTAGATCTTGTAAATGTAGCAGAAAAAGAATGGAATAAATTAGAGATGCAAGATTTTATGTAATTACTTTGTGCTGAGCAAATATCAGAACTCTGTGCTGGCCTACACTAAGAGTGCCATCTGAATTAGAAGCATCAGAACCTATTCCACATTCTTCTAAAATTTCCTGAAGAGCAACAAGCTTTGGAGAGTGTTGAACTTTATGAAGCTCGGTGATAATGTCTGAACATCCATTTATCATCGCTGACAAATCAGAAGCCACCGGCTCAGAAACCTTTTCGCCAAGAACAAGAAGCGGATGACTGCAGAGTTTAAGCAAGTACTGCAGTGCCTGGAAAATTAGAACCCACACATAAATCAGGTCTCCCTATACTGTAAATGTTATAGGTGGGAGTGAATATAAATGTTGTTGTTGCCTTCGATGCAGTAAACACTACTATACCTGGAAAACATGTGTGGATGCTTTTGTTGGCGCAACCTCCGCATTGCCTGAATCTGCTGTTCCATCAACTTTTATGATAGTAGATATTTCTTGCTTAGCATGTGAACCAGAAAATTGCTCATAAAGCTTCAACTGGATAGGACTAAGGTCACAGTATCTGTCTTGAATGATTTTTTCTGGCAAATCAGAGAGGACTTCCTCTTTCGTACGCCGCAGTAAGAATGGCATAACCTACGTGAGATGTTATCAGGTAATGATGCAACCATAAAGTTCCCAACATTTGCAACAACGAATAAATAAAATAAAAAACCGGAACAGGTAAACTTCAGAAACAGCATTACCTGCTTATGGAGTGCTTCCATTGCCAACACACCCGCTTCAGCATCCTTAGCAGAGCACTTAGGATCTCTAGCTGCCAGCAACGGTTTTCCATAAGATGCTTGAAACTGCCCAATAGGGAGACACATTTTCTCATTACTGAGGACAAAATTTATCCAAAAATGACCCTAAAAACCGGTAGTTTGTAACAGCATATAAGCACGGAATATGAATAAGCGCTACCTGTCTCTCTGTCCCAAGAAATCCAGGCATCAAGAAGTCAAAAAGGGACCATAGCTCCATGATATTATTCTGAACAAAGGAAACAATGTCAGTCAGAAGGTAAAGCACACGTATAAAACTTTTTGGGAAGTCCAGGGATCCTATTTCACCTGTATCGGTGTTCCACTAAGGATAAGCCGGTGCTGGGCCTTCAATTGCTTCACTGCTGCCGTAATTTTAGATTTCGCATTCTTAATAATGTGCCCCTCATCTAGAATACAATAGTTCCATGAGAACTGTGTCAGATAATCAGCATCCTTGCGAACCACATCATAAGATGTGATGATGACATTGTGGTTCTTGAACTGTTCACGGAGAGAACAGCGGTCTTGAGCAGAGCCAACATATTGCAACACACTTAGCAGAGAAAGGTCGATATACTTCTCAATTTCAAACGCCCAATGGCCAACTAGTGTTGAAGGGCACACAATTATAGATGGAAAAACATCTGGTTCATCTTTTGAACCACGATGCTCTGCTGCATCAGATGCCACAATTGCTGATGCTTGAAGCGTCTTACCAAGCCCCATATCATCGCAGAGAATTCCATGGAGCTTAAAACGTTTCAGGAATCCTAACCAATTGATTCCTTCTTGTTGATACCTGAAATCAGAAAACCAATAAATATCCGAGAACAATATCATAAAAGCAATACAGTTCCCTCTAAGTTCAAATCAACAGTACAGAAACTGAAATATTACGGAATAAATATAATCCTATCCCTCAAGAACCCAGCTTAAACCAACAATAGGTGCAATATCCTGCCATCTCTCACAAACAAAACCCTCACGTTTGTATAGATGCAACTGAGAGAACAAAGCCAAAAAACGGAAATAATGCCAGTAAAATGACAAGATCCGAAGGAAAAAAGGCACAGAATACATGAATGACACAGAGACACTAGGAACAGAGAAGCAGCTTTCATTTAATCTAGACTATGAGAGTTACCTTCTTAATGTAACTTTTAACTCGGTGCAAAGCTTGTAATCATCTATATGGGAGTTGTCAAGTAGCTGCTCCAAAAATTTTGCATCCTCCGCATTGCTGGATAGATCTTTGCTCAACCCTACAGGAGGAGGAACCCCACGTGCTAATGGAAGCATAGGTACAAGGGCAGCAAAGCTGCGTGTCACGCTCTGCCTGACTGAACTGTCAACATCGCTCATGCATCTCAGGAGGGGAACAACTAATAAAGGAGAATATGGAACAAGTTCTACACCCAGCCCTTGAACAAGCAAACCAATAAGCATTCCTGCGCCTTGTCTGGCATTAATGCATGTCAAGTCTCCCAACATTGGAATAGCATTTTCTACTACTGCTGCCATAACATTTGTTGTCATTGATTTAGCCATTGTCATAACACATCTAGAAGCAGCCAATCTAACAGCCACATGGGAATGACGAACGCATTTGAAAATACAAGGTAGGAGACTGAGTAGTCTAGGTTTCAGTGTTTCTTCCATCACTGGTGATATTGAACGCACCACCTGGAAAGCAGATAAAAGTAAGGTACATCAATTTACGGCTCTGCATATTCAATAATAAGCTTCACTGTTTTTCACAAAGGGATGTATGATAGCCAATTGCAAAAAGTAAACGTTCTAACACACGCAAAACAACACCTACTGACGCAATTTGTTCATAAGTGGGATGCTATGCGAGCTATGTTCACACATGTCCACGTAGCATCCAATAAAAGGCACTTCTCGAAAAAATGCTGTTCTTTATGAAAGTATTTTCCCGATTCGAAGTTGAAGGGGACTCTTTAAATAGCTCATCAAATTACTCACTGCCTACTCAAGAAAAAGCCTAACTGTGTCTGCTATGAGGAATACCTTAGCTATGAAGTTATATAGCTAAACAAAAACATCTACCAACTGACAGAACTATGCAAACTGTTCTCATACATTTAATGTACATACTATCACTGGCAATATACAGAAACAGTTTCTAAGACTGCTCTGAGTTGAAAAAGAGTTATCTGCTGTGTAAATCAGAGTTAACTCGTCACAGTTTTCCTAACATAAATTTGGTGCAAGAAATTGAAAAAAAAATCATTTCTATGCAAAAACACTTCACTGGGTATTACCTGGATGTTGTTTATCAAGACCTGTGGATCTGAGATAGAATCTATTTTAAGGAAAATATTCTGTTGATCTGCAGGAATTCCAGGAACAAGAACCTCAGTGAGGCAC